TTTCCTTTTTTTTTCTTTTAACAACATTTATTATTGATATTTTCTTTGTTTCTCTTTTGCTTATGTTTTTACAATTTCACTTATAATTTTTTCTTTCTTTTATAGCTCAATACCAAATATGTGTCTCTTTGTTTGGCTATACTCTGTCTGATATATCAAGGTAAGATATCATTATCTTACAGATCTTTGTTACTCATCATATTGTTTGTCTAGCCATTGCTACTCATTTCCATTGAGTCTCATCATCTCTTAATCGAACATGATGGTAAGTTTTTTTCTTAAAAAAAATTCAAATTATTCTTTTGTCTTCCTCATAGATATATATTTATTTTTATTATGATTTATTAGTTATGTCTAATATTATGCACGAAGACGTATAATCAGTAATATTTGGTAAGTTAACTACAATATATTTAATAAATACGCCTTTACTACGTACAATATTAATAATTATTCATTTTTAGAATGTATCTCTATTCAAAGACTACTGGTATTGTCTTGATAATTCTGAAAAACATGTTTATATCAATTTTATGTCAAGTCTTCTCCGCCTTGTAAGTATTTATGAAGAAATTTCAATTTAAATCATTTACTAATTCTTCTTTTCTATTAATCATTTTTTAATAGCATTCCCGCTATTAAAGTATGTATTCCATGTCTACTCCCGGAAGGCTTTAAATTATATATAGCGAGCAAGAAGTATTAGCGATTATAATAGCTATAGTATCAAAACTGTCGCGAAATTAGGATTTTTATCTAGAAAAGATTTTCCTATCAAATAAAACAAAATTGAACAAAAAAGGTATAACCCAATGTTTTTCCAAAAAATAAATAAATAAAAGTAAAATAAATAAACAAACCAAAGAGGCTTGTTTATAAAAATCTACCCATGCTTTGTTTCTCTTTTCCATTGTAAAAAAACTTAGTTTCATTGCTTTTGTGTGTATAAAAAACCTAGTTTCATCACTTTGAGCATGTATAAAAAACCAACTATCATCATTTCTTTATATTGTAAAAAACCTACAATCATCTCTTTGATAGTTTTTAAAGCATTTCTGCAGCCAATAAAAAAACCGGTAAAAATAATAATATGGGACGCTAGCTCTTTATAGACCTCAAAATATAACACATAAAGAGGTAGACTCGATAGGAGTAAAGCGTAACTACAATATTTATTCAGTTTCCATAGTTTGCGGACTGACAATCGTTCTACATTGGGTTTTCGTGTACCCGTTGTTATGATGATATGCATCAGCACCATAGATGATATCGTACCATTGCTCAAAATGATATATCACAAAAATTGTGATGATATTGGCTCAATCATCTACATTTTTGGTACATTTGATCCAGATGAAATTACTCTATTTTTCCAGTGATAGTAGCCTGCCATGCCAAGAAAGATATGGACCTCGTTCACATTACGAGGCACAGCCAAAGCCAACAACTTCTCAACATTGCGAGCACATGGGGAGAGACCTGAACCAGACACAACATGACTGAGATACTTGACCAACGGCTGCACAAAAAAGCACTTGCTACGCTTTAGCTTGAGATTCGCTTTCTTGCATGCCTCAAAGACCAGGCCCAGGTGAGTCTCATGTTCCTCCAACGTCTTGGAAAAAATAATAATATTATCAATGAAAACATAGGCGAAATCGCCCAAAAAGTTCCCCAAGATCTTGGACATTGTTCTTTGGAACGTGGACGGAGCAGAGGTCAAACCAAAGGGCATCACGGTGAACTGAAAGGTCCCTTGACAAGTTACAAAGCCAGTGTGCTTGATTGACTCCTCTGCTACCAGAACCTGCCAGTAACTGCTTGTTGCATTCAGAGTGGAGAAAAAGACCAAACCACCCAGCGAGTCCAGAAGATCATCAATATGTGGAAGGGGGAAAGCATCCTTGATGGTGACCTGATTGAGCTTGCGGTAATCTACGACCAGACGCAGAGACTTGTTGCACTTCCAAATGAAGAAGACCGGAGAAGTCCACAAACCACGCAAAGAACAGATAAGCCCTAAGGCCAACAGATTATCCAACTCATGTTTCAGTGACTCGTCCTCCTCCCAAGTCAAGAAGTATGGCCTTGAACGAATTGGCTCCAAGGAAGACACCAGAATCTCATGGTCCAGAAGGTTGACCCAACCCAGACCGGAATTCTCCACAAATGCATCTTGATTTGCATTGACAATACTGGCAATCCCAGAGGGGAGACTCTCGACCTCAGCTTCAGAAACTGATAGCACTTTCTTGACGTAGTCGAGCAACTGCTCCTCACCTCAGATATCTTTTAACGTGGGCCCTATTCCCACGACAGACTCCTCTTGGACATTGACAGAGTAGATTGGCGCAGAGAGAGAGATGGGGGCGAAATCCTTTGCCTGACCTTGCAGCTCGACCGTACCCAACCCATGCTTTGTGGGGATGACAATGCAGGCATCATTCAGGCGTAAGTGAATACCATAGGCTCAGAACCAAGACATTCCCAGGAGACACAGATCGTGATTGGAGCCACTGTTCTTGATACACATGGTGTCAGGTCTCAGTTTCCCAGTGACACGAATTGTGACATTGACAGTTATGTTGCATGGGGCATGAGCCTGACCATCCAAGGAAGAGAGAGGCAGATGATCACTGTTGGGGACCAAACTGAGACGAAGAGCCAAAGCCTTGCTGATGACAGACACGCTGGCACCCAAGTCAAAGATTGCCAGGATAATCTGACCATTGATGGTGATAGGAGCTCTCAGGGGTTGACTGGACGCAAAGTCTTTATAGTTGTAATGATAGTTGTAGACTGTGTCGTTGCTGTCATACCCATCGAGCTTGCTATCGCAATCCAGGTTTGCTGCATTGGTCTCCAGGGACTGAGTTTCCCAATCGTCCAAATAGAAAGACTCGCCATCTGACGACTCCTCTTGATGCTGGACCATGTTCACCCCAGGGGCAACGACCTTCCACTTCCAACCGGATAGAAAACGCAACCCGTCCTTGACGTCCTTGGATGCACACTTGTCCAAGAGGAGCTAATCGGCCAGAGGAAGACCGGCATCCACACTTTTCAGTCTCTCCCAGACATCTTTGCGGCTGATGTGCACTGGGAGTTCCCTCAGAGGCGGACGCAAATGATGGGGCTTGGGGGCCAAAGGGGAAGAACCAACAGGAGGGGAGAGGTCCAGAGCCGGAGTCATATAGGTATTGTTGGTAGGGAAAGTGTTGAGCTGACCCTGTGCATATAAGTGCTGTTTAAGCGGTGGAAGCGTGTTTGAGAGAGAGTGTAACGGTACTGTTTTGTCAACAGCCTTTCCTTTGTTACAAGTATACAGACCCTTAGAAGACAACAGGTCAACCACCCTAGCACGTTTGGCAGCATACACCGGAGCAGTCTCAACCATGTTGATAGCAGCGTCCTCAGAGACAGACACCTTAGGTTGATTATGGGCATCAGCAAAACTTACTGATGCCCTTGGCCTTTTCCCAAATCATTGTTGTTGTTCAAACGCTTGGGATAATCGGGTTTGATATGACCCTCTTCCCCGCACCAGAAACATCAATAAGTTTGAGGACCAGAAGAGCCAGCCAAACCAGACACAGGACCAGAGCCACCAAAACCAGACCCACAAGGACCAGAACCAGAGAACCCACCAGAACCACCAGGACCACCAGAACCACCAGGACCAAAACTATCAAGACCAGAACCACCAAGACCAGAACCACCAGGACTAGAACCAGAGCCACCAAAGTCAGACGAACCAAATCCAGAAGAGCCGGAAGTTTGAGAGAGGGGATAACAAGTGTCAACCAAATGGATCTTCATAGATTTGAATTCTTGAATGAGTTTGGAGAGAGCATCCTCCACGAAGGAGTTCTTGGACACCAAACCTTGCCCGGAGAAGTGACCAAACTCGGGGACAGAGCGCAAACCAGAACGATGATACTTCTCTTTGACTGTCTCTACCTTGGCGGCTTGTTGAACCAACTCGTCCCAGGAGCAAGGAAGACCAGACTTCTCCACCTCATAAGCAATCTCCAGATGAAGAGCCTTCAACAAAATCCGGATTATTTGGGTCTCATTGGCCAAAGCAACCAGATCAAAGAGTTCCTGCAGGCGGAGGGCCACCTCACCGATGGTTTGTCCCAAGCCTTGTCTGGCTTCATCGATTTCCATCCACCAGACATCTTCCATCTGCCGGGAGGCAAACTGCTTCTTGAACTCCTCAGAGAAGACTTCCCACATTGTGACTTCGGTCTCACAGATGGCCCACCACATGGCAGTCATGCCACGGAAGTGGGTGGCCGCCACCAAGATTGCTTCTTCATCAGTCATACCAACACCTTTTTTTAGTCAATCCATATGTAGCAACCAGGAGAGAGACTCACCATTTGGGCCACCGACAAAGATTTCCAGAGCCGAGAGGTACTTGGAGATGTTGGATGATTTACGTTCTCCCATGGGAGCAGGAGAAGAAGAAGGGGGCATATTGCATAGCACAGTTTGAGTAAGATAAGTTTAAAAAAAAATTGAAGAAGAATTCCTTGGCACGACCTCCAATTTGACGCGTGATGTGATTGTTTGTTGTGGATTGTAACAGTATCACTTGGCAAATAAATGTAATGTGAATTACAAAATACAAGAAGAAGAATACAATAAGAATGGAAAAGAATGGGTGATTTGACAGGTAAAAATTGGTGACAGACAGGTAGAAAAATAGGGAGAAGATTTAAAATGGAGATTGTGACAACGACAAAGTCTAAAAAAAAACAGAAAAGGGAAAACAGAGAAATGAAATATATCAAAATCGATAGACAACACTCCAAAGAGCAAGGACACTATGTATGAATGAAGAATAATGATAATAACGGGTAAAAATAAATAAGATCAAGGATAGAATTGATAATTTTATTGATTGGAAAGGTTGTTCCTTTTATAAATAAAAATGTTTGGTTAAAATATTTTTTTTGAGGAAAAGAAAAGAAAGTCAAGTGAAAATTTTTACTACATGTAACTGGTATTGATAGTAGAAGTAGAATAGAAAATTATAGAGAGAGTAAAATAAAAGTGTAGTAAAAATATAATAATTGAATAAAGATAAAGTAAAAATATAGTGAGGTAGAATAGAAGTAAAGTAATAATATAATAACGATATAATAAAGTAAAGTAAAAAAATATAATAATAGTATAATAATGGAATCTAATAAAATGTAATAAAAAATAGTGTAAAATAAATGTTGGTGATAAAGAAGTGTATAAAATTAGGGGAAAGAGGTATAATGTTTTTAGTGGGTGACAGGTGTTTCTGAGGTGACGATGTAGATGGGTATTTTAATTTTAAGGAATGAGATTATATTAGGGGGTTTGAGTATAGGGGTATCAGAAGCAAGATTTCCCAAGAAACCTGGGGGACCACTCTTGTCCCTTGAGACACGTCACTCGGTCGACTCACCATCGACATCAACGCCCACGAGTCCAGTACCACCCGTCACGGCTCACCACCAGACCAAACTACCAAAGGAATCCACCGTCCAGTATCCCTCACCAGAAATTGGTTATTGCTTAATTACTCTACCACACACCTAATGAAAGAGAGATGCCCGGCTAGCTCAATCGGTAGAGCGTGAGACTCTTAATCTCAAGGTTGGGGGTTCGACCCCCCCGTTGGGCTTTCCAAGCATGCTGTGCAAAGCATTTTTTGTGCTTGGCATTTTGTTGGGCATTATTGTGAAGTTGTTGTTCCTGATCTGGGATGGTCTTCCTTTTACTATATCAAAGTCAAAAGGTCAAACCCACTGGGGATCGGAGAGTATATATAAAATCGAAGAGAGGATAAAATGTACTTTTTATTGATAGGAATTGAATTGTCTTATATAGTTTTCTAAACTAATACTGCGCATTATCCGCAGTAAACTATTATACTCTATTTAATTACAAGAGAAGTCCTTTTACTGCGGTTGATGCTCAGAAGATGTTACTGTGGTTAATCTTTACAAGACATTACTGCGGTTCGTTATCTATGAGGTATCTTTGACACACAGAACTGCTGTGGTCAATTATCCCGATTTCTCGGATTCATCAAAATAATGTCCGACAAAGTCTTGATCTGGTATTTCTTTTCTGGCACTTGTAACTAAGTCACAGAATCAATACTACTGGGGATTGTTAAGTTTTAAGAATAGTTTTTTTGATAAGAATAAAGATGCTTTTTATTAATTATATTTCTTGACTATTTATACAAAATGATGAGATAGACCGGTTGTCCCCATTGAGACAGTTCAGAAAGCAATAACCATACTATGAAAAGAAAAAAAAAATTGTTTGTCTGAGTTTATTTGAATATTTTGGTATTATAAAGATTTAATACTAAAACAGAAACAAATGTAGCCCATATAAAAGTTGAAAACTTTTGTTAAAGTAATATAGCAATACTTGCATCTGTTGTTTATTTTCTTTTTTCTTTATTTTATATATTGAATAGTCATCTTGTAACATATATTATAATCTTTGCTGTCAAAGTTTCTTGTATGATTTTATAGTCTTTTCAATTTAAAATAATTTTTTTCAGATCTCATCTACATAATGGCTTAAAGGTTGAATTTGGTAAAATCAAATATATTTTATTTTTATTTTTTGTATTTATAATTTATGAGGCATCCATCTTGAAATTCACTTTGATGTGGAGGATGCTGTTCTTGCCAGACTCCACCCAATAAAAACATAAAGCCAATTCAGATCTAAAGAGAAAGAAAGGAAAAAGAGAAAGAAATTAATAAATTGAGATTTTAGTCACACCCATACTTTAAGAGCATACTTATGCTTGGCCTGGATCATTGCCATATACATGAGTTGACTCTTGAATGTGGGACGACCCCCCCCCCCCCCCCCCCCCCCCCCTCACAAGCACAGACAAAGATGCAGGGCCACTTGAGCTCTAAAAAAGAAGAGAAATAAAAAAACCAAATAAATTACCTTTGGAGTTATAAAAGATGCTGATAGTGACCTTTTGTTGATACATATTATTATCATTTTAAAAGCAATTGCATAGTTAATTATCAATTGTATATTATAGTAAAGAATAATACTCCCTTCATAACTTCATTGGGCTTGAGATGCTTGGGGCTGAGTGCAACAGCCTCTAAGAATCCAATGATAGGGTCTTGGTCAGAGGAGCTAGATTATATATATATATTATATATTGGTTTAGATTAGCACAGTATATGGAACGTATTCTCTGTACTTACATAACCCTTGTAGGAAGTTTTCCAACATTCTCCTACCAAGATACAAAAGACTCTGCAAATTTCTTGCGGAGATACTCTCTATAATTCGTCAAATCCAAGATCATAGAAAATATTTCTGGAAGTGGAGTCTGATTCAAATATATTCAATGAGTTACAGAATATTTGTAAAATGATATTTATGTAGTTTGATGAATATTATCTTTGTGTCAAGCTGTTGCTTGATATCCTTGAAAAGGTATAAGAGCTCGGTCAATGAGCTCTTTATCTTTGTGGAAAGATAGAATCTAGGGGGTGGGCTTAGAGTACAGTCTGTAATCAAGATGATTACATCAATGACATTTATGCCATCTTCCTGGCACTGCCCCCAAGATACTCAATAGTTGCATCGTTAATGCTGCATGTTGTGAATGAGTATTAATTACTGCTGAATCTGAAAGTAAGATTGAAAGATAAAATAATATCCTCAGCTATTCCAGTCAAACGGATCTCCCTTTATGATATTATCTAATACACAGATCATCATATACATAATTCATTATTTATTATTATCATCATGACATGGGATATATATACTGTAAAAGACTGCTGATTTTAGTTTCTGAAAACCTGCAAAAATTTTACTACAATTTTCGATTTTTAATTTTTTCAAATAATTTCTATTTTTTTCTGTTGTGATTTCAGATCGCTCTTTTTTAGCTGTAAAATCACACTACCATCATTTTTTTTAGCCATAAAATTACAAAATTGGGGTTTTTTTTTATATTATACACTTCTTTGATATAATTCTAAATTACACTAAAAAAACACTTATACAAAAGTTAATATAATATTTAATAAAAATTATATATATTCTTAAGGTTTCACTTTTTCTATTTCAAAATAAATCATTTAAATATTTTTTATGTATTATAAATGTGAATATAAGAACAAATATTTAATCAATATATTTCAAGGGAACAAGACAAAAGGTTGTGATTTCATTTTTACTGTGGCAATATTTTTGCGTGATTTTTCCCTTTGATATATGGAACTAAAATATCAGATTTTTTTATTTCACATGTTGTGAGAGGCGAATGTTCCATTTTTGGATTATTTTTCGTCGTGGTCGGATCATCGTCATATCAAATATTATAATTCTAAAAAAAGACTTTTAAAAAAAATTGCATACACTTTTAGTAATGTACGCAGTATTTGACTTGGTTAATGACTTAATGATATATGAGTATAATTATGATGATATGTGCGATAGATGTATCAAAGAATTACTTGGCATACTATAGTCATGGCATGGAGCAGTATTTTATCTATTTATAATTTTCTTTGGTATATAAAGACCTTGATCAAGATCTCTTAGAATCTATATAATTTTTTTTATAATTTAAAACAATCGACATGTCCAATAATCAAAAGAAAGACAGTTATGTTATCTGCAAATGTCCAGACTGTACAAAGTTGGATAGCTGTGGAAAGAAACAGAAAAGACAAAATGCACAACGACACTATGAGAAACATATAGTGCCTGTTGCCAAAGACGATGCAATGGGTAAATAACAAGAATAACTCGAGCTGTACATGTAAAATTAATATAAATTAATCCATAAAATAGATGTTCCTGAAGAACATTTTGATGACATGGAAGTAGATAGTATTGACAGTGACAATGACAATGATTATGATTACGAGAACGAAGGCAAAGACGAATATGAAGACGAAAATGAAGAACAAAACATTGAATTTGATCAAGAAGGTAAGAAAATAAAATAAAATAAATGAACAAAATAATAATTGAAACTGATATATATATTTTTTATTTTTTATTTTTTATATGATTATAATTGTAATTATATTTTTATTTCTACATCTTTACAACAATTATTCCTTTTCAGTTGACTTACCTTTGTCCCAAGAAGAGTCCATCTTTACTGCTGAAGATACAATTATAGGAGCATTTGTGGTTGATGGTGATGAGATTGAAGAAGGCAATACCGGTTTTGATTTTGAACAAGAAGAAAACTTTGATGAGACCAGTGGGACCTCGATAGTAGAATCAGGTATGAATTAATACAGTATAGACAATTAATCAATATATTAATTTAAACTAACTTAACCTTTGTCTTCATAGTTCGTCCTTTGTCTTTTGATAACATGCCCTTGTATATCTACTTTGTTGCAGTATTCATTGTCATATTTCACTTGATCTTTTTGGTGGAAAGTGGTGGATCGATTCTCATTGAATTTTGTAATACTCTACTGTCTCTCTGTGATATGTCTGGCGCCCTTTCACTGACAATCAATAGCTTGAAGCATAAAACAGGATTTAACATGGCAACAGACGGAATGACAGTATACATTGCATGCTCACAATGTCATTCGATTTATCCTCCAGAAACAAGTCAAAAAGTCTGTACATTTAAGAAATTCTCTCAATCTGCCATTTGCAACAACAATCTCTTTAAAGTGTCAACCGGAAATCGTTCTCTTCCAGCAATGGTACATCCATTCAACTCTCTGAAGTACGCCTTGCAACAAAAATTCTCCAAGCCAGATTTCGTGTCCAAGATCAATTTGTGGAGAAATTGTCAAATAATTGAAAACACCAAACTTAATATTTTTGATGGTGCAGTTTGGAGTGATATTAAAGACATCAATGGCAGACGGTTTGTTGATGATAGCCAATCTTTAATGTTGACTCTGAATATCGATTGGTTTCAGCCATTTGATAGACGAACACATTCCAGTGGTGCGATATATCTCTCTATCAACAATCTCCCACAGAGTGAACGCCTTAAGTCTGAAAATGTCATTCTTGTTGGTATGATGCCTGGGCCAAAGGAAGCAAGCACTGACAGCATGAATCATTACTTGAAGCCGCTCGTTGACGAATTGTTGGAGATGTACATTGGTGTAGAAATGACAGACTCACAAAATAGAAAGATTGTTGTTCGTGCTGCATTGATGTGTGTTGCCTGTGATATCCCTGCCACTCGCAAAACCTCTGGATTTACTGGCCACATGAGCACATGCGCCTGTCACAAATGTCAACGACAATTCACGACTATAAAGAAGACCAGCAAGCTTGACTACTCTGGATTCAAGTATAGCAATTGGGTGAGACGCACGAAGACAATAAATCTGGAACACACTGTCAGCTGGGCAAATACATTGAACAATACTGAGCGAACACGCCTAGAAAAAGAAAACAACACTTGGTGGTCAGAGCTTCATCAGTTATCTTACTTTGACCCAGTCCACTTTACAGTTATAGACCCGATGCATAACCTCTATCTTGGAACTGCAAAGAGAATGATTCAGATATGGTACGAGTGTAACTACATCAATGAAAAGAATCAGTTAACTATGCAAGAGCTTGCCAATGGTATTGTTGTACCTTGTGGATATGCGCGTATAACAAAGAAGATTGCTGATGGTTTTTCGTTCATGAAAGCTGACGAGTGGAAGTCATGGTGCATCATATACTCTCCATTTGTTCTGAAGCATGTGCTCTCAGCCAAGAATCTCAAAAGCTGGATTTTGTTTGTTGACGCATGCCGCTTACTCACAAAACCTTCGATCAATGACAAAGAAATAGACGAAGCCCACAGTAAACTCCAATTGTTTTGTACAAGATTTCAGACACTGTATGGAAAATCGGCCATGACACCAAATATGCATCTACATCTTCATCTTGGCAAGTGTGTTAATGACTTTGGGCCAATTTATGCTTTCTGGTTATTCAGTTTTGAGAGATACAATGGTTTGTTGAAGAATATTGAAACAAATCAAAAAGGCGGCTTCGAATCAACAATGATAAAGAGATTTTTGGAGAGAACATACATTGGCAGCTTCATACAATCTTTCATCAACCATCTTCCCCAGCTCGCAATTGACTTTCTGCATCGCATTTCAAATAGTCAAGATCAATTAGCAGCATTGCATCCATCTTCTACTGCCAGTACCTTTTCTCTGTCTGACTTTGTTGAATATTCGTTAAACCCTTGTCATTCTGCTTTGGGTTGTGAGCCGTTACCCCCTTCAGTGTTTCCGATTAAACTTGACCAAAGGATTACAATGTGCAAGGGACATTACGAATGTTTACTGGAGTTTTACAGACACGCGTATGGCAGTCACGATCTTTTTAGCTATTATTTAAACTGCGAGTCTAACCAGATTTTTGTCAATAACCGAATTGAGAAAATGAAATGGATATCTCTTCTTGAACAGGAATACTCTTCTGGATCTTATTTCTGCGCCTATTATCTTGAGAATAACAGTGAAGATAAAGCAGTGTTTTCTGGCCGTATACTGTATTTATTTCAACATTTGATAACCATCAACAAAACTGTCATCACCCATACTTTTGCGTTTGTTGAGTAGTACTCTAGTTATTCTTCAGAGAGTTACCAGCCAATGTTAAATGAAGGAATTGAGCTCTGGAATGAACCTTCTTCTGTACTTAATTATGAATGTATTATTCCAGTACATCATTTATATTCACCAATCGCAATTGCTAAATATAGGTTTACTATAACTAGTAAATTTAAACGTTTAGTAATCCCTTTACCCCAAAAAATAGAAGCTTAAATAATATTAATAAAATACCACTTTGCACTCTTTTATCAATTTATTAGAAAATGTTTGATTTATTGTCTTATTGTTTCTTTGACCATGATGACAGCTTGTTTGCCTTGGTCTTGCTAAGCTGCTTATCTCTTATTCCTTTAAATTTATGCTTGAATGGATGGGTATTATTTTTCTTATCATGAGCTGCCTTATAATTCGCAGCAAGTTCATCAACAAACCTATCTCCCTATATGTCAATGTAAGTATTATTACACACCATCCAAAAAAATAGTTTTTTGTACTATACCTCTTCGCTTCTCCAGCTTGGGCAGAATCTCCAAAAAAAACTCTTTTCTGAGAACGAATCCTGTTCCTCTTCTTCTCTTTCGTCATCACTCTCAAGGTCTGACATGTAATCAGCATGGAGAATACTGTCAACATTCTCTCCAAAGCTGTTCACAAAGTGTGTCCGATTGGCTTTCAAAGCAGATTGTCTTCTTTTACACGACTATATATAAATATATAATATTTCTAATTTAATATCACATCTAGTATATTGTGTGCATGTGATTTTTACCTTTACATGTTGCTGATGAAGACAGGCCCGTCGATTGTCTTCCTGTTTCTTTTCTCCTGTTTTTTTTTCTTGCAACTTTCTGTTGCCAATGTGCCGCACAATCTTAGTTCAAAGAGTTGACAAGTCCACCTTTTTCCCCTCTTCTTGACAATGAAGGTAATCGGTAACAGACTTCAGAACGAGTCTGTTTCCCTCACTGCTTTTATTTTCATTGGTATTGTATTGGTCATACAATTTCTCTTCACTCAAATAATTGTGCAACAATTGCTATAATATAAATGTATATTAAATTCTATCTACATAAAAACATATTATAATTACTTACATCTAATGTTGATTGATGTTCAGGCGACATGTCTTGCTCAACTGCATTACTAGCAGTGGCTTCGGCTTTCTCAGAAGATGTGTTCTTCAAAACAGTGTTTAAGACACCATTCATGGTATCAAGTTTCTCGTACACATCATGGATGTTACGAGTTCTACCCGACGAATCACCTTCAAGATTCAACCAAGCTCTCTTTGGTGCTAGTGGTCTTTGATTGCTCACTGTTCCCTGTGAGTGTTGCAACATTATTGTCTTTATATTATTAGTATTTCTTGGTGGGCTTTTTTTTGATTTTTATAAAAAACGAAAATAAAATTAATATAAGAAAATTGAAGACTGCCTGGTTTTAATCTACCTTCCCACAGAAGGTTTTTCACCAAAAGCATTGTTAACTGAATTGTTATTGAGATTTCTTGACATTGTGAATAATAAGAATAGCTTGTTTTTTTTAAATCCAAAGAGTCTATTTATATTATGTTTAATTTGGGCTTTAAGTTTTATTCTTTCTCAGAGAACACCATGATCTATTACGTAACAAGAACAGCTTTGAATGTTTCCACTCTTGTTGTGAGTATTTTATGTATTTCTTTAATTTAATTTTTAATCTATGTTTTATTCTTATATTATGTATTAGTATTTGAATAATATGATTTTATACTATACTCTGTTTTTCATATGTATTAGCTGCTGGCATAGTGCAACTACGTTTTCTTTCAATTCTAAGTTACAGACAAAAATTATTTTTTGATTTATTTATTTTTAAAAAAACCCGAATTCGTATTTAATAGAATAACTGCGCCCCTCTTTTTTATTTTCTCTTTCTTTAACCTGCTCTTCTCGTTTTGTCTCTTTTTATATGTCTTGGTAAGCTTACTCTTAAGATCTCAACTTTTATTAATACTTTTGGCTTTTAGAATCATCTTAATATATATTAGATAAACAATACACTCAACAAGCATTCAAAGCAGTACAGGTAATAAACAATCTCCTAACCAAAATGAAATACCTTGTTGACTAAATATCTTTTATTTTTAAAATGATAGGGCTTCTTCCTATTTTGTAATAAAAGATGTTTTGCTCTTGACACTATATACTTTCTGGTATTTTCAGTCTATGAAAAAGTAATATATATATAACTCAACTTAAATAATGTAACTTATCAATTCTTCTCAGATAAATATGTCACGCCTTTTTTTCAAGTCATACTGGTTTGCCCCCTTTTGCAAACGCGTGTTTATAATATGTAAGTAATTCAAGTGTCTTTACAATCAAAGCGTACATATTAATAAAGTTGTTTATTTTATTTCTTGCTTTTTATTTAAAAGAAAATATCAATCAAATGGATTTTTATTCTATTGCGAGATTTGTTATGAACCCCCATAAATGATTTAGTAAGTATGTTATTTCATTTTATTTCATAAAGAAACCTGTATTAATATTTCTGTATCTTTTTTTGCTCTAAGCTAATGTAGTTCCAAACAAACGTATTCTCCAAGAAAATACCAAGGATTTCATTTTCAGTTAAAGAAGTGTAAAACCAAAAAACGCGCCAAATATATGAAACCAATAAGGTAGGGAAGTATAGTATAAGTCGGGTCATTCAATGTATTCAAGCCGTCTAATAAATGAAAGTATAACATGTATACAAGTTGTACTATTCGGATACACACTTTTAAAGAAGTATTAGTGGTCCATATTAAATAGCTAAATGTATTTTCCAACCATTCAAAAATCAATAAAAACTATTTTTCTATGAGATTCTATTTCAAATGTGTCCTCTCTTGATGATGTCAACAAGATCTATTTAAGTTTTTTTTTACAATCATTCATTTGAATGCTGGTTCCTGTCAGATTTCAGACTGATTCTAGGTTGATTTTAGTGAGGTCTATCCAATAATATCAGGTAATTAACGCAAATAAAATTTTTTAAGAGGTAGAGAGTTCAAAGCCAATTCCATAACAAGTAGGGTTTAGGTATGGTTTGAAGTTATGGGTGAATATATAACCAGAATTACAGACAATTATAACATTTCAAGAAAAGGGGGAATTATAACTCTCAATTTATCTATTGTTTTTAGTATCTATAATCTCATCATTTGGTTAACTAAATGAACCAATTTTTGTAACAAATACCAAACTATAATTGAATATAAACCACCAATTTTTGGAGGATTTAAACAAATATTAAGCTACTTAAATCGGTTGTCTTTTGCAGTGACACATCACTCGGCCAACTCACCATCGACATCAATGTCCACAAGTCTAGTACCACCCGTCATGGCTCACTGCTGGACCAAACCACTGAAGGAACCCACTGTCCGGTGTCCATCACCAGAAACTAGCCAAAGCTAGAGATACCTACAACACATGTGATAAGTGACGCGTGATATGTTAGGTTTGTTGTAGATTGTAATGGATCACTTGGCAAATAAAATGCAATAATAATAGAATAGAACAGAAGATGGATACAGCAAAAGGCGGCAAGCAGCAATAGTTGACAGGTAAGAAAAGAGAGAGCAACTGATAGAATCGTTGTTAAAATCAAGAGAGAGAGAAAGGTATATGAAAAGAGAGTTGTGGTGATCCAGACACTTGGTTGTTGGATTTATTACATCTAAGAACATATTCCTATTATTATAGTAAAACAGCTATCATTACAAGAACAAATGAATAATTTATTTATTTTACTTATGGTAAATCAATAAGACCAATAATTAATTACAGTAAGTACTGTAATTATAACAGCTCAGTAAGCACTGAGTTAATATGAGGACACTGCAATTAGATTAAATTATAAACATAGTAGTACCAGCTCTCTAATATCTAAATGAACTCAGACTTAAGAAATTAAGATGTGACTGACAAAGCAGATCATGTTTTGATATAAAAAGGACAACTTTGTATTCTTTAATAAAGACAACCTATATACAGTCTCAAAGTATTCTTATATATGTCTCAATCTTTTTTACTGTTGATTTTATTCTATAAAACTTTACAAGAATGACAAAACAGAAAAGTAATAACCAATGAGGAGACCAAAACCGACAAACAACCTTCCTAAAACCAAGGAACTAATATGTTATGTCGCAAGATGGTATAGACCACAAAGAGAAGAAAACAAGAAAAAGATACTGAAACTGAACCAAGGATTGATTGATTGAGTTGAATTTTGCTTCTCTTTTTATAGTTGACAAGATTTTAAGTTGATAATAGAAGTTCAGAAAAATATAGATAGTAAAAATAGAATGATGAATAATTGATACAGCAAGGACAAAATATATGAATAAAAATACGGTAAAAATATAATAATAAAGGTGCTCTTCAGCAATCTTGGTATAATTATTTTGGCTATAAGAAAAAAACAGGAAATTACAAATAAAGTAGAGAGACTGCTTTTTATAGTAATCATGATACACAGTCATAGATTTCACTCCAAAAACTAATGTGAAACATCTAATTTAATTGGTGCAAAACCTTGGGAAACTACTTGGCAAAACTATATTCAAGGGGCGTTGATATAAATGGAAGCAATAGAACCAATTATAGTTTACTGAAATACCTGCTCGCTTTCAAATATTTTAATATGTCTTTTGCCTTTGTTCCTGTAATATTTACATAACAACACTCTTTTTTAAAACAAATATCCTATCAACAATGAACCCTACCTTTACCAATACCAACTCTATTCATCAAAATGTGTTGAATATAGTTCTTTTGCAAGAAATAACCATTTTCCAAGAAGTTTCTCAATCAGAAAAACCTAAACTGTTGGTCGTCCATCTGCCTGGAACAATGATATTATTAAGGTCCTTCTTTGCCTGATAATTGACACTGAGTTTTATGCAAAGCATGCCATCTTGAATAACTCTGGAAAGACAAGACTATGGCAGAAACTTCACAATGATTTCTGTAATCATCCGGATGTTGTCTGTTATGCAGCATCTCCTCTCAATGCCGGGTTCACTAGTAAATATGGAGCTGTCAAATATATAAAAGACAAGTTCCAGTCGATCAAGAAGGATTTCTGAAAGATTACTGCGGAAATCAGAAGAACTGGATCCGGTGGACCTCCTCCTCAAGAAAGCTATATCCACTTTGATGATATGAAGGAGATTATCTTGAGTGACCCCAGTTTCTTCCCATCGATGTTGATGTAGACAGGCCGTGTTGTTGACGAAGTTGTTGCTGAAGCTGTGATCAGTATCTGCCAAGATAATGATGTTACTTACAAGAATACCCAATTGACAACCTCTTCTTTTGTTTTGGAGGGACGGTCTGAGATAAGCCAGTGGTCTTACAGTACTCCCAATCCTGTCCCATCACCAAAACAAGGTATGGAACTAGTGTTGATATCCAGGACCAGAAGAACCATGCCATCTGAGCTCCAGCAAGCCTTCCTGGAAAACTCAAGAAGCCAAACTGACATCATGGCATCTATGCACAAACTTCTTACTATCAGGTATCAAAGACTTGAAGAGCTATATGAAGATACTCTTCAGCAGTATAGACTGGATGTGATAGCATCTCATGAAGCAAGACATTTGGATTGGGAGAGTAGAGAGCTGATTGCAACACGTGAATATAATAGACGAGTTATAGCTGATGAGAGAGAGGAAGAGTCAAGAAGGTCTCTATTGGAAATACTTTCTAGATGTAAAAGATCAAGAAGTCCATTATCTTCTCTCACTCGTATAAATGAGTTAAATTAATAAAATCATCTATTTTTTTTTGCTTTTTCTTATATAATAATATATTCATCATTAATTACCCCTTATTTATCTCATTAACAATATAAAAGCATAGCTTTTCAAATCATTTTGGTCCAATTTAAAACCTATTTTAAAGAAAATGTATAAATGTTTTATAAGACAATATATAAAGAATCTTTCTCTTCATCTCTTCTAAGTTTTCTCTCTGTACTAAGTCTAGCTCTTGATTGTGAAGAGAGTACTGGCGTAATGGTAGTATCATCATTGTCATTGTCAGAGCTGTCATCGTCATTATTATTATTGTTTATGATGTCTAAAGTTGTACCATCCATCTTATTAGTACGAGCAAATCCATATATTGCGGGTTCTTCATATTGTGAATCGTCAATGTCTTGTCACAACATATCATTAAGATACTCTTGGCTGTCTCCATACATAATATACAAATTATACAAGATACAACATACTGTTATAACTTCACACATTCTTTCTGTGGTAAGAACATACAGATGCTTAAACATAAACTGCTACCTGATTACAAGCAATCTGAATGCATTCTCAATAGCAAATCTGATAGATGATTGTATCTTGTTGAAGTGCTTTTCACATTGAACATTTGTTGAATGGCTATATAAGATCATGCAATGCTTAAGAATTGGATATGCTGAATCTGATATCATTACAGATGTACAAGTTTAGATATAGTGTAAATAATTATGTATTTATAAAAACATATTTCCTACTATATATGATCTTGGATCAGGAAAGAGTGCTTGGGGATTGTGAACTATATCATTATAAAGATAACTTGTTGTAAAGCTATATGTATCATTTTGACTACCTAATTATAGAATATTTTAGAAAGAGTAACATCTTTATTGTTTATCAATGTCATTTACCTGGATGTTCAACCTTGATCTTTGTGAACATCATTTTGTGATCACATATAGTCATAAGAGACATTGAGACATTACCATGTCAGTCAAGCCAGCTATTTCCAAATGAAGATGATTTCTGAACTACCACAAGTTTACCATCAATTGCACCAATACAGCTTTTTAAATAAAGATTCTCTGTTCCATGTGATACTTTAGCAAACCCTGACATTACTCTGCGACTTTCTCTAATAGTCAATGACTACTTGATTGTGTCATTCAAAAAGCAGCAGATCATAGCTTTCAGGAATCTTTCAATGAACTGGTAGTAAGCTGTCTGGCTGATATCAAAAATCCCTGATATCATTTTGTATTTCAGATGGGTGTTACTCAGGTGCCAGAGAACAATAGCCACCTGTTTTCATATGGGATGACTAGTATTTCCTCTTTCATTGATGCTTTGAACTCAGAGTCTCTGAATAAAACATTGACCATACAGTTAAATGTTTTTCTATTGATTCTATAATGATCACAGAAGCTGTTGATTCTAACTCTATTGTGTAAATGTGGGTGGCAAACTGTCTACCAATATATATTGCTTCCATCTAAGTTGGTGCATATTATACGTTCTACAGTGATATGCATAGGAGAACTAAGGTAGCAAACGGTTTGGAAATCATCTGTCATATAATTATTTTCAGCAAGTATTATATCATTATACATTTGAATCAATGTCTTGTGCATGTTCAACAGATGCTCTCTCATATGCTGTAAACATCTCATTTTAGTTTCTACTTCTTCATAATCTTCATCATTGTCAGATGCAATAGTTTTTTGAAATGAAAATTGAAGACTGTATACAGCCAAGATCTCAGTTTCTGTAAGGTTAGTGTTGATGTTCATTTTAAATATTTTGTAAGATAAAGGTAGTAAAAAGAGTAAAATGTATATAAAAAAAATATGGGGACGTTTTAGTAAAAATGTAGTTTAAAATTATTTTTATGATTTTAGCACCACTTCGAGTTATACTGAGTAGTTTCCCTTGCAAATTTGCGCGTAAAACTACTTGATAGAATTAACATTTTTTGGAAAGTAATTCATGATTTTTTGGTGTATAATTACTATATTTAGATAAAATTTTTCTTTATTACATAATTTTGAATTATATCGAGACCGCTGAAGAGCATCTTAAAGGTACTGATGTTGCGTGGAGATGTCAGCAAGATTAATTATGTGCATTGTAGAAGAGAAATGTTACTAGCATGGGAGACCATGATTTTGAATGAGTACAATGTAGACAAATATGTTAACAAGGGAAAAGAAAAAAGTATTGTGTATAGAAAGAACAGAGAATGGAAACGAGACTTTTCCTGTACACAGAAAAATTCTCCTCTTATCACCAAGGGCACAGCACCACATCAACAAACCGTTGACGTCAGCCTCTCATAACCGGGATGACACATCATGACAAACTGCTGGAGAAACTCACCAAACAGACTGACCTTCCAGTACCGGACACCACGACATGGCCAAACGTCAGACTTATTTACTACACACGTGGCATAAGTATGACTTCCTCAATGGTCTAGTGGTTATGATCCGTCGCTTTCACCGTCGTGACCGGGGTTCGATTCCCCGTTGGGGAAACTTTTACACACACAATTGGTGTGAACAGTGTCGGACATTATTTTGATGAATCCGAGAAATCGGGATAATTGACCGCAGCAGTTCTGTATGTCAAAGATACCTCATAGATAATGAACCACAGTAACATCTTCTGAGCATCAACCGCAGTAAAAGGACTTCTCTTGTAATTAAATAGAGTATAATAGTTTACTGCGGATAATGCGCAGTATTAGTTTAGAAAACTATATAAGACAATTCAATTCCTATCAATAAAAAACATCTTTTATCTTCTCTTTGATTTTACGTATACTCCTTGATCTCCAGTGGGTTTGACCTTTTGACTTTGCTATAGTAAAAGGAAGACCATCCCAGATCAGGAACGACAATTGGTAGCTGAAGCTATTTTTCCTCTAACAAGACCTTTGATGAATCCGGTTGAAAGACACCAAGACATATTTGATAAGAAGACCCTTAGCCAATTCGAGATTGAAGAACGAGTCCAGGACTTGTTACCCAGCGAATTAGTAAACGACTACAAGAAGAATCGGCGTGTTCCTCATATCCCTGAAGAACAGCATATTAAGAAGACCCCTGCCCGAGAACAGAAGTGGACCAAACTAGCTACAAAACTAGCCGCAACCTTAACAGGAAAGAACAAACAAGAACAAGAAGAAATAATGGCCCCCCAAACTGCCACTCTAACAGCCGAAGCAATTGCTGCTGCCGTTGCCGAAGCAATGAAAGCAATCATGGTGCAGCAGGAGGCCCGTGCTGAACGAATCAAGCAACCTGATTGCTTTCATGGAGAACGTTCTGCCACAGTAGTGGATGGTTGGCTGCGCGCAGTCGAACGTTACACCAGATACTACAATTTTTCTGCAACAAAAGCCTGTGAATTTGCAGTGAATCTGTTGTGTGACAGAACAGACACATGGTGGAGACGCATGGAAGTAAAGGACAAACATCCAACAACCTGGGATGAGTTCAAGATGGCTCTGTCGGGAGAATTTCGTCTAGTCTACTCACTACAGACGTCCAGGGACCGCCTTGCTCGACTATACCAAACAGGAACAGTCGCAGAGTACATCGACGCGTTCCACGACATCCAGTTGGAGTTACCTGGAATGAACGATGAAGAAGCCCTTGACAAGTTTGTCCGCGGACTTCACCCCACCATATGAGGAAATGTTCTTGCCGCCCAACCTGTCGACGTTGACAATGCCTGCAACATCACTTTGGCATATGCCAGTGGCCTCCACTTGGGGCAACAGAACAACTACGCACCCATCCCCCAACCATACCAACAGACGTACCAACAGCCATACCAACAGCAGTACAGTGGTCCCGAGCCCATGGACCTGGATGCGATTCAAGGTCGCCGTAATAACTACCGATCTTGCCCCCCTCAGAAATGTAATGTGGCTACTTGCCATTGGTGCGGCAAAGTTGGTCACTTCAAGAGGAACTGTAGGGATCGATTAGCAGCGATTAGACAGTTAGATGAGGCACGTAGCAAGAAGCAGGGTTTTCGTGAAACACAACTGTAATGGGAGGTCGGTTGTGTTCAATGGAAGAAAAATCCTCCCCACAGGCTAATAATATTAGCGAAACTAGCAAACCAGAAATTAATAAAGACGTGTCTGAACAGTATACAAATGTTACCAATGAAGAGCCTGAGACTATGTCTGAAGAAAATTGTGACCCTTGTCTCACCGCTGACCAACATTTCTTAGAAGATCTCCATGCTGCCATGGACACAGACTTGCCCTTATACGCCGCTATACTTGACAGACAACAAATCCTGGTGTTAATTGATAGTGGTGCTAGTGCAAACTATGTATCACCCCAGATCGCCCATTTGGCCACACACATTTTGGATATACCCGGACAATCAGTCGAAACTGCAGGAGGACACAGCATTAAGATCCATCAGAAGGCAACATTAAACCTCTCTTTAAATAGATACACTGACACCATTGATGCTTTTGTATTTCCCACTAAATTCGACTTGATTCTTGGCCGCACTTGGTTGCAAATGGCTAAACCCGTCCCAGATTGGCATGTCGATAGCTGGTCTTTACATTGTGATGAACAAGAATTTATTTTGCGTCCTCATGGGCCCCGTCCTACTAAACCTCACCTAAACTATCTGATATCTGCAAAACAAATTGAGAAACTCTCTAGGAGAGAGGAGGCCGAATGCTTTTTGTTGCACATTAAGACAGAAAAAGAAATACATAATGATGAACACTGGATGAAATTAGTAAAAGAATTCGAGGACGTTTTCCAAGACGGTTTACCTGGATTACCGCCGAACCGTGACGTCCAACACGTTATAAACACTGGAGATGCCTACCCTGTCAATAAACCGCCATTCAAAATGAGCCCTCGAGAACTCGACGAATTACAGCAACAACTAAAGGAACTTCTAGACCTCGGCTTAATTCGTCCGAGTTCTTCGCCATGGGGTGCTCCAATTTTATTTGTTAAAAAGAAAAATGGTGAGATGCGCATGTGTGTTGATTACAGAGCCCCGGAACAAAGTTACTATCCGCAATAACCATCCATTGCCACGCATCGATGAGTGTTTGGAACGCCTTCGTGGAGCAAACCATTTCACCAGTTTGGACCTCAAAAGCGGTTACCATCAAGTGAGAATTCAAGACTCAGATGTGCCAAAAACCGCCTTTAACACCCGATATGGCCAATACGAGTTTCTGGTTCTTCCCTTTGGTCTCACCAATGCCCCACCGACGTTTCAGCATCTTATGAACAAAGTTCTTGGAGATTGTTTGGATAAGTTTGCCTTAGTCTATTTGGATGATATCCTAATCTTTAGCACGACACCAGAAGAACACGAAGAACATGTACAACATGTGTTAAACCGACTACGTGAAGCGAAATTAATTGCCAACCTTAAAAAATGCGAATTTAACAAAAACGAACTAACTTTCCTTGGATTCAACGTATCTGCGCAAGGCATCTTACCATCGCCAGACAAAGTAAAGACTATAAAAGAATGGACACCGCCAACAAATGTACAAGAAGTTAGACAATTTATTGGCCTTGCACAGCACTACCACCGCTTCATCCCTGGGTTTGCTGGAATCGGTGCGCCCTTAACAGACTTAACTAAAGGGACAGGACCAAAACGACGGCCTATCGTTTGGACGGAGACATGCCAGGAAAGTTTCGATTTACTAAAAGAGAAAATGAGTACTGCACCTGTATTACTTGCACCAGACATGGATAAACCATTCCGCATTGAAACAGATGCTTCAGATTTTGGTGTTGGTGCCGTATTAATGCAAGAAGACGAAAACGGAAGTTGGAAACCATTAGCGTTCGAATCGAAAAAACTCTCCCCTGCCGAAAGATCGTATTCTGCTCAAGAGCGCGAGTTACTTGGTATTCTACATGCCTTGCGTACTTGGCGCTGCATGATCGAAGGAAAACCGTTCACTGTATTCACCGATCACTTACCACTCAAGTATTTTCGCAGTCAGGTTAAGCCCACGCCTCGCCTGATAAGGTGGATTTCTGAATTCGAGCTGTACGACCCGATAATTCAATACAAACCGGGCAAAGACAATGGTGTCCCTGATGTGCTCTCTCGTCTCGATGGCCCAGAATACGATGCAACATTAATTAAATCAATGGAACCAGAATACCTGTACACCATACCAGACTCACAAACGTCCGACTGGCCAAAATTTTATGCACGAAAAGAAGATGAATGGCCAGAAGACATAAAAGAATTACTTCATTGGCAACGCAATAAGTTTGTGGTCCACAACCAAAAGGTTTTCCGTCTCGTTAAAATAGGTGACACGGTACAAGAAATTCGTTTTGCACTGTTTGCCAAGCATGCAGACTTAGTAAATAATTTCCACAATGGTTTCGGACATGCTGGAGAAACAACGGTGTATAATTTAATGAAGAAGCATTGGTGGTGGCCAGCCATGAGAAGTTAAATTCGAGAATGGTTATCGAAATGTCCTCAATGTCAATTGGCCTCAAACGCAGAACGCAACATACACCATGCCCCTTTGGAACCATTGGATATCCCCCCTGCTTTCTCTCGTTGGCATCTCGATTTCATTGGAGAACTTCCCACTACAATCAATGGAAATCGATGGATTTTGGTTGCCGTCGACTATGCTACGAATTGGCCAATTGCACGTGCTGTTCCTGCTGCTACGGGCGAAGCTATCGCCAACTTTTTGTACAAAGAAATAGTCATGCATTTTGGTTGCCCAGACGAAATTCTGACAGATCGTGGTGCAAACTTTATGTCACATATTTTGAGCTTTTACATTAAGAAAATTAAGCTCCATCATAAATTAACCTCAGCATTTCACCCACGTACTAATGGAAAATGTGAAAGGTTAAATGGTGTTCTTAAACAGATGTTACGTAAATATGTACATAGTGTCATTCACCGGTGGAACGAATATCTGGAAACAGCACTTTGGGCTTGCCAAATCAGAAAGCATCATACAACTGGGTTCAGTCCATTTTTCTTGACTTATGGCTGCAAACCTCGTATTCCTGGCGATCCCCTACGTCCATTTATGGATACATCTATCCCTGACGACCCGACCCTCGTATCCGATGGCGCTATCCCTTTTCTTCATAATCTCCAACAGGCTCGCAAAAATGCTGATGCTCGAGTAACCGCCAACAGCCAACAAGACAAGGAACGATGGGATTGGATCATGAAACCTCATCAGTTCGCAATTGGTGAACATTTGTTGTTGTGGCATGAAAACAAATTTGGACTAGAATATAACTGGATGGGCCCATATATTGTAGTAGATAAAAATTTTGATAAGAATATATACAAGCTCACAACAATGGAAGGTGTCCCTTATACTTCTTGGGTTCATGCTGATCGCCTCAAAATAGCCAAATCCGACGATTTTGACTGCATCTGGTATCACCCAACCGCTGCTCGTAACAATATGCGACGTGATCTAGCCATCGATTCCTCTTCCACCTTGCTGTTCTCGATGATAGAGTCTACCAGAGTTGACCGAGGACGATCAACAGTTTCGAGAGGGGGTGATGTTGGATATTATTTTGATGAATCCGAGAAATCGGGATAATTGACCGCAGCAGTTCTATATGTCAAAGATACCTCATAGATAACGAACTGCAGTAATGTCTTGTAAAGATTAACCACAGTAACATCTTCTGAGCATCAACCGCAGTAAAAGGACTTCTCTTGTAATTAAATAGAGTATAATAGTTTACTGCGGATAATGCGCAGTATTAGTTTAGAAAACTATATAAGACAATTCAATTCATATTAATAAAAGGTATCTTTTATTCTCTCTTTGATTTTACATATACTCCTTGATCCCCAGTGGGTTTGACCTTTTGACTTTGTTATAGTAAAAGGAAGACCAACCCAGATTGGGAACAACATTCAAAAAAAGGGCAAAAAAAAGATAAAACAAGTCCATCTTGAACTTAGGCAATCAGCTTTAATTGTGACTGTCCACTTGCACTGCCTTATTTTCTGCTGGTTCAAATTTGAAATTGAGGCTTTTTTTCTGTCAGAGGCTTTGCAAGTGGCTTTTTGAAAAAGTTAATTTTCTATTGGGGATTTCTTTATTCCTTCCCTTTTCCTTCTCTTTTCCTTCTCTTTATTTCGAATACAAATTAAACACCAATCTCAACATGTCCAACCCAATTATTTACGATATTTCAAACATTCAAAATGTTTTAGTCAACTCGTCTTTGGAGGGGATTAAGATGCTTCCTTTTAAAGTAGTCATACCTGTAAAAGTTAGTGAATGGAGACGTTGTCTTGACCAAATCAATACTCTTTGTTCAACGAAATGGAATAAAAAAAGATGTCTTGATTCAAAAGAATATATTTTTGGAGAAACACGTCAGTGTCATCGCGCAGACATATATATACCAGAGCGAGATTCACGCCCTGCACAAAAAGAATCAAAGGCATGTGGATGTAATGGAGCTTTGAAAATAAAGCAGTTCAAAAAGTCTCCTACTATTGTTACGTTCTGTATGACAAGGGACCATAACAATCATGTTCCTGGAGACAGATCAGAGATTAGAACTTTGCCCTTGCCTTTTGAAGCTATTAAGTTGATTGAAGATCAACTGAGAAGTGGAAGCAGCTGTAGAAGCACAAGAATATCTGTCCTTCAACAGATTGACAGCTGGGGTGTTGGTGTTAGAAAGCCAAACTATGAAGAGATATACAATAGAATGAAGAAGATGTGTTAAAAAAAGATAAAAAGAAGTTCGTATTTAACAGTTTTGGTAAAATGAAATAAAATAGATGACAAATTTGTTGTATATATTCAACTCTGATGAGAAGACATCTATTGCTATCTGGATGAATGAGAAATTGCCAGAAACAAATTGCGTTTTTACTGGAGACCTTCGTGTTAACAACATTGAAAGCAATCTTTTCGTCTTTGGCTTTCAATCCCCTGCCCAAGTGAGAGTTATGAGAATAGCTACATCATTCTGTCTTGACGCTACTCATGGCATATCAGCAAGAAGTGGAAAGGTCATGTACTCTTTAGTGACTCAACACAATGTAACTGGAAAATGGTCTCCTGTTGCTTACATGGTTACAAATGACCAGACAGTCAGGCCAATCAGCCAATAGCTTATGCATCTTCGTGAGAGAAGCTACTTCTGTCCTTTGAATATCACCATTGACTGTAGTATTCCCAAAGTTAATGCGATTACATCTGCATTTCCTCATGTTGCAATTCACTATTGTGAATTTCATATTCTTCATGCTTGGCAAACAAACCTCGACAATAAAGTAAGACTTGCTGCGTCATTTACATCAGCCCAGCTGGCAGCATACAAGCAGAAGTTAAAGAACAAGCTGAAGTATATCTTGATGGAGTCAAACAAAGAAGTATTTTTGACAAGAATCCTTGACTTCAAACGCGATATACCCGACCAGTTACACTTCTTGAGATACTTCGAAACACAATGGACTGGAAGCAAAGTATTGCTGAAAAGATGGGGGCGCCCTTATTTCGATGACTTGCATAGAAGATATTTGACAAATAACTATATTGAGTCATGGTATAACCAGCTTAAGACTATCTACTTTGGCCGTACTAGAATCAGAAGACTGGATTGCCTTGTGTTTATTCTTACAAACGATGTAGAGTATTTCTACAAACAAGAAGTGAATCGTATTCACTTAAACAATGGAAAGATGGGGCCGGTAGAAAACGAACTTGCAAGAAATGAATTTGCTGCATCCAAGATAGAAGATGACATACTCCCTTCTATGATCATCAGTCCATTAAATGTGATTAGTACTAGTATGGATGACTCTGATGGCGAGTGGCAAATCAAGTCTTTTACAAATGATACAACATGGTATTCTATCACTGTTGTAAATGATTTAATCGAATGCTGTTCATGGCCCAGATACATCTCCCAACAAGTGCCTTGCAAGCATTTATTTCTTCTCAAAAGATACCGTAAGATTAACATCTTATATACAATTCAAAGAGATGCCAATCATTTGGCAATGCAAAGACCAGCAGTGTTAGCTGAAGAAGAAGAAGTTGTGATTGTTGACGAAGAAGATGGTAGAGAAGATGTTGTGGGTGCTCAAAATGATGTTGACACGTCTATTACAGACCTTATCACTCACACCATCTTACTTCATCATCAAAGACTTGATCTCAAACACATGCAAACTATTTCTGACATTGATGTGTCTGAGATAAATGATATGACTCGTTGTGTTAAAGAATTGTTAGATAGAATAGATAATATTAGAAATAGAAATATAAATAGTTTTAGAAATATAAATACCCAATGTCAATAAAAAAACCGTTACACATGTATTATTTTGTATTTTATAAAGAAGTGTTTTTTTTTCATAAACAAACACTGTTTTTTTTTTCATAAACAAATACTGTTATTTTTAAAAAAAAAAACAAAAGAAAAAGCGGTCACTCATTCCTTTGAATCTTTTTGTCTCAAATTTAAACCAACAGAAAATAAGGCGGTGCGTTCACACCTTTTTTAAAAAAAGTTCAAAATTAGTTCAAAATATGTCAGAGTTGACATTGGTGTTTAAAATTGGGAATTGCAAGCAAACAGTAATGGTTGACTTTTTAGAATAAAAGATCTTGACAATGCTGATTGGTCTCTTGTATATGTTTTAGATGTTGAAGATAGTAAATATACTTGTAGAAGATATTACTGGACAACAAGTATCTAAGACATACTATTGTAGCTATTCTTTTAGCCAGAAATCAAATATCATTTTGTATAAATAGTCAAGAAATATAATTAATAAAAAGCATCTTTATTCTTATTGAAAAAACTATTCTTAAAAATTGACGATCCCCAGTGGTATTGATTCTGCAACTTAGTTACAAGTGCCAGAAAAGAAATATCAGATTGAGACTTGACAAATACATATTAGGTAATGCTATGCTCATAATGCCGTCACTGTCAGCAAACATAGTCAATGTTTAATATTCAAATACATCAACATAAAGAAGTCTGTTTTGTTGTGGATAAAAACGAATTTGTTTATATTATCCAATTATAACTCTTCAGAATCTCTCCCTGCTTGAATCTGTATCTGCATATCATCAAAGCATACGTATGCAAATGATATTTTCTGTCTCTAAAAGTCCTCCCAATCAGTACAAGAACTCTTAACAATTCTCATCAATAAAAATCATTCTTCTTGAGCTCAAACATCTCTTCATCTCATAATCTAATTATCTACACCACTTTTTTTACAAACCCATTTATTACAGGTATAACATTTTAGTCAAAATAGCTTGTCAGTATATATTACTCTTATAAAGCTATAAATAATAATCAATACTCATCTACCTTCATTTTAACTCCATTCTTTTTGTCTTTTTTTTTATAAAAAAATTATCTTCTTGTATCGCCTGTATCTTACATTAAACTATTATAATAAAAGTATGTCCACTCCCAGCGCTATTGAGTTTGTTTCTTATTATGAAGATGATAATCAGTCACAATCCTGGATGAAGCCAGATGGTGGTAAAGATGAGTTGTGATCGATTGATTGGCTGCAGTACTTTCTGCTGAAAGACAACGCAGACAACACTGGAAAAATAAAAAAAATACTATAGCTTTAAGTAATGAGAAAGGTAGTGGAAATGTCAGGTTTTTTTTTCGGCTCAGCCGTTTTTTTAATTTAAGTTGGGGGTGTATTTTCGATGTATTCTATTGGTTTAGATGGACAATAAAAAATTCATATCAAATAAAGTATTTGTAGTACTTGTTTCCTTTTTTATTTTATAATTCAAGCTATACACAATATGTTTCCCTCTACCCAAACCCATACCTTAGACTGTCACTGCATTAAATGTCACAACAGTCATAAGAAATTTTCTTATACTGCAAAGCGTACTGAGACTCATTGTAATAAGAGAGCTAGAGTTGAAGGTACCAGAATATTTGAGAATAGTATAATATATTCAGTGTTGGTTTTTTGTTTGCTGCATAATAATCATTTTAATTTTTTATTTTTTATTTTTTATTTATGTTTTTTATTTTTAAACTTTTAATGAAACATAGCCGCAATGAGAAACATGGATGTAGATACTGAGGGTAAGAATTTTTTTATTTGAATGCAGAAAAAAAAACTAATAAACTACTATATTCCTTATTTGTAGTAATCCTGACTTCTCAATCCAATTCTGTAGAAGTAATGGACGGTCAGACCAACTCACCTTTTTTGGATGTCATCTCAATGTTTGACAATGACAGAGATGACAATGATTTTGATGACAATGCTGAAGATAAAGTTAATGAGATCGAGATTGAGAACTTCAGCAGTGAAGGTCAGTGTGAGATACATAAAGGAAACTAAAAGAAAAAGAGAATAAAAGAAAAATCAAGTGCTAATTTTTTTTTAATTTTTTACAGACCTTTCTGCTGCTTATTATATGCCCAAAAATGAAGTCTATCAATTTACAGTCACCTTTACGGTACTGTTTGCTTCATGTCGTGTTGTTGATAAGAGTGCTGCTGTCTAAATTGAGTTTATTAACAATTTGCTGAGAGTCTACAACCAAGATTTTCAATTACCAATCAGTCTTGCTGGTTTACAAAAAATGACAAGATTTTCTGTTATTACAAAAGGCATCAAGAAATTTGTGGTATGTCAAGACTGTCATACAGCATATCAGGATAATGTATCTGCTCCTCCTCAATGTGTTTCCTCAAAACTTGGTGCCAGGTTTGCATGCAGCTGTAATTTGACAAAATCCATATCTTCTGGTGCCTTGGTTGCAAAGTGTGAATATGTCTATCAATCCATTAAAAATACATTGAGGGTTTTCTTCTGTCGCCCTAGTTTGGAAGCCAAGATTCATCAATGAAATAAGAAGTTAAAGAGAGTAGATACTCTGTACAATGTCTATGATGGTGCAATATAGAAGAGTTGAAGAACAAGGATGTTGTATTATTTATGTCGGACCCATGCTCACTAATGTTAACACTTAACATTGACTGGTTCCAGCTCTTTGATGGTGTCACTCACTCATCTGGTGCTATCTATCTGGCCATCAACAACTTGCTCTGTGATAAAAGATTCAAGTCAGAGAACATTATCCTTGTTGGTTTTATGCTTGGTCCAAAGCAGCCAAAAACTAACAAGATCAATGGTTACTTGGAGCCCTTGGTAAATGATTTGAAGCAGCTGTATATTGACATGCGAATTCCTATACATGACTTCCCAAATGCTGTCAGTGTGCTATATTTTTTAAAAAAGAAAGAAAAACAAAGTACAGAGAAGAAGTACAGTGATACTTTGTTTATTAATAAAAAGAGAGATGATCTTCTATTGCTATTTGCTATGTGAGTTTATATAGACATTGCGTGTGTATTTAGAATAATGATATGAGTATATCATGTGATTTCTGTTTTCTTATATCATAGATAATATATTGTTAAGTTATTACCCACGCTCTTGTTTGAGTGATTAGTGATGTTGAATAAGGTGTGTGATATTGTTATTGGTATATTCTTTATTTAATGATAGTGTGAGAAATAATGTATAATTGATACTGGTCGCTTATTCAATATGTCTTTGTCTTATTGTCTGTGTGCTCTATTTGAATCTACAATTATGTTGGATACAACACTGTTGAAAGGTGGTACTTTATATATTCTTCTGTAGTAAGAGTCTGACTAATGGGACTATGGTTCAAATTGTTATTCTGGCCATTGGTTGCTTCCATGTTGTGGTAGACCTTCTCCAGAAGTGAATGGGATTCATTCAGTTGTATGCTTATGGTAGACAAAGTGAACAGAACAGTATCATCCAGCTCTGCACTAACTGTCAAGCTGAGAAGAATTTCCTATTGACTTGTGCTTGCTGCTGTCCCAGCAGTTTGTTTAGCAGACTTTTTTGTAGTCATCTTGTTTGTTTTTTTTTGGTTTGCTGCATATTAGAAGACATGAATTTAGATATTCTGTGCTAAAGGAAGAAATTGAAACAATGTAAATACTTTAATAGTTGGAGTCGGGTTTCTTTAAAATAATAAATAAAATAAAATAAATCAAAACATATGTAAAGATGGAAAGTAAGATACCAAAGATTATTTTTCTGATAATGCTCTTTATAGCATTTTGATCTCTATATTATACTTTTCTTTATAAGTTGACTTGGAAAGGCATTTGTAATAGCTTACATCCATTACAAAGATGTGAGAGATTATGGCTTAGTATATAATGTCTTGTCTCAATTGGGATGTGTTGAATGATTTTCAATTTGCTAAATTGATTCTATCAGTTTCTCAGAGTCAACAGTCATAAAATTATAATTTTGAATTTTCCCCCATTTTTTTTCCTTCTTCTTCTTTACTTCTTTCTTAATGTCTGACATAAGAAGCATCAACTCACATCTAAGTTTCAAGATCTAATCATTTTGTTGCTTTTATTCTAGCATAATACTCTATGCTTTAAGACACAAAGTTCTTCTTAACTGCCTCAAAAATAATAATAAAAAGATAATAAAAATATACTTGAATATCTATTCACAATAAATATATTAATTATTCTGCTTAGATTTTTCTGGCCCATTAACAAAGACATATATCTTGGGAGTGTTTATAAAATGATATATTGTATAAAAAATCAACATACATCTTCAAGATACAACATATATTTATTATTATTCTTATATATAACATATACTCTATAATCACTGATCTTTTTCTCAGTCCTCTTTTTTTGTTTATACACCAACTCTTATTCTCTACAGACAGACAAGTTAGTAAATAGTCATTCTATTTCTTTGTATGTAATTCTAGTGAAAAGAAATTATTCTATAGATAATATCTCTATTTTCTGTATGCCACATCTTCTGCTGTATTAAATAATTAGTTAGCAAAAAATAGTCTGATACTCTTTATTTCATTGTAATAAAAGAATTATATTTTATAGAAAATGTCATTGTATTTTCTGTTTGCTAACTCTTCTGTTTTCTGAACTGTCTGGTAAGCAAACTATTATCTTATTTACTTTGCGTCATATTAACAAAAGTTATTATGTTTTATAGACAATATTACTATAATTGAGACATTTAATGAAAACATTAATATATCTATCATCATCATCATCATCATACATATTATTAAAATCAACTGGCTCTGTATATCATATGATATAGTGAGCCAATCAGCGTAAAGCTTTTTTTTTATATAAAATACTAGCAAGTTACTAAGTCACATGATATAAAAAATAAGAGAGTTACTAAGTCATATGATAAAGTGATATCTTCTATTACATAATATCATTGATATATAAAGTATATACACTGTTTTAAAATTATTAAACATATTCTGTTATATATATAAAAAAAAGTATTGATTGAGTTATTTATTTCCAATGTAACATCTCATTATATAGGTAAATGTTTAATTGTCATGTAGATAAAAACAATATAATCTTATGCAGTAAAAAAATGGAATACCTATACTATTAACTCTGTGATTGTTCAAAACTCTTTGAGTATATTTATATTACTATCAAGAATTATTATTATACTTATATATTATATATCATATATCAGATTTTGAGACATAAATAAATAAAAATCAGATCATTTTTAATTGTATAGTAATTGTAATAACAATATATTGATCTAAAGAATAAAGAAAATATATGTATATATCATTTTAGCTATCACCAAAAGCTATTCAATATAAATAATAAATAAAAATAAAATAATAATAATAATTCATTTGTATGTTACAATTGTGCTGCAGTCTGATATCTGGATTTGGATTAATTAACAACAACAGAAAGAAAAACATGTTGGCTATTACTACTTTTTAATTTAAAAGCAAAGATCATCAATATTATATTACTATGGGAAAAAGGTAGACTTTTTCAAATTTGTGACTTCATCTCTGGCCTATAATAATCAAAAAATCATCAAAAATCTAAGTTGAAACAAGAAAATCTCTGTTCTTTGAATTGGTTATAAAAAGCAAGTGAACTACCAAAATTTAGATCTCAGAAGAGACAAATATCTATTTTAACTATAGATATTACATTTATGGTAAGTATATAGAGCAGTTGAGAAATATTTGATGTCAGACATAAAAAGGAAAAAAATATCTAAGCTTTTGTTACTTGAATAAAATTTGTAAAGACAATTCAAAGGCACACTAAAAAAAAATGATGAACCATATGTCATCATTATAAAATTACTATATTGATATTTCATATCAAGAACCAACCAATACATTTGTAGAAAATATATGACACTAATAATGACTTGTGAATTTTTCTCTTTCTTTTCCCTTTCTTCATAACTAACCCTTACATCTGGTTTTATTATCACCATTATGAATAATACAGGTACAAAAATCATCCAGTAACTTAAAGATACGCAAGAGACGCTTCATATTTTGCAGAAAATCAAAGAAGCACTACAAAAGAAACAAGTGATTCTATAACTGAAGATTACCAAACTATGTAATGTCACAAATGGACGCACATGGGAGGGGCCAACCTCAGACTGTAATATAAGAAATAATAAAACAAAAAAAGACATATAAACTAATATACAGCACTACAGGCTCTTGCTGTCCCAATTCCAGGACCATTGTCTGTATTAAAACTATAACTTTAAAATATAACTTTAGCATAATGAGTAAGAATTTTAAGGCTTAACTTAACAAGAAAAAAACAAAGCAATTATTAACCCTTGCACATGTCTTGTATGTGATAAAATGACTGGAAGTCTTTTTGTATAAGCTTTAGGAGCAAATCCAGATAGGATGCCTATCTCTCAAAATGAGAAGGACTTGATATGTACCAAACATATATGCTCTCTCAAATGAAGTGATGTTGGCCTTACCAGATGTCACAAAATCTGGACATCTCTTCGAAAAGTCAGTCATACATAGAAAAACCATATGAAACAACAACCTTCTGATAAGTTTATGTTTGGTAAGTTCAATGAATTATGTATTATATATGAAGATATGAAATAATCTGAATGATATTTAGCTAATGATATTTAGAGAAGACTTTTATTATTATAACAACCAATAAAAACATTTTTAAATATCAATCTTCTATGAAATAAAATCTTTTTGCCTAATTAAAGCTCTAAATGAAACAGAATATATATAAATGGGGGTTAATTGAAATAATGCTTTTGTTGAAATAACCAATAATATCAATTTCTATACTGTAATAAAGTCTCAATTATTCAATTAAAAATAATAATATGATCAAAGTATTTCCTGAGTGCCCATATAAAAAGAAATATCTCTTATTGCTAACAATAGAAAACTCTTTTTATGCTATTTCTACCAATATAATAAGAGAAAATAATATATAAACTAAAATATTGGTTTTTGAATAGAATCTAACATCCGTTGGTCAATGGAGATCTAATTATATTTCCAAAAATAGGGGTAGTCTTTTTGCTGGTTTTACCAAAACTGCCACCCAAAAGACCACCTAAAATACCACCTAAAAGACCACCTAAAATACTACCTAAAAGACCACCAAAAAGACCACTTTTTTTTCCATGATATATATTACATTTTATAAGAATAACTAATAAAGTAAAATGAAACATATGATTGTTCATTGACAATTGGATATTCAAGACTTTATATATAGTGTTACTCCAAGAAGTCATATTGAACCATGCACTTTCTGCAGCATTTGTAATTTGATATACATAGTAATTTCAAAAGGTTAACTCACACTACTTTGACAACTGACTGTTCTTTTTGTCATCTTACTTTCATTACTTTAACAAGACACTCTAATAAACTTTTACAGTTATATTCTACTTGATTTAGCTACTATTACTTGAAGAAGACATCTTACTGCGTCTTGACATATGGATTTTACTCTATTATTCAATATTACTTGAAGAAGATATTCTCTTGAGTTTATTCTAATTATCTTATTAATTCAGCACGTTATTGATTTACATATGATTCAAATCTATTTTAAATTATGACAAGATGTCTTTATTTCTTTATTTGAGTTAAAAAATAAAAAACAGAAATGCTATAAAAGCCTATCAATTCAAATCAAAGAAAAACATATTTATTACAAACAACTACCCTATCTTTCTCTCATATCTTTGAAAACTGCAACTCATTTATCTTTTTTCTTTATATATGCAATTTAAAAAGAAAAAGAAAAAAATGTTTCCAACTCAAAACGTCTGTGCTGTATGTAAGCTGTCTACTCATAAATGGATCAACAGTAAGCTCTATCCTATGAACAAAAAAAACTGGACTCTCTTGATCCCTCAAAAGAGAACCAGCAATAATATCTCTGCTCAAGAAGAATATCACGCAGAGAGAATTAGAAGTAACATTAAAACAGATTACTTTTATTCATCAGATCGCCTTGCATAGTGACAAGTGTTGAGTTGATGTGATACAACATTGTCAGAAAAATAATAAATAAAAATAGAGTTGTCAATGAATTCAGAAGGCAAATATATAGAGAGATAGAGATGAATTACTGTGATAATGCTCAGATCTATCCAACAGTAAGTAAATGTAGTAAAATGTGTATAGAAAGAATGAATATAACAAGAAGTATGCTTATAACTATCACAAATAGTTGTTTTAAGTCAGTGACAATGAAATAAATATATAAACAGAAAGTAAAATAACGGATTTGATCAATAAAATAAAGATAGATAAGGATTCTGTTTTATTATTGCTTCATTTGAAGACTTTTATATGTGAAAAATCTATACTAATTTGTTATAAAGCTATATTAAAGCAGTATCAATGATGAAATATATTGCACAAAGATATGCCTTGTGCAAGGGGATCGAAGGAAATTCTGCAAAGAGTGTCATACTTCTTTGCAGAATATTCGTGGTCTGAGCAGAACCAAAAGAATACACACTGTGTCAATAGTTTCTAACTTATTTGCTTTCATCTGCATTTATATGTTTATTTAGCTGGTGCTTTGAGACCAAGGGTTGAAGCTGTTCAGAATCCTGTGGTAATTACTGTGACTTAAATTAATGCTCTCTCCCATGTTGCCCAATATCCTGCAGAGAGTAGTTGAGGAAAATCAATAAAGTATAATTGATTAATATTCAGCAAAAATCCTAATAATTGTTTTTACTCTATATATTTCTGCATTTAGCTATGACATCGAAACCAAGAGTTGAAGCTGTTCAGAGTTGTGTGGTGCTCACTATAGCAGAAATCATTGCTCTCTCCTGTGCTGCCCAATATCATGCAGAGAGTAGTCGAGGTAAATAAATATAGTGTAATTGATTAATATTCAGCAAAAATTCTAATCATTTTTTCTACTATATTTATTTTTCTATTTAGCTGCTGCTTCAAGACTAAGAGTTGAAGCTGCCCAGGATTGTGTTGTGCTCACACAAGCATTGTCAATTGACCTCTCCTTCACAAAACAATATATTGTACTATAAAAATTATATGATTTTCCCTTGAGAAACTTCGGTTGAATCAAAGGGAAAAGAGAAGTTCGTGGAATAACTTTTTCAAAGTTGTGCAGAGCACAAGGCCAAATAGGGTAACTCTTCCAAGCATTTAAACTTTTTTAACAAATTTATAAATGGGTTGCTTATTACTTAATTTACTCATTGTATTTTATATTTACTAAACTTCCAAATACAACATTCAATAAATTCAACTAGAAAATTTTTTTCTTTTGATGATAAAATAGCCTTATATTAAATTTCTCATTAAGGCTTCTATAGCTAGCTTTGCTTAGATAATTTTTATTAAATAGATAAGTTGATAAACGTGAATAAAAATGAGTAAAATGATCTTGTCTATATTGTTGCTGATTTATATTCAAAACTTTATATTGTTTCATATATTTCTACTATTTTCATAACGTTAGCTTAGAATAAAAAATAGAAAGATATTAGAGGTTGAAAAAGTTCTCTCACTTTTTCAGAAAATCTGAAAATTTCAAAAACTTTTTCAAAATTATTTTTGTATTGTTATATTATTTTCTTATTTAAATCACTGAGTTTGATTTTAAAAGGAAATTTTCTTTGAAAAAGTGACTCCACAAACTTCTCTAATTTTGATAATATTTCAACTCCACAGGGTTTTTTATTTTTGGGGGCGACAATTTAATTAGGCCAATTCAATTGGATATAGCATATGCTATGCCTTCCAACATTTATTTTGATCAGTGTCTTGCCATGTCGCCAACCAATAAAAAAAAACTTTTACTTTGATATTAATATTAGACCGATTATATTTTAAAGACTATAAAAAGAAGTTTAATTATATGCTTTTATTACTTTGACTTTTGTAATTTTTGTAAATGCTATTGTGGTTATAGAATTGTAAATATATAAAGACATAGATAAATGGGGTTTTATTTTGCAGATATTCTGTATATATATAAAATTTTTAAAAGAAAATATAAAACTGAAACATTTTGTTCGAATATATTGGTTTTACATTTATAGAAAGAGATATAATATGACATGGTTGACAAAAATGGGAACCAATCAGTATAACATTAAGGAGATATGTTAAAAGGGATTACCAATTGGATACCTGATTTAAGGACTTCTATCTACGATGTAGACTCTGATATTAAAATAGGAAAGTCTATAAAAATAAACTATATCGCTGCAAAAAAATGCCCAATTCCCATACGTGATAGGATATAAAATTCGGTGGACAGAAAACCCAAATTTGTAGTGCAGGATTTTTTTTGTAGAATAAGCATTGCAATTTTTTTAAAACGATTCTATTGGTCATAGAGCACCGAGTAGCATAAAAAAATACAATAATAAACTTAAATTGAATGAAATAAACTGTACCTGAATATATATTTATCTTCTTTACTGTTTAAAAAATAATATTATTTTAATAATTATTAAGCAATGGCACCAACCCGTAAATCAAACAAAACAAAAGAATGCAAATGTTCTGTTTGCAAGACAAGATGTGGAGGATCAGATACAGTGTCTGTACAGACATTTAATTTTCATAAAAGAAGAGACGATGCTGGAATGAACATCTTTCGTAATAGAGGTAGGGAATTTTCTTTTATGTTTTAATTATATTTATATTTATATTTTCGATTTAATAACATATGTAATGTAGTGATTATTAAGAGATCAGTCGAAACTACTGTAAGCTATGTTCCTGAAGTTATCAACAATGATGAACAGAACTCGGTGGCCATAGACAATAATTATGATATGGATTATGACTTTGATGGTAAAAATATATATTTTTATTTTTATTTTTATTTGCTCTAACTTCTTTTATGGTTCCGGTAGAAATGGACACCAGTATAGAAGTAGACATGGAGACACAAGAGCCTATTCGAGTCTTACCTCTCTCAGAATCCGATGCTGTCTTTGGTTATGAGAATGAAGAGTTTAACTCTGATCTTGATTCTGGCGGTTGCAAAGACAATTCCAGTGAGAATGACATGCTTGATAGTGAAGGTTTGCACACTTTCATAATGGATATTGGGTTCTGCTGTATAAAATAATAGAAATTAATTTTTTTTTAAAAAAGACAACTTTCCTGAATTCAACTCAGAATTGAGTTTCATCTATCGTTTTATTGTACAGGTCCTTGCACTCTTTGTATCCTTGTATGTCGTCAATGAAGGTGCCATTCGTCTTATTGCCATCATGAACAAAATACTGAAGCTTTTCAGAGATCCATTCCATCTCCCAGTTAGCATCCCTGGTCTCAAAAGCATGGCAGGATTCAATACCTTTACAGATGGTATAAAGAAATATGTTTCTTGTAGCGAATGTCACAGCATATATGAGAACAATGAATCAACACCCCACTTCTGTATCTTTGATAAATTTGGGAATAACTCAATGTGCGGTAATAGTTTGTTCAAGTCGGGAAATCAGTCGTCCATTCCAAAAAGAACATATGTGTATCACTCTGTTCAGAATTCGATCAAAGCTCTCTTTTCTCGGCCTGATTTTGAAACCCAAATCGACTCGTGGAACCGTAGCCCGAAGGCTGAGAATACTATGTTCGATGTGTACGATGGCTTGATGTGGAAGGATTTGAAAGACACCAATGGAATTCCCTTTGTTCATGGCAACCGCTCACTGATGTTGACCTTAAACATTGACTGGTTCCAGCCATTTGACGGTGTGACATATTCGTGTGGTGCAATTTACCTGGCTGTAAACAATCTTCCTCGAAGTGTAAGATTCAAGAAAGAAAATGTCATTCTCGTTGGGTTAATGCCAGGTCCGAAAGAAGCAAAAACATCCGAGATAAATTCGTACCTCAGACCTCTGGTTGACGAATTAGAAAAGTTGTACAAGGGAGTCAGAGTCCAGACATATCAATGCCCAAATGGTACCACCATCCACGCTGCTCTGTTTATGGTTGCCTGCGACATCCCTGCTGCCCGAAAAGTGTGTGGATTCACGTCCCATACCAGTACAAACGCATGCCACAAATGTAATCGCCAATTCTCCCGATTAGCTGGAACGAGCTCTGTCGATTATTCTGGATTTGATTTCTCAAAGTGGCTCCTTCGCACTAAGAATGATAATTGTAAGGATGCTGAGGTCTGGAGGAATGCAACCACTGAAGCTGAGAGACATCGTCTTGAAGTTGAAAATGGTGTTCGCTGGTCCGAACTGCATCGTCTCCAGTACTTTGACATTGTCCGCTGCACGATCATTGATCCAATGCACAATCTCTTCTTAGGCACAGCCAAGAGGATGATAGAGAAATGGGTTGCAGATGGTCTAATTGACAATAAAAAACTCGTTGCCATGCAGAAAATCGTTGAAAACATGACATTGCCGCCTGATTACACCATGCTAAGATCAAAGATTTCAAAGGGATTTCCCTTTATGAAGGCAGACGAGTGGAAATCGTGGTGTCTGGTATACTCTCCAGTGGCTCTACAAGGTGTATTACCAAAGCAAAAGTTTGAGAATTGGATGTTTTTTGTGAATGCCTGCCGTTTCCTTACCAAGCCAAATGTTTCCGAAGATGATGTACAGTCAGCACACATAGCACTTGAGAAGTTCGGTAAAGGTTGTGAAAGGCTGTATAGCAAGGATCTGTTATCTCCAAACATGCATCTCCATCTTCATCTTCGCGACACAATCAAGGACTTTGGGCCTGTTTATGGGTACTGGCTCTTTAGTTTCGAGCGATACAACAGCGTCCTAAAGAATATCAATACCAACAGAAGGAGCGGCTTTGAAATGACATACATGAAAACATTCATTGAAGATACCCGTAAAGGCGATTTTGTTCACAATTTCTTGAAGACATCTGGTCCATTCAATTTCTCCGGCATCTTCGATAAATTGGTAACTGGTTATAGACCTGCTGATTCTACAACTAGCACCGCCTTGTACAATTGGTTCTCTCTACCAGACTTTCTTGATGCTGCTGAAAATCCGAACTTGTCAATTCGTGGTAACGAGCCTTTGCCGCCATCAGCGCTGCCCTTGCAAAAAAAAGCATATGAGATGATGCCAAGACAGGAGTATGATTGTTTGGTAGGATATTACCAAGCTGTTTACAACAATCCCACTATCTCCAGTTGCAAAGACGTGATTCAAGATACAGCTTTCGTCAATGACTGGATCGAAATGCTCAAATCCGTCAACCTCCTTGGCCAGACATTCAAGGGAAGTAGAGGTACGAATGGAAGAGGATCATATATACAAGCAATGTTCATAGAAGGTCGAAACGGAGCAAAGTATGCGTATGTCGGAGAGATTCAATACCTATTTGTTCATTCATTTAGTCCACTTGTTTCTACTCCACATCACAGAACACCCCAAAGTAGCCAACATACATTTGCTTATGTAAAATGGTACAAGGCTTCCAGGGAGACAAGTAGAAAAATTGCAGGCGTAGAAATATGGGATGTTGCGTTTTCTTTGCCTGACTTTCAAAGCATCTTGCCAGTGCACCGAATTCTCCTTCCTGTTGCAATTGTTGACCATACAACATTACGAAATATCAGCAAAAAACTTATTGTTCCTTTGCCTAGAAAACTTTACTTTTAAAATATATAATTATCCCTTCTTTTCTTTCTAATAATATTATTCAATTTTTTTAATATGACAGTGAAAAAAAAAGAGAGCAAATTGTTTGTTTTTATTGGTTTTGAATTGTCCAGACAGGAAGGATCGCGGTCAGGTGACCGGGGACAGGAGTGACCGCAATGGTTTTTAGGTATCTGAGCATTCTTTGCTTTGATTGTGGTGTTGCAATCTTCTTGTCATTCTCTGCTGCCAAGAAATCAATGAACTGAATAAGCCTATTCAGCTATGTATAATTAGTTAGTTTATTTCTGTACAGTCATCTTTTTATAGAAATATATTATAGTGTACACCTTTAAAAAAAATTACCTCAGCACTTCTCCAACTAGGACGAGCAACCTGCAAAACCTGCACACAGATTATAGGAGTGACGTCCTCATCTTCCGATTCACCATCAGACATCACACTCTTCTCGAGGAGATGCAAGTATGCCATCTCATCAGGGTTACCTGGCTTGTATCCCATCTTAGTGTCTTGCTAGCCAATTGTTAATGTAGGTATCAACATGACGCAAGTGAATCTAGATATATTTTAAAATGATTAGAACAGAATGCAAAATATTTAATTTCTTTTTTTTGTTTGTAATTTTACCTCAATGCGACGGCTGTTGATATGATTATTGCGCCTTTTGGAAGACGCTTGCTCGGGGGTTGCGTTGACAGCACGAAAACATGTCTTGTAATTGTTTTTTATTTTCTGCACTATCATATCCTCCCAGAACCCAGCTGTGCGAGGCTGGGCAACGATATACTGTCGGAGGTAATTAATCACCTCAACATTGTCAGGATGATCGATCCTCTCATCCGTGTTCCATCGCCTGCGGCTTTTGTTTTCAGCAACAAGCTCAGAATCATTCGAACGGAAGTTTCTCGCCCACATTCTCCTATTGATGAGATTCTATATGATTATTATTATTATTATTTAGGTAGTGTGTTAAATCATGAAGTCAGAAAAAATCATACCAGAACAATTGCATGCATTTCGCCTTTGGTGTGTCTATTTGTAGACACATTGGCGGCAGTTACTCCCTGAGTTACAGAAGATGCAACAAGAGCTTGCTGGGCAATGGCTTGGTTGTGAGCATCGACCAGAAAACGAATTCCAGTGTTGGCTTCGACAGTACGATCGTACATCATGTTGATGGCTGCCATAACCTGCGTTAGGGACTCGACAGTCATTCCAGGAGCCTCTGCCCCACTTGGACCAGCTGCAAGTGGCGATACTCTTGGAGCAATCTCACGTTGCTCAATCCGGCCGGCAGCAACACAGCTAAGTGTTCCTTGGGCATTCTGTTTGCCTTTGCGTCCTGATTTTCTAGTGGCATTGGAAGGCATGCTACAGATATTTACATATTTTTTAAAAAATAAATAAATATAAATAAATAAAGCATATATAGAAGAATATTATGAAATATTATTTTAATTATACAAACATACATGGTAAAGCACAGTAATAGTATGTGAGGTTTCTAATAAAATGTGAGGGAAGATATAATAATCTGGCAAATAGAAGTAGTATTTATATGTCCCAATACTTCTTGGGTGTACAGCAACAAAAGAAAAAATTATAGGGACACACATTTTAAATTATAATAGACCCTAATAAATTCTGAGAACAGAATGAGCTTATTCACTACTCTTACAATTTGTTTTTTTATTTTTCTTTTTTTTTATTTTCTTTTTTTTTGTTCTCTCTCTTTCTCTTATACTGTTTACTTTTGCTTCTTTTTCTACACTATGGTAAATACTTAATATTTTCTTTTTACTTTATTTTACATGATTATTAACACTAAAAAACTTCTATTGTCTTTATTATGTAGGGCTTCCTGCACGAGTTAACATAACACACTGGCTTACAAAGGTGAATAAGAAAGCAAACAACTTTTATTGCGCGATGCTAATCATCAGCTTATTAATCTTTAGATGCAAAACGATGATCATGACAACCATCAAAAGCTAATGATGGAAATAAACATGGTAAGCTTTAATAGAATATCTTCTAATCACTTATATTAACGTTATACTTTCTTCATTATCATTTTGAATTTATTAGATTTTCTCTATCTCTCTTTTGCACGCACGCATTAAAAGGATGCCAAAGAATCACTTTTTCTGGTAAGCAAGACTTTATAATTATTATTCTCTCATACTAATCATATTTTTTTCCCTTTCTATTAGGAATACTTGGAGTACACCAACAATTATATAAATGCTATCCGTAGCAATATGATCCTCTATTTCCAAAGAATAAATCTGGTCTGTACACACATGTTTTGAAAATGACAAAATCGATTTTGGTCATCCCAAGATTCTGCCCCTTCCCTTAATATTCAAAGAGGTATTGCAGTATTCCCATTTATTTATCCCGAAAGGTAAGAGATATTATTAATGATCAAGGTAGAATCGCAGTACCCAAAATCAAGAACCCAAAACCGAGAATGCAAAACAAAGACCCAATGTCAAATGTCTGGATCAAATGCCCAGACCAAATGCCAACTATCCAAGGCCGATTATTAGAGAACCTATTTTGAGATTTTTTTAATAAAATAAAATAAAAACCCATTTGTAAACTATTTCCCGTGAACTATTTTTAAATAAAAGTACAAGAAGTATATTTTTTGATCAATCAAATAATGAAATTCAAATTGTAAATGGAGTACCCGTCCAATAAGATTGATACTTGCCAGAAGATAGTTGAGCTATCATCAGAAGATTGTTGAAATATACACCTTCTTGAATGAGTCCGAAACAAAAATAAATAGGCAATACACAAAATAAATGTAACGTTTTACTAGAAAAAAAAAACTTGGAATTCAATTAAGGTTTCGGATATAATGAGATATAACAGAACTCTATGACCGCGCACAGACCCATTCTATCCATAGAATCTAGGTGTTTAATATTTAGTAGCTAGTTTTCCTATCATTCTGAGAATTGTTGTATAATATTCGGAATGTATTTCAAAAATCACACAGAATTTTACATCCTATCACGTATGGGAATCGGCCATTTTTTTGCAGTGTTAATTGAGAGACTACAACTACAACTATTTAATATTATGAAACATTACCTGAGTATCTGGGTCGGAATACTAAAATATTACCAATAGCATAAATGCTCTTCTTTACCAAAACTCTTGGACTGATCTGACTGGAGAAGTATCATATCAATTGGTCTTTCTGGATCTTTCCAGAAGAACAATACTCTTGGAAGATGACTCATCGTGATAAAGATTACTTAAGCACACACTGAATTATAAATTAGAAAAACATATAAATATTAGTGGATAGTTCCGTGTAGAAAAACAATCGAATTTTATTATTCTTTACTTTTCTTTTGAAATAAACAACCTACACAAGTTCTCACAAATTCTTTTGTGTATATTATATTTTGCTTTATTTTCTTCCCACAACATCAACCTTTTCAAAAAACATAGATTTTCTTGTTTTATTTTGAATTTTTGGTGATTTTTTAATTATTATAGGCCAAAAACAAAGTCACAAATGCAAAAAACCGCCCCTATTTGTCATAGTGATACTTCTTTATTATCAAGTATACTTCTTTGCCTGTTTTTATATTGTATGGCTATGGATTTGTTTGTTTAGCGCAATCTAATAAGTAAACATGTTCTTCGATAGTATAGTGGTGAGTATCCCCGCCTGTCACGCGGGAGACCCGGGTTCAATTCCCGGTCGGAGAGTAGTTTTACTTAATTATGTTACTGTCGTGTCGTTCCCGATCTGAGTTGGTCTTCCTTTTGTCGGACATTATTTTGATGAATCCGTAAAATCTGAAGATAGTTAACCGCAGTACTTCTTTATGCACAGTAATATCTTCCTGAGCATTAACCGCAGTATAATGACTATTTCTTTAATTAAATATAAATAATAACTACTGCCAATAATGCGCAGTATTAGTTTAGAAAGATAAATAACTTTTATTGAATGAAATAATGCCCTCTTTTATATCTTTTCTAAACCTACTCAGCCATTATAAATGTCTGTTTCGGTTTCTATTCTACTTTTGTTAAGCTACATGCTTTCTAATTCTTTTGTCACTATAGGAAAAATGTGGGGATTCAGCTGGAGATTAAGCTGGAGATTCAGCTTGGAATTGAGCTGGTGATTCTTGCGAATCACAGTGGAATCTCTAGTTTCTTTTTATGTAATATATTTTAATTGCTGTTAGCTTATTGATGTTAGGTTTTATTCATATCCCGCTATATTTACCCATCTGCTATACCCTTATTTTAATTGATAGTAAAAGAATAGAAAAAGGTTTCTATTGGTATGAATGAAAGAAAAAAGTTTTTTAATTGGTAATAAAATATTATTTTGGTTTTTATAATTATTTTAATTGGATAAAATACATTCTATCATAGTATATGCTTAAATTGTATTGGTCATTTCAACAAAAACATTCTCTTAAATGGCTCTCATTTATATATATTCAGATTTGTTCACAGTTTTAATTGGGCAAAAAAGTTTTATATCATAGAGGATTTTTATTTAAAAATGTTTTTATTGGTTGTTATAAAAAGAACAATTCTTTATTCATTAATTGTATTGGCTAAATATCATTTGAATAATTTCATATTTTCATATTTAGTATAAAGTTTATTATACCTACCTGATATAAACTTACCAGAGAGGTGTTGCTTTCTATGACTTCTCTATAACTGACTAACCTTTGTGATTGATGCCCAGTTTTTATGACATCTGGTGAAATCAATTCCATAATTCTTGAGCGCGTGTGAATGACTGATACACATTCTGGTCCGTTCCTCTTGAAGGATAGATGTCCAGCTTGGATTGGGCCCGAGAATCTAAACAGACAAAAGAGCAGCAAGCTGATCACAAATATGCTTGGTGCAAGTGTTGATAGCCCCCTTGACTTCTGCGGTTGGACTTATTCCTAGGTCTTGCTTAATCATATGTAATACATGATTGGAATTTATATTACAGATGTTTGGTACTGGTCTTGGGATAGAGTCAGTAGATATCTATTGTAGCTGATATTAATTGACAAGGCTTTAATTATTATAGTATTTATTTACATTGATAGAAGCTACAATAGTATTATCCGGAAGTTTTCAATCTTTCAATTCATTGCAAAGACTTGTTATTTCGAGTTGTATTATATCTTGTTTTTTCTCCAATGCTTCTTGACCATTCTTTAGAGAAATAAGCGCGTCTTGAATGCCTTGCAACAACTGAATCACTGAATTATCTATATTATTCATAATAGTAAAAAAAATTAATGAGTTTGTTATAGAAAAAGAAAGAAAGAGGAAATTTTTTCCCTAAAACTATTATTAGTTTCAAATTATTAGCTCCAAATTCTTAGTTTCAAATTATTTGTCCAAATCTATTGGCTACTCTTGAAGAATTATTGATCTAGTAATTTTAGAATGATGGTATAGAGTTACCCTTTTAATATTACAAGCGTACATTCGAATTATCTATGCCATCATTACATTGATATAATAAAGTATAAACATATTCATTCAGAAAGCAATTACTTCTACAATCACTTATATAACAAAAGTTCTTTTTATTTTTCTTTACTTACTCCAAAATATGGTTCGAATTACAAAGATCTCCTCTCATGAATGCAGTTCCTGTCATTTGCCTTACAATAGCTCTTCAAATCACTGGAAAAGAGGTGCAGTTTTCTTATGTATAAAACTGTAATTAATTATGTGAAAAGACCAGGTTTTACGATGCGATCAGATAGTTTTTACAAGTGTATGAAGCTGGCTTACTCATAGGTGGTAAGACCAACTTTCGAACATAGGAAAAGGTCAGAACAGCAGGATAGTAGGATGTGTTTGCATTTTCTGTATATGGGTTTTTACCACATGCACTAAAACGGCAACTCAGAATTACGTTTTGTTGTAATATATCCCACCGCTTTCTAATTAAAAGAACGATAAATGAAAGATTGGTTATACGGATATGCCAGTTTTTACATTGTTTAATTTATGGATATGCCAGTTTTTACAGGGTTTTGTTGTATTTGAATTTATTTTATCCAATCTTAGAGACTTCTTCTTGTACTGTTTGCTTCCATACACTTCTCCAATCTTTAATTTATTTATAATAATTATTGGTTTATTTTGTTTTTATTAGAAAGAAAAGAATATTCTTAGATTTATAGTACAGTGGTTATATTTAATATTTAGGAACATTCTGGCTAGTGTTCTATCCTTCATACAATTTGAAATGGCTAATTTTCTGATAAAACAAGTATTCTCCAAACAATATCTCTCAGAGAAAAGCCCAGTTGTGTGTTGCTTGCTTGTAAACGGTTGTTCTATGAAATTAGAAAAGTGTTAGCTGTTTGAACAAGAAATCGTGGATATTAAGAATATATATATATATGTAATTATGCTTGCAATATAGTAGCTTACCAGAGACAAAAAGAAAAGGCGTCATGAATGCGAACCATAGTACTCAATATACTTTATTTGGCTATAAAAATGCTGAAAAAAAATTATTTTTTGTGAACTGTGTGGTAGAATATTTCATTTACCTACCCAAAGCAAAAGGATTTATTTGCAGACCAAGAGAGTACATAGGAGATGCTAATATTGTCTTCAGTAAATGATATACAATTAATATACAAAATAAATAATATTGTTATATGTACAAAAAAAAATTATCATGTCAATGACACTCGTATAAAATAAAAGTTCTTGATTCGCAATGTGCTCATGAGAGGAAGGTTCATCTATAATAGAAATTAGGTTAAGCCGTGTGCTTATTAAAAAGAGATAGATTGAAATAAAATAAAATATTACCATGTTCATAACTGTGTTTAATAGTAGAGAGTAATTTCAGCGATATGACCTATACAAAAGAAAGGAAAAAGTCAGAATAATTTTATAGGATGACGGCATAAAATATATTTACTAACTTTAGCTAATCTGGATGAACATTGTGAAGGGGATGCATCAGAAGGTAACAAAACGCAAGTGTCTGTAGTAATAGAAAACAATTATTATCATTTTAGTTATATATATATATATATAATATTAAAGAATAAGATATCTTACCAAGAAAATCTGTGAATATAATAAATGTTGGAAAGAGAGAAAAAAGAGAAAACTTGTAAATGAAAAAAAAAAAACAAAAAGAACAAAAGACCAAAGGGCCAAAAGGCCAAAAGACAGAAATCATATATTGGATTGAGTTGAAAAAAGCATGTTCAAAGCCGATTTGCACCCTGTTAATTCCAGAAAGTATTAATAGAGATACATGTATTAAAGAAATTCTGAGTATTTACAGCAACAAGTGTAATATAATAAATGGGTTCTTGCTTTTACTTTTACCATCTTTCCATTAACTACACTTTATTCTTTTGCTTAACACCTAACTTCTTTTGTATGTTAATAACACTCTATATATACAATGAATAGATATATAAAACAAATATAATTAACAATCAACTCATGTATAACATTTTATTAGATAGCTTTCAGACCATGGTTAACAATCGTCAGTCAATTGTCCCAGCTCCATCCCCGGAATATACTGAGCTTTTAAGAAGGCGCACCGCTATGGAGGAAAGTCTCAAGACCATGGATTCAAACATTGGCATTGTCATCAAGGGGAACAAAGATTCATTGGAAATACTTGATAGCGTTGCCGATGCCTCTGGAGAACTTCTTGCAGTTATTGCTCCTACTACTATACCTGCTTCTGCTTCTGTCTCTTTCGCAGCTTCTTCCATTGGTTCTACTCTGGATTGGTATACAACACCTTCTGAGGCTTTTTTTGGTATCTCTTCTGCTGCTCCTTCTGTTGCTCCTTCTGTTGCTCCTTCTGTTAGTCCAGTGGTTCTTACTGGTGCAAACGCTGGTGAACTTAGTAAACAGGATTGCACTAGAGTTTTAGTAAGTGTTGAGATGTACAGTAGTTCATCAACATAATATCTCACACTAAGTATAGGCTCTTATCCGAGGAGAGTTGAAGAAACACAACTTCAAATCAAATAAGCCAGAACTAGTTGCAGCTAACAACAGCAAGTGCAGTTGGGATGTTAAAGTTGATTACAGACTTCCACCCAACAGACAGCTGATGCATGACCTTCATGCATACCTGGCTCCAAAGGTTGTTGGGACTAGTGTTTGACAGGCCAATATTAGCAATTGTATCTACACAAACTTTTGTGGAACGAGACGCCAAGTCAAGGAATCCTATGAAGTGTGCAAAAAGACAAATTCTCAGTCAAGAAAAGCAGGTCGAGAGACCGATGTATGTTAGAAGTATATTTTGATTGCAAATTAAATGTATTCATATTAATACATTTATAATCTAGAATTTTGACTGTCGCAAGCTGACCTACCATAAATTCAAGGCTGAAATTGATGTGAAGGTGGGTAAGAGCTATGATGGACTCGTACAGAAAGAAGCAATGTCTGAGGGTGAATCTGAAGACAATATGTCTGGAGTCTCGAGCAACCGTGCGGTTCATACAGTGCGTCTAAGTTGGAGAAGCGATGAGGTAGTTTCTTTTGTTTACATTATTGTATATAGCTTTTTTTGTTTTTTTATGGATTTAAATGAAACAGAACTTTGATTAATCACTTATTTGTATTTAGTACAATCACTTTCTTATGGTTGTTGATGATTTTATGCGTAATTGGATAGACTTCAATTCGCCAGATGTTGAAGAAGTCCTTTGGTAGAGATGCTGTTTTAGCAGTCCTGCCTAGATTGACGTCCCTTCTCCCTCACTGGGCTTTTAGAGATGAGTTTCAATAAATTTTGTTTTCTTATCCTCTACATCCTCCACATCCTCCATCTGACAATAATAAATATATCAATAAATACAAACACTATGATTATTCTTTTCTGTGTGCCTTTAAAAAAGGGAGTTATATTTTATTATTTTTTAAATATATTGTTTTTTTTGGCAAAGGAATAACCAGCATCTTTTTTATTTTTCTGCGTGTTGTATGCTCAGCAGTTGCTACTTCTAACATAATTCTATGCACTGACAATACACATTGAAAATCTTCAGGAGAAAATGTTGGAAAGCAGATTTCAACATGTTTGTACTCTCACGATTTATCATTTTTGGGTGTGTACCATTTGATAAATGCAAAAGTATGTTGAGAATTGTGAAGAAGTTGCGTTGGGTGGTGATGGGTGCGGAGCAAGGGAGTAAGGGATAAAGAGGTGGGTGGAGGAGTGAAAGAATGAGTGAAAATATACTGTATTTGACCCGTGTATGTGATGATATACTCACCAGTACTTCCAATGAACTTTGCTTGTACAAGAGAGCCACGACTTCCAGATTCACCTTTACCCTTGTAGACCTGCCCAAGGATGTTGATGTATTTCAACAGGGTGATTGTATTGTTGACAAAGTATGGTGATTCCAACGCTTGTTGAAAGTGAACTAATTGTTCATTGTTGTACGCAACTTTGTAGTATTGTAAGAGATGAACATAGTGAATGTCACTCATTGTGGTAGCGGATTTTAATGATAGAGGGAATGCAGAAGGAGGAAGAGGTTCGTTGCCTTTTACAAGTACATTTGGATCTTCAGAAGCCTTGACAAATGACTGTATGCGGAAGGTACGTTGACAGATGGATGGAATGGTGGCGGGTGTAAAGGAAGAAGTGAGTTTGGTAAGGAGAGGAAATGCAGATGTCTGGCGGGTACTCTGAAGGAAACTGTTGACAAGATCGTCTTTGTGCACATCTTCAATAAATTTCTTCATAAATGTTTCTTCAAACCCGATCTTCCTGTTTGTCTTCAAATTTTTCAACAACCTGTTAAACCGCTCAAACCTGAATAGTTAATAACCGTACACTGGTCCAAAATCACAAATTGTATCTCGAAGATGGAAGTGTAGGTGCATATTACAGGTGAGGATTTCGGTGTTGTACAGCTTGTCACATCTGGTGCAAAAAGTTTGAAGGAACTGATGGGCAGTGTTGACTTCATCGAACGTGATCATTGGCTTGATCAACAGGCGGCATGCATCAACAAAGTTAATCCAGTTTTTGAATCTGCCTTTTGCAAGAACATCTTTCAACAGAACTGGCGAGTATACAAGCACCCATGACTTCTACTCGTCTGCCTTCATATACAAAAACTGCTTTCCTATTTTCGAGTTCAAAGAGGTGTATCCACCAGGCACAATCATCGTTTCTGCAGTCTTCTGCATTGCTGCAAAATTGCCATCTTGAATGTCTTCGTCTTTGATCCAACAATCCATCAATCTTTTAGGCATTCCCAGGAATAAATTATGCATGGGATCGATGATCGTTCCACGTACTAGATCAAGGTATCCAAGGCAATGCAACTGCAACCATCGAACACCATTTTCGACCTCCAGCCAATGCCTTTCTGAGGGGGTACTAGCACTTTCCCACTCCTCAGCATGCAACCTGTTCTCTACACCGTCACGAAGCACCCACCGAGAGAAGTCAAACCCACGAAAGTCAACATTGACACCGTTTTCCAAGCGAGGGAAATGTCTGTTGCACTTGTAACATGTGCATGTACTGTTGTGCAAGGTGAACCCACTTGTCTTTCCTGCTGCCGGGATGTCACAGGCCACCATCATCAATGCAGCACAGACGCGGACACCACTAGGACACTCAAAAGTTGGGATTGCCAGTCCCTCATACAATCTTATCAGATCATCTACCATAGGCTGGAGATAATGGTTTATCTCTTCAGATTTGGGTTCCTTCGGGCCAGGCATCAATTCTACAAGAAGTGTGTTCTCTGGCTTGTATCTTTCATTGCAAGGCAGATTGTTTACTACCAGGTATATGGCACCAGTCGAGTGTGTGACGTTATCAAAAGGTTGAAACCAGTCAATGTTGAGAGTCAACATTAATGAATGCAAATCCTTTGTGAATTGCATGCCATCTTTGTCTTTGAGCTCCTTCCACATGGCACTGTCATATATGTCACATATCGTATCCACCATCTTCAGCTTATGATTCCAATATCTAATTTTATCCTCAAATCCTGGACAAAGAAAAAACATTTGTAAAGTATTAACGACGGACTGGTACAAGTATGAATGCTTAGCCACCAAAGCACTCAATGCTGATGTTTTCGTCAATTGACAGTTGCAAGAAGAGTGTGCACCAAGCTTTACAAAATCGCAATGAGACGGGACAGATGCACTTTCTTCGTACACCTTGTGACAATCCTGACACACAACAAATTTCTTTATGCCTTTGGTCATGGCTGAGAAACCTGTCATGCGCTGAAGACCAGGAAGGCTCAAGGGCAGTTGGAAATCCTGCTCATAAATTGTCAAAAGCTTGTTGATGAACTCGATCAAGACAATGGCGCCCTTGTCAACCACATAGTGGGAAGCGAACATCACCACAAAAGTAGCAATGAACCTGTGCACTGGGTTCTGGGGCATATCGGGGGTGGCAAAAGGGTCTATTATAAAAAAAAAATTAACGCTTTTTTTTTAAAATTTTTAACACTAACTGACCTTCACTATTCAATTCATTGTTGTCGAGCTCAATAACATTGTCTTTGCTTTTGTCTTCACTGATTTCATTGTTGTTGCTTCCACTGTCATCATTGTCACCATTGCTGATTGCGTCATTAGTAATGAAAACGTCTTCAGTGTCAGACATTGAAGCTCCTTCCCAAATGGGTGAGTTTGTCTGAGTGTACAATTCTTTCAGGGCCCCGAGTTGATGGGTTAAGATAGCTACATTTAGAATATAACACTTGGTTAATATCTAACAGTATCTGAATTAAATAAATCTTACGTTCATCATCGACCTCCATCATATTTCTTTGGGTAGACATGTCTATTACAACACATTATTTCATGGATTACAATACAATTAAATAAATTCAAATATTGTACCCCTTTCACATCTTATGGCATTTAGTCTTGCCCTTTTGTTATGATGTTGAGCAGTTCTTCTGGCAACAAAACTATAGCCGAGATCGTTCTGACTACATCCAGCACAATGGCACTTTTTGTTGTAGAGTTCAGGAATTGTGGACATAATGTTTATTTATTTTTACTTTGAAGTGTTAAGAGAAAAAGGAAACAAATACAACGTTTACTAAATTTACTATGTCTTTATAATGAATTGTTATGTCTTTATAATGAATTGTTATGTCTTTATAATGAATTGTTATGTCTTTATAATAATAATAATAAATAATATTTTTGCCTGTTGTATCCAAGCCAATAGAAAACCGGAAAACAGTGTTTTCATCTTGAACACACAAAAAAAGCTGAAATGAAAAAATACCCCAGATTTTCTATTGTTATAATATAACTTTGTACATGGTAATTCCCGTATGTTTTTCTAGTGAATGCTATTAAATATCAAAATAGATGTCTTAAAAAGCTGGTAGATGCAGCTATCAATGGATCTTTCATCCAAGACGTTTCTCTCTCTGTTGAAATTCAGTCTATACCAGCACCAGCCCCAAGTTTGATTGTTGAGTAAACTTATTAAAAACTAAAATACAAAAAGATAGATAATATATTAATTATCTGGATACTTTGGTAAAAAAACAGTGGAGAGATTAATATGATCAGTGATGAAAATATAGATATTGTTGACAGAATAGAAAATGATGAGCCCATGGTAAGTTATAGATATATATAGTATAAAGTCATTATACTGATTACTATTTACCTTATTAAAGTATGATGCTGATATGGAACATGATAATACCATGAAGGAATCAACTGCCATGAAAGAAATCGAAGATGCAACTGCACCTTTGGTGTTTGACATCAGCCAACCTCTCCCCACTCCCAGTACCAATGATGTAAAGAACCTGGAATTTATTCAAATTGTCAAGGAGTTTGGCATTTCTTGTAATGCCTATGAAAAGATTGCCAGCCACTTCAACAAGATTCTTGCTAGCTCTACAAGCACATATAGAGCATGCATATCTTATCTCGGTAAAAAGCTTCTTAAGTGTTTCTCCAGAATAAAGTAGAAGAAATATGACATTTGCTGCAATGGCTGTATATTGTTTGATGCAAATAAAACCGAGTGCTTGCATTGCAATGAAGATTGCTACAAGAGTGCCCAAGACAATGGTATGTTGGTTCCTGCAAGAATCATGGTTCAACTTCCTCTGGGCAGACAACTTGCTCTCTGTTTGGCCAATGATAGCACCAGAACAGAGATGTGCTGCTGTTACCACCACGAGCCAAGTCAAGATGGCACAAAGTCTGATGTATTTGATGGTCAGGCCTACCAGTCTAAGAAGCATCTCTTCTCGGGAATTGATAACATTGCAATTTTGCTGTCTGTGGATGGGTTTGCTCCTCACAATGTTCCCGGATCAGTAACAATTGTCCATGCCACCATCTTGAACTTGAATCCAATGATCTGGTACAAAAGAAAAAGAATGGTACAGCTTGCCATGATTCCTGGGCCCAAGGCACACACTGACTTCTGGTCATTTATGAGACCAATTGTCAGAGATCTCTGTGTGTGGCAGTCCAAAGGAATGGTTGTCAAAACAGCCACAGAAACTATCAAGGCTAAGGTCTATGTGTTAATGGCAACGGGTGATATCCCAGCTCTGACAAAGCTAGCATGTCATGTTGGCCACATGAGCAAAGATGGCTGCAGAATCTGTCATGTTGTTGGTTAATCTCCTGGCCACAGTCAGTATTTCCATATGTCACCAGCCACTGCCATACATATACTGGGGAGCTCCCATGATTTCCGTGAGACAGATGAGTCCAGCCAAAGAGGACTTACATGGCAATCACCACTTGCAACATTGGATGCATTCTCTGGGCCATATTTCTTCGTCTTGGATGAAATGCACAGTATTTGCCATGGTGTAGCAAAACAGGTCTGGGGGCTCGTCACTGGCAAGTACAGAAAAAAGCATCTGCTTGTTCTCTCTGTTGAAGTTCAGAAAGAGATAGGTGCAGCAATGGCATTGACAAGGAAAACAATCCCAACATCATTCTATGGTGCTTGGAGAGATATATCAAAGAATGCAAGATACTTTAAGGCAGTAGACTGGGCAGACTTCTTTCTGTTCATTGTTCCGACTCTAGTAGCAGAGCAGATAAGAAATATACCTGCACAGAAGACATTGCTTGGCCTTGTACAAGTGTGCAATTTACTCATGAGCTGGGAGTTATCAGCAGAGGAACAAGCCTCAATAAAAAGATATATTAAATATCATTATTTGTTATTCTTTTTTAAAAATATATACTAACTTCTATCTTAGAGAACTTGTTGAATGGAATGTGTATCTTGAGACTCTGCTTGCCAAGAACAAGATCGATCTTAAGGTTTTCACCATTAACCAGCACCTCTTACAAAACTACCCAGATATGATCAAATCATTTGGCCTGCCAAGATCATACAGTACTAGATCAGTAGAAAGAGCAATCAGCAAGTACTCTAATGTCATTAAGAGTAACTCTGCCACTGGAACCAATACTGGCAATATCATGCTTGGCTTGACACAGACCAGACAGGTAGAGCGCACAAAGGCAAAGATAGCAGCAAGACTTCTTGCATACAAAGATTCCTCTGCTGGTTGGCCAATGACAGGTGAAGGTGAACGTGTTGGTGCTGGGTCTTATATTGAGTTCTGGGGGCCTTTGAGGAATAGAACGATTTGAGATAGTTTTGAAGGCATTTCATATCTTTCAAAACTTCTTGAAGACTTTTACAAATCAAAGGGGGAAGAGTGTAGCATGATTGAACCAGCTATACAAACTAGCTGCAAGGCATTTGACAATGGTTGTGTGATTGACTCTGCACTCAACCAAAATTGTGTAAGGGAGGCACATAACATTAGATTACAGATTCAGGTTGATGAGAACTGCAACATTGGGCAGAGCTACTCTCTAATCTATAAGGATTTCTTTGGGAAGGTCGTCGTTTTCTTTGAGCACAAGCTCAACAACAAGAGGTGGCTGCTTGCTCTTGTTCAGATATATGTCATCCATGAAACAAATGGAATTCCTGTTGTGACAAATGTACTCACAAAGCCAAAGATTGTTCATTTGGTTGATGTAAAAGAGCTGATTGGCTTGGTGATGTCTACAGCCACTAATGGACAGTATATTATCTGGCTGGAACTGAACCATGGGCCAAAATTGTTGCTTGGTTATCATATAGACATATAATTTGGTTTGTTTTGTGTAATACATTTTTTTTTCGAATTGTCTTAACTTTTTGCTGGGAGGATAAAATATGTTTAGATATTTTTCTCTCTTTTACCTCTGACTTTTAATAGTCATCAGTTGCAATCTATATCTACTAAAAATATAAAATCTGTAGTTAAAATGTACTTTTGTCTATCAGGAGATTTAATTTTTGATATTCAATTTGCCTTTTGTCAACCTTTTCAAAAAACAGAGACTTTCTTGTTTCATTTTGAATTTTTGATGATTTTTTAATTATTATAGACCGAAAAGAAAGTCACAAATTCGAAAATCCCAAGTTTTTTCCCATAGTGTGTAAGCAAAAGGAAATCACTTTGGTTGTTATTCTCAAAAGAGAATTCTGTATAATCATCATTCTGATTAGTTGACAAAAATTTGGGTATGGCAATTATTGTCAGACATTATTTTGATGAATTTATAAAATCTGAAAATAATTAACTGCAGTACTTCTTTATGGGCAGTAATATCTTCCTGAGCATTAACCACAGTATTAGTTTAGAAAACCATATAAGACAATTCAATGCATATCAATAAAAAATATCTTTTATCCTCTCTTTGATTTTACATATACTCCTTGATTCCCAGTGGGTTTGACCTTTTGACTTTTAGTAAAAGGAATACCAACCCAGATTGGGAACGACAGCATGACAAATCCTGTATCACCAAAATTAAGCACAACACATATAATTCGTGTGTAAAAAACGTCGCCTGCAGGATTCGAACCTGCGCGTCCAAAGGACAATGCCTTAGCAGGGCACCGCGTTAACCACTCCGCCAAAGCGACTTCTTGATCTGCTACAAATATTGTAAAATAATATTACATAAGCTTATTTTTGGTGAAAGGCACCAGACAGTGGGTCTCTTTGGTAGTTTGGTCCAGCAGTTAGCCATGACAGGTGGTACTGTACTTGTGGATATTGATATCAATGGTGAGTCGACCAGATGACATGTTTCGAGAGACAGGAGTAGTCCCCCAGGTTTCTTAGAAAATCTCGTTTCTAATACCCCTTATACTCAAATCCCTAATTATATCTCGCTCACTACCGCAGAGAAAATGGTAACATATTACCACTTTGATAACATAACTACCATTTTTTACTTAATAAAAAATGGCAGTTATGACTCTGTATAAGGCCAAAACAGGCACTGTTACTGTTTTTTCAAAAAAAATCAAGTGTCCTTCCTTTTCTCTATTACATTCTTTCTTTTGTTCTATTGCTTTCAATTCTAGTACAACATCTTGTTTTTCCTTTGCAGCTTTAACAGAATGGTCTGTTTTTTATTATACAGTATTGGATCAGGTTTAATTGAATTGAATCTTTATTTCAATGTATGTTTTTTTAAATAAAAATAATAATAATAATAGTAATAATGAAAAAACAATTCTATTGGTCACTTGCAATAAAAAATAGTTCTCTTTAGCTACTGAAAAATGTATGCAGTAAAACATTACTATTCAAATTTTATTTCATATACTTTGGATATTCTAATATATCTTAGATAGTACTTATTATTTTTTACTGATTTCTACAAATATACTAATATCAGAGAAAAAACTTAAAATAAATAAATACATATAATATTATTATAATGCTTACCTTTATATAATATGCTTACTTGTTCAGTAAAATAAACATTTATTCTAAGAATATATATATATTAAAGAATGTATTAATATTTAAGATCTATATATAAGAAAAGCAATAAAACATAAGCACTATAGAAAGTTGTTATTGTAGAAGAAGAAAAACTTGAGCAAAGATTCAAGTCATGTAATATAAAGCTAATTTGAATCTGATTGATACAACTGGAATGAGCATCTTATTAGAAAGCTCAAAGTGTTTATTCTACTCAATATACTTACATATAATAGAACAATTTCCAAATATAATATATCAGTACAAAAATATTACTATTAATTTTTCTCTCAAAAAAAAGGCTATATACTATTTTCTTTTATATTTGAATGTAGCAGAATTATAGATGCTGTACATTAGCCTCAAATTCTTGTAATCACAACATTAGCAATCATATGAAAGAGGTCAATAAATTTTTTATATAAAAGAAAAAAGGAATAAAAAACATAAAAAGAAAAATGACGAGATAAGAAAAAAAAATGCACTAAAGACAGACTAAAAAAATCAAACTCAGCCAATCACAGCAGCCAAACTATGATTTTTGGCTTCTCTTGCGAGCAGGCTTGACACTTGCTGTGAGTGGAGGAGACCTGTGGTATTTCAGATACGAAACAATAGAAAAATAAAATATTTGATAATAGAGATGTATAGAAATACTTTGAGACTGTCTATAAGTTGTCCTTATTCATAAATAAAAAGTGTCCCTTTTTATAAGAAAACACAATCTGCTCTTGTCATTACGTCTTAGTTTCTTAAGGCTTTCTTCCTTTACTATATTTGGTTATTAGAGTGTATTTATTGCTTAACTAGTGTCAATGTTACAATTATGACATCAAGTCATAAATCGTACTTCTTTAGCTCTTAGCTATTCTTTTTTCTTTTATACTAGAGCTTTAGGACTTCCTACTAAATTAGCTCCATATCGATCTGACACAGTTTATCTGGAAGTATGATATAATTATCTTAACAATCTTTAAGATATTATCTACAGTACTAACTGTAATAATTATTGGGCTGATTACTTAATCGTTTATATATATTTTATACTGACAAGATGATAGCTACTACGCTATTCCAATATGAATATGTTCTTATATGTGATAAATCCAACATCCGAGTGTCTGGATCACCACATTATCCCCACCCAGGTATTAACTAAATACCGTTCAAGTACTCTATGCAATTCTTCTGATCAGCTTATTCTTTTTTTTTTTTTTATTTTAAACGAGTACTGTGGTACTTAAATAACTCTTTATTTAGACCTTACTGTGTTTCTTCTTTTGATAAGCTGTCTTTGCATAATTCTTCCTTTTAGTACCTGAATTTTCTTTAGGTGCGGAATATGCAACTTTCATATCCTTTAATAATTTCTTATTGGCCTTATTGATGTCTTTGATACCTTCTGGAGCTTCACCAATTCTTTGCCAGTATTCCTTTATGAACTTAGGATCGGTAAAATGATCCTCTGGCTCCCAGGTATCGTGAGACTCATCATAATCCAACCATTTGCATCTATACAAATAATTGTTCTTGTCATCTTTTATGTGCCCAATAATTGCTTCGACTTCAAAAAAGTCATTCTTTTGCTCTAATACCTTGTCAGAAACTTTTTTCAATAAAGAAGGAGGATAATTCCTTGGTTCTAAAAATCCCTTTTCATTTTTCAATACATAAGTATTGGCAGCAGTCTTTCTAACAACAGTGTAGAATCCCTTATACTTCGGATCTAATTTATTCTGTTTTTCTGTCACCAAAATCATTACCGTGGTTCCTGGAACCAGATCTATCATTTTGTGACTTCCATCAAAGCGTTCCTTTTGCTTTTCTGTGACATGCTTTACGTGTTCAAACACGGCAGGGTAGACTATCTCAGTCATTCTTTTAATTTTTTCTTGCAACTCTTTCTGAATCTGTTCAGCAGTTGCACTATCCTTTTCTTTACTAAAATCGACAAAGTCATTTGGATTCCTTCCAAACATTAACGAGAATGGCGTACTCTTAGTCCTAGCATTATACTTGCTATTCAAAAACAACTGCGCAGATGGCACCTTCTGATCCCAATCAGCGACATTACCAACTATTTGTTTTTTAATGGTGTTCACTGCCGACTGGACAGCTCTTTCACTTGCACCATTAGCTCTAGGATGGTACTGCGAAATCAATGCATGTTCAAAACCAACATTCTCTTTTATACATGTCATCAGCGAGTTCACAAACTCCCATCCAAAATCACTCTGCAACTTTCTCATCGGACCCCATGTACTAATGACGTCCAGTACTTGTAACGCAATCGTAGCTGCCCTTTTATCAGGTATGGTATGCAATACATAAAATTTGCTTGCGATGTCTATCATCACTAACAAGTACTCATTTCCTCTAGTCGACGTTGTAAATGGCCCAGCCAGATCTATTCCCCAACTGTCACCAGGAAGTGTTGCAGTCACAGGTCTTAAAGGATTGTAACCTTTTCTTGTGATATTATGACGTTGACACTGTATACACGATTGTATAAGATCATTTGCTTGACTCTTCAAGCTGGTCCAATAGATACCTTTTCTCTTTAAGGCATGTAGTATAGCTTCTACACCAAAATGACCTTTCAAATGTTCTTCAACTAATAACTTATTCCTTTCATTTTCTGTGGGAGGAGTAAAGTACTCACCACTCAAGATGTCTGGTAGCGGTTCCATAGTGACAGCACTATTTCTCATGATGGATCTAACCACACTATCCCCACCCAGTTCATTTGATAATGTTTCAGTCTCTTCAGATAAACGTGACAACGCATCAGGAAGCACATTCGAAACACCAGGCAAATGAACGATCTTAAAGTCATACTGTAAAATCGTGTCCATCCATGCGATCATCATCAGATTCGCAACACGTTGGGTGTGAAGATATGTCAATGCCTTGTGATCCGTGTACAAGGTAAAGTGAGAATCATAGACATACTTGTGAAAACGCTTGAGTGCAAATACTAACGCTAGTAATTCTCTTTTGGTCGCAGAATACTTTCTTTCACTTTGGGATAAGCTCTTAGCCACGAAAGAAATATATTTTTTTTGCCATCCTTGACTTGATACAACACTGCACCAATACCAATAAGAGATGAATCACAGCTGATACTAAAAGGAGAGTTCATATCTGGGTACGACAACACCAGATCACTCAAAAGTGCTTTTTTCAAGTTATTAAATGCAGTTTGATGCTTATCTGTCCATAAATGGGTAATCGACTTTTCATTTCTCAATGAATCTAGTGGCGACATAATGGAAGATACATTCGGAATCAACGTTCTAAAATAGTTGCTCAACCCACAATAACTTTGGATATCTTTACCCGTCTTTGGTTGAGGAAATTCAAGAACATTAACAAGTTTTCTGCGGTCCATTGTAATTCCTTCAGGTGAAATATGAAAACCAAGCAAATAAATTTCTTTCTGAAAGAAATGACATTTTTTCGGATTCAACTTCAAATTGACCCTTGTTAATCTCTCAATCACTTGCTTCAAGTGTTCCTTGTGTTCCTCGAACGTTTTGCTTGCGCAAACAATGTCATCCACAAAAAACCGTACAAAAGATAGTCCTTCCAAAGCTATACTCATAGTTCTTTGAAATTGTGAACTGACATGCTTTATACCAAACACTGTACCAATAGGTTTGTACTGTACACCACGCCATGTGAAACTAAGTTTGTGTGTGTCCTTTGGGTTCAACCTCAAAGAATTAAACGCAGATTTCAAATCCAGAGTGGAATAAATATTCGCACCCTTTAAATCTTCAAACAATTCACCGATCAATGGCTAAGGCATACGATCAATTGACTTCAACAGGCAATTAATTAATCTGGGATCATGGCAAACGCGATATCCAGTAATTTCTCCTTTACCGTTTGTCTTCTTGACAACAGTCAAAGGCGTATTCCATTGTGTGTTTGCAGACGCTCTTTCAATTATACCATTGTCCAGCCATTGTTTCACCTGTTCATCCGCTACACCTTGCATCTTGTAAGGAATGGGATAAGGGCTTCTGAACGCCGTAGCATTTTCTGGGGTGTCCAAACATACAACACTTTCAGGTATAGTACAAAATGAACCCTTAGGAATATCTTGATTGTCTTTAATGAACGGTCGAATATAATCCATAGCATCCTCAAACTGTTTGGGACCTACAGCCGGATTATTTTCCTTTCGTTCATTTTCTCTCTCAATGGATTCAAGAAGATCACTCTTACTGTTGAAGCGTCTATTGGCTTCTCTACGTTCCTCACTTGAATCAGCATCATCATATGATAAAGGTAAACCATAAATACCAATACCAAGAGAAGACATATAATCAGTACCAATACTGAAATCATACTCATGACTATTAGTTAAATTCATCACTTCAAACTCGCGTTGAATAGTCTTACTATTGCAAGTTACACTGATCACACAAGTACCGATTCTTTTAATCTGGGTATTGCTATCAGCCAAACGAATAAAATACTTATGAACATTGTTTTTGTTCAACAAATCTTTATTAATGTGATTGATGTAACTAATGGCTATTCCATTCTTCAAGCAAAAATTCTTGTCCACCGAACTGAACGTGGCCCCACAGTCCAACAAGGAGATGGTTCTAATAGAATTATTTGCCAAAATAGGAAAGGTAATATTAGTGCTCATGTTCTTAAAATCTCTTTTAATAACCATGTCTTTCAGATTGTACTTACAATCTAATGCCATCTTGGCCAGAGCACTAGTGTTGTCTTGGTACTCTGACCAAGACAACGAGGGACTCCCCTCAACCACAGTGGAAGCTCTTGCTGGTCTACCAGCAGAGGAGCGGACTGCCATCCTTGACACCTTTGTCAAGTACTTCTCCTGTTCCGGACAGGAGTGTCCCTTAACCCAGGGAGCCTTGCATGAGAAACAGATGCCATCCTTCATCGCCTTCTTGAAGTCCCATGCCTTCTTGGGAGACTGAGAACCACGCTCGCAAGAGAAAGACCTTTTCTTTCCCTTGTGGGAACCAGCAGAGAGAGAGGACGCACCATTGTGAGCAGCAAACGAACTCCAGGAGGACGCGGCAGTACCATTGGCAGGATTATGTAACAAAGCAGTGGAGTCACTTGTTGACACACTCACCAACGAGATGATGTCCTCAATCTTTGAGGGCATCTTGGTACCATAGTTGGCTGACAAAGGAATGAGACAAGCTTCCCGGACTTCCAGACGCAGATTCCACCAGAAGCAGAGAACCAATTGAACACCATCGTCCAACGAGGCCTGGTGGCGGAACTTTTGGAACTTGGCACCAAAAGAACGAGCGGACTCTCCTTTGCCTTGTTTCATGCACCAGACACGGCCCATGTTCAGGAACTTACGGAACGGCGTGTCATAGTGATCCAGAAGAATACTTTTGGTCTTCTTCCAGTTGTAGGCCTTGCCTTTGAGCTTGTCCTCAAACCAAGAACGTTCTTCCTTGTTCAAACAAGTGGGCAACAGACGTTCCCAGCAGGAATCCAAGGACAGAGAGTGTGCTTCCAGGACTGTGATAAACTCCTGGCAGAAGTCATACACCGAATCGAACACATCGCAGTTGGCCTTCACCAGAGGACCCTCAGAACGAAGCTGGAGAAAAGGTAGGTTACTGGGAACCAGAGTGCTTCTCTTGTCATGAGGCTTAGACGCAGGAGCAGTGGAAGTCTTGAGGTCCTTGAGGATTTGCTCAGCCTCAGCAAACAGTTCTTGTGCTTCCTTGGCACCCTTGGAAGCATACTTGGCAGCAGTAGAGGTGGGATCCCTCTTGGAAACACCCAAGTAGTGGCCTAGAGCGGCGTAGTAGTTGCCCTTCTTAGTGTTGAGGTCCTCCTCAGCAGAAGCTAGCAACATCTCCATGGTGGCAAGGTTGTTGTTAACTCTGACTCCAGAGTTACCCAAATAGATGCGAGGAGAATTGGCACCCTCATAACCAGAACGGCCAGCATCAGAACCAGAAGAACCTTCTTCAGAATCAAAGGCACCGTCCTCAGAACACAAGGGAGTCATCACGGTATCACCATCGTGGTCGGCAGAACCAGCAGCAGAAGGAGGTGGAATGACACCAGAGTTGACACGGGTGGTTTCTTCACCAGAAACGATAGTAGAGTTGACAGCAGATTGTTGAGACATTTCGAGAATTGAAAGTAAAAAATGTGGTATTTCAGGTACGAAACAATAGAAAAATAAAATATTTGATAATAGAGACATATAGAAATACTTTGAGACTGTATATCCATTTTTTTTATTCATAAATAAAAAGTGTCCCTTTTTATAAGAAAACACAATCTGCTCTTGTCATTACGTCTTAGTTTCTTAAGGCTTTCTTCCTTTACTATATTTGGTTATTAGAGTGTATTTACTGCTTAACTAGTGTTGGTGTTACAATTATGACATCAAGTCATAAATCGTACTTCTTTAGCTCTTAGCTATTCTTTTCTCTTTTATACTAGAGCTTTAGGACTTCCTACTAAATTAGCTCCATATCGATCTGACACAGTTTACCTGGCAGTATGATATAATTATCTTAACAATCTTTAAGATATTATCTACAGTACTAACTGTAATAATTATTGGGCTGATTACTTAATCGTTTATATATATTTTATACTAACAAGATGATAGCTACTACACTATCCCAATATGAATATGTTCTTATATGTGATAAATCCAACATCTGAGTGTCTGGATCACCACAAGACCTACATAAAAGAGTAAGAAGTTTATATTAGTTTTGTATTAACAGTGCATGAGAAAAAGCAACAATGGTAACTTACAGCACATCTGCCATTATGGGTGACTCAACATCACTAGTTTCTGACATATCAGGAGAATAAAGCGAAGAATCACTTATGTCTTGCTGTATCAATAGCATAATAAAAGAAAATAATGTTAATTAAAGTTTACAATATATAGATTTGTTAATTGATAAACTTACTTTGTTCTTCTCTGCCATTCTTCTCTTGTGTGTCTGGTTGTTACTCTTGAAGCTTTCCTGAAGAAGGCTTCTTACACATTACATTCTTTTACATTAGTGGATGTGCAATCCACCATTCTTTGCCAACCTCTCCAAATGTATCATATAGTATTCCCTGTTTTTCTCTGAGATATTCTTCCATTCTTTTGAGGCCACATGATAGTCTTTATCAATGATATCATGCTTTACTGTACGGCCTAATGTTTTGAGATGCAGTCTTTTTACTGTCAAATCATGGTCTGAAAGAGGGACTAATGGGGGCAAAGACTACCCTTGTGGAACTTCTTTGCAGCGCGCCTTCCAGTCCTGCTCGTGAAGAATCTGAAGCAACAGATTATATTTTTGTGCTTTGTTTTTTCCTTTAAACTTGCCGCCAGTATTGATTACTTGCTTACCGAGCTGATCAGGGTACTCTGTGAGCTGGGCTCTTTTTACAGACTCAGCAATGCACTCAAGAGCTACAAAAAATGTATAACAATATTAATAAAGTAAATAAACATCTAAGCACAGAATATATATGACTTACAACTCTGCTCAATAATACTTTATTGCATTATAGTTAAATCTTTCGCACTGACTGCTGGTGCAAATTGATTGCTGAATTGCCTTTGAAGCTTGCGCAATGCTTGCTTGATTTCAGCCAGATCAACCTCAATATTTTGGATTGAGTTGAGGAGAGTTGTGTTAATATTGGACATGTTTAAGTTTTTTTAGCTATAAGCAGTGAGTTGAAAAGAAAAGATGATAGTTTAGACAAGTAGAATAAGAGCGATTTGAGTTTGAGAAAGGCAACAATTTATTACAAGCAATTGATAGCTATTTATATGAAAAAAATACAGACAGATGTACAAACAAAACATATAAAAGAAGGGATGCTTATGCACTTGTATGCACCTGTCTGCACCTGTCTGCAGTAGCTCATGTGAACATGATACAGTCTATTTTTGTGTCAATAAAACAAAACTATAAGAAATATAAAGATAAAATGAATTAGACTTTAAATCAATATTATATATATAAATGTTCATACTTTGCACCATCTACATATTAAACGTTTTAAAGTATATGATATAATAATATAACTCTATACATATTGCAGATATAGCATGAAATTTGGTTAAAGTTCTCAATGACAAAACTCTGTACCAGTTAAAATTATAACTTTAAATATACTCTACAGTAGCTATATAACATCTGAACATCATATAGTTAATTAGTCCCTTTTTATCAACATTAAAGTAAATGTTATGATACTCAAGTCCATATCATACTTATTATTATTATTAACTAAAACGCGTTTTAATTGATACTGTCATCAAAGATAAAAATAATTTTAACTGTCATTACTATTATTTACCAAGGGGCATTTTTGACTGAAAACGTACATTTTTGAAAAAGGTGTGCTTTAACTCACATTGGCATTTTCAATTAACACCCCTTTCAATCAGTAGTGCTTATCTTGATGATGTCAGTAAAAGAGTATCAAACTATAGTCCTCATTATCTATATCTATTTCTTTAAGTTTTATACATAAACAAGAAAATAATGCTATTAGCTAAATATATATTCACTATCTCAAAAATACTATTAGTACAACACAGATAATATAAATATGTCTTTTCTACCAATATGTTTAGACAGTACTACTTTTTTTTAACTGTTAATTATTAGAAGGCTGTTTTTCTTTGCCTTTGGTATTAGAGAGTAATTGATAATTTATTTAAAAAAAAATATAAATTATTTGGTTGTTAATTATCCTAAATATACATATACCTCTTTATAAAGCCCAAAGAATATCTAATTGCTCACAAGTAAAGAGTACATGTCTGTTTCACTGATGCTCTTTTAATGGTACCCCCTTGTCAACCAAGAAGTATTTTAACTTACATCATAATTATTAATGAAGAAGAATCTTTCCAACCACAGGAATTATTTACTGACAGGTGTTTTACCTAGCATTGACATTACTGTAATCATTGCTATATTATCACTATGAGAGAGAAAAAGAAAAAGAGCCGCAAGCATTTTGGTTAAAAAATAAAGTATATAAAGATGTCTTTTACATTTAATGAATAGCACCAAAATCCTTTTCGCAGTTTTATTTTATATATTACATATGCACCAACCTAACCAATATGTCTTCTTTCAACGCCAGTCAGCAGAGAGATAGAATATCTACACAGCAATATCATTGTGATCAATGTGTCTTGTTTTTTGATAACTACCAGAAGCTGCAAAACCACAAGAGAATTCACAGAGGAGATTCAGCAACAATGACTGAAATTGATCAGTCTATTCTGGATGATGTTGACATGTACCATGACAAAAATGATACTAGCAATGAAAATGAATCTGTTAGCAATTCAGGTAATGAAAAGAGCTGTAATTGTATTATTTATTTTTCAATTACTAAATAATGTATTACAGAATATACTATGGAGTCTATGAAGCTTAATAATACTATTTCATATAAGTGCGCATGTAATTTTGAGGACAGTGAGGGTGAAGCTCACATTTACGACAGCAGCCAAATCAGTACAAATACTTTTATCAAGGCCGAGTTGATGAGTATTCATCTGTCTCAATTGATGCTACAGCATAGAATTGCTAGAGCAGTATATAGAGACATTGTTCAATTTATAAACACTGTCATCCAAGACCATGACGATATAATGATAGGTAAAATATTATATTTTCTGTTACCTTGTACTTTTATTCCAGATCACTAACATGTAGTGATATCATTTTTTTTTAGAACCTGGAGCTAAAATCAGCCATGGCAAAACTGTTGATGCTTTGCTCAAGTCAAAGTCAAGTGTCAAGGGCCATGAGTATGATGTCTGCTCTAGTGGTTGTCAATTGTATGGTATTAATGACGACCAGGAATCTTGTGTTGACTGCGGCAAACCGTGATACAAGACTGATCCTGATTAAAGTCAGATACCAGCTGCCAGTATGAAACTTATGTCAGTCGGGAATATGCTTTCTCAAATGTTGGCAGATCCAGCCACAAGAGAACTCCTCTGTTACAGAGCAAACCAGAAATCTGTAGCTGGTCAGCTAACCGACATTTTTGATGGTGACAATTACAAGCAGTTGGTGCAGCAGGGCCTGTTCTCCAATCCCAATGATATTGCCATTAGGCTTTTACCAATGGGTTTGTCAATCAAAATAAAGGCAAAAACTCATATATCATCATCCATTGCATAATATTCAACCTAGATCCATCCATCAGGTAATTAATTAATTTATTACTATTTATTATTATTATTACATTTTTTTAAAAAAAAGTTACTAATAAAATACTTAGATATACCAACAAATACCTTTTGCAACTGGCAATCTTGCCTGGCCCCAAGAAGCCAACTCATTTGGACTCCTTTCTTATATCCATCATCAATGAATTGCAAGATCTTGAGGCACATGACTTGGTTGTCAAGCACAATGGAGTGGAGCTTTGCAGATTCAAGGTCTATCTGCTGCTTGCTTCTGGTAATATTCCAGCTGTAGCTGATATGGCCCACATTGGTTCCCATACAAGTTTATTTGGTTGCCGTTTTTGTGAGACCAAAGGCAAATGCCCTACTAACAGATGGCATGGCATGTACTTTGATGACATTTCTGCCCAGTTAAGACCTTTGGAAGACTTCAAAGTAGGCAACCCTGTAAGTATACAAATGTTAAATTAGCCATCTTTTTTTCATACTAAATAACGGCTTGTAATAGTTGAAGAACATATACCAGCCAAGCATATATACCCAACTCTCAACCTTCTCTGGATCATCATTTTTTGTATTAGATGAACTTCATTTAATTGCAAGAGGAATTGGAAAGCTTGTGTATAACCTGATTACCATCACCCTCATAAAGGAAACCAAATTTTATTATACCCATCCAGACAGTACCCTCAATACCACCAAATACCCTTTTCATATACCAAGAGCAGATCTTGTAACAATTGGAAACTGTATCACCAGCTCACAAAAATATATACCCACCTCATTTCAAGGCAGTTTTGACAATGTATTTGCCAAGATCAATGATACTCGCGCAGTTGACTGACTTGACTTTCTCTTATACCTTGTCCCCACTTTGGTCATGTCTTATTTACCAAATAGAGCTGTCAAAACAGCTTTATTATCTCTCGTGAAAGGTTGCATGCTTGCCTTGCAATAGACGTTGACATCAGAATTGCTTGATGAGATGGAGTCATAAGTTATTATACATCTCATATATTATCATTACAAATAGCTGATTGTTACCATTTTTTAAATATTAATAATAGATACTTCAAGCACTGGCACTCGTTTTTATATCAACAAGTCCAGAATAATACTCTGTCTCATAGTGTTTTCCAACCAGTGCAACATTACTTGGTCCATATACCGTATATCATCAAGCAGCAAGACCCCCTGCAATGCTACTCCACTTGCTCAATGGAGAGAGTAATTGGCGTCTTCTTGAAATTGATAAAGTCCAAATCAAAGGGTGGCCAAAACGCCAGTTTTCTTGTCGAGCAATTTGCAATTCACAATTATACTAGCATGGCAATCAGCATCTGTGATGAAGTCAACCTCATTCGGCCAAAGCCATATGGAAGAGAGAGCTACATGGACCATCCTAATGATCCTAGTGGTGTGCAGTTGTGGAAGCCATTTCATCAGTTTGTTAATTTGAATAATGATTCAGTGGAAGGTGTAGGCGGCCCTAGTGTGAAGGAAGCTTTATTGAAATATTACCAGAGAACAACAGGCTTGAATGGCCATGAGTTTGGTGACTCTGTTGTTATTGTAGCTGCACGTCTGTGGATGGACTCGACTATATATTCCTCATGCATATACTGAAGAAAGAAAAACGAGACCAGCCGTGGCAACCATTATGTGATGTTTACTTGCCCCTATAGAAAGTAAGTATAATATTTTTTGATATACAATCAAAAGTTGCTTACATTCTATTTATTTATTTATTTTAGCAACCGTAATGTAAATGTTCACAGCTGGCTCATTAGTACAGTACAGTTCTACTTTCAGCATGTAGATTTCCATGGCTTCCCACACTTTCTTGCTTTCGTGGAAGTCATGAAGGAACATGACGCGGCTGGCCATGACTCATCAGTACCTATTGTCAAACAACAGTCACAAAGTACCCATACACTAGGCCACCAAATGCAACCGACTTATGCAGTTATAAGTGTAAATGACATTTGTTATCAAGTTGGTCTCGTCCAATACCCACTGAATGGAAACAAGTTTTATGTAATCACACCCTATTATATCTTTAACAACAATATGTGCATTACTAAAGGCAATCTTTCCATTCTGTAATCCTTTTTATTTTTATCTTATTTTTCTATATGCTCTATATCCTTATATCTTTTATAATTTTTATATCATCCTTGTATCTTATATTCTTTTTTTAATTTTCTCTTTTTCTTATGTTTTTTTAATCTCTATATGTCCCATCTTTCTTTTCTTCTTTATATACTCCAGTTTTTTTTCTATTCTCTATACACCTTATGCTTTTCTCTTCATTCTCTATATGCTCTATACATCATTACGTGATTTAAATAAAATCAAATTGCCAATTCATCAAGATAAAAAGAATATCTAAAAAAAAAGAACATAGTTTAAAAAATAAAAAATAGCAGTTAAGTTACCATTTTGTTCACACATTCCAAAAATTATTAATCTTAATAATTGTTAACATCTTTGATATTCAATAAAACATATATTTCAATACTCAAAGTAGTTATCACAACTTACAAACATTTTTTACAATATTTTCAATATTGTACAGCAACAAAAAAGTGTTTTCATGTTACTTTTTTAAATTGCTACAAATGACATTACCATCTTACAACAAATAGTAGAGATTTTATTATGTTCCAACCAAAAAAATGGCAGTTATGTGCCTACTTTCGGCCCAACTGTCATTCATCCCACTGTAGTAGTTGTATTATGCTTGTATTTATAATAAACATTGACAGGTGATATAGTATCACTGTTTTTGAGATTTGTATGAGCTTGTAGATTGAAATAATCTCTCTTTTCCACAAGAGAGAAAAAGATAAACTCAAAAGATAATATAGAATTAAAGATAATAAAATCAATAATAAAAAAACAGTACTATTGATCAATCTCAATAGACTTGACTTAATATACTTGGATAATCAAACAAGTAAAATATCAATAGTGTTAAATATTAAGAGAACTAGCTGTCAGAAAATAAGATGAAAAAAAATTAATATATATTAAATGCAAGTATTGTGATATATATAGTTTTGCAATTGACTTGTTGAATAATTAAATAAATAAAATTATTGAAAAATCTAATAAAAAGTTAGATAATTGAAGATCTATTAAATATGATTTGTTCTTTACTATTATTAAGTACAAATAAAATAAAATAATTATTAAGTCATAATCATGAAGATAATTATGTCTGTAAAGAAAATATAATAAAAATAATGTTAATTCCAGCTGATTTATTTAGTTAAATATAGTAAGAAAATAAGATGCGAGATGTGGTTGCATGAAGTTGTTGTTGATAAGATAATGCTTTTTTGTTGTACTTATTAATGTTTTGCTTTACAAATAGAAAAATTGCTTTCTATCTAGCCTCGACTGCTATTAGAAAATTAAAAAAATAGAATATAATTTTTCTACCATTACAAAGAATTTTGCAACATCATTGCACTGCCAAACAATCAAAATTTTATTGAGAGCTGATTATTTTTACAATACTCTATATCACAATTGATGTGTGATATATTAGATTTGTTGTAGATTGTAATGGATCACTTAACAAATAAAATACAATGATTATTGAATAGAACAGAAGATGAATACAGTAAAAGGTGGCAAGCAGCAATAGTTGACAAATAAGAAAAGAGAGAACTACCAATAGAATTGTTGTTAAAAGTGAGAGAAAGAGAAAGATGTATGAAAAAAGAATGATGAAACAGAAAAGTAATAACCAATGAGAAGACCAAAACTGACAAACAACCTTCCTAAAATCAAGGAACCAATGAGTTATGTTATAAAATGGTATAAACCACAAAGAGAAGAAAACAAGAAAAAATTACTGAAACTGATTGAAGAATATGGATGATATTTTATTGAATAAAATTGCTTCTTTTTTATAGTCAACAAGATTTAGAATTGATAATAGAAGTTTGGAAAAATAAATATAGTAAAAATAAAATAATGAGTAATCGATAAGCCAAGAATAAAATATATAAATAAAGATACGATAAAAATATAATAATAAAAGTAGTGATGTTGTGTGGAGATGTCGGCAAGATGAATTGTGTATATTGTAAAAGAGGAATGTTACTAGCATGGGTGACCATGATTTCGAATGAGTAAAATGTGAATGAATATATTAACAAGAGAAAAGGAAAAAGTATTGTATATAGAAGGAACAGAGAAAGGAAACAACATTTTTCTTGTGCACAGAAAAATTCTCCTCTTACCACCGAGGGCACAGCACCACATCAACAAACCGTTGAGGTCAGCCTCTCATAACCGGGACGACATGTTACAACAAACCATCAGACAAACTATCAGACAAACCCACTGAGCAGACTGACCTTCTGGTACCGGACACTACGACATGGCTAAATGCCGGATCTGTTTATAACACACATATCAATAACATCATTAGCCATGATAGTATAGTGGCAGTACGTCGCGTTGTGGCCGCGCTGACCCTGGTTCGATTCCAGGTCATGGCATTCAATTTTTGCTTTTGTGTCGGATTTTGTTGTTTTTGATCTGGGTTGATCTTCCTTTTTGTCGTTTCTGATTTTGGCTATCTTCAAATTCACTGTAAACATAGCCGAATTGGTCAAGCTTTTGTCAAGTCTCGATCTGGTATTTCTTTTCTGGCACTTGTAACTAAGTTACAGAATCAATACCACTGGGGATCATTAAGTTTTTAAGAATAGTTTTTAAATAAGAATAAAAATACTTTTTATTAAATATATTTCTTGACTATTTATACGAATTGATACTTAATTTCTGGCTAAAAGAATAGCTGCATTAATATGTCTTAGATGCTAGTTATCCAGTATTATCTTCTACAAGTATATTTATCATCTAAAACATCTAAAACATATACAAAAGACCAATCGGCAATGACAAGATCTTTTACCCTAAAAGTCAACCATTATTGGTTGCTTGTGAATTCCAATTTTGATTGCCAATGTCAACTCTGACACTTTAATAACTGTTGTAAATGAGTATTGACTACTGCTGTAATTGAGAATAAGTCTGAAGGAAATAATATAAGGCCTCAGCTATTCCAGTCAAAGGTGTCTACCAATTACTTTATTATTTAACACACAGGTTTAGCATGCATGATAGTGATTATATTTCATATGATGATATCACTATAATATGGGATACATCAGTGGATTATTATAAGCATAATTATAACTCATAAACACATTTACTTTCGATGTTAATACTTCATTGGGACTACACACATTTATATAATTAATCATACATTAATTATCCCAAGATCACGTTGCTCTGATTAAGGCTCAGATAGGATCGATTACCTGACCCCAGTCATATAATTTTCCCAATCCAAAACAATATAAATAGCAGTAGTAGTTCAGTGTAGGAACCTGGTCAAACTTTGATACAAAATCTTTCTCAATAAACAAAACCTACACAAGTTCTCATGAATCTTCGTTCCTAATTTCAAATCTTGAATTCTTCCTCTTAAAAACTTCTTCAACTTCAACCACCACAACAATAACACAGAAGTAAGCAAATAAGAGATAGAATAAAAAGATAATTTCTATTATTTTGATTTGGGTTATCTTATATATTTTTTGAAATAATTATTCATATTTGAGTATACTTAAGTAGTGTCTAGTAATATTACAAATTATTTTAAATTAATTACAAATCTCTAAAATTACAAACTGATGAATAATCATTCTAACTCCTGCTTCTTTTGTAAGAACAAGCCACTAGAACTTGTATCACCAAAATTAAGTACAACATTTTACTATTGTCATTTTTGATCTAGGTTGTTCTTCTAATGCTATAACACAGCCAAAATTGGTCAAACTCACTGGGAATCATAAACAAAGATAAAAGAATAAAAAGAGAATAAAAAGATAGATAACTTTTTTTGAATGAAATAAGCACTAGAAAAAGTGTCTACTTTCACACATGTTGAGCAAATCTAATTTCAAGTGAAAGAAAACATAAAATTACATCTCAGCTGGTTTTTGTAAATTAAATATTTGATAAGAGATGTAGTCAATTTAATTGGTTATAGCAACTTGTGTAGTATCTGAGAAAAATACTAAGCCTAAATAAATAAAAAATAAACTACTTTGTGTTTCTATTCTTTACTTTTAAACCCATAAACACATTTACCTTTTTTTGATAAAAATGCCTCCCAGCTGTATCTCAACCAAAAAGTTCAAATGCTACTGTGCAGTATACAGAATTAAAGTAGAAGGATATAATACCGTGTCTGCTCAAACACTTAAATGTCATGAAAGAGATGAACAAATTACAATCAGAGGGCAAATCAATAGGATAACACTAATCATAAATACTTTTTTGCAAGCCACAGTATATTCAGCCAATCAAGAGAGCAATTTCCAAAAAATGAAGAAATATTGTAAAAAAAAGTTAATGTGTTATTTTCAAGAAATTGATTAAGAAAGATATACTTTTTATTAGACAAACCAATTCAGCAATCATTTTTTACTTTAGTTAAGTTTATATAAGAGATAGCAGATAAAGAAGTATGGAGTAAATCTATAATATATAAAATAAGTTAATCTTTTTTAATATTTGTGACTTGCAGAAAAGTATTTACGATTAGCGTAGCCAAAATCAATAGATGTAGAAGAAACAATTATATTTTTATTTTTTTATTTTTATTTTTATTTCTATTTTTAATATGATAATAATCGATACAATTTATTAATTGAAATACAAAAAGTGATGTAGTCAAAGAAACATCTGAGGTTGTCAGCCATAATGAAATTAATTTTGAAGATAAAAGTAATGAATATGACATAGATTATATTTTTAGTAAAATGAAAACTTTTTTTATTCTTTATAATTATTTTTGTCTAATGTTCCCATTTTGATAGAATTGAATGACAGCATGAAAGGGATAGAAATGTCTGCTCAGATAAGAGACTTATCTCTTTCTGAATCTGATGCTGTATTTGATATTAAAGGCAATAAGTATGCAGCAAGCAATGATATTGATGAAGAAGATGAGAGTGACGATGACATAAGTAATTATGAAGGTTTGTATAGTAAATTTTAAATAATGTTGTCCCTGAGAGCATCCATAGCAGTAGAATTTAAATTTAGTTTTTTCTGATTTAAATGCTTTTTGGAAATACTTTCCAAAAAAGTGGTCTGCAGCAGTAGCATTTCCGACAGTATCTAATTCCATGCTCCATAATTTTTATGACCTTGAGCAATGAAATAGATGCTCATTTTAAAAACTTGCTGAGTATTTAAATTGTTTTTCTTATTTATTTTTTCTTTGAACCAAATAATAGTATATAGCAACACTTACAAAAACTCACAAAAATTATGCTCGCTACAAAGCTGATATTCTTGAAGACATTTAACTTATGCTTTTTATATTAGAAATAAAAGAAAAATATCTAATAATAATATATTTTACTAGTGAAGAAGACTATACCATATAGTATAATTATCTAAGTGCTCTTTTTATTATGTAACTAATATTTTACCCTCCATTTTTTTACTTCTTTTAATCTCAGATATGGCTTATTAGCACTCAACTTAATGCTAATTGAAATGCTACTGCTACAGATACTCTGAGAAATAAAAAGAAAATTGATCAATTGTTCTTTTTTTTTAAAAAAAGGTTTTTCTTTCAAGTCCATCTCGGAATTGAGTTTTATCTACTGTTTCATTATAATTGTTATTGTTTTCTTTGTATCATTATATGTTGTTGATGAAGGCACAGTGATTTTGATTTCCATTGTCAATAAGATTCTGGGATTCTTTAATAATTTGTTTTGTCTTTCATTGAGCATTTCTGATCTCAAACAACTTGTGGGATTTGGTAGCTCAACAAAAGGAATCAAGAAGTATACTGCCTGTGATGAATGTCATATGATATACAGTTGTGATGAATGCGTTCCATTATGTTGTACTGCGACTAAGTTTGGTAGTAATAACCTGTGCTCAACGTCATTGCCTAAGTCTGAATCAGAGTCAAGAATTGCAAAGATATACATGTACAATTCTGTTGTTTTATTATTGAAAATATTTTTCTATCATTCCGAATTTGAAAACAGTATTAATTCTTGGAATCGTAGTCTAAAGGTAGATGGAATGATGTTTGATGTGTATGATGATGCTATGTGGAAATCGTTGTTGAACATTGATAGAATTATATTTGTGTACACCAAGTGCTCACTGATGTTCACATTGAATATCGACTGCTTTCAGCCATTTGACAGGGTGACACATTCATGTGGAGCCATATACCTTGCTATCAACAACCTTCCATGCAACATTAGATTTAAGAAAGAAAATGTGATCCTTGTTGGATTGATGCCAGGGCCAAGGAAGCAAGCATATCTAACATCAATAACTATCTGAAGCCTCTGGTTGATGAGTTGACAGAGCTGTATACATGTATTAACATCAAAACTCATCAATATCCAAATGGTACTACTATCCAAGCAGCCCTTTTCATGGTTGCCTGTAATATACCTGCTGCAAAAAAAATATGTGAGTTCACATCCTATACTAGTTTAAATGCATGCCACAAGTGTAAGCATCAATTTTTGAGGTTGGCTGAAACGAGTTCTGTTGATTATTCTGGATTTGATTTCTCAAAGTGACTCTTTCGCACTAAGAATGACAATTGTAAGGATGCAGAGATCTGAATAAATGCAACCACACATGCTGAGAGACATCGTCTCAAGGTTGCAAATGGTGTTTGCTAGTCCAAACTGCATTGTCTCCAGTACTTTGATGTTGTCTGCTGCACGATTGTTAATCTAATGCACAATCTTTTTTTAGGCACTACTAAGAGAATGATTGAGAGATGGGTTGCAGATAGAATAATTGACAATAAAAAACTTGTTGCTATGCAAAAGGTAGTTGAGAAGATAGTGTTGTCATCTGATTACATGTCACTTGGGATAAAGATCGCAAAGAGGTTTCCCTATATGAAAGCTGATGAGTAGAAGTCTTGGTGTCTTATATACACTCTTGTTTTGCTGCTGAACAAGTTTAGGAATTAGATGATTTTTGTCAAAGCATGTTGAATCTCAGCTATGTCAAATGTCTGTGAAAGTGACATTGCCTCAGCCCATAAATATCTCGAGAATTTTTGTTAAGAGTGTGAAACATTGTACAGCTTGGATCTAATCTTTCCAAATATGCACCTACACCTCCACCTGCAAGTCACTATTCGTGACTTTAGATCTGTATACAATTACTGGTTGTTCAGTTTTGAACAATACAACAGTATTCTAAAAACCATAAAGACCAACAGGAAAACTGAATTTGAGCTGATGTATGCAAGTCAATTCGTTGAGAATGTTCATAAATAAGATACAATCAGCCGCATTACAGAATCTACTGATACTCATACATATATGGATATATTTCAAAAAATCACAAAACATCAACAAAAAACAGCATCAACAATAATCACATAGTCTTAATTCTCTTTTTCACTTGCCAACTTTATCACTGCTACGCTGGACGTATCAATATTGATTAAAGGCAACGAACCTCTCCCACCAACTGCATTTCATTTGGCAAAGAAACCTTTGTCACTGATACCAACACCTGAATATAACTGTCTCATTGACTACTACCAGATTGCATACAATGACGGGATGATCTCTAATTGCAAGAATGATATGATGAGTTCATCATTTGTAAATAACCATATTGAGATATTGAAGTCTATTAACATACTAGAGCAAGTTTATAAGGGATGTAATAGCAATGGACGTGGTTCCTACATCCAAGCTTTGTTTGAAGAAAATTGCATGAATGCCCATTATAGTTACATTGGGGAGATTTAGTACATTCTTGTACACTCATTCATACCCACAAACTCTCCCACAGCACCCAGTAACCACAACCATGAACATATCTTTGCCTTTGTTAGATGGTTCAAAACAACATCAGACATGCACAGACAATCCAAAGGTATTGAAATCTATTATGCTAACTTCTATAAATTGGATTTCCAAAGTATACTGCCCATCCATCGTATATTTCTATCAGTAGCAATCATTGACTACAAAACCAGACAAAATATCAATAGGAAGATTGCAATTCTTTTGCCACAAAAAATTTATGCTTAAGTCTTTTCTTTTTATATATTTCTTTATTTTATATATTTTATTACTTTATTTATTTTATTCTATTTTACTTTCTTTATTAATATATTTATCTCTTTTCTTATTTATATTTATTATTGTTTTTACTTTCAGTCTTGTTGTGTATAAATCAAATATAAAGGACATGTATGTATGTGAAGCAAAAAAATATTGTTTAATTGCCTAGGAAGGCAGTGACAAAATCAGCCAACATGGTACAGCAACATCTATTTCTCCTCTCAAAAACCTGGGCATTCTTAGCTTCGCATTCCCTTTTGCTTTATGATTGGATTGCATGCTTTCATCAATCAAGCCCAGAAACTTGTTGAACTATATTTCTTTTATTAATATTCTACTTCACCATAATCACACCACAAGAAATAACTTACTTTATTGCTTCTCCAGCTGGGACAGACAACTTTTAACATACGCACTGGGAACTCAGAGAAAAGTTTCTCTGTGTCAGACTTGCCGTCCAACATAGTCCCTTTTTGGATAGTATCAAAAAAAGCCATCTTGAAATCTTCTTCAACTGTGAGATCCATTTCCTTGCCTACCCCCCTCCAGTACCTAGTGTAGATATCCTGGCAGTGAGTATGAATCAAAGAAAAAATAGTAAGATGAGTACAAAATATCTTAAATGAATAACATGTTTTGTAATAACCTCTTTCATCTGGCTGGAAATTCTTGCTCTGCGGTTGTTGTTCACGCACTGCTCAGGTAATGTATGTGCTTTATGATGACAGTATCTATAGTTACTTCTTACCATCAATACTACCATGCCAGGCTAAAAGCTGACAGCTTGAGGTTGGGCATGGATATACTTCTGCAAGTATGCAACAACAACAACATTATTGGAATGGCCAATCCATTCATCTACATTCAATCTTTGTCTTGCTTCATTATTGGCAATCTCAGTAGGATTATTAGATCTGAAGTCTTTTTTCCAGATCTTTTCTCTGATCAAGACCTAGATACTACATGTTAGATTATTATTCACTCCATAAGATTTAACATATTTACCAAAACTGCAACTTTTGTCTCTTCTTCAGACATTCAGTCAAAAGATGGGGCAGCAGATGGGGCAACTGCTGTGAGAACTTGTCTACTTGTATATGCCAAAGACATAGCAATTGCACTAACTGTCTTGATGTTTCTTCTATGAACGTCAATGAATTGATTAAATCTGTTGTCCAGGGATCCAAGCATGGCACCCATGTTATCAAGGCGAGTTAACATTTCTGTCATGCACTGTTCTTGGGTAACAGCAGATACAACAAGATGTTGCTCAACAAAACCAACTGCAACATGAGTAAGACTATTTCTAGTATTAGATCTAGGGGTTCTAGGAGTAATAGGAGCCATTTTCTATACAAACATATGTTTCAAAATAAAACAAAATTATATTAAATTTTTTATTCTTACTCTTTTTATTTGCTTATACATTAAATAAATTTATACATACATAGTAGAGTGAATGTGTTGGAAGATTTGATTTTAGAGATTGAGATTGAGAAAGGGAATATTATGAAATATGGTGAAATAAAAAGATTCTTTTATATTTTTATTATTAGACTTCTTGAAGACGTGATATGAAAATATGAACTATTTTCCGTTTTAGATTCTTTCAATTTTGTTATAGTGGCTGAAGTTGAAGAAGTTTTTAAGAAGAAGAATTAAAGATTTGAGATGAGGAACGAAGATTTGTGAGAAGTTGTGTAGGGTTTGTTTATTGAGAAAGATTTGGTATCAAAGTTTGATCAGGTTTCTACACTGAACTACTACTGCTATTTATATTATTTTAGATTGGGAAAATTATATGACTGGAGTCAGGTAATCGATCCTATCTGAGCCTTAATCAGAGCAACATGATCTTGAGATAATTAATGTATGATTAATTATATAAATGTGTGTAGTCCCAATGAAGTATTAACATCGAAAGTAAATGTGTTTATGAGTTATAATTATGCTTATAATAATCCACTGATGTATTCTATATTATAGTGATATCATCATATGAAATATAGTTAATTCAAAAACCGGGCCAGCAAATGTAAAATTTGTACTCCGCAACTTATATTTTCTTGAGTTCTTATTCTTTTGCAATAGTTTTAATACACTCTAGAACATCTGTTAAAGAGCTACAACATACTATGCTAGTATAGATATATATATAGTATTAATAAAAAGTTATATGAAAAAAAGTGGAAATTTTCAGTGGCCTAGTTTTTTAGGTAAAGATATCTTTTTTATTTTTCCTTAATAAGATACTCTTTCTTCAAAATGCATTTAAGCATTCTGCTTTGCATGGATTCAATTAGATTCTTGCACATCTTCTCTGGGATACTATCTCACTCATTCTGGAAACAGGACCACAATTCCCTCATTGAGCTGGCTGGCTCTTCATATTGGTAGAGTTTGCCCTTTGTGTACGCCCAAAGGTTTTCGATGGGATTAAGATCAGACGAAAACAGTGGGAAATCAATGACCTCAATCCCCTCTGCCTTCAACCACTTTCTGGTATTGGCTGCAGTGTGTGACCAGGCGTTATCATGCAAAAACATGATATCGGACTTGATAAGATTCTGCTTCTTCAAGGTCTTCAGTAAGCTCTGCTCCAAAACTGTTACGTATTTTGGGCTTGTCATGGTTTCATTGATCTTGAGAAGCTCTCCGTGACCTCAAAACGAAAAGCATCCCCAAATTATAACGTGTCCTTCAGCACAAACAGGGGAAGTCTTACCCTTATATTTTTTAATTGCTGACTTCTTCAACTTCCACCTCCATCTCTTTCTATCCGAGCCAAAGCGATTCACCTTACATTCGTCTGAGAAGACAACACACTTCCAGTCCTCCACAGTGAAGTTGATATAGTTCCTTGCGAACTCCATATGCTGCTTGCAGATAGTGGGGTTTGTTTTTACCTTTGGAGGTGGTTCCAAGGTACAGATGAACCCAGATGCTTTTAGCAAGGTGCGGATTACTGGAGCCTTGACAGCAAAACCTTCACCACATAGCCGTCTCTCTGCCTCTGTTGTTGTCATAAATTCCTCATTTAGGAATGCATAGATGATATGGTGGGCGAGCCTTTCATCGATTTGGGCAGGTCTACCCCCAGGAACTGAGGTAGAGATGTTCAATTTTCTTCAATATCTCTTGACAGAAGTCTGCGAAATGCCAACAATCTTTGCTATCTCGGCTGTAGACTTTGCATGTCTAAGTTCAACTTCAATTGAGAGTATTTTGTCGTGTGAGATGGGAGATATTTTTGTTTTAAAGTTGAGCAAAGGAACAAGGAAAACTCTGAAAAATTCAATATAATATATCTATTTTGTTTGCATGATTGTGATGTAATGACAAGACACACTCCATATAAAAATTATCATAAAGCAGTTCTGCATTGAAAATAAAGAAATAATGCTTTACTCTATTTTTTGGCCCATACCTAAAAAACCAGGCCACTGAAAATTTCCACTTTTTTTCATATAACTTTTTATTAATACTATATATATATCTATACTAGCATAGTATGTTGTAGCTCTTTAACAGATGTTCTAGAGTGTATTAAAACTATTGCAAAAGAATAAGAACTCAAGAAGATATAAGTTGCGGAGTACAAATTTTACATTTGCTGGCCCAGTTTTTGAATTTACTATATAATCACTATCATACATGCTAAACCTGTGTGTTAAATAATAAAGTAATCAGTAGACATCTTTGACTGGATTAGCTAAGGCCTTATATTATTTCCTTCAGACTTATTCTCAATTACAGCAGTAGTCAATACTCATTTACAACAAATTTAATTCCCAGTGTCTTTTTTTTAAGAACACAAAGATTTTTATTTTTATATTCAATTTTTATTCTTTTCTTTTTATTTAATAGTTTTTCTTTTATTCATACAATCAGATAAAGAAATGTGATGTCTTTAAACTGGTCTACTGTACTTAATTATTTTTGTTTTTATATTTCTCTTTTTCTAGATCTACTAACCTTTTAATAATTTTTAAGATACTTCTTTATTTATCAATAGATCTATTCATATGGTTGAATATGTCTTACTCTTAAACATAAAGGTAAAGCAAGTCAAACATGCTCTAGTTTTATATTAATTTGTTTCTCATCTGTTAACAGATACATATCTTGTGCACGATTACACATGTCTACTATGGCAATGTACTTGATAAGCTTACAAAATTATATATGTATTTTTATACTAATACTATATTTATTTGAATACATCAGAGTATACAGCAAGTCCATTCTTTCAATTTTGGAGAATTGTTAGCATCATTTATTGAGATCAGTATATCTCTTATATTAACAGCTATTATTAATGTTAAAATCATTCTTTATAGTTATGACCTGTAATATATATATGACAATTATAACCCTGGAAAACTTAGCTGTAAGTATATATATATTTCTTTAAATACAAAACATATTATTTAACTTTTTAATTAACTTTATTTTTGTAGTAAATGGTAACAGTTATATTTATATCAGATTCTTAACACTACTCTAGATTACTCTCATTTACTGTACTATTCTTATATTTACTATTATTATAAATCCTCTCTTTTTACTAATGGTACCCAAACTACTTAATCTCAAAATAGTCAAGAGCTATGTGTATATTATATTATTACGTAATGTAATTCAAGAGAATTTTTTTTACAAAATAAACAAGTCCCATTTGTAAACTATTTACCAGATACTGTTTTATAGAAGTATAAGAAGACTATCTTACAGTCAATCAAATAAGAGTACTGAAGTTTATTCGTAAAATAAGATTCAATAGAATTGATTAAAATTTGAGAAAATTATTACTTTCTTCTAAAGAAAGTATCAGTTTTACTTCTTTTTCTTGCACCTTCAAGACTCAATAGAATTGCTTAAAACCTGAGGAAAGTATTACTTTTCTCTGAAGAAAGTATTAGTTTCATTTCTTTTTCTTGCCTTTTAAGAACAATGAAATTCTATGCCATATATAAAAAAGAAAAAAGATTTATTTTCATTTTAACCTGCGTTTCTGAGCTGGCATATTAAGGTAGTACTATACAACTTTTTTAGCACAATTCTTTCACATAGCATTAATGTTCTCATTTCTTAGATTTAATAAGAACTATCTCATAATGTCAAGAACACCCAAATCTTGAGTTAAATTAATTCTTTTACTTGGGATTTAATACTCTTTCACATAGAGAAAATTGAACACTTTTCCCAGTAAATGTCTTCTTTTATATCTTTTCTAAAACTACTCAGCCATTATAAATGTCTGTTTTGGTTTCTATTCTACTTTTGTTAAGCTATGCGCTTTCTAATTCTTTTGTGAGCAAAAAAAAATCACTTTGGCCGTATATCCTTATTTTATCCTATGGAGAGTTTGAATTAGTATTTAATTTAGTCCTGTGGCTTTCTAACTTTAATGACAGACAGTGACTTTTGCATCCTACACATGGCATTTTTTTCAACAAATAATCTCTTCCCTCTTTCTTAAAAACAAACTTCAATTATGTCTAACAACAATATAAACAATACTATTTATGATATTTCCACCATTCAACAAGTCTTGATCAACTCGCCTTTGAAAGGAATCAAGATGCTTCCTTTGAATTCAACAATATTAGTAAAAGCTAGTGAATGGGAAAAGTGTCTGGAGCGAATCAATGTCTTATGCTCAACAAAATTGAATAAAAAGCATAAATATTCTGGAAAAGGTTTAGTTCTTGGAGAAACTAAAAAATGCTACCGTGCTGGCCAATATATAACAAACCGCCAATTACGTCTTGCCCAGAAAGATACGAAGGCATGCTCTTGTACATCTGCCTTAAAAATCGTACAGCATCTCAACAACCCCAATATTGTTACATTTTGCCAAACAAGGGCACATGTAAACTATGTTCCTGGAGACTGGGACGAAGTCAGAACTCTTCCTTTACCTTCTGAAGTCATAAAGATTATTGAAAATCAGTTGAAAAGTGACAGCAGCTGTAGAAGTACAAGAATTTCTGTTCTTAGACAGATTGATAGTTGGAAAGTTGGCGTTAGAAAGCCTAATTATGAAGAAATTTACAACAGAATGAGAAAGGTTTGTCAATGAATATAACAGAGCTTTCGTATTAAATTAATATTTATATATCAAATAAATACTCTATATAAAATAGATGACTACTTTGTTATATATATTTGCTTCTGATGAAAATGCATCTATTTCCATCTGGTTAAATGTAAAGCTAGCAGAACAAAACTATTGCATTTTTGAAATCAATCTTTCTGTTTATAATGACGGTAAAAAACAATTTGCCTTTGGATTTCAATCACCAATGCAAGTTTCAATCATGAGAATCTCGCAATCTTTTTGTCTTAATGCCACCCATTCCATTTCGTCCAGAAGTGACAAAGTATTATATACTTTGGTCACTTGCTATCTTCAAACAGGAAAGGGATTCCCTGTTGCATACATAGTGACAAACAACCAGACAGCCATATCCATCAAACTTTGGCTTGACCACCTTTGCATCAAGAGCAGCTTTGTACCAATGAATATCACCATTGACTGTAGCATTATAGAGGTTAATGCAATCAAAGAAGCATTATCTCACACTGAAAAAATAACAATAAATACACATGGGGAAATTCAGGCATACTATTGTGAATATTCCGCATTTTACAGTGGGGTTTTGCCTATTTCCACTGGTATCAAAGCTGATCTGGTTACATGTGCACAGACCTGCTATCTACAAGTGTAAAGTTTGATAGCACTAGTGAAGTTGGGGTCAATAGTAATTTTATATCTTTGTATATAATAGAGTACCAAGAAAACTTTATTTTGAACTTTGTTTTTTGCTGTAATACAATCTGTTTCCATGTTAAAGGTTAATAATCAGAGACTACGTCGCATGTGTATTGTTGAACTATCTCTGAGTGAATAGTTAGAACCATGGACATTTTATTGCTTATAAGCCAATCATTAACACTCTTTATTATGAGGTCATAGATTATCTGCTCCCCCAATTACTTGATATTCAATTATTATTGGTTTGAATTATAGTTTATTTTTGTATTTATTAGAAAAAATAGAATGATTCTAGGTTGATAGTATTGGAATAATATTATATGCCTCGGGCCGTCTTCACCGGTATTTTTCATACGACTCAAATCAAGCAGTGCTTTATATATAATGTTTGTAAACCCTCATATTCAGTAGTTATCTTTGGCACAGATACTATTTAACATAATAGAAGAGAAGTTAGATGTGTATTTAAATATTTACATGTTGTGAGTGATATATTAATTTGAGGATACATATAATATAATGACTGAAGAAGATAAAAATAAAACTTTGAGAGTTCGAGGCATGGCGTCAAGTATAATTTCTTTAACAATGAAAATAATATAAAGAAGTTAGTTTGAGTGAATTGGGTGACAGAATATGTAATGAACGTACCCAAAGAAAGTCGATTTATTTGTAGACCTAGATAATACTTGTCAAGAGTTGATATAACCTTTAGTAAAAAATATATATTAATATACAGTATAAATAATATTATCATACATATTAAGAGAATAAAAGAAGAAGTCTTACCATGTCAATGATGGCGCCAAGAGATAGAGGTTTTTGATTCATTGCGTGTTTGGCAGATGAACATTTATCTGTAATAAAAATTATATTCTGTCAGATAAATATTAAAATAAAATAAAAAATAAAATATTACCATGTTGATGGTCTTGTTTAATTGCAGGGAATATTTTTGGCGATATTGTCTATAAAAAAGAAGGGGAAAAGGCAGAATAATTTTATAGGATGATGACATGAAATATAGTTACTAACCTGGACTAATCCGGATGGCCATTGTAAAGAGAATACATCAGAAGGAAAAAACACGCTAGTATCTATGACAACTGAAATAATAATTATTATTTAGTTACATTTGAAGAAAAGAATTGCTTTAAAAAAAAAGAAGATATGTTACCAAAAAAGTTTGCAAATATAGTAAAACACTAAGAGAGTATATATGTATCTATGATAACAGAATGTGTTAATCTTGTTGCTGTCTGTACAGAAGTATTTTTAAGAAGAATGTATCTTACCTGTAAAATTCACAGTTATAACAAAAATCAGAAAGAGAAAGAAAAGAAAAGAAAATGGTCAATAAGAAAAAAATACAAAAATATAAAAAAATAAAAAAATAAGTAAATAAAATACAAAAAAAAACAAAATAAGTAATTAAAAAAATGAAACTCAAAAAAATATCCAAAAAGCATAATAGATATAATGGTGTAGTATCTAAAAGCAATCTTTGTATCAATTTACACAGTGTGTGTACAAGAAGTTACTTTAGATATATTCTTTTAACCAAGATCAATCAAGACTAGACATCCTTTTTTTTGGAAATATAAATATACGTTTTTGCTACAATCTTACTCACCCTTGCTCATGCACTCTTACAATTATTCTTACTTATACTCACACTTTCTCTCTCTATCTCCCCATCTTTTTCTGTCTTTTATTTTGGTATGTTTGATAATAAATATAATTGTAGTGTATAATAGAAATTTATTCAAAGAATATAAAAAAATTAACAGTTAATACTGTGGTGATCCAGACACTCGGATGTTGGATTTATCACATATAAGAACATATTCATATTGGGATAGTGTAGTAGCTATCATCTTGTCAGTATAAAATTTATATAAATGATTAAGTAATCAGCCCAATAATTATTACAGTTAGTACTGTAGATAATATCTTAAAGATTGTTAAGATAATTATATCATACTGCTAGGTAAACTGTGTCAGATCGATATGGAGCTAATTTAGTAGAAAGTCCTAAAGCTCTAGTATAAAAGAGAAAAGAATAGCAAAGAGCTAAAAAAGTACGATTTATGACTTGATGTCATAATTGTAACACCAACACTAGTTAAGCAGTAAATACACTCTAATAACCAAATATAGTAAAGGAAGAAAGCCTTAAGAAACTAAGACGTAATGACAAGAGCAGATTGTGTTTTCTTATAAAAAGGGACACTTTTTATTTATGAATAAGGACAACTTATAGACAGTCTCAAAGTATTTCTATACATCTCTATTATCAAATATTTTATTTTTCTATTGTTTCGTATCTGAAATACCACACTGCTATTGATGACGAGATGAAAAGAGATTGCTCTGGTCTCATTATAGAAGAGGCTATGTCTGTTGGTGAGTCAGACGATGGCACTTTGCCTCATGTTTCTTATAGTAGGCTTCGTCTTCGTTGTCCAGGTTGGGGAAGTGATGAGATAATTAGTTTTTTTAAAGTTGAAATATTTAATTTAGTTAATATATTATATTGTATTATACTGAATAAAATATTAATGTCTTTAATATAGTACAATCACTTCATCACACTTGTTGACAACAAAGTGGTAGCTGATTTAGGCTTAAATAGCCATCAATTACTGTCATGTGCTTTTGGCAAAACCATTAAAGGACCAGTCCCTGATGCAATTGCGTCACAGTTTCCTCAGTGGGCTCTTATAAACGGGCCCTAAATAAAGTTTATATTTTTTGTTCTTTTTTTCTTCATTCATAACATCTTATACTTTAAATAACCAAAAAAATATATAAAGAGGCATTACTTGTTCTTTGTTTTTTATTTAATTATTCTCATAAAAAATCATAGTGCATAATTATTCATAAAGGCTTCAGGCACAGTATTTTTTTGGCATAGGAATGACCAGCATTCTTTCTTCGTTCATATCAGTTACATCTACAACAGTTGCAACCTCTAAGTGTATGCGATGTACAGGCAAGATGCTGTAATAATTATCAGCAGAGAATTCTGGCAAGCAGATTGCAATACCTTCATCTCTGTGTTCATTGTCATTTGTCAAATTATACCATCGGATGTATGCAAAAACATGCTGGTCTTGGTGTAATGTTGATGCTTGGTGGTTTGGATGAGGAGGCAGAGTAAATGAATGTATAAAAAGATACTGAATTTGTCCAGTATATAGGCTTGAAGTTCAGTCGTTGCTGCTACAAAAGAAAGCTTGAACGAGTGACCGGTGCTTACCAGAACTGTTGTTCCCAATATATATTTGGCCAAGGAGATCAATTGATTTCAATTTTGTGATTCGGTTATTTACAAAATATTGTGACAATCTGACATCATGGTAAGAAATGAGATTGGGCATGGCATAGACAATTTTATAATTATCTAACAATTGAGGATAATCAATATTACTCATTGTTGATTCTTTTAAGGACTGTAAAGGAAAGGTGGATGGGGGGAGTGGTTCATTGCCTTTGATAGGTGCTGCTCAACTTAAGGATGAGTCTACAAATTGTTGCAGTTGGAAAGGTTGTTGGTTGGTTGGAGCATAAGTGGCATAGGTCGTTATAGGTGCGGTCATAGAGGTAAGTTTTTCAAAAAGAGAAAGGAATGGAATGAGGCTTGGACATGATAACATATTTTGTACGTAATCAGCTTTTTATGCATCTGCAGTGAATTTTGTCATATAGGTTGTTTCAAACCCGTCTTTTCTGTTTGTCTTGTTATTCTTTAACAAACCATTGTATCTCTCAAAACCAAAGAGCCAATAGCTATACATGGGTCCAAAATCGCGAATTGTGTCATGAAGATGGAGGTGCAGGTGCATGTTGCAGGTGAGGACTTTTGGTTCATATGTATCTTTACAAGATTGACAGAATTCTTGTAGATATCTGTGTGCTTGGTCTATTTTGATGAAACTGATTGATGGCTTTACAAGTATACAGCATGCTTTTACATAGTGCATCCAGCCATTAAATATATTGGATGGAAGAACTGGTTTTAGAAGCACGGGAGAGTACACCAATACCCAAGACTTCCACTCATCTGCTTTCATGTGGGAAAAGCTCTTTCCTATCTTTGTCTTCAGCTTTGTATAGTTGTAGGGCAATATCATTGTTGCTGCAACTGTCTGCATTGCAAGCAGATCATTGTTTTTCATTTTCTTGATTTTTGTCTATGTTTCAATCATTCTCTTTGGTGTTCTCAGAAAAAGATTATGCATGGGATCAATGATCGTTCCATGTACTAGATCAAAGTATCTAAGGCGATACAACTGTGACCATCGAACACCATATTCGATCTTCAGTTGCTGCCTTTCTGAGGGTGTACTCACACTATTCCACTTCTCAGCATGCACGCGGTTTGCTCTATCACTTTGATGGCGCCACTGGTCACAATCAAATCCACGGAAATTGACAGAAGAAGTGCCTGGTAGACGAGAAAATTGATTGTTGCATTTGTAACAGGCGCATGTACTGATGTGCACAGTGAACCCACTAGTCTTTTTGGCAGCAGGTATATCGCATGCAACCATCAATAAGGCTGCATGAACTGTTGCACCGTCTGTTTGCTGGTAGGTAGGTATCTGTATTCCAAGATAGAGCTGTATCATTTCGTCGACTAATGGCTTGAGATAATGATTAATCTCTTCTGATTTTGGCTCTTTTGGTCTGGGCATGAGGCCAACAAGGATTGTATTTTCTGCTTTAAACCGCTCACTTCTAGGCAGGTTGTTAATCACCAGGTAGATAGCACCACAGGAATAGCTAGTACCATTGAAAGGTTGGAACCAGTCAATGTTTAATGTCAGCATCAATGAACAAGGATGCTCAACAAAAAATTCATTGTCATTGTCCTTCAAATCAGTCCAGGCTTCACTATTGTAAACATCACACAATGTATCAGTGATCTTGAATTCTTGGTTCCAGTGCATGATCTTTTGCTCAAAATTGGGATGGAGGAAAATAATTTTAAGAGCACATGTGAGAGACTGATATGTATAAGACTTCTTTGCAACCAAACCACCAGACAATGATTGGACCATTAATTTGCAATTACAGGCGGTATGTGCACCAAGCTTTACAAAATCACAATTCAAAGGAGCAGGTACACTTTCCTCATACACCTTGTGACAATCCTGACATACAACAAATCTCTTAATCCCTTTTGTCATGGCTGAGAATCCTGTCATGCTTTGAAGACCAGAAAGACTCACAGGCAATTGGAAATCCTGCTCATAAATCGACAAGAGCTTGTTGATGAACTCAATCAAGACAACAGCACCCTTATTGACCACATAGCAGAAAGCAAACATTACCACAAAAGTAGCAATGAACCTGTGTACTAGATTTTCAGGCATATTTGGGGTGGCAAAAGGATCTATTGTAAAAAAAAACAAAAAATTAACACCCCCCTTTTTTCAGATTTTTCTTTTTTGGCTCTTTTTCTTGAATTTTTTTTGGGTCTTTTTTTATTAGTTAATTAACACGGACTGACCTTCAGTATCAAATTCTTTGATTTCAATCTCAACAATATTCTCTTCATTGTCTTCACTTTCTTCACCGCCATTGCTTTCTTTGTCATTGTCATTTTCATCACCATCACTGCTTTCGCCATTTGACTCATTGCTAAAAGCAACCTCATTGTCTGAAATTGGGACTCCTTCCCAAACAGGCGAGTTGGTCTGACCGCCCATTGCTTCCATGGGTCCGGTTTGTTGGTTTGATGTAGCTACATATAGAATTCAATTTTTAGTTTACTTCTCTTTTTATCACAATTAATGTTTCTTACTTTCAAAATCAATATCCATGAGATTTCTTTGAACAGATACATCTATTGAAACAAAACATTATATAAAATAACCAAAATGAAAATAAAAATGAAAAACAAAACATACTTCTTTCACTTCTTTCTATGTCTTCATATCTTACTCTTTTATTGTGACGCTGGAAGGTTTGTGTAGAAACAAAGCTGTAGCCTTGTTGATTATTGCTGCATTTTATGCAATAGCACTTCTTATTATAAAGTTCAGAAGTAGAGGACATGGTGTTTATTTTGTTATAAATATTAAGATTAAAGGGAAACAAGTATTACATTTACTATATTTGTTCAAACTTTATAATAATAATAATAATAATAATAATGATAAAATAACTTGGATGGTTATTATATCTAAGCCAATAGAAAATTACAACATGACTTTATGAACATGTATACCAAAAAACATGTTGAGATGAAAAATTGCTCTAAATATCCACATGTAACCATGAACTTTCACACAAGGGTATTCAGGGTCATTTCTCCAGTGTTATGCTACAATTCACTACTGTGATTTTCATGTTCTTTGCACTTGACAGCACAACCTTGACAGCAAGATTAAACTTAATGCCTCTTATACATCAGAACAACTTGAGAATTATAAGACTGCACTGAAGAACTACCTGAGACACATTCTCATCGAGTCCAACAAAGATGTGTTCTTAAGAGCAATTGAAGATTTTAAACTGATGGTTCAAGATCAACCTCAGTTTTTGAAATATTTTGAGAAGAAATGGACTAAGAATGAAGAATTGTTGCGAAGATGGGGGCGCCCATGCGTTAGCCAACAACATCAGAGATATGTGACAAACAACTATGTAGAATCATAGCACAATCAACTCAAGACAATCTACTTTGGTCGTGCATGCATCAGAAGATTGAATCAACTGATTTTTATCTTGACAAATGATGTGGAGTTCTATTTTGAACAAGAGGTTGAGCGTATTCACTTCAACAATAGTAAGATGGGTCCCATTGATAATGAGTTAGCAAGAAATTCTTTTGTTGCTTCAAAAATCCAAAATGACATGCTCCCTTCCATGATTCTCAACCCTTTGGGTGAGACTGGTAACAGCATAGATGATTATAATGGTGAGTGGCAAATAAGATCTTTTGTAACAGAAGATAAGTGGTATATTGTCAATATATCACATGACTTGATACAAAGCTGCACCTGCCCAAACTTTCTGACCGCCAGATCCTATGCAAGCATTCACATTTGTTGAAGTGTTACTGTGGGGCAAAATTCAGTTTCATCGAGCAACGGGAGATAGCAGGAGTGGTATTGAACCAACAAAACACTGTAAATGCAAACGAGAACGAAGTTGAGGAAGAAGTAGAGGAGGAATTAGAGAGTGGAGATACTGCTGAAGATAGAGGTATATATGTCTTTGATGAAATTGCAGCTTATTCTGCAACGATGTATCATAGCTTTGAAGATCTTCAAACTTTGAAGACAATTTCTGGCTTAGATCAAACAAAGGCAGATCTTATAAAAAGAGCACTCACAGATGCTGTGAGTTTGATGGATGAATATAGAAGTGAGAACCCTTCATATTTTAGAAACTTGAATACTCAGAGAAAATAATAAAAATAATAAATATATATCATTAAAAGATCTTAAAAGTACAAGAAAAAATATTTCTGATTGATATAAACAAATACAATTCTAATTGAATTTACCAAAAGTAAAACCTGTCACTACCTCAATGGATTTTCAAAATTCAAACTCTCTGTAGGATAAAATAAGGAGATACCTTTGGTCGTCGTTCTCAAAAGAGAATTCTGTGTAATCGTCATCCTGATTGGCTGACAAGAATTGGGGCACAACAAAAATATCCAACAATTTTCGCTACAATGAAAAAATGCCCACTACAGGGGTCGAACCTGTGGCCTTGGCGTTATTAGCACCACGCTCTAACCAACTGAGCTAAGCGGGCACTTCTCTTTCGCTTAGGCTTTACTTTTTTGAATATTAAATTGTTTAAAGTTTGCATCCATACAATTCTATTATCAATCCATCCAAAATATTGCTTCAACCATTGCATCCATTGTCAAACATGACGCATCTACCCTTCCCACCACCGCATCCATTGTCAAAAAAAATTTTCCTATCGTTCCTGCCATTTTATCACCAATTTTCACTTTTTCTCTGCCAATTGCTGCCATCTCAAGATAATCGCCAAACATGTTGCAATTGTTGCTTACTAATTGCATGCAAAGTCTGCCAGCCGAACTTGTGACGTTTTTAACCAGTATGCAGTCACAGTTCAATGCACTTAATGAATGTACAGAACATTTGGAATCTCTTGCTGCCAAAAATGTCCAATTGCATGCTCAATTAGCTAATGTTCAGCAGGAGAATGCCAATCTCCGATTTCAATTGTTGCAAAACAATCACTGCAAAAAAATGCCCGATTCCCATACGTGATAGGATGTAAAATTCTGTGTGATTTTTGAAATAAATTCCGAATATTATACAACAATTCTCAGAATGATAGAAAAACTAGCTACTAAATATTAAATACCTAGATTCTATGGATAGAATGGGTCTGTGCGCAGTCATAGAGTTTTGTTATATCTCATTATATCCGAAACCTTAATTGAATTCCGAGTTTTTTTTTCTAGTAAAACGTTACATTTATTTTGTGTATTGCCTATTTATTCTTGTTTTGGACTCATTAAAGAAGATGTATATTTCAACAATCTTCTGATGATAGCTCAACTATCTTCTGGCAAGTATCAATCTTATTGGACGGGTACTCCATTTACAATTTGAATTTCATTATTTGATTGATCAAAAAATATACTTCTTGTACTTTTATTTAAAAATAGTTCATAGAAAATAGTTTACAAATGGGTTTTTATTTTATTTTATTAAAAAAATCTCAAAATAGGTTCTCTAATAATCGGCCTTGGATAGTTGACATTTGGTCTGGACATTTGATCCAGACATTTAACATTGGGTCTTTGTTTTGTATTCTCGGTTTTGGGTTCTTGATTTTGGGTACTGCAATTCTACTTTGATCATTAATAATATCTCTTACCTTTCGGGATAAATAAATGGGAATACTGCAATACCTCTTTGAATATTAAGGGAAGGAACAGAATCTTGGGATGACCAAAATCGATTTTGTTATTTTCAAAACATGTATGTACAGACCAGATTTATTCTTTGGAAATAGATGATCATATTGCTATGGATAGCATTTATATAATTGTTGGTATACTCCAAGTATTCCTAATAGAAAGGGAAAAAAATATGATTAGTATGAGAGAATAATAATTATAAAGTCTTGCTTATCAGAAAAAGTGATTCTTTGGCATCCTTTTAATGCGTGCATGCAAAAGAGAGATAGAGAAAATCTAATAAATTCAAAATGATAATGAAGAAAGTATAACATTAATATAAGTGATTAGAAGATATTCTATTAAAGCTTACCATGTTTATTTCCATCATTAGCTTTTGATGGTTGTCATCATCATCGTTTTGCATCTAAAGATTAATAAGCTGATGATTAGCATCGCGCAATAAAAGTTGTTTGCTTTCTTATTCATCTTTGTAAGCCAGTGTGTTATGTGGTATTTCAGGTACGAAACAATAGAAAAATAAAATATTTGATAATAGAGACGTATAGAAATACTTTGAGACTGTATATCAGTTTTTTTTATTCATAAATAAAAAGTGTCCCTTTTTATAAGAAAACACAATCTGCTCTTGTCATTACGTCTTAGTTTCTTAAGGCTTTCTTCCTTTACTATATTTGGTTATTAGAGTGTATTTACTGCTTAACTAGTGTCAATGTTACAATTATGACATCAAGTCATAAATCGTACTTCTTTAGCTCTTAGCTATTCTTTTTTCTTTTATACTAGAGCTTTAGGACTTCCTACTAAATTAGCTCCATATCAATCTGACACAGTTTACCCGGCAGTATGATATAATTATCTTAACAATCTTTAAGATATTATCTACAGTACTAACTGTAATAATTATTGGGCTGATTACTTAATTGTTTATATATATTTTATACTGACAAGATGATAGCTACTACGCTATCCCAATATGAATATGTTCTTATATGTGATAAATCCAACATCCGAGTGTCTGGATCACCACATGTTATGTTAACTCGTGCAGGAAGCCCTACATAATAAAGACAATAGAAGTTTTTTAGTGTTAATAATCATGTAAAATAAAGTAAAAAGAAAATATTAAGTAATTACCATAGTGTAGAAAAAGAAGCAAAAGTAAACAGTATAAGAGAAAGAGAGAGAACAAAAAAAAAGAAAAATAAAAAAACAAATTGTAAGAGTAGTGAATAAGCTCATTCTATTCTCAGAATTTATTAGGGTCTATTATAATTTAAAATGTGTGTCCCTATAATTTTTTCTTTTGTTGTTGTACACCCAAGAAGTATTGGAACATATAAATACTACTTCTATTTGCCAGATTATTATATCCTCCCTCACATTTTATTAGAAACCTCACATACTATTACTGTGCTTTACTATGTATGTTTGTATAATTAAAATAATATTTCATAATATTCTTCTATATATGCTTTATTTATTTATATTTATTTATTTTTTAAAAAATATGTAAATATCTGTAGCATGCCTTCCAATGCCACTAGAAAATCAGGATGCAAAGGCAAACAAAATGTCCGAGGAACACTTAGCCGTGTTGCTGCCAGCCGGATTGAGCAACGTGAGATTGCTCCAAGAGTATCGCCACTTGCAGCTGGTCCAAGTGGGGCAGAGGCTCCTGGAATGACTGTGGAGTCCCTAACGCAGGTTATGGCAGCCATCAACATGATGTACGATTGTACTGCCGAAGCCAACACTGGAATTCGTTTTCTGGTCGATGCTCACAACCAAGCCATTGCCCAGCAAGCTCTTGTTGCATCTTCTGTAACTCAGGGAGTAACTGCCGCCAATGTGTCTACAAATAGACACACCAAAGGCGAAATGCATGCAATTGTTCTGGTATGATTTTTTCTGACTTCATGCTTTAACACACTACCTAAATAATAATAATAATAATCATATAGAATCTTATCAATGGGAGAATTTGGGCGAGAAACTTCCATTCGAATGATCCTGAGCTTGTTGCTGAAAACGAAAGCCGCAGGCGATGGAACACGAATGAGAGGATCGATCATCCTGACAATGTTGAGGTGATTAATTACCTCTGACAGTATATCGTTGCCCAGCCTCGCACAGCTGGGTTCTGGGAGGATATGATAGTGCAGAAAATAAAAAACAATTACAAGACATGTTTTCATGCTGTCAACGCAACCCCCAAGCAAGCGTCTTCCAAAAGGCGCAATAATCATATCAACAGCCGTCGCATTGAGGTAAAATTACAAACAAAAAAAAGAAATTAAATATTTTGCATTCTGTTCTAATCATTTTAAAATATATCTAGATTCACTTGCGTTGTGTTGATACCTGCATTAACAATTGGCTAGCAATTGACACTAAGATGGGATACAAGCCAGGTAACCCTGATGAGATGGCATACTTGCATCTCCTCGAGAAGAGTGTGATGTCTGATGGTGAATCGGAAGATGAGGACGTCACTCCTATAATCCGTGTGCAGGTTTTGCAGGTTGCTTGTCCTAGTTGGAGAAGTGCTGAGGTAATTTTTTTAAAGGTGTACACTATAATATATTTCTATAAAAAGATGACTGTACAGAAATAAACTAACTAATTATACATAGCTGAATAGGCTTATTCAGTTCATTGATTTCTTGGCAGCAGAGAATGACAAAAAGATTGCAACACCACAATCAAAGCAAAGAATGCCCAGATACCTAAAAGCCATTGCGGTCACTCCTGTCCCCAGTCACCTGACCGCAATCCTTCCTGTCTGGACAATTCAAAACCAATAAAAACAAACAATTTGCTCTCTTTTTTTTTTCACTCATATTAAAAAAATTGAATAATATTATTAGAAAGAAAAGAAGGGATAATTATATATTTTAAAAGTAAAGTTTTCTAGGCAAAGGAACAATAAGTTTTTTGCTGATATTTCGTAATGTTGTATGGTCAACAATTGCAACAGGAAGGAGAATTTGGTGCACTGGCAAGATGCTTTGAAAGTCAGGCAAAGAAAATGCGACATCCCATATTTCTACGCCTGCAATTTTTTTACTTGTCTCCTTGGAAGCCTTGTACCATTTTACATAAGCAAATGTATGTTGGCTACTTTGGAGTGTTCTGTGATGTGGAGTAGAAACAAGTGGACTAAATGAATGAACAAATAGGTACTGAATCTCTCCAACATACACATACTTTGTTCCGTTTCGACCTTCTATGAACATTGCTTATATATATGATCCTCTTCCATTCGTACCTCTACTTCCCTTGAATGTCTGGCCAAGGAGGTTGACGGATTTGAGCATTTCGATCCAGTCATTGACAAAAGCTGTATCTTGAATCACGTCTTTGCAACTGGAGATAGTGGGATCGTTGTAAACAGCTTGGTAATATCCTACCAAACAATCATACTCCTGTCTTGGCATCATCTCATATGCTTTTTTTTGCAAGGGCAGCGCTGATGGCGGCAAAGGCTCGTTACCACGAATTGACAAGTTCGGATTTTCAGCAGCATCAAGAAAGTCTGGTAGAGAGAACCAATTGTACAAGGCGGTGCTAGTTGTAGAATCAGCAGGTCTATAACCAGTTACCAATTTATCGAAGATGCCGGAGAAATTGAATGGACCAGATGTCTTCAAGAAATTGTGAACAAAATCGCCTTTACGAGTATCTTCAATGAATGTTTTCATGTATGTCATTTCAAAGCCGCTCCTTCTGTTGGTATTGATATTCTTTAGGACGCTGTTGTATCACTCGAAACTAAAGAGCCAGTACCCATAAACAGGCCCAAAGTCCTTGATTGTGTCGCGAAGATGAAGATGGAGATGCATGTTTGGAGATAACAGATCCTTGCTATACAGCCTTTCACAACCTTTACCGAACTTCTCAAGTGCTATGTGTGCTGACTGTACATCATCTTCGGAAACATTTGGCTTGGTAAGGAAATGGCAGGCATTCACAAAAAACATCCAATTCTCAAACTTTTGCTTTGGTAGTACGCCTTGTAGAACCACTGGAGAGTATACCAGACACCACGATTTCTACTCGTCTGCCTTCATAAAGGGAAATCCCTTTGAAATATTTGATCTTAGCATGGTGTAATCAGGCGGCAATGTCATGTTTTCAACGATTTTCTGTATGGCAACGAGTTTTTTATTGTCAATTAGACCATCTGCAACCCATTTCTCCATCATCCTCTTGGCTGTGCCTAAGAAGAGATTGTGCATTGGATCAATGATCGTGCAGTGGACAACGTCAAAGTACTGGAGACGATGCAGTTTGGACCAGCGAACACCATTTTCAACTTCAAGACGATGTCTCTCAGCTTCAGTGGTTGCATTCCTTCAGACCTCAGCATCCTTACAATTATCATTCTTAGTGCGAAGGAGCCACTTTGAGAAATCAAATCCAGAATAATCGACAGAGCTCGTTCCAGCTAATCGGGAGAATTGACGATTACATTTGTGGCATGCGTTTGTACTGGTATGGGACGTGAATCCACACACTTTTCGGGCAGCAGGGATGTCGCAGGCAACCATAAACAGAGCAGCGCGGATGGTGGTACCATTTGGGCATTGATATGTCTGGACTCTGACTCCCTTGTACAACTTTTCTAATTTGTCAACCAGAGGTCTGAGGTACGAATTTATCTCGGATGATTTTGCTTCTTTCGGACCTGGCATTAACCCAACGAGAATGACATTTTCTTTCTTGAATCTTACACTTCGAGGAAGATTGTTTACAGCCAGGTAAATTGCACCACACAAATATGTCACACCATCGAATGGCTGGAACCAGTCAATGTTTAAGGTCAACATCAGTGAGCGGTTGCCATGAACAAAGGGAATTCCATTGGTGTCTTTCAAATCCTTCCACATCAAGCCATTGTACACATCGAACATAGTATTCTCAGCCTTCGGGCTATGGTTCCACGAGTCGATTTGGGTTTCAAAATCAGGCCGAGAAAAGAGAGCTTTGATCGAATTCTGAACAGAGTGATACACATATGTTCTTTTTGGAATGGACGACTGATTTCCCAACTTGAACAAACTATTACCACACATTGAGTTATTCCCAAATTTATCAAAGATACAGAAGTGGGGTGTTGATTCATTGTTCTCATATATGCTGTGACATTTGCTACAAGAAACATATTTCTTTATACCGTCTGTAAAGGTATTGAATCCTGCCATGCTTTTGAGACCAGGGATGCTAACTGGGAGACAGAATGGATCTCTGAAAAGCTCGAGTATTTTGTTCATGATGGCAATGAGAAGAATGGCGCCTTCATTGATGACGTACAAGGATACAAATAGTGCAAGGACCTGTATGATAAAACGATGGATGAAACTCAATTCTGAGTTGAATTCAGGAAAGTTGTCTTTTTTAAAAAAAATTAATTTCTATTATTTTATACAGCAGAACCCAATATCCATTATGAAAGTGTGCAAACCTTCACTATCAAGCATGTCATCCTCACTGGAATCGTCTTCGCAACCGTCAGAATCAAGATCAGAGTTAAACTCTTCATTCTCATAACCAAAGACAGCATCGGATTCTGAGAGAGGTAAGACTCGAATAGGCTCTTGTGTCTCCATGTCTACTTCTATACTGGTGTCCATTTCTACCGGAACCATAAAAGAAGTTGGAGCAAATAAAAATAAAAATAAAAATATATATTTTTTTACCATCAAAGTCATAATCCATATCATAATCATTGTCTATGGCCACCGAGTTCTGTTCATCATTGTTGATAACTTCAGAAACATAGCTTACAGTAGTTTCGACTGATCTCTTAATAATCACTACATTACATATGTTATTAAATCGAAAATATAAATATAAATATAATTAAAACATAAAAGAAAATTCCCTACATCTATTACGAAAGATGTTCATTCCAGCATCGTCTCTTCTTTTATGAAAATTAAATGTCTGTACAGACACTGTATCTGATTCTCCAAATCTTGTCTTGCAAATAGAACATTTGCATTCTTTTGTTTTGTTTGATTTATGGGTTGGTGCTATTGCTTAATAATTATTAAAATAATATTATTTTTTAAACAGTAAAGAAGTGAGGTATTCGGGATTGTTTATGGGTTAGTATCTCAATAATGGGAAAAGTAGATACTGTGAGAGTGTTATTTATTAAAGAGACAAAATAATATTGTTTATATCTGCTACTATTCAAATCCCTGTAATTCAAATCCCTGTTGTGTAATGGTTGGTTTACACTGTATGAGTGTGTAGTGTATGTGTGCCTGGTGTGTAACAGTTCCGGAGATTGTTAACTTGCCAGGTTCATTAGCAAGAAGGAACAAGTGTTTGGTTGTGGGGTCTGTTCTTCACTCAATTGTGGTGTGTATACCACAAGAAGATAAATATATATTCAGGTACAGTTTATTTCATTCAATTTAAGTTTATTATTGTATTTTTTTATGCTACTCAGTGCTCTACGACCAATAGAATCGTTTTAAAAAAATTGCAATGCTTATTCTACAAAAAAAAATCCTGCACTACAAATTTGGGTTTTCTGTCCACCGAATTTTACATCCCATCACGTATGGGAATTGGGCATTTTTTTGTAGTGAATGTGACTGGTTCTGTTCCCAGCTCTGCTTCTCTTCCTGCATCCCAGTCAACTGCAGATGTTGGAACTGCTACCTCCACTTGGGCCACCAAAACAAGCTTGATTCTGCCAGCCAAGACACCACGAGTTTCTTCTGCCGGCTGGGTTGCTGCCTCTCAAAGACTGTTCTCTGACAAAACTGGTCCTGATGGTTTTGAATATGTTTATATTCCTCGCTCACGTCGTATTATGCACAGTGAAGTGCACCGCTCTCTCCGCACTCTTGGTGCTGACACTGGTCGCCTGTTAGATATTAACTTTCCTGCTTGTGAAGTTATTGGAATTCTTGTTCATGTGCAATATCTTGAGGAATTTAAGTCCCAATTAGCTAGTGCTAAGGTCTCTCTTGTCAACAACTTTGATCCACTTGATCCTAAAAATGTTGCTGATCCCAAGTTTGCCAACTTGTCTGTCTCTGGTCTTGAAACCCAGGCTTTGGTTCTCCAAAATGCCCGCTGTCTCCAAGCTCTCAAGTTTTTGCGTTCTCACTTAGTTCTGCTAGTTGCTCACTTCTTTGTCCAGTCAGGATGGATTGGACTTGAGGAAATTCCTGCCCGACCAGTAGGTGAGCACTTTGGTAATGCTCCAAACAAAAAACATGCCCTTGATGCTCTCACTGCTATGATTGAATGAGTGACCTTTTAATAGGATTGTGGAATGCTAATGGACTTCAACCTCGTGCAATTAAAGACATGCTCAACCACTATCAATCTCTTCATATGCTTTTTATAACTGAAACATGGCTCTTATCTCCAGCCCGTCTTCCAACCTCATGGTCTCAGTTTCATCTCTATGGATCTCCTGTTGCTGGCAACTACCGCAGATCAATGGGGGTGTCATTGTTAGTCTCTCCTTCCTGTTCTTATGCTGTCACACAAATACCTATGCCCAACAACTATGCTCTTGCTGTTAAGATTGGTACCCTTCGACTTATATGCCTTTACTTACCACCCTCTATGCCCACTCATGAAGCTCTTGATATCCTCTCAGCCATTCCTTTAACAGATGATATCATTATATGTGGAGATTTTAATGCACGCCTTGGTTCAGTAACTGGTGACTATGCATCTAACCCTCGTGGTGTAGCTTTAGAGCAATGGCTTGAAGAACGATCTTTAACTGTCTTCAATGGAGTTCTCTCACCATGCACACCCACATACATTTCCTTTTGTAACGAAGTTGAAATCAGCAGCATCATTGACCTTTTTATCACCAACACCAACTTTGCTAACCCTTCTTTACACATTGCAACTGAACTATCTTTAGGCTCTGATCACCGACTTCTCTCACTTTCCTTTACTTATAACCTGCAACACTCACCACCAGCACCTCCACCTATGCGCCAAACTTGGAATCTGTCACATCTTCATGAAGATGATGTCAGATCACTCTATGTCACTACCATTGCCACCAAATCCATCTCCCTCCTCGTCTCACTGCAAGACCTTGTTCAGAATCTGCCAACTATATGTCCACTCATTGATGCTCTTACTAACTCTTTCAATACACTCATTTATGACTCTCTTAGTAGCTCCATTGGTTCTCGCCCCCCTTGCCTCTCACATTGGAAATCGTTTTGGACCCCTGCATTGCAAGCTGCAGCCGACCATAGAGATGGTTGTTACAAGCAATGGCGTCGAGCTTGTGGCATTGACAAGATCAATTGGTGGAGCCGGCACCAACATGCACATAAGGAGTTTTGTCAGCAAGTTCAAACTGCAAAGCATTTGTCTTGGCATGCTTTTTGCCACTCAATGAACTTGGATTTCAACAAGGCCATGTCCAAAATAAAGCAGTCGAAATGGCGCAGGCAACCACAGCACACATTTCAGCATGATGATAGCCCAGCAGTTGCAGCAACAGTTATGTGTGACCATCTCGCATTAGTCTATAGTGGACACATACTTCCTGACATTCGACCTCCACCACCACCACTCAACACCTCTCTCATGCCTTTTGCGTCTGTTGACTCCCCATTCACCTCACCAGTGGTGGAGACCTTCATGCAATTTATGCCTAACCGCAATGTGCCAGGTCCTGACCACATCCATGCGGAAATGCTAAAGCCTATTCTGTCTCACATCTCACCTCTTCTTGCCTGTCTCTTTACTATCTGCTGGCAATGGTCATACACTCCTTCTCTCTGGCATCAAGCACAAGTGTTTCCCATTTTCAAAAAGGGTAACACTTTAGATGCTGCAAACTACCATCCAATTTCTCTCACTTCTGTAATTCATAAATTATTTGAGATGTGTCTTGCTTCTGAGTTGCATAAATTCTCTCCTCCACTGAATGTAGCTCAAGGTGGATTTCGTCCTTGTCGTGATACTCTGGATCAAGCTCTATGTTTACACAACCTGATGAAAAGCTATTTCAACTGTCATCACCATTATCCTATTGTTGCCTTCTTGGATATTAAAGCTGCCTATGACACTGTGGATAGGCATGTAGTTTGGGATGCCCTTTTCAGACGATCCATACCACCTGCTCTCCTTGGACTTTTGGTCTATATGTTTGATGATGTGTCTATCTCAGTTCTTCTTGGCAATTTCACCTCACATTCATTTTCACCCAAGACATGCGTTCTTCAAGGTTCAGTTCTTAGTCCTCATCTTTACTCCATTTATATCAACTCCCTTCTGACTTTCCTTTGCACAGTTGCATATCCTCTCACTTCTACCTATGTACCATCATCCTCTCCCTCCTCCTTGAATGCATATCAGTCTTTTCTTGCTCTTTTAGATGTGGATGGCTACCAGCACGCAGTCTCATCAACGCCAATAAATACACTTCTTTTTGCTGATGATGTGGCAATATTTGGTTCTGCTCGTGACGTCCAGACTATGCTCCATTTGGCCACCCAACACTCATTTGATCTTGGTTTTCATTGGAGTCCATCTAAATGTGCTATCATTTACCCTCCTTCTCGTTCTGCCAACCATCCAGCTCTCTCACTATATGATGAGATTCTTCCTGCAGTAGAGGAATTCATATATCTTGGTGTCCCTTTCACAATAAAGGTATTTATGGGCCTTCTATTGTCACTCATCGTCGTTCTGGAGCCCTGGCAACCATGGCAACACTGAATGCAGTTGGAGCATGCCAGTCTGGATTCTCTCTGCTTTTCAGCTCTCATCTGTATAGGATCTTTATCAGACCAAAATTTGAATATGGATTGACTATTCTCCCTCTGAGAAGAACTGATACTATCCAGCTTGAGAAGATCCAAGATAAATGTTTGCGCATGATCATTGGTAGGCATCGCATCTCATCTACAACTGTGCTCAAACATATATGTCACCTCCCTAGTATGAGTTTCCGTGCTGATGTGCTGATAACAAAGTTTTGTATTCGTGCTCACTACCTTCCCTCTGGCTGCCTTTTGTCTCTTCTTCACCATCACCACTCTCAGTCTTCATCACTTGTCACTCTTCGTCATAATACTCTTCTTCAAAGCATCCCTATTGATTTAAATGTTCATAGTGGCAAAGCTCTCAAACATCACTTCAAAACCTTTTGACAGTTCAAAACTGATCAGCTCCAATTGTCTTCAAACCAAGTCTTGTTTCTAGTATGCCGCCCTCTTTTGGAAGTCGATCCTATTCTGTTCTTGCCTGCAACTAGGGTGGAACGTAGCTGCCTTGTCTGCTGGAGAATGGGTTGGTTGCCTGGCACTTCTAAGAATTGCCCTTGTGGTACTGACCATACCTCACGTCATCATCTTGCTGTCTGCTCTTTGGTTCCTGCCCATTCGTTGGCCTGTCTTCCTATTCCATCTGATCAAAACTGTAATCCAATTGATGTTGCCATTACTGCTCTCCCATATTCTAGTCAGGCTCCTTGCCCCTCTTATTGGGTAGCACTACTTACTATTCTCTGGCATTTTGACAAGCTTTGTAACCCTGATGGTGACTACACTCATGAAACTCACTTTTGTACTCTTTGGGCTGGACTTAGCTAGTTTTTGTTTTCTTTTTCTTGCCCTTTTTTCTTTTCTATCTAATTTGCTTTCTCTTTTTGTCTTTTCACGCATGAACTGCTGCCTGCTTGCACTTCTATCTCCTCCCTTTCACTGTTACAACATTTTTACACAGCTGCAAAGTGGAGAGTAGAGTACAACTCTCAGCTTATTAGTGGTAGTTCTTTTCTTCTCTTTCTATTTTTTGTCTTTTTGTGATCCTTTTGTACTTGAGATGCTATATGATCTATAGATCGCCAGCAATATATCTCTTTAATAAAATATAATCTTTAACCTGAGCTAAGCGGACATAGCTGCTTGTGATACAGAATGTTATCAAAATGGTCAGTTTTTAAAAAAAATTCGGTTGTCTGGTAGTGCGGTGACGTTGCAGAATTCTTTGTAATTCTAGAAAATTATATTCTATTATTATTATTTTTTGATTTTCCGATGGCACTCGAGGCTGAATAGAAAGCAATTTTTCTATTCATAGAGCAAAACACCAATAAGTACAACGAAAAGGCATCATCCTGTCAACAATAACTTCAGACAACCACACATTGTATCTTATTTTCTCACTATATTTAACTGAACGAATCAACTTGGAATTAATATTATTTTTATTATATATTCTTACAAGCATAATTATCTTCATGATTATGACTTAATAATTATTTTATTTTATTTTTACTTAATGATAGTAAAGAACAAATCACATTTAATAGATTGTTAATCACTGCAAAAGACCACTGATTTTAGTTCCTGAAAACCTGCAAAAATTTTACTACAATTTTCAATTTTTAATTTTTTCAAATAATTTCTATTTTTTTCTGTTGTGATTTCAGATCGCTCTTTTTTAGCTGTAAAATCACACTACCATCATTTTTTTTGGCCATAAAATTACAAAATTGGGTTTTTTTATATTATACACTTCTTTGATATAATTCTAAATTACACTGAAAAAACACTTATACAAAAGTTAATATAATATTTAATAAAAATTATATATATTCTTAAGGTTTCACTTTTTCTATTTCAAAATAAATCATTTAAATATTTTTTATGTATTATAAATGTGAATATAAGAACAAATATTTAATCAATATTGTTATATTTTTAGAAAAGAAAGAAAAACAAAGTGCAGACGAGAAGTACGGTGAGACTTTGTTTATTGATGAAAAGAGAGATGATCTTCTATTGCTATTTGCTATGTGAGTTTATATAGACATTGCGTGTGTATTTAGGATAATAATATGAGTATATCATGTGATGTCTGTTTTCTTATATCATAGATAATATATTGTTAAGTTATTACCCACGCTCTTGTTTGAGTGATTAGTGATGTTGACTAAGGTGTGTGACCTTGTTATCGGTATATTCTTTATTTAATGATAGTGTGAGAAATAATGTATAATTGATACTGGTCGCTTATTCAATATGTCTTTGTCTTATTGTCTGTGCGCTCTATTTGAATCTACAATTATGTTGGATACAACAAATATATTTCAAGGGAACGAGACAAAAGGTTGTGATTTCATTTTTACTGTGGCAATATTTTTGCGTGATTTTTCCCTTTGATATATGGAACTAAAATATCAGATTTTTTTATTTCACATATTGTGAGAGGCGAATGTTCCATTTTTGGATTATTTTTTGTCATGATTGAATCATCATCATATCAAATATTATAATTCTAAAAAAAGACTTTAAAAAAATTGCATATACTTTTAGTAATGTACGCAGTATTTGACTTGGTTAATGACTTAATGATATATGAGTATAATTATGATGATATGTGCGATAGATGTATCAAAGAATTACTTGGCATACTATAGTCATGGCATGGAGCAGTATTTTATCTATTTATAATTTTCTTTGGTATATAAAGACCTTGATCAAGATCTCTTAAAATCTATATAATTTTTTTTATAATTTAAAACAATCGACATGTCCAATAATCAAAAGAAAGACAGTTATGTTATCTGCAAATGTCCAGACTGTACAAAGTTGGATAGCTGTGGAAAGAAACAGAAAAGACAAAATGCATAACGACACTATAAGAAACATATAGTGTCTGTTGCCAAAGACGATGCAATAGGTAAATAACAAAAATAACTCGAGCTGTACATGTAAAATTAATATAAATTAATTCATAAAATAGATGTTCCTGAAGAACATTTTGACAACATGGAAGTAGATAATATTGACAGTGACAATGACAATGATTATGATTACAAAAACGAAGGCAAAGGCGAATATAAAGATGAAAATGAAGAACAAAACATTGAATTTGATCAAGAAGGTAAGAAAATAAAATAAAATAATGAACAAAATAATAATTGAAACTGATATATATTTTTTTATTTTTTATTTTTTATATGATTATAATTGTAATTATATTTTTATTTCTACATCTTTACAACAATTATTCCTTTCCAGTTGACTTACCTTTGTCCCAAGAAGAGTCCATCTTTACTGCCAAAGATACAGTTACAGAAGCATTTATGGTTGATGGCAATGAGATTGAAGAAGGCAATACTGATTTTGATTTTGAACAAGAAGAAAACTTTGATGAGACCAGTGGGACCTCGATAGTAGAATCAGGTATGAATTAATACAGTATAGACAATTAATCAATATATTAATTTAAACTAACTTAACCTTTGTCTTCATAGTTCGTCCTTTGTCTTTTGATAACACGCCCTTATATATCCGCTTTGTTGCAGTATTCATTGTCATATTTCACTTGATCTGTTTGGTGGAAAGCAGTGGATCGATTCTCATTGAATTTTGTAATACTCTACTGTCTCTCTATGATCTGTCTGGCGCCCTTCCACTGACGATCAATAGCTTGAAGCATAAAACAGGATTTAACATGACAACAGACGGAATGACAGTATACATTGCATGCTCACAATGTCATTCGATTTATCCTCTGAAAACAAGTCAAAGAGTCTGTACATTTAAGAAATTCTCTCAATCCGCCATTTGCAACAACAATCTCTTTAAAGTGTCAACTGGAAATCGTTCTCTTCCAGCAATGATATATCCATTCAACTCTCTGAAGTACGCCTTGCAACAAAAATTCTCCAAGCCAGATTTCGTGTCCAAGATCAATTTGTGGAGAAATCGTCAAATAATTAAAAACACCAAACTTGAAATTTTCGATGGTGCAGTTTGGAGTGATATTAAAGACATCAATGGCAGACGGTTTGTTGATGATAGCCGATCTTTAATGTTGACTCTGAATATTGATTGGTTTCAGCCATTTGATAGACAAACACATTCCAGTGGTGCGATATATCTCTCTATCAACAATCTCCCACGGAGTGAGCGCCTTAAGTCTGAAAATGTCATTCTTGTTGGTATGATGTCTGAGCCAAAGGAAGCAAGCACTGACAGCATGAATCATTACTTGAAGCTGCTTGTTGACAAATTGTTGGAGATGTACATTGGTGTAGAAATGACAGACTCACAAAATAGAAAGATTGTTGTTTGTGCTGCATTGATGTGTGTTGTCTGTGATATCCCTGCTGCTCGCAAAACCTCTGGATTTACTGGCCACATGAGCACATGCACCTGTCACAAATGTCAACAACAATTCACGACTATAAAGAAGACCAGTAAGCTTGACTACTCTGGATTCAAGTATAGCAATTGGGTGAGATGCACGAAGACAATGAATCTGGAACACACTGTCAGCTGGGCAAATAAATTGAACAATACTGAGCAAACACACCTAGAAAAAGAAAATGACACTCAGTGATCAGAGCTTCATCGGTTATCTTACTTTGACCCAGTCCACTTTACAGTTATAGACCTAATGCATAACCTCTATCTTGGAACTGCAAAGCAAATGATTCAAATATGGCACGAGTGTAACTGCATCAATGAAAAGAATCAGTTAACTATGCAAGAGCTTGTCAATGGTATTGTTGTACCTTGTGGATATGTGCGTATAACAAAGAAGATTGCCGATGGTTTTTTGTTCATGAAAGCTGACGAGTGGAAGTCATGGTGCATCATATACTCTCCATTGTTCTGAAGCATGTGCTCCCAGCCAAGAATCTCGAAAACTGGATTTTGTTTGCTGACGCATGCCACTTACTCACAAAACCTTCGATCAATGACAAAGAAATAGATGAAGCCCACAGTAAACTCCAATTGTTTTGTACAAGATTTCAGACACTGTATGGAAAATCGGCTGTGACACTGAATATGCATCTACATCTTCATCTTGGCAAGTGTGTTCATGACTTTGGGCCAATTTATACTTTCTGGTTATTCAGTTTCGAGAGATACAATGGTTTGTTGAAGAATATTGAAACAAATCAAAAAGGCTGTTTCGAATCAATGATGATGAAGAGATTTTTGGAGAGAACATACATTGGCAGCTTCATACAATCTTTCGTCAACCATCTTCCCCAGTTCGCAATTGACTTTCTGCATTGCATTTCAAATAGTCAAGATCAATTAGCAGCATTGCATTCATCTTCTACTGCCAGTACCTTTTCTCTGTCTGACTTTGTTGAATATTCATTAAACTCTCATCATTCTGCTTTGGGTTGTGAGCCGTTGCCCCCTTCAGTGTTTCTGATTAAACTCAACCAAAGGATTATAATGTGCAAGGGACATTATGAATGTTTACTGGAGTTTTACAGACATGCATATAGCAGTCACAATTTTTTTGGCCATTATTCAAACTGGGAGTCTAACCAGATTTTTGTCAATAACCGAATTGAGAAAATGAAATGGATATCTCTTCTTGGACAGGAATACTCTTCTGGATCTTATTTCCGCGCCTATTATCTTGAGAATAACAGTGAAGATAAAGCAGCGTTTCCTGGCCATATACTGTATTTATTTCAACATTTGATAACCATCAACGAAACTGTCATCACCCATACTTTTGCATTTGTTGAGTGGTACTCTAGTTATTCTTTGGGGAGTTACCAGCCAATGTTAAATGAAGGCATTGAGCTCTGGAATGAATCTTCTTCTGTACTTAATTATGAATGTATTATTCCAGTACATCGTTTTTATTCACCAATCGCAATTGCTAAATATAGATTTACTATAACTAGTGAATTTAAACGTTTAGTAATCCCTTTACCCCAAAAAATAGAAGCTTAAATAATATTAATAAAATATCACTTTGCACTCTTTTATCAATTTATTAGAAAATGTTTGATTTATTGTCTTATTGTTTCTTTGACCATGATGGCAGCTTGTTTGCCTTGGTCTTGCTAAGCTGCTTATCTCTTATTCCTTTAAATTTATGCTCTAATGGATGGGTATTATTTTTCTTATCATGAGCTGTGTTATGTATGAGGTAAAAATAAGATATAAAATAAAACAAGTGCAGACGAGAGTACGGTGAGACTTTGTTTTATTAGAAGAAGTGAAAGAATCAGAAAAGAGATGCTGTTCTATTGCTATTAGTATTGTGCGTTTATATAGACATTGTATTTAGCTTGGTGATGATATGATGATATCATGTAATGTCTGTTTCTCTACCATTATCTTCTATGATTTAGTTGTTATGTTTTTAGTGTTATTGACTAGAGTCTTAGTATTTGTCTTAGTATGTTCTTTACGTAATTTCCTTGTATAAGGGAAGGTATATCTTTTAGTATTGTTACTAGTTGTCGGTAACTCAATGTACATATTTATTGAGTGTCTGTACTTTTAATTTAAATCTACGATTATGTTGGATACAACATTACCCCCCTCCAGGTTGGTACAACCGTTTGAATTGCATGCGGAGGTATATGTGTCTACAATGTTGCTGTTGTTTATTTGCGTGTGCGTTTGCTAAAGCATGTAGGCTCTTGTGTTGGATGTGTACGCTTGTTATGTATAATTGTAGATTTATTGGTGGGTTTCTCTGGACCTCGTCTTTGCCAATATTTGTCAATTATGCTCAGATCGTTGAAATTGCTTGTGGGCTCCCAAGTGTCTTGATCTGGTGCATAGTTTTTCCAGCGCACTCTGTAAAGGTAGTCGCCTTTTTCTTGACAATGATCAATGATGGCCTGTATCTCGTAAAAGCTATCTGGAGATATAACAGTATCTTGTGAGATCAGCTTTATCTGCGAAGGTGGGATGTTTCGTGATAGAAGTGCTCCCGTTTTGTCTTGCAAAATGTAGCTGCCTCCCTTTGTTCTGCCCTTGACTGTGAATGGTCCTTCATATCTTGGGTCCGTCTTAGACTTTCTTAATATGTTCTTTATCATCACGTTGCTGTCGTTCGGGAACTCCATTATTATTTTATGGTCTTTGTTGTGTTTTCCTTTATCAGCAGCTTGTGTAGCTTTGATGCGTTCGCAGATTGCTGGGAATACGACAGTCTCCATTTGTTCAATTCTTTTTTTCATATCTGGTAGACTGTTAGGAGCGTTGTGCGTGCTCTCTGTTTTTCTGTAATCAGCAAAATCGTTTGGTTGTCTTGCAAACATTAGAGTGAATGGGCGTGTGCCATGTAGCTTAGCATGTTTGCTATTTATGGCTAGCTGTGTGCTTGGGATGTATATGTCCCAGTCTCGCTTTGCTCCCTGTGTTCTCTTGTTGATGACTTCCTTGGCTGTGTGTACCCATTTTTCAGCAACTCCATTTGCTCGCAGATGATAGGGTGTTACAAGCCGATGATCAATTCCTGCTGTATTTGTGAAAGTCTTGACGAGTTCGTTGACAAACTTGGTACCATTATCTGACTGTAAAACCTTGGGTAGGCCGAAGTCGCAAAAGATTTGAATGAGTTGTTTTGCAATTGTTAAAGATGTCTTATCTGGAATTGCGCAGAGTATGCAGAATCGGGAAAAGATGTCAACCATTACTAGCATGTAATGATTGCCATTGTGCGAGGTGGTGTATGGGCCAGCTAAGTCTATGGCCCAGTGTTCACCTGGTTGACTGGCTGTAATAGGCTTCAGCAGATGATAGCCGTGTTTTGAGACATTGAACCGTTGGCAATTCAAGCAGTGCTTTACTGTTTCTGTTGCCTCTTGCTTGAGATTAGTCCAGTGTAGTCCGTCACTGTGTATAGCATTTACTATGGCATCTGTGCCAAAGTGGCCAAGTAGATGTGCTTGGTCGAGCAGATTCTGTCTGTCTTTGACCGGTGGTGTTATCATGTCACTTGTGCTATGCATGCGTTGAATGGCATGTGTTTTGTGTTTTCTGTCCTTTGTTGGATGTTTCGTAGAGATTTCTACGGTTTTACCCTCCCCCAGCGGTTTTTCCGAGGTGAAAAGACGCAATAAAACATTTGGCAATACATTGTCAATGCCAGGGCGGTGGACTATGTCATAAGTATAGTCGCAGAGTACATCAAGCCAGTTTATCATCATAGGGTTGGCAATTTCTTGCGTGTGAAGGTACGTGAGAGCCTTGTGATCCGTGTACAACGTGAACTTGTTACCCTACAAGAACTTATGGAATTTAGCCAAAGCATAAACGATGCCCAAAAGTTCGCGTTTGGTGACAGGATAGTTGCGTTCAGATTTGGAAAGTGACCATGCCATAAAACCAATGTAGCGATATTGGTTGTCTATAATCTGATAGAGCACAGCGCCTATACCTGTGTTGGAGGCATCTGTGGCAACCAGAAATGGTTGGGTTGTGTCAGGGTGGCTTAGTACTGGTGCGTGTGTAAGTGCAATTTTGAGCTTGGAAAAAGCTTGCGTTTGTTCTTCTGTCCATAACCCGTGTAGTGAGTCAGCATTGCGTAGTTTGTCCAGAGGAGAAGACAGTTGCGAAAAGTTGGGAATGTGCTCACGAAAATAGTTGATGAGACCCATGAAGCGTTGAATGTCTTTGCCAGACTTGGGTTGTGGCCACATGGTAGCATTGTGAACCTTGTGAGCATCAAGATCAATACCTCTAGTGCTGACAGTAAAACCCAGTAACGATACAGAAGTTTGTGCAAAGTGACATTTCTGCGGATTGAGAATGAGATTGACATCCATGAGCTTTTGAATAGCCGTTTGGACGTGTTTAACATGGTCAGACATGTTAGTGGAAAAAACTACGATGTCGTCGACAAATGCAGTGACATATGGAGTATCGTGATAAATCAAATTGACTACTCGCTGAAACTTGGACGACAATGGCTTGAGACCAAAGGGACATCCTCGAAACATATACTGATTGCCTTCAAACGTGAATGTAGTCTTGTGTCTATCGTCTTCATGAATTTTGAATCGATGAAAGGCACTCTTGAGGTCTAGCGTAGTGAAGATTGTTGCACCTCGTAGCCTGTGAAAGAGTTCAGAGATGAGTGGCAGAGGGAATCTGTCATCAGGTAGCAGAGTGTTGATGGCTCTGGGATCTAAGCAAGGACGCTTGCCTGTGGGATTACCAAACTCATCTTTTTTAGGAGCGAATGTAAGTGGGCTGTTCCACTTAGTATTGACAGGTGCCCTTTGTATGGTGCCATCAGTAAGCCATTGGTTTATATGTTTGGCCATCAGTGGAACAAGTTGTAAAGCTATAGGATACTGTCATCTATAGACTACTTGGCCTGGAGGTGTTAGTAGTCGTACAATAGATTCCTTAACTGTACAAAATGAAGTGATGGGTATGGCTTCATTTGCTTTAATAAAGGGTAGTAGAGCCTTCATGAATTGAGAGTGTTCAGTGGGTGTGCCAGCTGGTGCATTATTGGGTTTTTCTATTTCTGCTATGGGTGTTGGAGTCTGAGGTGTATTAGAACCGTACCAACTCTCTGCTAGTCCAAGTAAATGAATACCTAGACTTGGCATTAAATCTGTACTAATGCTAACATCTATGTTCTCAGCAAGATCCAAAACTTCAAATGAATGTATAATATGTTTGTTGTTATAAAAAACTTTTATTGGTTTTGTTACTCCTAGTCTATGAGCTATAGTGTTGTTAGTGGCCAACACAATTTTTCCGTTGCGCGGAATTGTGGGCCAGCCCAACTTGCTACAGATCTTGGTGCTGACGGAACTGATAGTAGCCCCTGTGTCCACCAATGCCCACAGTTTCTCCTCCTCTAAAGAGATAGGAACAAGATAGGAGTGAGTAGATCGTTTATTGTGATCTGTGTGAGTGCTTGTATACTTACATGTGGAGCACTGTTCAAAGTCCATGACCATGGACTGGTCGTCCTCAGATGAGCTGGCATCTGAGGGAGTACTGTCGTTGGTGACAGTGTGGATGGAGCGGACGGCGAAGTGGGGAGCAGAACCCTGGGGAGAGCCAGACGCAGAACCAGAAGAGCTGGAGGAACCAGAGACCGAAGAACAGCGGTGTTTGTGAGACCAAACTTCGCTGCACCAACGACAGGGAGCAGAATCAATGTACTTGTTGGCGTGGGGTGCCTTCTCCACCCAATTGCCGCCCTTGGTGGCAAGTGCATTCTTGAGGATGCGACAATCCTCAGTGTCATGGTTACCTTTACCATGTAGGGAACATCTCTTGTGAGTTGAACGCTCACAGCTTTGAGCGTTCTCCCTTGATGAACCAGATGAGCGCCCAGCAGAAGACGAAGAAGATGTGCGGGACACCTGCTCAGAACCCAAGGTGTGTGCCCTGGCCACGGGCTCATTGCTACGGGCGGTTAAGAATACTGTGCTGTAAATAGACCTGGCCAGAGATGCGGCTTTATCAATTGTGTCATGCTTTTCTCTGGGCATGTTGACCTGAAGGAGGGAGACCTGGCGTGCAAGCTCTGGTAGCAGCATGGAAGTGTAGGTAATGGCAGCCTGCATATTATCGGCTACATCAGCTTCGTGGCGTACCCTCTGATATCTGTCCGTATAGTTGCTGATGGACTCTGTGGTTTGCATACGCATGAGCATCAGCTCATGTGTGAGCTGAACGCGTCTCTCAAGGTCATTGATTCCATATGCCTTGATGAAGGCATCCCGAGTGTTGTAAATGAGTATTGACTACTGCTGTAATTGAGAATAAGTCTGAAGGAAATAATATAAGGCCTCAGCTATTCCAGTCAAAGGTGTCTACCAATTACTTTATTATTTAACACACAGGTTTAGCATGCTTGATAGTGATTATATTTCATATGATGATATCACCATAATATGGGATACATCAGTGGATTATTATAAGCATAATTATAACTCATAAACACATTTACTTTCGATGTTAATACTTCATTGAGACTATACACATTTATATAATTAATCATACATTAATTATCCCAAGATCACGTTGCTCTGATTAAGGCTCAGATAGGATCGATTACCTGACTCCAGTCATATAATTTTCCCAATCTAAAATAATATAAATAGCAGTAGTAGTTCAGTGTAGAAACCTGATCAAACTTTGATACCAAATCTTTCTCAATAAACAAACCCTACACAAGTTCTCACAAATCTTCGTTCCTAATTTCAAATCTTCAATTCTTCCTCTTAAAAACTTCTTCAACTTCAACCACCACAACACCGAGCAAAGGACCAGGGGAGTTCTGGGGAACTGCGCAAGTAGTTGTCAAACCAGGATCTTTGCTCGCGTGACAATACAATTGGGAGGAGGCGGTGCCAGTCGACGTTGAGGTCCATGCTGTACGAGTGCAGCACATCCTCAAACTTGTCCAGGCATTCTTCGATGGATGCATAGACCTTCTGTGTGTGGTCCCACTCGTTGCCTTGCCACTGAAATACTGGAAGCTCGCGGGGTACCAGACAAGACTGAGGAGCAGTTTGCTCAGCTTGAACCGGACTTGAGCGCACTAGATGACCATGGGCCGAGATCAGCATGACCAGGTTGCCTTCTGTCGCTGCAATGGTTTGGCGAATGGAGTTCTTGTTCTCCTCAGGCATATTATGTTCGATTGCATCTGCCAGTGCTGAGGAACAAGTGGCCAGCATTTCCCTGAGGCGGTCTATTGCTTGCAGGGTGCGGTCCGCATGGTTGATGACTTGGCTGTTGACAGGGGCTTCCATCATGCTCAGATCGCTCTGGGCAGTCAAGACCGGAGAGTTACTTGTTGTTTGTTCAGAGGACATGTTTGGTAGAGGTTGTTTTTCAATGAAAAAAAAGAGTTCACTGTAAAAAATGTTATGTATGAGGTAAAAATAAGATATAAAATAAAACAAGTGCAGACGAGAGTACGGTGAGACTTTGTTTTATTAGAAGAAGTGAAAGAATCAGAAAAGAGATGCTGTTCTATTGCTATTAGTATTGTGCGTTTATATAGACATTGTATTTAGCTTGGTGATGATATGATGATATCATGTAATGTCTGTTTCTCTACCATTATCTTCTATGGTTTAGTTCTTATGTTTTTAGTGTTATTGACTAGAGTCTTAGTATTTGTCTTAGTATGTTCTTTACGTAATTTCCTTGTATAAGGGAAGGCATATCTTTTAGTATTGTTACTAGTTGTCGGTAACTCAATGTACGTATTTATTGAGTGTCTGTACTTTTAATTTAAATCTACGATTATGTTGGATACAACAAGCTGCCTCATAATCCACATCAAGTTCATCAACGAACCTATCTCCCTATATATCAATGTAAGTATTATTACACACCATCCAAAAAAATAGTTTTTTATACTATACCTCTTTGCTTCTCCAGCTTGGGCGGAATTTCCAAAAAAAAACTCTTTCCTGAGGACGAATTGTGGTATTTCAGGTATGAAACAATAGAAAAATAAAATATTTGAGAATAGAGACGTATAGAAATACTTTGAGACTGTATATAAGTTTTTTTTTATTCATAAATAAAAAGTGTCCCTTTTTATAAGAAAACACAATCTGCTCTTGTCATTACGTCTTAGTTTCTTAAGGCTTTCTTCCTTTACTATATTTGGTTATTAGAGTGTATTTACTGCTTAACTAGTGTCGGTGTTACAATTATGACATCAAGTCATAAATCATACTTCTTTAGCTCTTAGCTATTCTTTTCTCTTTTATACTAGAGCTTTAGGACTTCCTACTAAATTAGCTCCATATCGATCTGACACAGTTTACCCGGCAGTATGATATAATTATCTTAACAATCTTTAAGATATTATCTACAGTACTAACTGTAATAATTATTGGGCTGATTACTTAATCGTTTATATATATTTTATACTGACAAGATGATAGCTACTACGCTATCCCAATATGAATATGTTCTTATATGTGATAAATCCAACATCCGAGTGTCTGGATCACCACACGAATCCTGTTCCTCTTCTTCTCTTTTGTCATCACTCTCAAGGTCTGACATGTAATCAGCATGGAGAATACTGTCAACATTCTCTCCAAAGCTGTTCACAAAGTGTGCCCGATTGGCTTTCAAGGCAGATTGTCTTCTTTCACACAACTATATATAAATATATAATATTTCTAATTTAATATCACATCTAGTATATTGTGTGTGTGTTTTTTACTTTTACACGTTGCGGACAAAGACAGGCCCATCGATTCTTTTCCTGCTTCTTTTCTCCTGTTTTTTTTTCTTGCAACTTTCTGTTGCCAATGTGCTGCACAATCTTAGTTCGAAGAGTTGGCAAGTCCACCTTTTTCCCCTCTTCTTGACGATGAAGGTAATCAGTAACAGACTTCAGAACGAGTCTGTTTCCCTCACTGTTTTTATTTTCATTGGTATTGTATTGGTCATACAATTTCTCTTCACTCAAATAATCGTGCAACAATTGCTATAATATAAATGTATATTAAATTCTATCTACATAAAAACATATTATGATTACTTACATCCAATGTTGGTTGACGTCCAGATGACATGTCTTGCTCAACTGCATTACTAGCAGTGGCTTTGGCTTTCTCAGAAGATGTGTTCTTCAAAACAGTGTTTAAGACACCATTTATAGTATCAAGTTTCTCGTACACATCATAGATGTTATGAGTTCTACCCAACGAATCACCTTCAAGATTCAACCAAGCTCTCTTTGGTGCTAGTGGTCTTTGATTGCTCACTGTTCCTTGTAAGTGTTGCAACATTATTGTCCTTATATCATTGGTATTTCTTGGTGGGCTTTTTTTTTAATTTTTATAAAAAACGAAAATAAAATTAATATAAGAAAATTGAAGACTGCCTGGTTTTAATCTACCTTCCCACAAAAGGTTCTTCACCAAAAGCATTGTTAACTGAATTGTTATTGAGATTTCTTGACATTGTAAATAATAAGAATAGCTTGTTTTTTTTTAAATCCAAAAGGTCTATTTATATTATATTTAATTTGGGCTTTAAGTTTTATTCTTTCTCAGAGAACACCATGATCTATTACGTAACAAGAACAGCTTTGAATGTTTCCACTCTTGTTGTGAGTATTTTATGTGTTTCTTTAATTTAATTTTCAATCCATGTTTTATTCTTATATTATGTATTAGTATTTGAATAATATGATTTTATACTATACTCTGTTTTTCATATGTATTAGCTGCTGACATAGTGCAACTGCATTTTCTTTCAATTCTAAGTTACAAACAAAAATTATTTTTTGATTTATTTATTTTTAAAGAAAAATTCCGAATTCGTATTTAATAGAATAACCGTGCCCTCTTTTTTATTTTTTCTTTCTTTAACCTGCTCTTCTTGTTTTGTCTCTTTTTATATGTCTTGGTAAGCTTACTCTTAAGATCTCAACTTTTATTAATACTTTTGGCTTTTAGAATCATCTTAATATATATTAGATAAACAATACACTTAACAAGCACTCAAAACAGTACAGGTAATAAACAATCTCCTAACCAAAATGAAACATCTTGCTGACTAAATATCTTTTATTTTTAAAATGATAGGGCTTCTACCCATTTTGTAATAAAAGATGTTTTGCTCTTGACACTATATACTTTCTGGTATTTTCAGTCTATGAAAAGATAATATATATATAACTCAACTTAAATAATGTAACTTATCAATTCATCTTCTCAGATAAATATGTTACGCCTTTTTTTCAAGTCATACTGATTTGCCCCCTTTTGCAAATGCGTGTCTATAATATGTAAGTAATTCAAGTGTCTTTACAATCAAAGCATAAATATTAATAAAGTTGTTTATTTTATTTCTTGCTTTTTATTTAAAAGAAAATATCAATCAAATGGATTTTTATTCTATCACAAGATTTGTTATGAACCTCTATAAATAATCTAGTAAGTATGTTATTTCATTTTATTTCATAAAGAAACCTGTATTAATACTTCTGTATCTTTTTTTGCTCTAAGCTAATGTAGTTCCAAACAAACATATTCTCCAAGAAAATACCAAGGATTTCATTTTCAGTTAAAGAAGTGTAAAAGCAAAAAACGCACCAAATACATGAAACCAATAAGGTAGGGAAGTATAATATAAGTCAGATCATCCAATGTATTCAAGCCGTCCAATAAATGAAAGTATAACATGTATACAAGTTGTACTATTCGGATACACACTTTTAAAGAAGTATTAGTGGTCCATATTAAACAGCTAGATATATTTTCCAACCATTCAAAAATCAATAAAAACCATTTTTTCCATGAGATTCTATTTCAAATGCATCATCTCTTGATGATGTCAACAAGATTTATTTAAGTTTTTTTTTACAATCATTCATTTGAATGCTGGTTCCTGTCAGATTTCAGACTGATTCTAGGTCGATTTTAGTGAGGTCTATCCAATAATATCATGTAATTAAAGCAAATAAAATTTTTTAAGAGGTAGAGAGTTCAAAGTCAATTCCATAACAAGTAGGGTTTAGGTATGGTTTGAAGTTATGGGTGAATATATAACCGGAATTACAGACAATTATAACATTTCAAGAAAAGGGGGAATTATAACTCTCAATTTATCTATTGATTTTAGTATCTATAATCTCATCATTTGGTTAACTAAATGAACTAATTTTTGTAACAAATACCAAACTATAATTGAACATAAACCACTAATTTTTGGAGGATTTAAACAAAAATTAAGCTATTTAAATTGGTTGTCTTTTGCAGTGATAGAATCTAAAAAGTAAAAAAGAATCTAAAAAAAATATATGTGAAAAGTTAATATTGTTCAAGATAATTCTAATTTAAAAGTTATACCTTGATTGTTAGTATATCAAAGAATAATCTTCAAGGCCATGTTTTGAATTATTCTTTTATGAAAGGGATTGATGTTTGGCCAGCAGAAATTTTGAGTGCTTTTGCACTTGGCAAGAAGAAAGTAGTTTACATCTAAGATAATAATTACCGGTTCCACTTTTTCTGGCAAGGTAGCAAATGGAACAAAAAGACAGTTGCCTGTTTCAGTTAGAGTATTCCAATATATGGGTGTGAAGTTTTATAGAATAAAATCAACAGTAAAAAGATTGAGACGTATATAAGAATACTTTGAGACTGTATATAGGTTGTCTTTATTAAAGAATACAAAGTTGTCCTTTTTATATCAAAACACGATCTGCTTTGTCAGTCACATCTTAATTTCTTAAGTCTGAGTTCATTTAGATATTAGAGAGCTGGTACTGCTATGTTTATAATTTAATCTAATTGCAGTGTCCTCATATTAACTCAGTGTTTACTGAGCTGTCATAATTACAGTACTTACTGTAATTAATTATTGGTCTTATTGATTTACCATAAGTAAAATAAATAAATTATTCATTTGTTCTTGTAATGATAGCTGTTTTACTATAATAATAGGAATATGTTCTTAGATGTAATAAATCCAACAACCAAGTGTCTGAATCACCACAGCACTGACAACTTTTCTCTGGTCTTTGCAATTTTCCTTTGCAAATTCGAGATTTCTGCTTGTTTCTTTTTTATCTCTTCAGGTGTAATACACTTCAATGCAATTCGGTCAAGGAACTCTGCCAAAGAATCCAGCAGGTATCTCTTTTTGCTACTCTTGTCTCCCTTCATTGTCAAAAGCAATTGCTTCTTGAAATTGTCTTTGATATGCTTATAGTACAACAGCTGCTTTGACTCAGGAAAGACTCAAGTAATAGCATTTCTTAATACTTTCTCATTGTCTGTAATGAAAACATCTGGAAGAAGAGATGTTTAGTTATTGTTGTTGTTGTCATAGACATCAGACCAGACTGCATTGTGGAGACAGCTAATTACCCAGAGATAGTTTTCTTCTGTCTCATGTTCTACCCAAGCACCAGCAATTAGGAATGTTTTTAATGTTGTGCGAGGGTTTCCACTTATATTGCTGGTACCAACAATGTTGACATAGGTCATTCAATGACTATTTTTCTTGTAAGTGACATCAATTATCACAGTCTCAGACATTTTTTGTGCTTCTTTGATTGCATCTTGGTGAACAAAGAAGATCATATTTATTTGGTTGTCTTCTGTGTTACTAACAGAGTATCTGACATAGAAGTCAAGATCTTGAAGAGTTGTGAGGAACTCAAATATCTCTCTTCCTTCATCAGACTTTCTAAAATATTGCTTTATGTTTGCAATATCATGTTGAACAATGTTGGTGAATCCATTTATTTTTAAACTGTGAAAGATAGTAGAAATATTATCATTGTTTTCGAGATGCTTGACAACAAGAGCCATTGTCTTGAGCAAGAGCTTGCGATGCATGGCATATGCTCTACAATTTTCTTTAATTACATGGTTGTGCTGTGTCTCACGGGAGCGCACAGTCAACTTTCCCTTCTTAGTAGTGTTGGCATACATAAAGCATGGGCAATCATGCTTCTGTATATTTTTTTCATATTTTCTCTCCCTTTCAGGAAGAGTTTCACTGGTAACTGATATTTTATAAGTAATCTCCTCAGCTTTTCTGATATCTCTATATTCACTAGAATGCTTACAAATCAATTTGATGTGAGAGCTTGATGCATATTCAGTAATAAGAACAATGTTATGTTTGACACTATATGTCTTAGTAGCTTCTTAAACAGCTACAACTAAACAAAATTCTTTTCTAACAAGAAAAGATGATGTTTTAAATGAGTATTGACTACTGCTGTAATTAAGAATAAGTCTGAAGGAAATAATATAAGATTTCAACTATTCCAGTCAAAGGTGTCTACCAATTATTTTATTATTTAACACACAGGTTTATCATGCATGATAGTAATTAGATTTCATATGATGATATCACTATAATATGGGATACATCAGTAGATTATTATAAGCATAATTATAACTCATAAACACATTTAATTTCGATGTTAATACTTCATTAGAACTGCATACATTGATATAATTAATCATATATTAATTATCTCAAGATCATGTTGCTCTGATTAAGGCTTAGATAGGATCGATTACCTGACCTCAGTCATATAATTTTTGCAATTCAAAATAATATAAATAGCAGTAGTAGTTCAGTGTAGGAACCTTGTTAAACTTTGATATCAAATCTTTCTCAATAAACAAACCTTACACAAGTTCTCACGAATCTTTATTCCTTATTTCAAATCTTAAATTCTTCCTTTTACAACTTCTTAAAAACTTCAACTACTACAATAATTGAGTTGAAATCAGTTAAGACAGTATCATACTTCTTTGAAATCTCACTAATAATAACAAAGTCATTGGTATTATTAATGTTGTTAATGTTGTTCATGTTGTTCATATTAAATATCAAAAAATTATGCGTTGATGTTGTAGTAAAAAAAGAGCAGCAATTTTATTGACAATCTGAAGAGTAATTTATCTGATCCCCCCAAAAAATATGTGTAACATGCAAAACTCATTATATGTGATGTAACATTTAATTTTTCAATTTGGTTGCTTTTGCATGTCTTATCAATATCAATTTGTCAGTAACACTCCCAAAGGCCAATTATAGACGACGTCACATTTAATTCTCCCTTTTGGTCTTTTTTGCATGTCCGACTCTAATTTTTCTTGCATGTCCATATAGATCCCCTAATAGAATATAATTTTTCTAGAATTACAAAAAATTCTGCGATGTCACTGCACTGCTGGACAACCGAAATTTGGTGTACATTGTACATATTGTATTACGTTTTGTAACATAATATGCTGTCCTCAATGGTCTAGTGGTTATGATCCGTCGCTTTCACCGTCGTGACCGGGGTTCGATTCCCCGTTGGGGAACTCATTTTGCAGAATCGGTATATAATTGTACTGAGCCTTTTTTGAAGCCTGTCGTTTTCGATCTGGGTTATTCTTCCAATGCTATAACACTGTCAGAGTTGACATCGGTAACCAAAATCGGGATTTACAAGCAACCAGTAATGGTTGACTTTTTAGGATAAAAGATCTTGACTTCGCCGATTGGTCTTTCACATATGTTTTAAATGTTTAAGATAGTGAATATACTTGTAGAAGATATTACTGGACAATAAGCATCTAAGACATATTATCATAGCTATTCTTTTAGCCAGAAATCAATTATCATTTTGTATAAATAGTCAAGAAATACATTTAAAAAAAAAGCGTCTTTATTCTTATCTAAAAACTATTCATAAACTTGACGATCCCCAGTGGTATTGATTCTGCGACTTAGTTACAAGTGCCAGAAAAGAAATACTAGATTGAGACTTGACAACACAGCCAAAATTGGTCAAACCCACTGGGAATCATATGTCGTTCCCAATCTGGGTTGGTCTTCCTTTTACTATAACAAAGTCAAAAGGTCAAACCCACTGGGGATCAAGGAGTATATGTAAAATCAAAGAGAGGATAAAAGATACCTTTTATTAATATAAGTTGAATTGTTTTATATAGTTTTCTAAACTAATACTGCACATTATCCGCAGTAGTTATTATTTATATTTAATTAAAGAAATAGTCATTATACTGCGGTTAATGCTCAGGAAGATATTACTGCGCATAAAGAAGTACTGCGGTTAACTATCTTCAGATTTTACGGATTCATCAAAATAATGTCTGACACGTAAACAAAGATAACACCACCACAGAAATTAGAAACCAAATATGGTAGTATATGGTACCCAAGCAATATTATTGGTCTAGATACTTTTTCTTTGTGTAATTTCATGAATTGAATCTTTTCTTTTCCAAATAAAGGAGGAAAGAAGGTTTGATCCTACTTCAAACCTTTTTGATCACAACAAAAAGCTGTTTAAGTAAGACAAAACGTTAAATAAGAAAGTTCAGAGGTTGTATTGAGCAATGAAAAAATAATTCTGTTAAAATTTGGCAAAGGCAATGATTTTCAGCATATAAAACGACTTTGTCAAAATTGGAAACAAGAAAAAATATACAATTTTTTTGTTTCTTACATAATATCAGTAAAAAATGCCCAACACAAGCAATCTTTTAAGAGAAAACTCAACCCAATTAAGATATAAAGATATACACATATTTTTTATTAATAATTTACAGATGTATTTTCAATTATTTATTATTAAAGCATACCTCTTTAACTTATAAAAATTGTTGTGGTGGCTGAAGTTGAAGAAGTTTTTAAGAGAAAGAATTGAAGATTTGAGATTAGGAACGAAGATTCGTGAGAACTTGTGTAGGTTTTGTTTATTGAGAAAGGATTTTGTATCAAAGTTTGACCAGGTTCCTACACTGAACTACTACTGCTATTTATATTGTTTTGGATTGGGAAGATTATATGACTGGGGTCAGGTAATCGATCCTATCTGAGCCTTAATCAGAGCAATGTGATCTTAGGCTAATTAATGTATGATTAATTATATAAATGTGTGTAGTCCCAATGAAGTATTAACATCGAAAGTAAATGTGTTTATAAGTTATAATTATGCTTATAATAATCCACTGATGTATCCCATATTATGGTGATATCATCATATGAAATATAATCACTATCATGCATGCTAAACCTGTGTGTTAAATAATAAAGTAATTGGTAGACACCTTTGACTGAAATAGCTGAGGCCTTATATTATTTCCTTCAGACTTATTCTCAATTACAGCAGTAGTCAATACTCATTTACAACATTATCCTCCACCAGATTCAACAATACCTTTTGTTGATTTGGCAAAACATCTCATCTTAACTATTTATTAATTTGTCGAATTGCTCAATTTCATTTGGGTCAATTACGCTCATAATTTTTTTTTATACTTCAAGAGATCTGCACTGTAAACTCAGCTCCGTGAATTACGTGTTTATTTTATCAAATTTTTTGTTGCTCTTCTTTTGGACATTCTTTCTTCTCTACTCAGTGCGGTAGGAAGCTTACTTCCATTGTGCTCTTCAATGCGATTCCTTCTTATTTTACCATTATGACTTGGAATTTGAACTATTTTCTTTAATGAGGCTGCACTCTTATTCACTAATTCCGTGGCTCTCTCATTCTCTAAACGTTCGATTTCTCTGACCTTCTTCCAATACTTTTGTATTATTGTGGGATTGGTAAAATTGTTAGCCATTTGCCATGTGTTTGCCCGTTCACCATAACCAACCCATTTTACCAGATATTCTCTTTCACCAGCAGCACCATGATGATCGCGAATGTCTTCAACTTCATAGAGCTCATTCTCAATTGTAGATTCATCGATAGTAACCATCTTGAGTTCTGAGGGTGTGTAATTTTGGTGCAATAATTCTCCTTGCTCATCCTTTAGTTCATACAATTCTCCTTTATTTCTTCGAACCACTGTATAAGGACCTTCATAGATTGGTGCCAATTTATTTGGACGATGTGGTAATCTGACCATTACGTGTGCTCCTTTGGGGATGTCTATTAAGATGTTCTTGTGATTGTATTTCTTTTTTAACTCTTCGTTGATCCGCAAGACTCTTTTGTTTATGGCAGCAAATATTATTTTATCCATATATTCAATCTGCTTCTCCAATTCATCAATTGTTACCGTGTTTTTGGGAAGAGAGAATTTTGCTTTATCACCATACTCATCAGGTACATTAACTCTGCGAGCATACATTAGTGAAAAGGGTGCACTCAGTGTCTTTTGAGGAATATGTCTGTTTATGCATAGCTGAACAATTGGTAAATAGTGACACCAGTCATTGCTGTTTGCTCTCATCATTTTCCATACAGTATTCTCTGCAACTTTCACACTGGCTTCAGCAATACCATTCTCTTGTAGATGATATGCCGTTGAATATCTTCGATTAATACCAAGCTCTTTTGATAGGCTTGCCATTAAAGAATTTCTAAATTCCAACCCATTGTCACTTTGCATTACTTTGGGAAAACCATAATCTCCAAATATTTTTATCAATGTCTTAGCTATTGTCGTCAAGTTTTTGTTTGGTAATAGTCTCAAGATGATATACTTGGAACAAACATCAACTAACACTAGCATATATGTGTGACCATCCTCTGATACTGGGAATTCACTGCATAAGTCAATTGCAACATGATCAAATGGTCGGAAAGCTACAACATTGGTCAATGGGTGATATCCTCTTTTGCTGATGTTGTGCTTCTGACATTCAGAGCAAGAACAAATAATCTCCTTTGCTTCTTCATATATATTAGTCCAATGTAATCCTTGAGAGTGAAGATCATTCACCATAGCTTGACTACCAAAGTGACCAAACGAATGTGCTTCTTTTAACAAGCCATTTCGCTTTTCTTCAGGAGGCGACATATAGTCGGAAGTCTCTGATACATTTTCGATGAGTTGTGTAGCAAGTATATTTAGCACTTTGTCCTTACTGTACTTTTTCTTACGAATAATAACTCTATCTTTAGATTGCAAGTGTTTTGTTCTGATTTTTCTCAATCCATCATCCTCCACCAGCTTGTAACTATCCTCTGGAGGATACAAGCAACTCAACAAGTCTGGTAGTTTATTCAATAAACCAGGAATATGGACCACCTTAAAATCAAAGTCAAGAAGTGTCTCAATCCAGCCAATTATCATGGGATTAGCAATTTTTTGTGTGTGAAGATAAGTGAGTGCTTTATGATCAGTAAAAATGGTGAACTGTCGGCCCCATAGAAATGGACGGAATTTATCAAGCGCCAAAACGACTGCATACAATTCTCTTTTGGTGGTGCTCCATCGCCGTTGGGATGGGCTCAGGGAAGTTGACACAAAACTAATATACTTATCACGCCCTTGATCGTCGCGCTGAAAAAGCAGGCAGGCTACTCCATAAAGGGAAGCATCTGTGGCCACATACATTTCACGTGACATATCTGCGTAATGAAGAATTAAATCCTAATGCAGTATGTCCTTTAATGCTTTAAAGCTTCTTGTCTGCTCATCTGTCCATAGCTCAGCTACATTGTTGGCATGACTTAATTGTGAAATAGGTTCAGCCACCTTCGAGATCATGGGAATATAGTCTCTGAAGTAATTAATCAAACCCATAAATTGCTGAATTTGTTTCGCAGTTTTAGGAATAGGCCATTTATCAACGTTTGTCAACTTTCGCTTATCAACCTTGGTGCCTGTCTCATTGACGACAAAACCAAGCAATCGCACTGAATGTTGAAACCAGACACATTTATCAGAGTTTAGAATCAACTTCGCCGATGTCAATCTATCAATCACTATTTTTACATCCTTAACATGCTGCTCAAATGTTTTGCTAGCCACAATACAATCATCAACAAAATTCTGCACACAGTCAATTTTATCAAACAAAGTTGCCATGGCATGTTGAAATTGTGATGTAAGCATCTTCAAGCCAAAGCAGCCTTTAATGAAGCTATATTGTTGCCCATCTAAATGAGTGAATGTTAATTTATGAACATCTTCAGGTGCAACTTTGAAACGATGGTAGGCATTCGATAAATCCAATGTGGTGAAAAATTTCTTTCCACTCAAATTCTGGAATATCGTTTGGATTTTAGGAATTGGATAGTTGAATGTGGGAGGTAGGATCTGATTCAATAATCGCACATCTAGACAAACTCGGTGACTCACAATCTCTCCAGCTTTGTTTCTTTTAGGCACAAGCAACATAGGACTGTTGAAGGAAGTATTGGTCTTGGACTTGACAATCGTGTCTGTCTCAAGCCATTCTTTTACTTGTTTATCAAGTGTTAGTCGTAGAGCATGGGGAATAGGATATTGACGTCTATAAGCTGTGGCGCCTTCTTTTGTGAGTAATCTAATTAGAGATTCTGATAAAAGACAAGAGGACTTGACTGGGATTTTCTTATTTTCATCCAGTGAGGCCTGAATTGACTGAATAAATTCTGCTCGCTGTGTTTCCGTACCAGCTGGTGAATTATCCGGTTCAAACTTTTTCTCTTTATCGATATTTAGATTTTCATACACAGCGGCATAGTCTTTAGCATTATCTGAATGAATATATTCTCCTTCGATATCGTATGCAACATTAATCAATCCGATGTTCATTTTTGTTAAGATATCTCTTCCAAGAAGAATATCAAAATTAAATCCTGTATTAAACTCTAACACCTCGGGTGTATGCTTAAATGTAATTCCATTCATATATTTAAAATTTAAAGAATCAGTTTTTCCCAATCGCTTAGTACCACTATTCTTTGACAAGAAAGTGAAGGAACCATTTGATGAATTTATTTTATTTATATTTAAATTTTCATTCAAACATTGTAAACTAATGAAAGTGCATGCACTGCCAGTGTCAATCATTCCAAGTAGTTTGCTGTTCTCTACAATAATAGGAGTGGTTAGATTAAATACATCATTGGCTTTAACCCTTCTCTCAATTTTGTCAAGTAGGTATTTACAGTCGAAAGACATGTCTTCAAGTTCCAAGTCAACACTGTCTTGGATCGCCTTGAGTACTTGCTCAGACTTCTCCTTGGCAGGGACCTGCGAGACCATCAGAACTGGCTCACTGTCCTTACAGACGTGGCCACGGAAGTAGTTTTCTCCATACCACCTGCAGGGGTTGCGCTTGGTGGGGGCAGCTACTTTGGCCTTGTTGTTGGCCAGGGTGAAGCATTTGCTCGACTCATGTGTAGTATTCTTACCATGGTGCGAGCAGAAGAAGGAACACTCCAGCTTACTGATTTGGTGCTGCTGGTTGTTGCTGGAGTGCACCTTCTTGCGAGGGTACGCCTCCATTCTCTTCTTCTCCATTCTCCTCTCAGTGTGCATGTTGGCACCAGGAATGAGCTGGGTAGCTTTGGCATACATGTGATTGTTGTCGCCAAGGATGTCTCTGCCAATCTGCGTCAACTGCTCCACAGTCCAATCTCTTTTAGTCTCGCCATTGAAGTCCAATCTGGTCATGGTGAGCTGCAAGAGTGTCTGTACTTGCCTAGTCAAGGAAGCGAGGAAGCGGTCGGCAACACAAGCATCGTTTTTGGGGAGGCCGGCATCATACACAGCCTGAAGGAACTTCTTGGAGTAATCTCCAATCGACTCAGAAGGAAGCATTACCATGGTAAATACCTCTTTTACCAAACGGAATGTCACCAAGTGCGATCCATGTCTTGCTGTAAAGCAGATCTTGGCCGCATTCCAATCTACACACTTCTTCAAATCCATCTCTACCCATCTATCGTCACTATGAGGCAAGCAGAGCAGCAAAAATCTCTTCCAAACTAGTTCAATGTCCTGAAGAGACGACTCAATAACCTTTTGGAAGGTGCGAAGGAAGTGGTCTACTGAGTGAAAGACCTCTTCATTCAGGAAGGATCTAATCACATCGTCTGCCAACTGGAACTTAGGAAGATCTCTTCTATTAAGAGTCAACCCTCCAGTGCGACTGCTCTTCTCTACAACTTTCACAGAAGGCGAAAGGTACTGACTGCATGCTATCTATATATCTATCATTTCTTTGACACGTCTGACCTTATTAAGGGCTAATTCAGCTGCTTGCTCATCGTTCATAGTGTGAGCAGCGCTGACAGCCTCTACATGCTATTGAAGTTCTAGTCTAAGTTTCTCTGACAAAGTCAAGACTGTTGTAGCAGCATTCACTACCAAGGGACGAAGGGGGGAGGGAGCAACAAATTGTCCAGGGGTGGAGCTGGCAAAGGAGATGTTGTCACTCAGACTGGCGATGAGGTCCTCCTCAGTCATGACGGACGTGGCATCCTCATCATGAGCAGGGATGATGGCGGCAAGGTAGTTCTCAGCAGAGGGGTTCATGGTAGTTCACGAAAAAAAATGTTGTGGTGGTTGAAGTTGAAGAAGTTTTTAAGAGGAAGAATTGAAGATTTGAGATTAGGAACGAAGATTCGTGAGAACTTGTATAGGTTTTGTTTATTGAGAAAGGATTTTTGTATCAAAGTTTGACCAGGTTCCTACACTGAACTACTACTGCTATTTATATTGTTTTGGATTGGGAAAATTATATGACTGGGGTCAGGTAATCGATCCTATCTGAGCCTTAATCAGAGCAACGTGATCTTGAGATAATTAATGTATGATTACAGTAAAAGCTTGATATAGTGATATGGATAGTAGACAAAAATTTTATCACTATTACTATATTGAGCGTGATTTTTTTTACTCCATACATTTTTTAGTGATATTTTTAATGTCACTGTGAGTGGCTACTATTTTCTAATAGGATTCATAGTTTTTTGTCTAAGAAAGTGGGCTTTCTTTAAAATGCTAAATAAAATATATACTACATTTATTTTTTTATAGTACAAAAATAAACTCAGAGCTTGATATAGTGATACTGATAGATTCAAATTTTATCACTATCACTATATTAAAAAATAGTGATAATAAGCAGGCACAAGCCCAAATTATCCAAAAAATTATTACTATATTGCGATTATCACTATATCAAATATCACTATACCAAGTCTTGACTGTAATTATATAAATGTGTATAGTCCCAATGAAATATTAACATCAAAAGTAAATGTGTTTATGAGTTATAATTATGCTTATAATAATCCACTGATATATTTCATATTATGATGATATCATTATATAAAATATAATCACTATCATGTATGATAAATCTGTGTGTTAAATAATAAAGTAATTGATATATATCTTTGACTAGAATAGCTGAGATCTTATATTATTTCCTTCAGACTTATTCTCGATTACAGCAGTAGTCAATACTCATTTACAACAAAATCCTCATAAATCTCAATTTTTTTTTAAATAAGTTTGATCTTTAAAGATTGCATAAATTAATTACATATACAATAGACACTCCTAGCTACCATATATCTTAATTTGAGAGTGAGAGAATAAGCTTGATTTTGAGGAAATATTTAATAGAAAATATTAGTGAAAAATTATGAAATTCATAATTTTTCACATACAGTCAAAGCTTGATTTAGTAATATTTGACTTAGTAATAATCGCGATTTAGTAATATTTTTTTCAGCACTTTTATTTGCAGTCACATAGAGCAAATCTGCAATATTGCTAAAAAATATATGCGGAGTAAGAAAAAATACATTTGATTTAGTAATAGTAATACAATTTAACTTCTCCCAAAAGTATTACTAAATCGAGCTTTGACTGTACATTTTCTGCTAAATCATGTCAACCAAGAAAAACATATAACAATTATTGGAAATTAAATCACCGTTTAAATTAAGAATAGATAAAATATTCAATTTTCTACTAGATAACACTGTCAGACATTATTTTGATGAATCCGTAAAATCTGAAGATAGTTAACTGCAGTACCTCTTTATGTGCAGTAATATTTTCCTGAGCATTAATCGCAGTATAATAACTCTTCTTTTATTTAAATATAATATAATAGCTACCACAGATAATGTGCAGTATTAGTCTAAAAAACTATATAAGACAATTCAATTCATATCAATAAAAAGTATTTTTTATCCTCTCTTTGATTTTATGTATACTCCTTAATTCCCAGTGGGATTGACCTTTTAACTTTGTTGTCAAGTCTTGACTGGGTCTATCTTTCTATTATTTTAACTTGTATAAGTTGTGGTATTTCAGATACGAAACAATAGAAAAATAAAATATTTGATAATAGAGACGTATAGAAATACTTTGAGACTGTATATAAGTTGTCTTTATTCATAAATAAAAAGTGTCTCTTTTTATAAGAAAACACAATCTGCTCTTGTCATTACGTCTTAGTTTCTTAAGGCTTTCTTCCTTTACTATATTTGATTATTAGAGTGTATTTACTGCTTAACTAGTGTCGGTGTTACAATTATGACATCAAGTCATAAATCGTACTTCTTTAGCTCTTAGCTATTCTTTTCTCTTTTATACTAGAGCTTTAGGACTTCCTACTAAATTAGCTCCATATCGATCTGACACAGTTTACCCGGCAGTATGATATAATTATCTTAACAATCTTTAAGATATTATCTACAGTACTAACTGTAATAATTATTGCGCTGATTACTTAATTGTTTATATATATATTATACTGACAAGATGATAGCTACTACGCTATCCCAATATGAATATGTTCTTATATGTGATAAATCCAACATCCGAGTGTTTGGATCACCACATAAGTTTTAATAATAGATTACCACTAACTAGGACATTGCAAATACAGTTGTGGTAATCCAGACACTCTGATGTTGGATTTGTCACATATAAGAACATATTCATATTGGGATAGCATAGTAGCTATCAGCTTGTCAGTATAATATATATATAAACAATTAAGTAATCAGCGCAATAATTATTACAGTTAGTACTGTAGATAATATCTTAAAGATTGTTAAGATAATTATATCATACTGCTGGGTAAACTGTGTCAGATCGATATGGAGCTAATTTAGTAGGAAGTCCTAAAGCTCTAGTATAAAAGAGAAAAGAATAGCTAAGAGCTAAAGAAGTACGATTTATGACTTGATGTCATAATTGTAACACCGACACTAGTTAAGCAGTAAATACACTCTAATAATCAAATATAGTAAAGGAAGAAAGCCTTAAGAAACTAAGACGTAATGACAAGAGCAGATTGTGTTTTCTTATAAAAAGGGACATTTTTTATTTATGAATAAAGACAACTTATATACAGTCTCAAAGTATTTCTATACATCTCTATTATCAAATATTTTATTTTTCTATTGTTTTGTACCTGAAATACCATAAGGAAGATTGGGTTTGAAGAAGCATTTATGAAGAAATTTATTAAAGATGTGCACAAAGATGATCTTGTCAACAGTTTTTTTCAGAGTACCTACCAGACATCTGCATTTCCTCTCCTTACCAAACTCACTTCTTCCTTTACACGCACCACCATTCCATCCATCCGTCAATGTACCTTCTGCATACAGTCATTTGTTGAGGCTTCTGAAGATCCAAGTGTACTTGTAAAAGGCAACGAAACTCTCCCTCTATCATTAAAATCTGCTACCACAATGAGTGACATTCACTATGTTCATCTCTTACAATACTACAAAGTTGCATACAACAATGAACAATTAGTTCACTTTCAACAAGCATCAGAATTACCATACCTTGCCAACAATACAATCACCCTGTTGAAATACATTAATATTTTTGGGCAGATCTACAAGGGTAAAGGTGAATATGGAAGTCGTGGCTCTCTTTTACAAGCAAAGTTCATTGGAAGTACTGGTGAGCATATCATTGCATACACGGATCAAATACAGTACATTTTCACCCATTCTTTCACTCCTCTACCCACCTCTTCATCCCTTACTCCCTTGCTCTACACCCATCGCTGCCCAACGCAACTTCTTCACAATTCTCAACATACTTTTGCATTTATCAAATTTTACACCCCCAAAAATGATAAATCGCGAGAGTACAAACACGTTGAAACCTGCTTTTCAACATTTTCTCCTGACGATTTTCAATGTGTTTTGCCAGTGCATAGAATCATGTTAAAAGTAGCAACTTCTGAGCACACAACACGCAGAAAAGTAAAAAAGATACTGGTCATTCCTTTGCCAAAAAAACAATACATTTAAAACATAATAAAATATAACTTCTTTTTTTAAAGTCACACAGAAAAGAATAATCATAGTGTTTGTATTTGTTGATATGTTTATCATTGTCAGATGGAGAATGTGGAGGATGTGGAGGATAAGAAAACAAAATTTATTGAAACTCATCTCTAAAATCCCAGTGAGGGAGAAGGGATGTCAATCTAGCCAGGACTGCTAAAACAGCATCTCTACCAAAGGATCTTTTCAACATCTGACACAAATTGAAGTCCATGTGATTACGTATAAAATCATCAACAACCATAAGAAAGTGATTGTACTAAATACAAATAAATGATTAATCAAAGTTCTGTTTCATTTAAATTCATAAAAAAACAAAAAAAGCTATATAGAATAATGTAAACAAAAGAAATTATCTCATTACTTCTCCAACTTGGACGCACTGTACAAATCGCACAGTTGCTCAAGACTTCAGGCATATTGTCTTTAGATTTGCCCTCAGACATTGCTTCTTTTTGTAACAGTCTATTGCAGCTCTTACCCACCTTCACATCAATTTCAGTCTTGAATGTATGGTAGGTCAGCTTGCAACAGTCAAAATGCTAGTTTAATAGATGTATTAATATGAATATATTTAATTTGCAATAAAAATATACTTCTAACATATATCAGTCTCTCAATCTGCTTTTCTTGACCAAGAATTTGTCTTTTTGCACGATTCATACAATTCCTTGATTTGGTGTCTCGTTCCACAAAAGTTTGTGTATATAAAATCACTAATATTGACCTTTTGAACACTAGTCCCAACAACCTTTGGAGCCAGGTATGCATGAAGATCATGCATCAGCTATTTGTTGGGTGAAAGTCTGTAATCAACATTAACATCCCAACTGCGCTTGCTGTCATTAGCTGCAACTAGTTCCAGATTATTCGGTTTGAAGTTGTGTTTCTTCAACTCTCCTCAGATAAGAGCCTATACTTAGTGTGAGATATTATGTTGATGAACTACTGTATATCTCAACACTTACTAAAACTCTAGTGCGATCCTGTTTACTAAGTTTACCAGTGTTTGCACCAGTAAGAACCACTGGACCAACAGAAGGAGCAACAGAAGGAGTAGCAGAAGGGATACCAAAAAAAGTCTCAGAAGGTGTTGTATGTCAATCCAGAGTAGAATCAATAGAAGAAGCTGCGAAAGAGACAGAAGCAAAAGCAGATATAGTAGTAGGAGCAATAACTGCAAGACGTTCTCCAGAAGCATTGGCAATGCTATCAAGTATTTCCAATGAATCTTTGTTCCCCTTGATGACAATGCCAATGTTGGAATCCATAGTCTTGAGGCTTTCCTCTATAGCAGTGAGCCTTCTTAAAAGCTCAGTATATTCCGGGGATGGAGCCGGGGCAATTGACTGATGATTGTTGACCATAGTCTGAAAGCTAACAAATAAAATGTTATATATGAGTTGATTGTTAATTATATTTGTTTTATATATCTATTCATTGTATATATAGAGTGTTATTAACATACAAAAGAAGTTAGGTGTTAAGCAAAAGAATAAAGTGTAGTTAATGAAAAGATAATAAAAGTAAAAGCAAGAACTCATTTATTATATTACACTTGTTGCTGTAAATACTCAGGACTTCTTTAATATGTGTATCTCTATTAATACTTCCTGGAATTAACGGGGTGCAAATCAGCTTTGAACATGCTTTTTTCAACTCAATCTAATATATGATTCCTGTCTTTTGACCTTTTGGCCCTTTGGTCTTTTGTTCTTTTTGTTTTTTTTTCATTTACAAGTTTTCTCTCTTCTCTCTATTTCTAACATTTATTATATTCACAGATTTTCTTAGTAAGATATCTTCTTCTTTAATATTATATATATATATTTAACTTAAATGATAATAATTGTTTTCTATTGCTATAGACACTTATGTTTTGTTACCTTCTGATGTATTCCCTTCACAATGTCCATTCGGATTAGCTAAGATTAGTAAATATACTTTATGCTGTCATCCAATAAAATTATTCTGACTTTTTCCTTTCTTTTATATGGGCCATGTCGCCAAAACTACTCTCTACTATTAAACACGGTTATGAACACGGTAATATTTTATTTTATTTCAATCTATCTCTTTTTAATAAGCACACGACTTAACATAATTTCTACTATATACGAACCTTCCTCTCAAGAGCACATCACAGATCAAGAACTTTTATTTCATATGAGTGTCATTGACATGGTAAATATTTTTTTATTTTTGTACAAATAACAATATTATTTATTTATTTTGTATATTAATATATATTATTTACTGAAGACAATATCAGCACCTCCTATTTACTCTCTTAATCTGCAAATAAATCCTTTTGCTTCAGGTAGGTAAATGAAATATTCTACCACACAGTTCACAAAAAATAATTTTTTTATTATTTTTATAGCCAAAGAAAGTATATTGAGTACTATGGTTTGTATTCATGACGCCTTTTCTTTTTGTTTCTGATAAGCTATTATATTGCAAGTATAAATACATATATATATATACTCTTAATATCTACAATTTCTTATTCAAACAGCTAACACTTTTCTAATTTTATAGAACAATCATTTACAAGCAAGCAACACAAAACTAGGCTTTTCTCTGAGAGATATTGTTTGGAGAATACTTGTTTTATCAGAACATTAATCATTTCAAATTGTATGAAGGATAGAACACTAGCCAGAACTTTCCAAAATATTAAATATAATTATTGTACTATAAACCTAAGAATATTCTTTTCTTTCTAATAAAAACAAAATAAACCAATAATTATTATAAATAAATTAAAGATTGGAGAAGTGTATGGAAGCAAGCAGTACAAGAAGAAGTCTCTAAGATTAGATAAAATAAATTCAAAGACAACAAAACCCTGTAAAAACTGGCATATCCATATAATCAATCTTTCATTTATTGTTCTTTTAATTAGAAAGCGGTAGAATATATTACAATAAAATGTAATTCTAAGTTGCCGTTTTAGTGCATATAGAAAAAACCCATATATATAAAATACAAAAACATCTTACTATCCTGCTATTCTGATCTTTTCCTATGTTCGAAAGTTGGTCTTACCACCTATGAGTAAGCCAGCCTCATACACTTGTAAAAACTATCTGATCGCATTATAAAACCTGGTCTTTTCACATAATTAGACACAGTTTTACATATAAGAAAATCGCACCTCTTTTCTAGTGGTGGGAAGGATGTACGTGGGAGAGGTTCTTTGCCTAAGATAGGAATTCTGGTAGTTTCAGAAGAATCCACAAATGCTTGCAAAATGAATGGTAGCTGAACAATTGTGGAGGAGGCAGATATCAAGGTAAGGACAGGTGTAGATGAATAGACAAATTTGGATAGGACAGGAAGAAAGAGAGCTTAAGTGGGACATGTGAGAGCAGAATTAACAAAATCACTTTTGTATATATCTTCAATAAAGCATCTCATAAATGTGGTCACAAAACCATCCCCGCTGTTTGCGCTGATATTCTTGAGTAGGCCATTGTATCTCTCAAATGCAAAGAGCCAATAAATATACATTGATTCAAAATCGAGAATAGTTTCTCAAAGATGGAGATGTAAGTACATATTACAGGTAAGGATTTTGGTGGTGTAAACTTTGTTGCATTTTTCATAAAATTTTTCGAGATGTCTATGGACAGTATTAATATCATCAAATGTAATGCTGGGCTTTACAAGGTGACAGCATGCATGGACAAAATCAATCATGTTATTGAAATGCAAGGATGAGAGCACCGACTTCAACACCACAGGAGAATATATCAAAACCCACAACTATCACTTGTCTGCTTTCATAAATGCAAATTTTTTGCTAATTTTGCTTTTCAATGCAGTATATTCCCTTGGCACAATCATCTTATCAGCTATCTTTTGCATGGTGGTGAAATCTCTGTCTCCAAGAACACCATTGTTGTAAATGAGTATTGACTACTGCTGTAATTGAGAATAAGTCTGAAGGAAATAATATAAGGCCTCAGCTATTCCAGTCAAAGGTGTCTACCGATTACTTTATTATTTAACACACAGATTTAGCATGCTTGATAGTGATTATATTTCATATGATGATATCACCATAATATGGGATACATCAGTGGATTATTATAAGCATAATTATAACTCATAAACACATTTACTTTCGATGTTAATACTTCATTGGGACTACACACATTTATATAATTAATCATACATTAATTATCCCAAGATCACGTTGCTCTGATTAAGGCTCAGATAGGATCGATTACCTGACCCCAGTCATATAATTTTCCCAATCCAAAATAATATAAATAGCAGTAGTAGTTCAGTGTAGGAACCTGGTCAAACTTTGATACAAAATCTTTCTCAATAAACAAAACCTACACAAGTTCTCACGAATCTTCGTTCCTAATTTCAAATCTTCAATTCTTCCTCTTAAAAACTTCTTCAACTTCAACCACCACAACAACCATGTTTAATCCACTGATCTATTATTCTTTTTGCTGTCCCCAAGAACAGGTTGTGCATGGGATCAATAATCGTTTCACGTACTAGATCAAAGTATCCAAGGCGGTACAACTGCAACCATCAAACACCATTTTTGATTTCCAGATGCTGCCTTTCTGAGATGGTAACTGCATTCTTCCACTTCTCAGCATGCAGCCTATTCTTCTCACAGTTACGACAACATCACTCAAACTCTTTAAATCCACAGAAATCAACCTTGTTTGTGCTGTCAAGGCAAGTGAAATGACAGTTGCACTTAAAGCATGCGCAAGTGCTATTATGCACAGTAAATTTGCTGGTCTTTCTGGCAGCTGGGATGTTGCAGGCAACCATCATCAATGCAGCACGAATCACTTCGCCAGCAGGAAACTCAAATGTTGGGATTCTTACCCCACAATACAGCTGTATCAACTCATCTACCATTGGCTCAAGATAGTTATTTATCTCATTAGTTTTAGGCTCCTTGGGACCAGGCATAAGTTCTACAAGGATTACATTCTCAGCTTTAAACCGATCACTGCGAGGCAAGTTGTTAATAGCCAAGTAGATTGCACCACAGGAGTATGTAACTTTATCCAACGGCTGAAACCAGTCGATATTGAGCATCAGCATCAGCAAACAAGGCTGCTCAACAAATGAAGCACCATTACTATCCTTGAGTTCTTTCCAAACCGCACCATCATATACATTGCACATTGTGTCTACTAATTTTGGCTCTGTATTCCATTGACGTATCTTTTCTTCGAAGCCTGGACAATTAAAAAGAATCTTGAACGCATTTTTGATGGACTGGTAATGGAAACTACGCTTGGGAACCAAAGCACCAGACGAAGATTTCTTTGTTAATTCACAGTTACAAGCTGCACGAGCACCTGTCTTTACAAAGACGCAGTGAGGAGGAACAGATTGATTTTCTTTGTAAATTGCATGGCAATCCTCGCAGGCCACAAATCGTCTTATACTCTTGGAGAGCTTACGGAATCCCCTCATATGCTGAAGACCAGGCAGATTTGCGGAAAGCTGGAAGTCCTGCTCGTAAATTTTCAAGAGCTTGTTGATGAACTCAATCAAGACAACTGTGCCCTTGTTGATCACGTAGCAGGATGCAAATAGCACAGTGAATGTTACGATGAATCTGTGTACAAGATTCTCAGACATACTGCTGTTTGAAAACATATCTATTTAAAAATATAAAAAAATATTAATTTTTTTGACTTTTTTTTAGATTTTTTTTGACTTTTATATGAACATTCAGTGTCAACTTCTTTAATATCAATATCAACAGTATCTTTGGCATTCTCATTGCTCTCATACTCAAAGTCCATGTCATTGAAATCAACATGGACCTCATAGTCAACTGACATAGGGGAGATATCCAAAACAGGTAAGTCAGACTGACGTGCAAGAACTTCTACAGATGCAGATTCTTGGACTACAATAGCTACAAATATGGAATATAATAAGAAAGTTGTTTTTTTTTGATACCCAAATAAAAATGTCTTACACTCCACATCAACGTTCATTATATGTCTCTGCGCCCCTGTGTTTAATATAAAAGCTATTAGTATATAAAAATGCAAATTTTATATTATAAATGACATACCAAGTTCACTTCTGATAGCATCTTTTAAAGCTGCTTTCTTGCCATGACGCTGGGCAGTTCTCTTTGACACTAAGGTGTATCCATTATAATTTTTAATGCACTTGGTACAATAGCACTCTTCAAAGTTTTGTTCGATAGTAGAAGACATGACGTTTGTGTTTTTTTAATAATGAAATAAAAGGGAAACAGGTGTTACATTTATCTATTCACGAAGACTTTATAGTAATAAATAAAATAACTTTTGTTGCTTGTTATATCCGAGCCAATAGAATATAGTAAAAGCAGATTTTTTTATTTGAACACAAAAAGCGGTGCTGAGATGAAATATATTCTACATATACACTATCACTGAATTATTTTGGCACTAGTGTATTCAGAGGTGGTTTTCCAGTATACCCCTTCTCCCACAACTCTAGGCCTTGTTCAACTAACGGCTGGTGATGACTAAACTGGTAGGCGGGAAACCATTTGATGAATGTGAACGTTGACACTCTTTTGACTCCACCAATCTTGATGGTATAAGTAAATAAATACTCTATTTGACCAGGGAATTCAGATACATTGTCATTTGTTCTCCCAAGAAACAAACCCTCACAAAAGACCCATGCTTCTTCTTTTCACCACTGCAGTACTCTTGCCCCAGCAACAAAATCTTTTTCACCTTTTGAATCCGATTGTTCACAAATACATTCTCATCAATTGGGATTCTCCCTACCACACAGAAGGAAACACTTGTACTCTGGTAAGCCTTGACATAGAATTCAAATAACCACTGATAGTCATCATTCTTCATCATAGTCAAAGGCTGCAGCTTGATTGGCAAAGTGGTTGGGGGCAAGGCCTCACTTCTGGTGACATTGTACCATGGATTTGTGGCAGCTTGCAGAAATATTGGGAAGTTGAATGCCAGTACAGGTGGATGACCATTCTCCAGGCAAGGGAGGGGCGAGAGAGCAGATACCAACGTAACTTGGGCAATGCTCTCAAGAAACTGTATCATTGGTGGCAAAAGGTTGGTGGAATATGCATGTAGGAAAGTGCTGATAAATGCCTTTTCCAGGAATACTCTCATAAATGTAACATCAAGACCATTTTGGCGGTTCGTCTTTATGTTCTTCAACTTGCCGTTGTATCTCTCAAAGCTATACAACCAGAATGCATACACTGGACCAAAGTCAAGCATCGACTCATGCAAGTGCATATGCAAATGCATATTTGGCGTGATGCTACTCTTTCCATAAAGAATCTCGCATTCTTTTCCAAATTCTCCAAGGAGCTTGTATGCACTGTCAATTTCTGAATATGTGACTGATGGACCGGTCAACTTTTGGCATGTCTTGACAAAGAGAGTCCAGTTTTTGAAGTCTTTTTCAGGCAAAGCGTCTTTGAGTAATACCAGCAAATATATGAGACACCACGATTGCCACTTGTCTGCCTTCATGTATGGGAAGCCCGATTCGATTTTTGCAGACAAAATGGTATATCCAGGAGGAACAATAATACCATCAGCAAGGCATTGCATGCGGACAAGAACAGCAGCAGGGAGATAGCCAAGGTCTTTCCAAACACTAATCATATGCTTTGCTGTCCCAAGAAACAAATTGTGCATGGGATCAACAATTGTGCACCAAATGGGATCAAAGTAATGCAAAAGATGCAACTAGGAAAACCGCGTGCTATTTTACTTCTCCAAATCTGCTCTTTCTGCATTTGATTCTGCATAAGCCCACATATTGGCATATATGGCGTTCATCTCCTTTGTTCTTGGCACCCAGCTTTCATTATCAAACCCAGAGTAATCGATCTTACTTGATCCGGCAATCACAGAGAAGTGACGCTCGCATTTATGACAGTCATTAGTGCTTGGATACTCTGTAAATCCAGCAGTTTTTCTTGCAGCAGGTATGTCGCAAGCAACGCACATAAGAGCAGCGCAGACAATAGTACCATTGGGGAATGTGGCAGTCTTTACAGTTATACCGCCATACAACTCTACCAGCTTGTCTACCAGAGGTTCCAGAAAGTTGTTCATCTGGTCGATCTTGCTTCATTTGGACCAGGCATGACACCAACAAGGATAATGTTCTTCGGCTTCATTCTTTCTTCCCTGGGCAGGTTGTTCATTGACAGATACAAGGCCCTACTTGCATGTGTACGGCCTTCAAATGGTTGAAACCAATCCACATTCAATGTCAGCATCAAGGAATGATCATGATTGTTGTGGTGGTTGAAGTTGAAGAAGTTTTTAAGAGGAAGAATTGAAGATTTGAGATTAGGAACAAAGATTTGTGAGAACTTGTGTAGGTTTTGTTTATTGAGAAAAGATTTTGTATCAAAGTTTGATCAGGTTCCTACACTGAACTACTACTGCTATTTATATTATTTTGGATCGGGAAAATTATATGACTAGGGTCAGGTAATCGATCCTATCTGAGCCTTAATCAGAGCAACGTGATCTTGGGATAATTAATGTATGATTAATTATATAAATGTGTGTAGTCCCAATGAAGTATTAACATCGAAAGTAAATGTGTTTATGAGTTATAATTATGCTTATAATAATCCACTGATGTATCCCATATTATGGTGATATCATCATATGAAATATAATCACTATCAAGCATGCTAAATCTGTGTGTTAAATAATAAAGTAATCGGTAGACACCTTTGACTGGAATAGCTGAGGCCTTATATTATTTCCTTCAGACTTATTCTCAATTACAGCAGTAGTTAATACTCATTTACAACAATGATTAACAAAAGGCTCATTGTCTTTGTCAAGGAGCCCACTCCACATTGCACCATCGTATATGTCCAACAAGGTACTGTTAATTGTCTCCCTTGATCTCCATTGAACGATTTGACACTCAAACCCAGGTTTGGCAAAATGCTGTGCAATGGAATTCTTGAGGGAGTTATACGGGAAAACCATGAGAGAGATAGGCTGATCAACTTCTGGGTCAAAGAAAAGAGGATTTCCGCAGTATGCTGGTGGTGTAGTTGTGTATTTTTGAATGTGAAATTTGGTTGGTGATTGCCTGATAAGTAAATTGCAAAACACTTATTGCAGACGGTGTATTTGACGATGCTTTTTGTCATAAAATTGAATCCAGTCATAGTCTTTAACACAGCAACAGTGAGCGGGAGATCAGTATCCTTCTCAAAGGCAACAAGAAGATGGCGGAAGAATTTCAGCATAGCAGTTCCACCTGCTTGGACCAAGTAAAACGCCTGAAAGATAATGCCAAATAGAGCTATGAATTGGCTTATTTGAGACATTTCATAAATTTTTAAAGAAGCAACTACAAAGGCAAGTATTTCTGTTAATTATTTGTAACACAATTTATGTATATTTCTTTTTTAAATGTATGCATACTGGAAGCAACCATGTCTTCCAAATTTTCAACACTGGCAACCTCAACTTTGCTCTCATCTTCAGACTCATCACTTGAATTAGGATTGTCATTATCAGAAACCAATGATGTTGCCTCAACATCAGACTCTTTGAATTGAAAAATCTTGTCTTCTCTCAAAAAAGATACACTCTGTACAGTAGTTTTGGCTGATATAATAGAATAATCGTCTTCATCTATAGTAAAAACAGACTATTAGCTATCTAAATTATGATTTATTAAAAATACATTTTATATTCACAGTCAATTGATGTATCAGATACATCTCCTATCTCAACGTCTATCTTTTCTTTGACAACTTCTGTATTAACTGATAATTAACAAAAAAAATTATCAGATTACAATTTATTCAGTAATGCACATACTACTTAAATATGATTTACCTCGATTTTTTAGGCTAATGTCTAATAACTTATCAGCATTGTTATGACGCTTAAAGATCTGTGCATTTTGCAAAATTCTACCAATTGCATTTTTGGTACATGATGAACATGTACACATAACAGTGTAGATTTTAGTTGTAGAATTCATAGCAATAAGAATAATATTAATAATAATAAAATAATAAAGAAGTGTATACTATATTTTGTTTTTATCTTTTATATGTCTTTTATTTTTGTCATTAATAATGAGTTGATATATCTTATTCACTATGTTATTGACTGCATTGAGATTACCGTCCCTATTAGTAAGAATTACAAATAGATTTTAATACAGCAATCTTTTCTTAAAAAAAGTGTGTCTGATTATTAATGGGGCTTCAATTTAATAATCACTGATATAATGGTGTAGTTTTTCTCTTTCGTATTTTTTTAACATGACATCAATTCTTGCTCATTTTGGCAAGTGGCCTTTTTTGAATTTTCTTTTTCTTGTATTTTTTTATGACATCAATTCTTGCTCTTTTTTTCAATTTTTTTTGATATACTTTCTTATTAAAAATAAGTCATATATCATACATTATTATATTCTAATAAAAATTGGCATTTTTTATGATGCAATAAAAATATTATTAAATCTAAATTAGGTGCATCTGTAACAACAAGTTTTTCTTTCCAGAAAAATAATTAAATATTACATTTAACATTTAATTTTTTATTTTTATTTTTTATTTTTATTTTTTATTTTTCTGCCAAGTCAATCAAAACATATATTTTTTAAGACAATTGTGTGATTTATTGTCTAATTAATAAATATTTGTGTTTGTATCTGTGTTTATTTAATATAATCAGAAAAAATTGCGAATTCACATCTCAAGAAAAAAATATATTAAAAAATGATGGTGTTTGAAATATTCTTCTAAATTTTGTCAAAATTCAAAAAATAAAATTTGACCAAATCCACTCTCTTTTTGCAGTGAAAATAGTATAGACCACAAAGAGAAGAAAACAAGAAAAAGATACTGAAACTGAATGAATTCTTTATTGAGTTGAGTTTGCTTCTCTTTTTATAGTCAACAAGATTTTAAATTGATAATAGAAGTTCAGAAAAATAAAGATAGTAAAAATAGAATGATGAGTAATTAATATGGCAAGGATAAAATATATAAGTAAAAATATAATAAAAATATAATAATAAAGGTACTGATGTTATGCGAAGATGTCGGCAAGATGAATTATGTGCATTGTAGAAGAGAAATGTTACTAGCATAGGGGACCATGATTTCAAATGAGTACAATGTAGACAAATATATTAACAAGGGAAAAGGAAAAAGTATTATGTGTAGAAGGAACAAAGAACAGAAATGAGATTTTTCCTGTGCACAGAAAAATTCTCCTCTTACCACCAAGGGCACAGCACCACATCAACAAACCGTTGACGTCAGCCTCTCATAACTGGGACGACACGCCATGACAACCCACTGGACAACCCACTGAGCAGACTGACCTTCTGGTACCGGACACTACGACATGGCCAAATGCCGTATATACTTACAACACATGTGATAGAATGTATCTGGTTTCGTGATGTAATGGTTAGCATCTGAGATTCTGATTCTCATTATCCGAGTTCAAATCTCGGCGAGACCTTTTTAATTTTGTGTCTTCCATGTGTTGGACATTATTTTAATGGATCTGTTGTCAGGTCTCAATCTGGTATTTCTTTTCTGGCACTTGTAACTAAGTCGCAGAATCAATACCACTGGGGATCGTTAAGTTTTTAAGAATAGTTTTTAGATAAGAATAAAGACGCCTTTTTATTAAATGTATTTCTTGACTATTTATACAAAATGATAATTGATTTCTGGCTAAAAGAATAGCTACGATAATATGTCTTAGATGCTTATTGTCCAGTAATATCTTCTACAAGTATATTCACCGTCTTAAACATCTAAAACATATGTGAAAGACCAATCGGCAAAGTCAAGATCTTTTATCCTAAAAAGTCAACCATTACTGGTTGCTTGTAAATCCCAATTATGGTTACTGATGTCAGCTCTGACACTGTCATGCTTAATTTTGGTGATACAAGTTCTAGTGGCTTGTTCTTACAAAAGAAGTAGGAATTAGAATGATTATTCATCAGTTTGTAATTTTAAAAATTTGTAATTAATTTATAATAACTTATAATATTACTAGATACTAGAGACCTTCATGCATTTTGGAAAAGTGCAAATTATTGCTTTATAAGGGAAACTTTTAAAATTTTCTAAATCTAAAAATAAAACAAGCATAACATGACAAACAAAAATTAGAAAAGTTCCTCTCACTCTTCAATATTTGAAAAATTTGAGGTGAACTTTTCCAATTTTTTTGGTCAATAATTTTCTATATTTGTCTTCTACTAAGCTGTCTTTCCAAATCACTTTAAAAAAAAAGAAAAATATTTGATTTCTTTCCTTGTAATTTTAGTGATAATTATATTACTACCACAGATATTAGAAACTAAATATGGTAATAAGTTATACTCAAGCATTGTGATTGGTCTAGAAAAATTTCTTCTGTATAATATTGTGATTTAAAAAAAATAACATCCAAATAGAGAAGAAAATAAAGTTCAAGGGAAACGAAATATTTATTAAGAAAATCTGGGAGTTGTTTGGAGTAACCATGAAATGACTTTGCAAAAATTTGAAAAAAAGACAGAGATTTTTATGAAAAAAAATATGATCTGGAATAAATTCCAAACCACTAAAAAAAAACATAAAATTTTTTATTAACTATATTAAATTATACTAAGAAATACTACTTTTAAACTATCACTACAACAAATATGGGCGGTTTTTTCAATCTGTGACTTCATTTATGATCTATAATAATCAAGAAATCACCAAAAATCTAAGTTGAAACTGTTGTGGGGAGAAAATAAAGCAAAATATAATATAGACAAAAGAATTCATGAGAACTTGTGTAGGTTGTTTATTTCAAAAGAAAAGTAAAGAATGATAAAATTCGATTGTCTTTCTACACGGAACTATCTACTGATATTTATATGTTTTTCTAATTTGTAATTCAGTGTGTGCTTAAGTAATCTTTATCACAATGAGTCATCTTTCAGGAGTATTGTTCTTCTGGAAAGATCCGGAAAGACCAATTGATATGATACTTCTCCAGTCAGATCAGTCCAAGAGTTTTAGTAAAGAAGAACATTTATGCTATTAGTAATATTTTAGTATTCCGACCCAGATACTCAGGTAATGTTTCATAATATTAGATAGTTGTAGTTGTAGTCTCTCAATTAAGTATTTGTATAATAAAAGAAATATGTAGATGAAATATAATGATGCCATATATATAATGTATATGTATTTGTATATTCCATGTCATGGTAATAATAATAAATAATCAATTATGTGTATAATGATCTGTGTATTAGATAATATCATAAAGGGAGATCCGTTTGACTGGAATAGCTGAGGATATTATTTTATCCTTCAGTCTTACTCTCAGATTCAGCAGTAATCAATACTCATTCACAACAGAAACAAGAAAATCTCTGTTTTTTGAAATGGTTGATAAAAAGTAAATTGACCATCTAAAATTAGATCCCAGTAGAGAGAGACATTCATTTTAACTACAGATATTACATTTACGGAAAATATAAATTGCAATTGAGTACTATTAAAAGTCAGAAGTAGAAAAAGAAAAAAATATCTAAACTTTTCTTACTTGAATAAAATCTGTTAAGACAATTCAAAGACACGCTAAAAAATTAGCATAGAGAACTTTATGTTATTATTATAAAATTACTATATTGATATTTTATATCAAAGAGTAGCCAATACATTTGTACAAAATATATATGACACTAATGATGACTTGAAGATTTTTTTTTCATTCTTTCTTTTTTTCATAACAAACTCTGATATTAGATTTTTTATTATTATTAATAATGTAGATGATGATGATGTAAATCATTTGCTTTAAGATATGCAAGATATACTTCTTGCTTTTCAGAGAGGCTATAAAGTACTTCAAAAGAAACAAGTAATCTTATAACTGGAGATTATCAAAATACTTAACAACATAAATAGACAAGCATGTTAGAAGAAAACCTTATGCTAAGATATAAGAAACATGCAAATAAATAAAAACATATAGTGCAAGTTTTGATAAGTATCAATTTTTCCAATCATTTCAATATTCAAAATCGAAAACTCCACAATTTTTAGTATTAAAACACCAATCAATTAATAAAAAAAAGGATAGAGAGAAGTTTTTTTATTATAATAATTATTTAATAGAGAGATAAAAATAAAATATAGTAATATTCATTTTTTTAGAGATTTAAAATTTTAGTCATTTTTTAGAACTTTTCTATGTGAAGCACAAACTCTGGCAGAGTATTGTTTTACTTTTTCATATGCATCATCACCAGTGCAGTTTTGACTGTAGGCTTCAATGAAGCACCAGGACTTGTTGTAAAAGCGGCAAACCTTTGCAAGTTCACCAGCTCTGTCCAGATAAGAGTCAGCATTAACCTTTAGTGATTTAAAGGTATAGTCGGACTCCTTTCTGGCCAAATCCTTGGCAGCTCCCCAGTACCTCTCTATCCAGTTGCACTTGCAGTGAAACTTCAGATACATCTCAAAGATGTGATCATTTGCCTCCACAACCTCACAGATGACGGTCTTTTGTTCATTGAAATCAGGTTGGGCAGCAAGAAAGTGGTGGGCGCAGCATCTAGAATCCGGCTCTTCATCTTTGCAACAATCAGCAAGCCACTTGCTACCAGGCTTGTATGAATTTGTATCCAACCAAAGAAAACACTCCTCCAAAATACTTCTGATTCCTTTTACATATTTTACAGGAATATCCACAGATCTTTTCTTCTTCGTTATGGTTTCCATTTTCGTGTAATACATAGCCTGAGGACAAGGCTCACCATCCAAAAGAAATGTTGTGTTCTTAAAATCGAACTCTTTGTCTTCTTTGACTGGCTTGTTGTTCAAGGTAAACCTTTTGGCAAGTAAGGCATTATTTGCAAATGCTCAGTGATTGCTGCTTTGGTTGAATATGAATACAGCTTAACTGTCTGGGTGCAGCAACTCAAAGAGGGTAATTGCATCTTTTATAAGCTGCTTGATCATATTATCACTCGTCCAGTATCCATCTCTTCCTTTACCGGCAAAAAACAGCTTTTGGGAACTCCACTTCTGTCTTTGCGTTGTACCATGACAAGCACATTGAAACTCACTGACCATTATACTTTGCCCTTGATCTTTTTTGGGCAAAGGGTTTTTTTTGTCATCTAGCCAGTTTTTCTCTCTTCTGTCATATGCATAAAAGGTTGATTTGTCATGTGTAACCAAGACAAGTTTCTTTTCACCATGCAAGACTTTTGGCTCTTCAACAACTTCCATGTTATCTCCTGAATATTCTTCCATTCTTCTTTTATATGTCATTATTTGCTGTGATCATTCTTCTCTATACTTGACAACGTCTTCTCTTTTGTGACTGTTGTGGTGATTGAAATTGAAGAAGTTTTTAAGAGGAAGAATTGAAGATTTGAGATTAGAAATGAAGATTAGTGAGAACTTGTGAAGGTTTTGTTTATTGAGAAAGGATTTTATATCAAAGTTTGACCAGATTCCTACACTGAACTACTACTGCTATCTATATTATTTTAGATTGGGAAAATTATATGAATGGGGTCAGGTAATCGATCCTATCTGAGCCTTAATCAGAGCAACGTGATCTTGGGATAATTAATGTATGATTAATTATATAAATGTATGTAATCCCAATGAAGTATTAATATCAGAAGTAAATGTGTTTATGAGTTATAATTATGCTTATAATAATCAACTGATGTATCCCATATTATGGTGCTATCATTATATGAAATATAATCACTATCATGCATGCTAAACCTGTGTGTTAAATAATAAAGTAATTGGTAGACACCTTTGACTGGAATAGCTGAGACCTTATATTATTTCCTTTAGACTTATTCTCAATTACAGCAGTAGCCAATACTCATTTACAACAAACAGAGCTTGAAACAAGTCTTATACGAGGGCAAGAGATTGGATCATCTTTAAAAACAAACACGCCAAAACTGTTGTTTTGGATGGCATCATCTTCAATATCTCCAGTATCGTTGTTGTCCTTAATGAACCTCTCTATTCCAGTCCCAGACTTCTCTCGGTTGCCAGAACTATTAATCTACGACCCACCATCAATTACATGTTGCAATGCTACCTGCTTTGCAAACTTTAGGCAAACATCCCTGGAAGTGTTTTGGCAATTCATATGAAACAGATGTTTGCAAATGTGTTTATTGAACTGTTCGCCCTTTTCTGTTTCATAATTGAGGGCTGGGCCAAAACGAATTATATCTTCCTTGAGATGTGTCAAGTAATGAACTTTTGGCTTGATGCAATATGCCTTGTGGAGCTCGTTCTTGGTTCCTTTATTGCAGTCAAACAATGCTCTGATCAAGTGCTTCACTGCATTATCTACTCTGATAATATAGTTAATCAAAGTCTGATGTCACCTGACAAACGAATACCAGAGAACACAATTGGCCAAGTTCAACAAAGCATGGTATTACAAGGTCTAGCTCATGATTTCCAGAGAATTCTGTAATTAGAATTACTGGAAGTATTTGAAGCAGAACCTTGAAATCTCTACCGAGGAATGAACCACTATGTCTCAAGTTTTGGATAAACTTTCTTGATAGACCAGTTGATTGCATGTAATCTGTCAAGAATTCTGAAAGTCTTGCTATTGTGACTGTGTCATTCTTAAGCACGACCTTAACCAAGGCAATCACCATATACTTTGCAACACCAAGAAGTATCGTGTGGAGGATTTCCACTGGTGTATTCTTTTCTGGATCAAACGACTGCAATTCTAATAAGCGGCCAGTCAAATGATCTCTAAAGCTTATCTTGTTTGCAGGCATGTTCATTCTAATTTTCAGAGCATTTGGGATCTCAGTGTCTCTGCCAGGTGACGAGTTTGCAAGAACATAGTGCTCTCAAGTTCGTCTCTCATGGCACTCACAGAAGTAGGACAAGTCCTTCACAAAGTCTTTTGCACGTCTAAGTTTGATGTAGCATCTTCTGCAAGGAAATGTGGTGACCAGCCCAAGCAATCCGCAAAGTTCTGAATGACATGGTGTGTCAGCCTCAATCCAAAGGATGGGAGCAACAACCAGAACATACTCATTGTCTTCAGCGGAGAACATTTTTACACCTTTCTCAAGTTTCTTAAAGTCATCAACAATTGCTGGCAGAAGAGACATACCATTTGCACCATCTTTCTTAGGGATTGTAGAAAGAAACTGGATGTTTGCTATCGAATTTTGATCCTTAAAAGGCAAGGCAGCACATCTCATTAACCAGCTTTCAAACGGATTGTACTGCTTTGAATGATTGCTGGAAGTGCCGTCTGTAAAAAAGATGATTGAAACAACCCTAACTTTGTAAAATACTGCATCGCGATCTACATTACCAGGCAAAACAGAAAGAGGCATATGATTCTTCATTGGATGAACTCCAAAAAGAAGAAAGTCATGAGCAGGACTCAATCTGGTAAGGCTACTTGAGATACTGTAGTAGTGATCTCTTTCAACAGGAGTGGTGTCAACATGAGAGATCTGCTCTACTCTAAGATTGGTAACAGCAACCTCAATGCCATAGCATACAATCGAAATCGCTCTGACCAGATACCCTCTTGCAAAAATGTTTTTATTTGCCATGTGGAACGATTCAACCAAAAAGCGGATGCTGCAATTGTTTGTCTTCAAGTAAATGATGTTTCCAAACCAGACATCTATACCATTTACAGTGTGCATAGGCTGCTGAAAGAGATGGTGGGTTCTCCACTTTTCATCTTGTTCCAAACAGATCGATTGGTTTGGGGTACGATTGGGCATGGACAAGATCAACTTGCATTTCTTTGGGTTTGCCATAAGAAATCTCAAGTGGTCGGATGGAAGGTTAATGTGGACAAATGCATTCCCGTTTGATCCAGGTACTGGTATTCTTTGTGAAGGAAAGACAGACATCTTGGACTTCTTTCTTGCCTGATAATTTAAAAGAGCATCCAAACGAGGTAACCTAAATGTTTTTCTTATGGGAGTTTCTTGCTGGATCTTAATGATCAAGTTCATTGCAAGCAGTATCTTCTTCAACATTTGCTGGGAGATCATATCATTATTCCCATCGATAAAAGCAAAAAGGATCATGGTTTGAAGATCACAAAAAGGATAACAGCTTGTATGGTCATTTACAGCGCCAATTGTCTCAAAGACTTCTTCCAGGATCTCAGAGTCATTATCAGTCATTGATACCTCATCAGCAGCAGCAGCAGAAGAAAACATGTCAGAGAATGCATTGAAAACTGGATTACTGTTCATTTCAATATCAAAGAAATTATTGAAAATATCGTTTTCCTCGTCTACAATGTTGTCTTCTTCATCCCCAATACTGGAGGAGTCATCTTCGTCACTCAAGTAATCAAATGCATTAGCATCTGGAATAGTGTTCTTGACTATCAATTCGGCTTGCTCAGGTTCGTCGAGTACAGTATTGATTGCCATTTGATTACTTATATGGTGAACCTTCGAATGCCTTTTCAGTAACCAAGGCTTTTTGAACTCTTTTTCGCATTCAGAGTAGGTAAAAACACCTGAATTGATGCTAAAGTTAAGTTTGCCTTGCCTTTTAGGGGGCGAGTCTTAACGATTTTATATGTTTCTTGTCTTGTATTCTTTTGTATAATAGTAAATTGATTGTAAAAACAAAGGGGGGAAAATGACTTTGCGAAAATAATTGAATTTATAAAATGTGCAAAGATCGATATTTAATGTCAGCAGACCAATTAGAATTTTTTTACTTCTTTTCTTTTAAGAAAATATTGCATGTTTTTGTCTTCCTTTTCATTTTATTTTTCCACAAAATCTTTATTATTTGCATGAGCTTCCATTTGTAAGATATTCCAGTATGCTTATAGTATTTATAGAAGTAGAATTTTGCTTAAAGACCATAAGCTTAAAGGTATTTATGCTATCAAAGTTTTTTATGTCATTGTGTTTATTAATCATATAATTCTAGTTTATAAATTAGTTTTTCATCATCTTGGTAAATCAATAAAGAGGTAATAACTACATGTTCCTCTTACAAAGCAACAGAAGACTAACTATTTACTCCTCACTTGCAGAGATTTGGCTGACTTTTATTGCAAATGCCTTAATAGAGTCAAAGATAAAATTCTGTTAAATATATATAACTAAGTTTAATTACTAATTATTAGTTCTTCTGCTTTAGCTTTTCTCGAAATTCAAATCTTTATGCTCTTTGGGTTTATTGGCATTTCTGGCACCGGGTCTCTTGGATTAGCTAGACATAGTAGTTTGCAGCAAACTGATTGCATAATTTATAGGCATAAGTACAAACAACTATACTACTAGTGTTTCTAGTGATATGGATATACTGGTGTGCTACTGTCTGTGAATGTTATGGTCCAGTCTAGCTTTTTTGTTAGCCTAATTTTTTTCGAAAATAAAAAATAAATTTTTTACAACCCAAAATTATTTGAAACAAATTAAAAATTTGAATCATTTTTGAAATTGTGCAGTACATTTTTTAATCGAAATCTATTGGCCGAGAGTAGTTCCCCCATCCCCCCACTTTTCAGTCCCCCAAAAAAATGAATTTCCTGTTATGGGCAAAATTTGCCCCATATACAAGAATCCTTTTAAGGAACAAGATTACACAAAAAATCTGCTGTGGTGTTCTTTACTTTCAACATCAGATGCAGTCTACTAAAGACTTTATTTCAATTCTCTCAATTCTTTCAATAATATAACCACCTTTATGCATTATCTTATATCTGTAGAATTTATAAAATGTAACTTTTACAGGACAGTTTAGTAGTAACCTTTGCTTTTTCCATTTTGGAAAAAACGACTGCTTTCTAGATTTATACTTCTATATTTGGATTGAAAAGCCAATCTACTCGGGATAATAGATAGCTTGTTAATAGAGTCAAACTTCTTCCTGCCAAAATTAGCAGTTGTTTATTTTTGCCGCTGAAATTATTTCATCGACTTAGGACTAGGCTATGATTGTGGCAATTATTTGTCCACTTTTTTCATAAATTATTTGGATATTATTAGAAATTTATAGTGAAAGTATACATTAATTTGTCAGATTAATGTCAGAAGATTTATAAAGAAGTATAAGTGTTCTCTGTTGTTATTGAGCTTTTCCATGCTCTTTTTAAGTGTATTTATAAATTATATTTACAATAAAGAAGCTACTTTTATTAGAGTTGCCTTATGCGTATTTCAATACTATCAATAATATATAAAGTAGATTAAATATTGATTTTATGTCTTTTTGAACTTTATTTTACCTTTAAAAATTACATTATAACCTTTTTAACTAAGTATGATCCTCTTGAAGTACAGTCAAAGCTCGGTATAGTGATATTTGATATAGTGATAATCGCAATATAGTAATAATTTTTTGGACAATTTAGGCCCGTGCCTGCTTATTATCACTATTTTTTGATATAGTGATAGTGATAAAATTTGAATTCACCAGTATCACTATATGAAAGTCTATATTTTCTGGTAGATGATAAAATATTAACTAAAATAGTGACTTCCAATCCTTTTCTTTGTTTTTGAATTGTTTATTTGAAACAGATATTCTATATCCATTAAATTACGCGTTTTATTAAAATACACACTCTCACCAAATATGTCAATCAACAACACTCAATCTAACAAAACCATTTACACTTTGGCAACAATCTTTTAAGCCTTGGAATGCTCTTCTGTTCCAGAAGTGATGACACTTAGATTAGAAAATATTATTAGAGTAAAAACATCTGAGTGGAAAGAATGTTTAACAGAGATTGGGGAAGCTTGTGCAGTCAAGTGGGTCATTCACAACACCAATAAGCAACCCACCAACATTACTGCTGAAGAAGCCAAAGCAACTGGTATTAAGTTGTGTTTTTCTCAGGAGTATTTCTGTCATCGTTGGGGAACCTATGAATCTAAGGTAGCTTTGCATGTGGTTCAAAAGCAAACAAAGAAAAACAAGTGTCCTGCTCTTCTTCGTGTGAAAGGATTCTTTAAGACACCCGAGTTTTATGAATTTGTTGTTACAAAAGATCATGCAGAGCATACTCCTGGTGATATGCGTAGTGACATTTGCACCCTTCCTCTTGCAAAGAAATATCTTCACGAGTTGGCTCAGCAATTAGAACAGTCGTTGTTGTAAATGAGTATTGACTACTGCTGTAATTGAGAATAAGTCTGAAGGAAATAATATAAGGCCTCAGCTATTCCAGTCAAAGGTGTCTACCAATTACTTTATTATTTAACACACATGTTTAGCATGCATGATAGTGATTATATTTCATATGATGATATCACCATAATATGGGATACATCAGTGGATTATTATAAGCATAATTATAACTCATAAACACATTTACTTTCGATGTTAATACTTCATTGGGACTACACACATTTATATAATTAATCATACATTAATTATCCCAAGATCACGTTGCTTTGATTAAGGCTCAGATAGGATCGATTACCTGACCCCAGTCATATAATTTTCCTGATCCAAAATAATATAAATAGCAGGAGTAGTTCAGTGTAGGAACCTGGTCAAACTTTGATACAAAATCCTTTCTCAATAAACAAAACCTACACAAGTTCTCACGAATCTTCGTTCCTAATCTCAAATCTTTAATTCTTCCTCTTAAAAACTTCTTCAACTTCAACCATCACAACAGTCGTCAAAATCTGCTAGTCAAATTAGAATTGATATGTTGAGAGCTGTAGATCGATATGGTAGAAAGTCTGAAAGAAAAGTTAACTACTATTATATCTGGAATTTGATGAACAAAGTAAGCTTTAAAAATAATATATCTTATAGCATTTACTTTAATATATTTCTGTAATAGATCAATAAAAAGCTGTATCATTTTGATTAAGATCAAATGACATCTTTCTTAATCTGGATGAACAACAAACTTTCTGCCTTAAACTTCAACATCTTTAAGGCAAATACTTCATATTCTCCAGATCCATCAGCCTTTGCATATGTTTTTATGTCACCCGTTCAGTAAGAAAAAATGAAAACCGCAACTTCTTTCTGTTTGGATGCTACTCATGCAATCTCTAGCAACGTGAATGAGATTCTTTATACCCTTTTGGTGCGTGATGAAGATATTGGTAGAGGATGGCCTGTTGCCTTTATGGTAATCAATGATTGAGGTGTAAGCCCCATTGTGCAGTGACTGCAGTTCTTGAAGAGATCTTCTTTGCTTGTTGACCCAAAGCAATTTACTATTGATTGTTGTGCAGCAGAAGTTCACGCCATTCAGACAACTTTCCCTGCAACATCCATTCAATTTTGCATCTTTCATGTAACCTATGCATGGAACCGAAAGTTATCTGACAGTGTGAAGATTCCTGGATCCTTACCATCAGAGGCACAAATTTTACATGGTGTGATGATGAAGTCTCTGCAAGAAATCATTTATGAAGAAGACATAGATGAGTTTCATCATAAAATTGTACAGTTTAAAGAAGACTTTGACGACCAAGAAAGCTTCTTGGATTACTTTGAGAGAAACTGGTGCAAAGAAGCAAAGTTTAAGATCTGGAGTAGAGCATACCATGAACGACAATTTTCCTATATGCTCACAAATAACTATATTGAGTCCTGGCACAATCAATTAAAAACAGCTTTCATGAAAAGATCTAGAAACAAGAAACTTGATAAGCTTGTTTTTGTTTTAGTACATGATGTTGAGTATTATCTCACCCAAGAATATGAACGCGTCATGTCAAACAATGGTCCAATGAGTTCTTTTACTAGACAACAAAGAATACATGAGATGGAAGCTGAAGAAGTCGATGATGATGACAGGGAAATGATGATTGTTGCTTCTGGTACTGCAGAAGATGTAAATTGGCAAGTTCGGTTGTTTGTAAATGAAAATACAGCATATGTCGTTCAGGTTGCAGAGCCAAACTTGATTATTTTGTGCATCTGCTTTGATTATCAGCAAAGATATAAACCTTGTAAGCATATGTATTTGCTTAAAATGCATACAAACCGATCTCTCTACTTCTCTCCACCTTCTGTCACAAGTACAAACGTAATACAGCCAGTCTCTACCTCTGAAACAGCTACAATCACACCAACTATCAGTCGTACATCTGCTTTTATACAGCAATGTATTGACATCAATCAAACACTTCAGTATGCAAACTAAGATCTACTGATTATGCAACAGTATATGACTGAAGATGATGGTCAAACTTTGTTTGATGCATATCAACGCTCTCTACAAGTCTTTCAGTCTATAAAAAACAAATATGAAGTTCATTGCAGATCTCATACACAAGAATAAAATTATAACTATCTAGCTTTTTTCTTAAAGAAATGTTTTGTAAATTGAAACAACTTTCAAAACGACTTAGTAAATTATCCCATTTTTTATTTTCTGGTAGTTGTATTTTTTGTCTTATTTTCTGGTAGATAAGCCTCAATTTCGGCTAATACTTTACCATCTACCAGAAAATATAGACGTTCCACTATATCGAGCTCTGAGTTTATTTTTGTACTATAAAAAATAAATGTAGTATATATTTTATTTAGCATTTTAAAGCAAGCCCAGTTTCTTAGACAAAATACTATAAATCCTATTAGAAAACAGTAGTCACTCACAACAGCATTAGAAATATCACTAAATAATTCGCAGAGTAAGAAAAAACACACTCAATATAGTGATAGTGATACAATTTCTGTCCACCATCCATATCACTATATCGAGCTTTGACTGTAGTACTAGTTTTTTTGTAGTATGTTAAGCTACCTAGAGAACCTGACAAGCTGCTCATAGGGACAAATTTCTCATCTTCTTGATCTTTTGTACTTGGAGATGACAGTATATACTGGTGAATGACCAAGTTCTTTCTGTTTCTTCTTGTAGTTCTGTTTGATTTATTTGGTACCATAGTTGGTTAGATATTTATAAATGTATGACAGTAATAAAGATTGTGATTTGCAAAAAAAAGTTGATTTATTATGAGTTTTATACCCAAGACTTGGAATGTTATGTTATTATTTTATTACATGACAAACATAATGACTTTTAGAGAGAATTAATTGATATTTCACCCTGATATTTTAGTATACTTTAGCTAAGAGTCTTATAATTGATTTTATGCAAGGAGTATTGAAAATTAATTATTGTATATGTCTTCATGAATTTGTAGAATAAGGTTCTTGCTATTCGACTAAATTAAGTCGAAGTAGAGAACTTAGGCTTATCAAAAATGGAAGTTGTAGTCGGTATAAGAAAATATATACTCCGATAAGCCTAAGTCGAAATATAAGCTTAATCGACTCTGTTAACAAGCTCTCTAATTTGGCTCGTATGTTGGAGAAGACCAAAAACCTACTACATAAAGTAATTTAATAGCTAAATTTGCAATTATTCACTTTTTTCCATTCTTAAATAATTTGGCCCGTATGCTGGAGAAGACCATTAATAAGAAATACGAGTACCAAACACAGCTTGTTAATTTCAGGAGAGATACTGTTGAGGTTTCAAGACTTTGGTATTGCCTTTTGCTTGTTACTTCATACTACTTTATATTGTTTCATTCTGCAATATAATTATTATATACTTTAATAAAATCAAAGCACATTAGATAATAATAATATAGGAGGTAAACTCTGCCATTTACAATATATATATCTTTCAGTTTAATAAGACTTACACTAGGAAGCAAGTAAAATATAATACAAGCGATCCTTAGAACGGCATTCTAGTAAAAGTGTGGTACATACTACTTCTTCAAGCCATCTTCCACTTTTGGGGCTATTAATTAAATAATTCTTTTTCTTAAAAATAGACCTGTTTTTGGAAGTGTACTACAGATTGTTGTTACATAAAACCTATATAAGTTCCGTAAAATGCTATATTGAGGCCTATTCATTAACTTTTCTTTTGGGACATTAATAAAGTTTTTGATGTAGAAGACCAATGCTGGAGAGCACCATTAAAACATAAAAAGCTGAATAGGAAAAAAAATCAGCTATTTTAGCACTTGCTTTTACTCTTCCAAAGCGAGACGAGAATAAAAAACGAGTGATATCCCTTTTTTGGATGTTTGCGATGCCGGTAATTTTTAGATATCTAAAAATTACTGGGTGGTGGTGAGCACCTAATGACAAAGTAGTTGGTAACAAATCACTTAGTAATAGCTACTTAGCAAATATCGTCTGTTAGTCATTCACCGATTATATCATATATCCCAAAACATATAAATATCTCAAATATTCCAACAAATAAACATTATCTTTATCTTCATATTCGTTCTATTCATATTCTCTTATTGTGGGACTTCTCGAACATTACACATACTTAGAACCTGATCTTAATTGATACCAAAAACTCTTTTCTCTTATTGTGATAAAAACTCGCCATCACTAAGTCTCACTTATTCTCTACGTCTATCACACCTCATATCTTCTCTACACCTACACACAATACTTCATATAGATATATAGAAAAAAAATATAAAGAAATAAGTATAGAAATATAAATGAGTATGAAAAAGATAAGTATAAACAAATATATATATATAAACGAAAAGAAGTATAAAGTTGTATTAAAAAAAGAGAGAGAGAGAAACTATTCTAATTAAACTCAAGCGTAAGAGCTTTGTTGAGCTGGTTTAGGGTGGTCCCTTCCCTCGCCCGCCTTTCCTCCACTTCATACACTACAGCATTGAAGTCACCGCCATTTGACTCTGCTATTTTTTTTTATAGTATGGATGATGGAAGCTCGGCGAGAATAGAATTTTCGCTCTACAAAATATTCACAAGTTAAAATCAATATATTATCTTTGCATTGATCGTTATTTATTACATACCTGTTTCATATCTCCATGCATTCTTATATTTTTTTCTCGAGCTCCTCAATTGGAGGGTATGCGACATTACCGATAGTATACCCAACGGAATACTCGTGCCAAAAGTCATTGACATTTTTTATCCACCTTTACATGTTATACTTTGGTGCTTTCTTGGCCGTTGGCTTGGGTACGGCAGGTCTCGGGCAGTCTTGACCAATAGAGCCATTCTCAGTGGGTACGATGATAGAAGCAGAAGTAGTGTTGTTTCCAAAATTAACACATGCAGATCTAAACTCATTGAACGAGAAGTTAAGCCCATTTAATGAGCTTATGACATTCTGCATGTCTTCCCGATGGCCAGAGTATGCCTCCCCTTGGGTCATTGGTAATTTTGATGCTCCCTGCTACATTGTCTACCCTCTTGAAAATTGCTGGGAGAACATGCTGTAAGTCGGTCAAAGCATCCTTAAGCTTCGTCTCTTGAGGTGAATCTTGGGTCCGGCAAACCTCCAGCAGGCAAGCTTCGAATTCCAGGAATTCAGGATCGCGGAAAACCGAATTGCAAAAGATAGGGTTGGTCGGGCACTCTACCCTGAAGAATACAGCGTCCTGGAGAATGATGGCTATTATCGTCTTTAAAAGTTTCAGGGACGCCTGCCCGCAGACGGTCTTAGGGTACCCTGTAGTGGAGTCGGTCGAGTTTTGCTCATCTTCATAGCCATCCTCAATCAATGGCAGAAATTCTTCTACCAAAGGGAAAATCTTGGCCTGTAAAGATGCAGGAGGGAAGACAGAGGCACGGGGCAACCAGAACTGCTTTCCAACGCCAGGAAGCCCATTTATAATCCTAATGGATTGTATTGGGAGGCTGGTCAAGTAGTTGCTCTCCATGCTCTGAGCATTCCAGCGGCCATGTCTACGCAGTTGGTCTTCAGAGGCACCGGAAATCTCTGCGTGTCTGGCTCCACTGCCACGGCCTGTGTGGGCCTTCTTGACGCTGTTGGTACCACACGCTTTGAAGGCCTTGCAGATCGAGTTGTGCTGGGTCTTGTAGTCAACTTCATCCTTGAGAGTGCTCTTGTTGCTCTTCAACACCTTCAAGTCGAACCAGTCCTTGTTTTCCTTAAAACTTGGGAAAGGCTCGTTCGACACATGCCACTGAAAAAAGAAATAGAACGCCAAGGCTCCGAAAGCACACTGCTTGTGATCTTTGTGGCGGATGGTAGCAGCATACTCCAAATTTCCAGTATGGTTGGTCTTTCCCTCGCGCATAAGAAGGACTAATGCTGGGCAGTCTGAATAGTCTTCGACTTGGAAGTCCAGCATAAAGAGATCCGGGAGCTCAATTCTTCTTGTACTTTCTCCACGCAACAACATGGTGTGCTGCATCAAAAAGGCAGCTCGGTCACGCATGGCCTTCTCAGTTGCCTGGCCAATGTAGTACATTGATACGCGAATCATTTCTTCGGGGGTGTATCCGTCTTGCAAGGTACCAGCTCCACGGTCTTTGTATGATTGACGAAGTCTGTCAGCCTCTTGAAGTCTGAGGGAACGCAAATACGACTTCAATAGAGTTCCACGAGGATCTTGCAGGTTGATTCAAACCATGGAGGACTTTTGATCGGCATGAAGATCAACAGCTGCTTTAACATATTGATCAATTGAAGAGGGACTGAGTGGGTAAGGGCTGCCATCGGGTCTAAACTCGCCACGTCTTGCTCTTTGTCTGTCGCCGAACGGGACGACATCTTGTTGGAGACAATCAAGCAAACTTGTCTCAGTAAGCAAGGGACTGGAAGGATGAGAAATTCTCGTGCAGTAATCCTTTAATCAAACAATAAAACAATCAATAAATAAGTATACGGTTGCTTTATATAATAAGGAAGTCTATCAATCTTCCTAGTGTATTACGAATTTTACCAAGTATCTTTATCTCTTATTCTTGCGAGCAACTTCATCAAGGAAGTTCCTATGATACGGGTGGTTTCTCTTTTAGGCTCATAAGCTAAAATACGGGCATTAAAAACTTTTCGAAAAGAAGTAAAAGGCTTGATTTTCCACTTCTTTATAGTAACATACCATAGAGTTTAGCCCTTTAAATGAAACTTGGTTACAAATAATACAAGAGCTTGCTTATGTATATATCTCACCCGTCCAAAGTTCGCCAGAAAATAATAATAATAAGAGGAGAAAGAAAGAAAGAAAAAGGAAATTATTGGAAATCTATTGGTTCTGCAAGTTTTTTTTTTGGTGTATAAAAGGGTCCAAATTTTGTATATTTGGGCAGTACAAACTCTTGAATCCAAAGAAAAAACAAAAAAAAGTCACGCCTAGTTAATTCAATCTCCGGATCCCGCAGCAAAAATAAAGGACAAAATAATTATTATTTTATTTTATGTAAGAAAGTATAATAAAATACATGTAAACTCCGCACAAAGTATAAAAAAGGAAGAAAAGAAAAAAAAGACAGGTTTCGTGACAAGACAAAAGAAAGAAGAAAGAAGTACTTTCTACTCATCGTTACCATGCCTGCCATTACTTCAACACAACTTTCAGCCCTCCAAAAGAACTCTCGGAATATTAGAAATATCTGTATTTTAGCTCATGTAGATCATGGCAAGACAACACTTTCAGATTCACTCCTTGCTACCAACGGAATCATTTCCTCAAAAATGGCAGGAAAGATCCGCTACCTTGACTCGAGAGCGGACGAACAAGAGCGTGGAATTACTATGGAATCTAGCGCAATCAGCCTGTACTTTAAATTAGTAAAGGCTACCAAAGTTGAAGGAGAAGGTGAGTTGGTTAGAAATACAGTTGAAACAAATTAAAAGAGAGATAGATAGAGAAAGAAATATATAATTAATTAATTATTAATCAATTGAATAAATCAATAAATATATATATATATATGTGTGTGTATAAAACAATGGTATCAAATAAGCTCATATATAATTATTATTTTGTGATATGCATTTGTGTGTGGATACAGATCAACCAAAGCAAGTTACTAGTGAATACTTGATTAACTTGATTGATTCTCCTGGCCATGTTGATTTCTCATCCGAAGTATCTACTGCCTCTCGCTTGTGTGACGGTGGTCTTGTTCTTATTGATGTAGTAGAGGGTGTTTGCACTCAGGTAAATATATCTATATGTAAATACTTGCCTTGATTTGTAATTTAATTTTCTCTGTCTTTTTTTTCTTGGTAAGACTATCAACGTTTTGCGTCAAGCATGGATCGACAAAGTACGTCCTGTGCTGGTACTCAACAAGATAGATCGCCTGATTGTCGAATTGAAATTGACACCACAAGAAGCCTATCTTCACCTCAACAAGATTCTTGAGCAGACCAATGCTATCATGGCAACGTTCTTTACTGGAGATTGGATGGAAGACGAAGCAAGAAAAATGGAAGCCGATAAAATGAAACGAACCAAAGAAGAAGCAGAGGCAGAGGCAGCGGCAGAAGAATCGGCCACTGGACAAATCTATGATTGGAGTATGGAGGAACGTGATGATTCAGATATTTACTTTGATCCATCCAAAGGAAATGTCATTTTTTCAAGTGCAATTGATGGCTGGGCATTCAGGTACGCAATTGTATATATCTATTTGCTCCATAGCTTATCAGTAAATAAAATATGTCCACAACATTCTTCTCACCCAGATAAATCTCTCTATCTTAAAGAGTTCAACAGTTTGCCACCATTTATGCCAAAAAACTTGGGTTCAACGAAACTGCGCTGCAGAAATGTCTCTGGGGTGATTTTTACTTTGATCCAAAGACAAAGCGTGTGATACAGCAAAAGCATCTCAAGGGTCGCAATCTAAAGACAATGTTTGTCCAATTCGTACTTGAAAACATCTGGGCTGTCTATGATAGTGTAATAATTCGACAGTAAGTTGTACACATTCATCATCCAATTATGTATCCAATTATTCCTGCTATTAACCAACTTTTATATTTTTTATTTAAATAAATAAATCACACATTCAATAGAGATCGTGAACGTACAGAAAAGATCGTAAATGCACTCAATCTTAAGATTCTTCCTCGTGATTTAAAATCTCGCGATCCACAGATTCTCTTGTCTGCCATTTTCTTCCAATGGCTGCCTTTGTCTACCTGTATTTTACTGGCCATCATTGGTCAACTTCCACCTCCTAAAGAGGCACAGCGCATTCGCTTACCCAAGATGCTCTATCCTGAGATCCAACAAAACGACAATGAACCACTTGAGCCCACCAACGACGTTGAACGAGCACTTTACAGTTGCGATTCATCGCCCAAGGCACCGATAGTAGCCTATGTCAGTAAGATGTTTGCAATTCCTGCAGACCAACTTCCCGAAAACAGGCGCAAGCAGATGACAGCCGAAGAGATGAGAGAAAGAGGTCGTCGTCAGCGTGCCCTGCGTGCTTCCCAGGCTGCTGAATCTGCCAATCCCGAGAACGGTATTCCACTTGACATGGAAAGGCTGTCCCAGGAATTGAGTGCTGAGGACATTGAACCCGAATTGGAGGATCCCAAGGGCGAACATTTGATTGGATTTGCCAGATTGTATTCAGGAACCATCCATGTAGGCCAGAAGCTTTACGTTATGGGTCCCAAATATGATCCAAAATACCCCAAGAGATATGTTACCGAGATCACAGTCCAAAGCCTCTATCTAATTATGGGACGTGAACTTGAGCTGCTCTCAGAAGTATCGGCCGGTAATGTGTTTGGTATTGGTGGGCTGGAAGGGCATATTTTGAAGAACGGTACTCTGGCAAGCACATTGGATGGTGTAAAGAACATGGCCGGTGTCCGATTAGAACAGGCACCCATCGTTCGTGTCGCACTTGAACCTGAAGATCCTAGTAAGAATGCATTCATTGATTTATATTTATATCTATATCCATATCCATATATGTATGCATGTATGTATGCACTGGCATATAATTTTACTTACTTGAGTTTCCTATACACAGCCGAGATGGACAAACTTGTGGAAGGTCTGCGCCTTTTGAACCAGGCCGATCCTTGCGTTCAAGTTCTTCTCCAAGAGACTGGTGAGCATGTTATCTTGACAGCTGGAGAACTTCATTTGGAGGTAAATAGATAAATAATTTTAGTTATATTATATATATATTAGTTATGCATTGCTTATTATTATTATCATTATTTCTAGCGATGCTTGCGTGATCTGAAAGAGCGCTTTGCTAAAATTGAGATCCATGCCTCTGAACCTATTGTTCCTTTCCGTGAAAGCATTGTTAGTGCCGGTAAGTAATCACAGACATATATATGCTCTTCATTTAATACTTACATATATACACCCATTTTTGCTTTGAATTTACTCGTAGATTTATCTCCAAATAAGGAAAAAGACAATGTAGTCGTTCCTCGTGGTACACTCGAAGTAAGAACCCAGACCAAGTACATTACTTTGAAGCTTCGAGCCGTACCTCTGCCTACACGAGTGACTGCTTTCTTGACCGCAAATGCAGCATCAATCAAGGCCATTGTCGATCAAAAGCTCGAGAAAAAGAAGGCAAAACGCTCCAACGATGGACAGGAAGATGATGAAGAGGAGGCTACAACCACAAGAGCCGAACCTCTCGAGAAAGCAGAAAAGATCTTTACCGCCAAGGAATTCCAGGACTTACTCAAGCATGAATTTGACGAGGCACGTAAGGAAGGTGGCCAGTTTGCATATTTGTGGGATGAAATTGTGGATCAGTAAGTATTGGTATTTTTTTGTTCATTTTCTTTTGGATACCGAGTGGCTACTAATTATTACGATTATTAATACCTTTTGCTTTATGTGTATGTACAAAACTAATAAAAAAAAATAGGATTTGGGCTTTTGGACCAAGACGAATTGGATCAAACTTGTTGGTAAATCGTGTACCTGGCTACATCCGTAAATCGTTCTTCAATATCGAGGGAACAGACGCTAGAGAGGATGGCTCGGGTGTTGCAGAAGATCACGCTGATGAGGTGATCAAGGTAGAAGGAAAGGATGCTGCTTTGAGCATCCTTGACGTTGATTTCCACATCCACACTGGGTTCCAACTTTCTACATTGACTGGTCCCTTGTGTGCCGAACCTGTTACAGGTGTTTGCTATATCGTACAAGATGTTGTTGTAAATAAAAACGAGATGGTAGATGCACACGGTGAACCTATTGAAGGTAAGCAACCTTTTCCCTTAATATATTAGTAAATACACACACATACTACTATTTTATCTATCAATGTATATTAAACTCTATAGGGCTTTTATTTTTTCCCTTTATTTCTTTTCTGCAGTGAGATCTCGTTTGGGTCTTATTCAAGGCCAAGTTATCTCTGCTATGAAGGAAGCATGCCGTCATGGTTTCCTTGATTGGTCTCCTCGCCTGTGGTTAGCCATGTACACCTGTGATATCCAAGCCTCAGGTAATATATCAGCTAAACTTTATGAAAATAGTAACAATGTTAATGATACCTTTTAATTAATTGATTGATTGATTGATTTTTGGCTTTGATTTTTATTTAGCTGAAGTACTTGGTAAAGTATATGGTGTTATATCCAAACGTAAAGGAAAGATCGTGTCAGAGGATCTCAAAGATGGTACCCAATTCTGGCAAATCCATTCGCTGCTACCTGTTATCGAGAGTTTTGGTTTTTCTGATGGTAAACTTTTTTTTTATGTTTTGAATAGCATTGCTATTGTATGTCTTAGAAAAAGAAAGAGCGAATTACTAATACTGTTTTTTGTTTTGGTTGTTGGATTTTATGGCACACATTACTATTATTTAAACAGAAATTCGTAAGAGAACCTCAGGAGCTGCCAGTCCACAGCTTGTATTTAGCGGGTATGTAGATTAATATACAACCGTAATTTTATGTGTTCTTTAGTTTTTTCTTGTAGACCAAAAACAAAACAAAACAAAATGAATGAAATTGACTGCTTCTTGGTTTATTACAGATTTGAAATGATGAATGAAAATCCATTCTGGGTTCCTACCACAGAAGAAGAATTGGAAGATTTAGGCGAAAAGGCCGATAGAGAGAACTTGGCCAAGAAGTATATGGAAACCGTACGAAAGAGAAAGGTAAAAGAAAATATGTTTTATAATAATGTATTTTATATATATTTAAATGCTTATTTATAGGGAATGTTTGTTGAGAAGAAGTTGGTTGAACACGCTGAGAAACAACGAACATTGAAAAAGTAAAAAGTAAAAAAAAAAAAAAAAAAATTATAAAATTATAAAAAAGAAAATGGAGATTCAATATTATCTGGCGTATCATTTTTTTAATTTTAATTTTTATTTTTATTTTTATTTTTATTTTGTGTGTGTATATGTATTATAAATATTTTATTTTATTTTGAGAAATAAAATAAAAATAATAAAAAAATCCCTATTATTTTCTCTCTTTCTTTCTCTCTTTATATTCCTCTGTCTTTGTATTTAAAATCTATATAAAAAGATTTCTTAATAATAATGTGTGGTAGATTTGCTTGTCCATATGATGTACAGCAAATTCAAACCAAATTAAAGGAGAGTGGGGTCCAAACAACTTTAGAATTTGAATCCCAAGTCCCACAGACCCACAGATTCAATATCTGCCCTCGTCAAAAGATAATCGTTGCTTATGTTAATGAAAAGGGAGATAATGTTCTCAATACAATGGTAAGGACTGTTTTCTTTCTTTCTTCACGTTGGTTGGTTGGTTGTAAGTATTGGACCTTTTGTGACATTTTCTATATCAGACTTGGGGATTTATTCCTTCCTGGGCAACCAAAACACCCAAAGTACAGGTGAGTCAAATAATGATGGATATTTAGATGAATTGTAGAGTGTTCATGATCTTTTAATATAATGTAAATATATATATATATATATATATGTAAGCCTATCAATGTACAAGACAAGACATTACTTGAAAAGTCGACAATTTTTGATAAACCAAAGAATCAAAGAAGGTGTATAGTTATAGCAGAAGGGTGTGTATACATATGTGCATATATGCATACAAATTAAATTAAACTTTCTTTTTTATATATAAAAGAAAAGATCATAATTTAAAATTCTCATCAATTCATCCCACTGTTGTAGCTTTTTTGAATGGAAGAAACATGGTACCAAGAAGAAGACGCCATATTATATAAGGCGTAAAGACAAACAATTGATGCTTATGGCAGGTGTTTATGACATATCCAATATATCCGGTAAAATCTTGTATATATCTCTGTGTGTCTATTATACTTACATATATTATATTCAGGAGTTCAATTTACATGCGCCATTATTACTACTTCGGCTGCTCCTTCTCTGAGATCAATTCACACACGTATGCCTGTTATACTTGAGAATAGCCCGGAAGTAGTCAATACTTGGTTATCTGGTCAGCCATGGGGTGATAAACTAGCTTCAGTCATGCAACCGTTTAAAGGCACTTTGCAAAGGTAAGTGGATAAAATAAATTAAAGTCTAACATGTCAAGGAGAAGCCCTGATAAAGTTAAAGAGACAATGAGAGTGAGACATAATAAGAAGGGGGTGGTTGTTACATATAATATCCTCGACCATTCTTAATTCTTCACTTTCTTGTTCTTCTGCTCTTCTGTTTCTTTCTCACGCACAATAACAGTAATAACTATAACTATTACCATAATTACAATTCCCTTCTTAATTTCACAGTTATCAAGTCAAGAACGAAATGGGATCTGTTGGTTACGATTCTCCTGATTGTATTGCGCCGGTAGACCAGCAAAAAGGATCTATCGCTCGTTTCCTTATTCCTGTTCAATCATCTCTTGGAAAGCGTAAATGTTCGCCCGATCCAGCCTTAGACCCGAATCTTTCCAGCTTTGATAGCCATCCCAACAAGAAGCAATCGAGAGAATTACTCAACAAGAAGAAAGAAGACCAATTCAGTGATTTTTATGGGAAATGAGTTGATTAATCAACCACTTAATCAATTGATCAATTAATAAGAAAGAATGAATGAAAGAATGAAAGAAAGAATGAAAAAAAACCCATTTTTTTTTGGCTTTGTGTTTGTTAGGTGAAGATCGCAAGTGTAAAAGCACCTTCATTACGAATGATTAACTTACTAAAATATTGTTGTAGTCAGTGTTCAAACAAAGAAAAGAAAACGAATAAACATACATACACACACACACACACACATTTATATATTCATATTCATATTCATATTCATATTTATATTTATACTTATACTCCCAAAATATATAACAATATTAAATCGCTTCATTAATATACAAAACTTACTGATGCTCATATTCGATGTGAATGGTTGGGTATTGAGACTTGTCTTCTGTTTCTCCTCTGTCGCTGAGCTCAAGGGCGGTATTGGCAATAGAAGCGACAAAAGCAGATGCAGCAGGCTTTGCAATTCCACGCGCTTAAAATAAAATAAGAATAAGAATAAGAATAAGAAAAGAGTCGAGTTGAGTAACTTGATTGCAAGGGAGAGATAGGATAAAGAAGAAGAAGAAGAAGAATAAGAAGAAATGGTTCTGTGATGCCTTACCTCCCAAGCACAGACCCATGTCGTCTGCAATGAGAACACCTTGTACGCCATCTTTACTGGCGCTGAAATAACACAATAGTGATTTACATTCAATGTTGTGTTTGAGTTCTTTGTTTTGTTCTTTTTTTCAAGAAGTTTTATAGATATAAGGAGAATAAGAAGACGTAAGACACATTACATGCTGTCGAGAGTTGCCATCAATTCAGCATCCATGCTATCAATTAGTTTATTCAAAAGTAAATTCCAAAGGGAAAAAAAGAGATTATATATATACATATATAAATATAGTGCAATTTGTATTTCCACAGTCACCGTCTATACTTCTATTCATTTTTTATGTCTTTTTATCGATGTTTTTCTTTTATGAATCTTTAATTAAAGAGGTAGCTATTCCAAGTTCTAACCGTTCTAGATTTTTTTTGTCTCTGTAAGGTTGTTTATAACTGTTTAAGCTCTCTCTCTCTCTCTTTTGGGTACCTCTGGCTATAATAATAAAAATAATAAAAATAATAGCATGACAAAGAAGCTAGCAAATAAACGGACACACACACACACATACAGAGAAAGAGCAAGATAGAAAGAAATACATGTATATATATATATATATATATATATATTATTTTGTGGAAGGTAAGTCCAAAAGACTAAGCCATCGATGATTAATGTAAAGAAAGGCTAGGGAATAGGACGAGAATGATATGTGGTTTGGTTGGCATTCCTGAATAGGAAGGCACGGCCTGACATGTCCAATTGTCTCAAATACAAACGCAGGTTCGACCATCCAGCCGGCATCCTTGTCAGAGTGAGTCCACTGAGACCGGTCTTGGACAAATTGTGGGTGTCCCTTGGTTTCTACCGTGTACCATTGTTCCTTGACATACCTGGATTGTGTAGGTGTTTCAACCGGTGTCTGGGTTTGCATGATCATGTGAAAAGACCGCACTGGTAGACGAGTTGGTTTTGAAGGAAAGGCGGGCTGGGCAGTGGTCAGATTGCTGATGTGGAGTGAGTGGAGCCGGTGGTGTGACCAGTTGAGCTGAAACGGTCCTGGGGTGTATTCATCCTTTCCGGACACACAGCAGGAGTCCAACACAAGATTGGATATGTTTGGACATCGCTGACCAAGGTACTCAAATGAAAGTACATTTAAATCTGCGTATTTTATTGATAGAGACACGAGAGAAACAAGGGGTGATAGGTTGGAGGAGTTGGAAGACCTGGAAGAGTTTGAGGAGTTGAATAAATGAGGAATTGACAGGGATATATGCTCAAGACTAAGAGTGATGAGAGATGGACAATTGTCGAGCAAGGTATTTGAGGATATGTGGATCCGATCTGTGCTTGTGAGAACAAGATGTGCGAGTGGTAGTCCTATAAGATAACTACACAGCCGATCTGCACCACACAATCCACGGATCTTTAAGGCTAGCCGGCTGATCTGGCTCTGGGGTTGGCTAGAGAGAATAGAAACACTGTTTGCATAAAGCTCTCCTGTGTACTCTTCAAGACTGCACTCTGTGAGTGGGGTTCTGGCTCTACTGAGCGCCTGTAAGACCATCCAAGACCATGGGCCGTTGATACTAATCGTCTTGAGCTCAGTACAGCCGTATGCCAGCGTGCGGGCAGCATTCTCTATCAAAGACAGTCGGATATCTGACAGCCATTCGGTTTTGCTACCCTGGCTGGTCTGAATCTCAAGCAGCTGTAGTCTCGGATAGGCTGCTGCAAAGTACGACAGCCATCGGTCAGGATTCTTCCATCGCCCATAGACATCCCGCTGAATCGACAATCGACGCAGCCCACATGGCCGAGCTGTTTCGACAATTGCTTCCTGCGCAGCTTCCAGGTCCGGACGGCACGAGAGATCAGCCATGGCCAGCTTAAGAGACTCGAGCAAAGGGCAGGCTGAATGGATCAATTCGAGGTCTTCAAGCGACGTTCTGCCACAGTCGAGCATCAGGTGCCTCAGTGCACCTGTGAATGCGGCCGCATGCGGGGCCCCACACAAGGCCTTGAACTGGGGGAGCCCCAATGCAAGTCGCCCCACTCTTTTTGACGTCAACAGGGCCTGTAGAGAAGCGTCATTGAGGTGACCGTGTCGAAACAGGGTTTGTCTGAGACGCGAGCCCATGTAAACTGAGCCGATTCTTGGACATAGCGCCATGAGCTGTTGGAATTGGTGATGTCTGATCCGCACATCGTCATGAATCGTCAAGTGGGACACATAGAAACCGATTTCTTCTTTTTCATGGCCAGAGTCCGAGAGAACGCGTAAGAAGCTGACCAGCTGGTCTGTGTGCCAGAGAACGACGGTTGAGACCAACAAGGCACGAAAGGTTGTGTACCACGACCGACACACAAAGAGACATGTGTAACGTTGATGGAAAGTCAAATATTGGTCGACCCAAGTGAGTATTTCGACAGGTAGGGCATTTGCAACAGACATGATGATTATATGGTTTATTATACAATGTATATAAGGATATTTGCGTGCTATTTAAATAACAATCTTTAAAGAAGAATAAAGGAATTGTCCTATTGTTCTTATTAATAAAAAATTGAAGAAGAGGTAGAAGAAGACGCAAGTAAGTAAAGAATACAAAATAAATGAAAATTGTGTTTCTAAAACATGGGCCCTTTTTTTTCCTTTCCTTCCCCTTTCTTTCTTACCATTTTTTTTTGCATTATTATGGTTTATGTTTAGATTATGCATATTGTGGGGTAGAAAAATAAAACATAAAAATGGAAGCAAGGGAAGAATAAGAAGAAGGAAAGCATGTAAATGTACATTATGTATATGCAATTATATAAAAGGTGTGATTTGTGCACTGGTTAGCATTACTATTACTACTATTATTATTTGAGTAACCATGACGACTAATTAATTGATTATGACCTTTTTTTTGTTTTTGGTAGTCTGGATTAACATTGTTAAAGAGGTCGGCTGGTTAGAGAATTTGTGTTCTGAAACGACAAGTAATATATATATATTTGGTTGGTTGGATAAGAAAGAAAGGAAAGAGCTGGCAAGGGTACACGAAAAAAACGATGAATAAGTACATGAATAATAAATAGATACAGAAGGGATAAAAAAAGGTGCTCAAAAAATTGTTGTAAATAAAATAAAGAAACACAAGAAGAAGAGCAAACGAAAAGGTTTCTACGTGTACAAAAGCAAATGCTGTGTTGTGTGATAAAATATGATGGTTGTGAGTGGGAGTGGGGTGTATAAAAGAAGTGTGATAAATATGAGTAAGTGAATAAGTGAGTATGTGAATGTGTCTGTGTGGTAATTTTTTTTGGGGTTGAAAAGTTTGGGCCAAAGAAAGATTCTAGTAGTGCTTTTTTTTTTAATAGCTGGTTGAGCTTTTTGTGTTCTTCTTTTTTTTCTGTAAAAAAAAAACATCTATCTCTTAGTTTTCAAGAAGACTTGCTTGAACACTACGTTTGATGGTTCCGGGAAGGTGTCCACTGGAAAGAGCCAAAGAACGAGTCAATCTATCACGCACAGACACCATGGTTGTCTTGAGTTCAGGGTGTCTGGAAAGAATTTTAAAAGCATGCCATGTTACGGCCAAGGTTGACAAGGCAAGAACAGAAGCTTCTACGTTGGAAGTGGCGATATGCCTAATGCAGTCTAGTCCGGCCCGACTGTCGTTCTGGGCAAGTGCAAAGGATTGGAGAGCGGCCTCGGTATCGTTGCGCTCGAGGAGCTTGGCACCCTGGAGAGTGTAGAAGACCATCGAACGGTGACGCTGGAGGAGGTGAGAGACAGTTTGAGAGCCAGATGAAGAAGCCTTGAGCGACTCAGACAGAGAAACCATGCTGGCAGATGAACGCAACTCGTCCGACTGGAGTGAAAGGCCAAGATGAATAGACCAGCTTAGCATCTGGTCAACAGCAGTTGTGGTGGAAGGAGGAAGTTGCGAAACCTTGAACAGAGTGGATTTATTTTGCTGGAGCTGTGCGATCCAAGAGTCTTGAAGGCTGCTGAGATGCTGCCAGTACACAATCCATTCGAGGGGAGAAGTGAGATAAGGAAGGACAAAGGAATAAAATATGTTCTGGCAAACGGCTGCCGACTGTCTTCCAACAAGACCACTGCGTGCCTGGACCATCGAAAGAATCTCCTTGTGGTTGCTAGACACAGGCCATTCAGGAATACCGGTCGCTTGGGTCATCCAGTGCTCGTCACTGTCCTTGGTGTCATGGACTTCGCGGGCCTGCTCAAATGCGTCGACAACCCGGGACCAGCAGTGGTTGGCCAAAGGTTCCGAGAGTACAGCAGGAAGAGTGAGCTCAAGCTGGATGGCTGCAGTAGCGTAGATGCGGGCAATCGTGCGAGGACGCAAGTAGAGACTGCTTTGGGAGCTAATTTCAAGGGGTTTCACGTTTGCAAGCATGCCAACACAAGAGCGCAACATGTGGATGTAAGAGGTCTCGGAATTGCCGCCAAGGCACTCGGTTTCGGCCACACGAACCCAGGCACCGGAACGGGAGAGCTGTTTGGGACCAATCTTGGCACGAGGCTGAATAAAGGAAGGTAAGGTGATGTAGATAAGATCTCTGATCAGACCAATTGTGGTTTGAGCGGTGTTGGAGGCCGACTCAAGAGAGATAAGGTTAGCAAATGATTCAAAAAGGTGGTGCCACGCCTGAGGAACATCAGAAGCATAATGATGATGATTGTGGTTGTGGTTGTGGCCCGAGCACTTTTTACCACGGAGCACACGTCTGGGACGGAGCCAGTGAGACCAAAGAGGCAAGACACAAGTGTAAAAGATACCAATAGCCAACAAAGCCCAGCGAATGGTAAACCTATTTTTTTAAGAAAAAAAATCGTATAAAATATTGTAAGTCTTTTGGTTTCTTTTTCTGTTTTCTATGTACTATTATGTAATTTTACAGAATAGATATTTATATAGTTGTATGTATGATGTACGTACCACAGATCAGAGGCATTGGAAGTGACACCAAACAGGGTGCGGTAAGTGGGGGTAGTTGTGTTTGTGTAAGCAGAGAATGTTCGTGCGTTAGCGTGTGCAGCATGTGTGGAAGGTGTGGTGCTTGTTGTAGGGGAGGTCGAGAAAAAGGCAAGGGCCATGAACATGGCCATGAACATTTTCGTGCCTTCCTCTTCCTTCTTCTTGGGAAGAGCCTTCTGCTTTCTTCTGCGGTAAGGACGACGCTCTGGCTTGGGTACCAGCTGTGCAAGAGCAGCACGCTGGGCAGCACGTTCTCTCAAGAGGCGCTGGCGCTCTTCGCGTTCATGCTCGATCTGCTCCTTGCGTTCACGGCAGAGGCGTTCCTGCTCGGCCTTTTCGTAGGCAGATTTCTGTGTTCTGAACCGGTTCAGAACATGGTTGCCACCGGGCATCTGAGAAATAATTTGTTGCAAGATCTGGTTTTCACGCTCGGCCTGGTCGTTGTCATGTTTGAGGAACTGGATGTATTCGGTTGCCTTACGCAGGATTGTGGCCTTGTTGAGTTTGGTTGCTACCTGGACACCGTCGACAATTTCTTCGGTTTCGCTATTGTCATCTTCGTCGTCGTCGTCCTGGCCCTTTTCTTTGATGCGTGCCTTGTAGAGAGCAGGGACGACATTCTTGAGGTCACGGATACGATCATTGATGTTGTTGCGGTAACGACGTTCAATGGCGTTATGGGCAACCTTTTTGAGTTGTTGTCCAGGCTCAAGGCGTGTGCGGTGATGGTCATCATCAGAGTGTTTTGAAGTTCTCCAGCGTCTAGTTTCGTGTTCATCGGATGTATAGGCAGGGGCTATTCAATTTGAGAGAAAGAGAAAATATATAGAAAATTAAAGGAGGTTTTTTAAATTAGTTAAAAAGTCGGTTATTTATTTAACGTAGACAAAAATTTTATGTATAATGGTTATAAAAAAGTGCTGCAATTTCTTTTAAAAAAAAATTTACCTTTGTCAGTTCCCCATGGGTTCATTGCCATAAAGGCACCTGTGAGGGGAGAGTGGCTTTCCATCAAAGGTGAAAGAGAAGCAGAGGATGTGGAGGCTGATGGTGAGAGGGAGGGATGTGTGTGGATGACCTGATTGTGTGCTTGATCTGTTGTGGCAGGAGTAGTTGGGATAGCAATTCCGGGTACATTTCCGTTGAGAGCATGCAGAGAGGTAAAGGAAAATGAACCTTTTGGATTGGATGAGGATGAGGATGAAGATAATGTATTTGAGTTTTGGGTTGTGTTGTATTGGTAGCCAGCCAGGGCTTTGGTTGCTTCCTCACAGCTGTTGAGGTTGTCTAGGCTTTGCATCTCACCCACGCCAGAGAAGTGGGGGGATATTGAGGTGACTGGAGAGAGAGCGGTGTAGTCAGAGTTTGTGGTGTAAGGGGATGAGTGTGGTGAATGGTGGTCTGGATGGGAGTGGGGGTCCATGTCCCAGCCCATCATATCAAAACCACTTGTGTCTGAGAACAAGAAGTCTGACATGCCAGATGTGTATCTGGCAGGACGAGGCCGTTCTGATGGCTGATATGAGTTGATGTCTTGGAAACGTCCTGTCATGTCTGTGCTCATACTACCATGATATAATATATCACGTTGATGATTTTGTTGCTGTTGCATCTGTTGTTGTTGTTGTTGCTGCTGTTGTGATTGATGATGATGTGATTGATGCTGTTGTTGTTGTAGTTGTATTTGTTGGTTATGTTGCTGTTGGACGTTTGAAGGTACATCAAGGTATGAATCAAAGTCTAGCTCTGATATTGACTGCATCATTTGCAAGAGAAGACTATGGGAAGAAGAGGGTTGAAGTTGAAGTTGATCCCATTGTTCCTGGGGTAGATATACAAGTCCTTTGATTAAACAGGCCACTTTTTTGAAATGAAGCAATAGTTTAGAGCATTCTTTATTCTGATTGGCTCCTGTGCCTCACCTCATTCTTTTTTTTTTAATTTTTTTTTTAATTTTTTATTTATTTATTTATTTATTTTATAATTTTCATATACGTATATAATATATTTAATTCCAATATATATATATATATCTGTATGTATATATGTATATAGATTTGTGTATATTACTTTAGAAGCAAAATATATAATATAAAAAAATAGAAATAAAGGGACCGCAGAAATAAGAAAAAAGAAAAAAAAACTCACGCCACTTGGAAATTTCATTACCAAAAAGAAATAAAAGGATTACAAGGCTCACATGAGATAAATAGCACTCTTAAACACCCATTTCTTCCTTTTCATTTCTGTCCTTGGATTTTATCCATGTGAAATCTTTCCTTCACTGGCGACTTTATCATCTTTAAGGAAACCAGGGTTGTCCTTTTCATTTAGCTATTGGGATCACCCCTCGTGTTTCTGTGTCTGACGTTCGTGAGAGGGTTATATAGTGTCTATGATTCCGAGAGGACCGGTGGGGCTTCCGAGAATAAGCTTTTATTTTCTCCCCTTCTAAATGAACCAAAGACGTTTAGAGTGGTACCCTTTTGTTCAATCATACTAATAATCGTAATTTAGGCTTTCTCTCTCTCTCTCTCTCTCTCTCTCTCTTTCAGTATATTTTTTTCTCTCTTTTTTTATTTTTTTAGTATTTTGTGAGAAACCGATTCTACCCGGCTTATAAGAAATAAAGAAGAAAAATATAGAATTGTTGTATTGAAAGAGTTAAAGAGTAACTATAAATGTCTTTAAGATTAAAAGTCAAGTACACTATAGTACACTATAGTACTGTACATTGCAATGCAGTGCAGTGCAGTTCAGTGTAGTCTTAAAATATGTATATATAATATAATATAATATAATAGCAATATAATAGCAATATAATAAAAATATCAAAGACAAATTTCTTGTTTATTGCTATGGCTACTAAATAAAGTTTTTTCTTGTTGTTGTTGTTGTTGTTGTTGCCATGGATATGTAAAAATATATATATATATATCAAACAGAGTTAGAATAATAATAGTAATAGAGGTCAAGGCATCAAAATATGATGAGGCCCTTTGTTAACGGAAAATCACCCGATACTAAGCCAAGTAACACAGATAACCCGACAAGGCACATTTGTTTGCTCTCCTACTTCCTTATACAATTGACAGCTTCCGAGTCCCTGGAAGTGTTAATATATAAGCAAATAGCTCTTTATCTTTCCTTTTCCCTCATGGTTAAATCGTTTTCTTTTTTCTTTTTTTGGGCTAAGCAAAAACAAAACATCGCGCGGCTTTTGGTTAAAGCGTGTGATTCCTTTTGAATTAAAGAAATTATCAAAAAAAAAAAACACCCCAAATCTCTAGTCAAAAGAGTAGCCAACAAGGTCTTTATTGGTTCCCACTGATCTTTCCGGTCACACGTTTGGTGTAAGATAAATAAAAATGAATATAATCTACATAAATTTAATAATAACAATATTTATTGTTTCCAATGTTTGACTGGATAAAAGAATAAATTCTATTTTTGAGCGGACTCGTGGGAAACAGCTTGTGCCTTTTGGTAACTCGAACCAACATTATGAGTAAGAAAATAATGAAAGAAAGAGGAGTATACGATGCAAATACAAGATATTGAGACTGAGATTGAGGTACACCCACACCCAACAAACACCCACACCCACACCCACACCCACATTAAACACTAAACATTAAACATACCCAAACACCCACACTAAATACACATTCATACACACCTACACACATACACCCATACACACAAACACACATACGCCCGTTTCTTTGTATCCTAGAGGAATATCACTGTGCATTGTGCGCCATACTAAAATGAGCTTTTGTCTATATATATATATATATATGTACGTATATATTTCTATTTCTATTCTTATTTCTATTTTTATTTATATTCATTTCATAAGAATAATATAATATAATCTATCAATTCTATTTAGACTGTGGAGAACAAACAGGAATTCATTTTAAAATTATGAAAGTAAAAGTGTTTCAAAGAAGTTGTTTTATTTTTGTTAAACTATTGATATCAAGATAAAGAGTTACAAGATTTAATGTGCTTCTTATTCTGCCAAACCAAACACACGAACACACATCTATACGCACATCTATGCGCGCACACATAGACCAACAACAACGACCAGCGAGATCTCCCGAATGGTATACACTCCTTTTTTGCTTTTTTTTTAAAGACACTCCACTTTATTATTTCTTCGTATTGACCACGAGGCCTAAATCGTCACAAGTCAATCTCTGTATCTCTGTATATCTTTATTATAATTATTATTTATATTCATTTATTGAAGAGTCCACCCTGCTCTTCCTATGACCGACCTGAGATTTCTTAATTATTTTGTATTTTGTATTTTGTATTTTTGGGAAAATTGGATCTTCTATAGGATACAAAGGGGGAAGAACGGGGAAAGGGATAAAATAATCCTAGTTACCTTTATAGATATCATCTTTGTCATAAGAATGGTTTACTTGTACTATCAAGAAGACTTGGAAACCTACTTGAATCTATGGTGTCTTTATCTTGATCTTTTATATTCTAAATATTCTAAATATAAATAATTATGCATATTTTTATCAATACCCTAAAATTTATCAATACTCTCTTTCTTTTAATCTTAATCAAGATCCTCAAGTACCACAGTGCCCGAACGGTGGAAATTCTTTCTTTCTTTTTGGTATTCGTTAATACTGCCGGCCCATATACAATACGCGGCCTTTGAATGAGAAAGATTAAGAAAGAGAAAGAGAAACGTACAATAAAGGAATGAGGGAGAGATACACGTTTACTAACTATTTAGTGCCAAGATCATGGGTCCTAACGTACGGCAGTCACCACCTTAACTGCGGCAATATTAGAGAGGAAAGGAAGCATATTCAAAGCTGCTTTTCCAATGTCAATACCGGATTTATGGTTGAGTTAATCACTGTTTACATAATCTGAAAGAGGTGTTCGGGACCGTAAGGAGAAAGACGAGCACGAATACGAGTGAGAAGCCAAGAAACATCCGAAATAGACCAGTAAAGACATACTTGCTGTTGTAGTACCAGATTTTATACTGGGAACTTTCCAGGGCAACAAAGGATAAATCTTTAAAAGATATCCGTGAAAACAAAAAACAAAACAAAAGTGACTGAGCATACAAGAGGATTGTCACCTTTGAAGGAAGTATCTTTTTTAGAAGCTTAAAGTCAATTGTTATAATTACTGTTTATTATTTATGCTTTCTAATGTAGATTAGATGAAAAGTTTTATATACTTAGACAAAAACGGTTCTTCCTCACAAGCCTTCTCACAGATGCCTATCAGTCTTGGCTTAATAAACTACGCCAGATGTCCATCAAGTGTAAGAAGATAATAATAATTTTAATCGGATCTCATGCGTTACAAATGGAAGAACCTTTTTGATCTTGTTGTTCACACCAATCTCAACTTACTTTACGGAAATCATGTGTATATTCCACTTGTAAGTTGTTCATTTTTTTTTTTACTTTAAATGCAATAATTTACAGTCTTAATTTGATCGATAGTCTAAGCAACCCGGTGCCTCAACAACAAATTGAACAAAAAAATACTGCTATTATCACAACATTTCCCACCCTTTACAATATGTTTTGTTGGATACAATGATATAATTACACTACGCCAAAAAAATAGGAGTTTTAGAGGTGGTTTCACAGGTGGTTCCGGAGGGGAAGCCAGGGCGCGTTTTGTGTCCTCCCCCCTTTTTTCCAACCCTGAGTTCATGTGCATTTTAATACATCTCCGCTTACCGGTAGTTTTAAGATTCTATTAATATATTGATAACCTTTTCTTTTGCTAATATTTGTCTTTCAATTGGACAAAACTTCTTTAAGTATAGTTGAAATATTATATGCCATTGGTTACTACTAATTCATTATTCTTTTAATTTAGATTCTTTTAAATATTTCTTGCTTAATCATTGTTTTTATTGGATAAGACATAATTGCACTGTAGTGTATTTTATAAAAATACATTTTTATTGGTTTCTCAAATGGATATATTTTTTATTTATCGTTTTTATTGGTTATTACACTACACCATTACATTTTATATATCACTTTTATTGGCTGTTATGATAGACATTACATTTTATACATCATTTTTATTGGTTATAAACAGTCAAATACATCATATACTTTCAATATTAAATATACTACTTTACACTGCAGTGGATAGTTACTTACAATTGCCTCCTTTGACGGTCTTTCCAGAGATGACTGACTCTTGCAATGGATGCCCAATTTTGATGGCATCTGGTGAAATCTATACCAACCCTCTTAAGCATGTTTGCATGTTTATTGCAAATCATTGTTCGATCACATCGCTGGTGAGAATCCAATTCCTGCCAGAACAATGATACAGCTTCCTCTGGGTAGACAGCTTGCAGTTGCTTTGGCCAACGACCGCACCAGAAAAGAGATGTTGTATCGCCACCATCATACGCAAAAGGCTGATGGCAGCATTTCCGATGTCTTTGACGGACAGGCATACCAGACAAAGAAGCATCTTTTCTCGGGTGAAAACGACATCGCCATTTCGCTGTCTGTTGATGGGTTTGCTCCCCATAGTGTTCCGGGTTCGGTAACCATTGTCTACGTTACCAACCTCAACCTTCCCCCAATGATCCGCTACGAGCGCAGCCGTATGATCCAAGTCGCGATCATCCCTGGTCCCAAAGCACCCGCCGACTTCTGGTCATTCCTGGAGCCAATCATGAAAGAACTTCGGGTTCTCCGAGCCAGTGGAATGGTTGTGAAGACACCATATGGAGATATTTGTGCAAAAGTCCATGTACTGATGACAACTGGCGACATCCCAGCTCTGGGAAAGATGGCTTGCCATGTGGGCCATATGAGTAAGGATGGCTGCCGCATCTGCCACGTTGTGGGTCAATCTCCTGGCCATGGCCAATATTTCCGAATGCCATCTGCCATCACCATGCGCACACCGGAAAGTTTCAAGCACTTTGATGAGGTGGCCTCATCCAGCAAAAAAGGGTTAACTGGCCAATCTCCCTTCTCCTTACTGGATTCCTTCTCTGGTACGTTCTTCTTTGCATTGGATGAAATGCACGGCATTTGCCACGGCATTGGCAAACAGGTCTGGGGGCTCGTGTGTGGCAAGTATGGAAAAGATCATCCTCTCTCTCTCCCTTACTGCTCAGAAAGAAATTGGTACTGCCATGGTGTCAACCAGAAGAAGTATTCCGACATCTTTCCACGGTGCATGGATCAACATCGCAACAAGATCAAAGTACTTCCGGGCTGTGGACTGGGCTGACTTCATCTTGTTTGTTATCCCCACGCTTGTGGCAGAGCGTGTCCGTGACCAAGCTGCCCGTAAGGCATTACTTGACCTGGTGCAGACATGCAACCTACTCATGAGCTGGGAGTTATCAGCAGAGGAGAAAACCTTGATCAAAACGTAAGCTTTAATTATAATTAATATTATTGTTTTATAACTTGTGTTAACTTATCTTTTTTTTTTAGAAATCTCGTCACATGGAATGCGTATCTGGAAGCCTCGCTAGCTAAAGGAGAGGTCCAGCTCAAGCTCTTTACGATCAACCAGCACCTCCTGCAGCACTATCCCGCAATGATAGAAGCGTATGGTCCCCCCAGAGCGTATAGTGCACGATCTGTCGAGAGGGCGATTGGGGAATACTCGCGAGCAATAAAGAGTAATTCGGCAATTGGAATCAACGCTGGCAACATCATGCTTGGCTTGACACAGATTCGACAGATGAGAGTTGAAAATTCAATAACGACAACAGCAACAGTAACAGCAACAACTCTCCTTCAGTATGTCGATCCCTCTGCTGGTTGGCCAATTGACCGAGAAGGTAGTAATGTTGGTACTGATTCTGACATTGAGTTCTGGGGGCCTTTGAGGAACAGAACGTTTGTTGATAGTTTTGGAGGCATTTCTTGTCTTCCAGAGCTTCTTCAAAAGTTCTACGAATCAAAGGGGGAAGAGTGTAGTATGATTGAAGCAGCCATTAAAACAAGCCGTAAGGCATTTGTAAATGGTTGTGTTATTGACTCTGCACTCGACCATAATTGTGTAAGAGAGGCACATAACGTCAGACTTCAAGTTCAGGTTGATGAGAACCGCAACATTGGGCAAAGCTACTCTCTAGTCTACAAGGATTTCTTTGGGAAGGTCGTCGTTTTCTTTGAGCACAAGCTCAACAACAAGAGGTGGCCGCTTGTCCTTGTCAATGTTTATGCAGTTCGTTTGGTAAATAGTATACCAGCAATCAACAATGGGCAAATGAAGCCAATGGTAGTTCACCTGGCAGATGTCAAAGAATTAGTTGGTTTGGTGAAGTCGGACGCGACTATAAACACAATAACAACAACAGCAACAACATATGTAGTGTGGCCAGAGCTTAACCGCGGCCCAAAACTGTCACTTGGTTCTCTTGCAGACTTATAATTTTTTTTTCTTGTAATACATTATTTTTTTTTCAAATTGTCTTAACATATTTTATCCTCCCAGCAAAAAGTTTAGATATTTTTCTCTCTTTTACCTCTGACTTTTAATAGTCATCAATTGCAATCTACATTTACTAAAAATGTAAAATCTGTAGTTAAAATGTACTTTTGTCTATCAGGAGATTTAATTTTAGGTAGTCAATCTTCTTTTTGTCAACCTTTTCAAAAAACAGAGATTTTCTAGTTTCAAATTGGATTTTTGGTGATTTTTTAATTATTATAGGCCAAAAACAAAGTCACAAATACAAAAAACCGCCCCTATTTGTCGTAGTGTAATAGAGAAAATATGGACAACTTGTAGCAATGGGCGGATGTTTAACATATGTGATATTAAACACCAGAATCGGAATGTATAGCTCCGAAAATCAAGGCATTCTTCTTGGAGACTTTAGGAAGTCATTAAACTACTTCTTTACTGTTCCTTTATGTAATATAAAAAATGTTGTTATAATCTATAATATACACACACACACACACATATATATATAGCTATTGTTTTACTTATAAGAAAATACAAGGTAGACCTACTACAGATATATTCAACTTACAAGTTTTTTTTATCTAATAGCTCTTTAATTAATACCCTTTAATATACTTTTTGTTACTTCTTGTTGGGGATCCAAAGCACCCTAAATTATGAACACTAGCATAAATTGCTTGAGAAATGTTTAAGCTCAACAGAAAGAGCAGAAATGTTTGGTAGTTTAAGTCCCGATAGGTCCGCCGTGCTCATGGCTTCAAGAAGTACTATGAGTTACCCACTTCTTTAATTATCTTTAGGCTTAGCGATATTTAATTTTGGGCACGCGACAATCATTATGATTATTATTATTGGGTAAGCGACAACTTCCATACCCTTCTCAATGTATCTATGCGTGTGTGTGTTTTTCGTGTGATATGAATTAACTTTATTAATAAAAAAAACAGCAGATTTTTATTGCTATAATTATTATTATTATAATAGTACTAATATTAATATTAGTGTTAATATTAGTAATCTTATTATTATTAATATTATTAATAAAGACAACAATACAAGCTTAGACTTCTTGATACGTTTTCTATCCTTCCATGTCTTTAGGATCTGATTGTTTCAAAATGATATTTTATAATATATTTATTTGTAATATTTTAAAATGACTATTATTATTATCAAAGAAAAGAAATATATAGATGAAATAGAAAGCAATTAGTATCAAAACCAAAGAATTTGATTGGATTTGTTTTCTTGATTATATTAAAACAATACATATATATTATTTCATTTCATTTGAGTTGAATTGATTTGATTTGATTCGTGTTTCAATAAATAATATTGATAAACACCATAACTAGACTCAAGAAATAAGAAGAAGAAGAAGAAAACAAAAAGGGGTCTTTGTAATATACATACTTTACTACGCAACAAACTTGAGCTTCAAACAAAAAACCAAGGAAGTTGGAGCACCAACAAGGGAATAAACGGAATTAAAGAAGGACACAGAATAATAGACTCCTCGTAATCTGATCTGATATTTGATGCTTAGTATCAGTTATAGTTTGACTCAAACAAGTCAAGATGGTAACTATAATTATAATAAGAATAAGAGATAGTTTGATATATATATATATATAGATAGATAGATAGATAGATAGATAGATAGAAAGGGGAGAAAAACAGCTGTTTTTTTAATATAATACCCATGAGCATTCAATCTATTTCCTCATTTATATGAATATGAATACATTATTATGTTGACAAGAACACTTGCACTACCAGATGATGTGGGTCAATATGTTGCCTATATCACTGTAGTAAATGGCAGAAATGATAACTCCGCGACCGTAGGAATTATACGGTTCCGTATAAATTATACGGTTGCGAGGTTATCATTTTTGCCAATAGAATATTGGCTTTTAGTAAATTAAAAGTATTTACAGCGAATACTATTTATGGAAGCTCAAATTACTTTTTATCTAATCCAATAAAATCGTTTAAAACAGCAAAACTATACCATTTTTAGGTACATATTTCCTTTTTATAACAAATTTGGATAATACAATTCGTTGGATTTCAAACTACTTTTGCATCTAATCCAATCAAATATTCCAAATATGGCAAGTCTATACCTTTTTTTAGATATCTCTATTCTTATAATTGGTTCAACAAATGCATGGTTTTATATTTGAATTTTATAGTTTTTATTGATCAAAATAATACAAGTTGAGTATAAAGAAGTATGAAAAGAAGAAGTACTATTTTTTAAGCTATAAAGTTACTAAATAATATACATATATCTATTTTTATATGATAATTTTTATATTTTTTATTTTAAAAAAACGGCTATTCTCTAAGTACTATGATATTGATGAAGGCATGTATATTGCTTAATTGCTTCTTTTTATCAAAGAGTATAAACCTGCTTTGTGTTAAAATTGTCATGTCTGATTCCTACTTTTGAAAAACAAGAAGACAGATTCCTTGCAATTCTCTAAATCTACCGAGATTTCTAATGAGCATGCGAGCAATCTTGACAACCAAACTGTACATGATACAGATATTTTTCTGTCAATTCGTCTCAAGTTACTTTCTTTTGTCAACTTTACTGATTCGTATTTTATTAATACTAGCCTTCATAGTTATTAAGTGTGTTTCTTTTAAAGACATTTAATAATTCTAGCCCTTGTAAAAAAAATAGAAACAAGTCCTTTTAGATGTTCCAATCTAAATCGTTTGGAGAACATGGACGGGTCAGAGGTTATGCATCATTTGTGGAATCGGGATCTTGCTGCTGTCCTGAACTTCAGATATATACTTAACAATCTGAGATATGATGGGACTATACCTGTAAGGTTCACCCGCGTCATTCGGATTGGACGTATCAGAAGACAAGCAGAAGAAGATCTCCAGATGGGGGTCGTTTGAGACAAAGACTGACTAGAGTTCAAAGAAGATAAAATTTTCTATCCTGGTTACCGCCTAGGACCCACCCAAGCTACCGCTGGTAAGCCATTAGATTTGAATAACTTGGTATTTAGTTTTGTAATGGGTTGAAAAAGCTAAGAAAAAGATTTTTTGCTTTGACTGCAAAAAACATGGTGGGGTAAAAAAAAAAAGTAGAATATAAAAGAGACCGAGAGAGAAATTGGTGCTTAATTAAAACTCAACTACAAGACACTTTAAACCCCGGAAAACTTGCAACAATTCACTAAAATAGCCTATTTTTTTATATAGGGTATCCTACCATTTTACTTGGTTGTCAAGCAATTTTTTTTATTTTATTTATTATAATATACTCTTGAATATCAAAAAGGCAGTTATTCCTTGAATGCTTTGCTACTTTTGACTATACCAAACCCAAGGTATTGTATTAATAAATAAATATAGATACATATTAATATAAAAAAATTGAGATCTTATATATATTATATATATAAAAAGAGTTCATTATTAAACAGGTGATTTATTTAATAAGCTTGGCTTAATACACCAACATGCACACACACACACACGGAAAATAAAAGAAGAGGGAAAGGGAAAACATGGCAAAATAAATAAATAAGAAACCGTATAATTTGCTTATTAAGCCAGACAGGGTCAGATAAGGTATACAAATAATAAAGAAAAAAATATATACATATTTATTTTCATCTTCAAATTCATATCAATTTGGTGTACAAACTAGACAGCTACAAGGCGAGTTGTCTTGGCCACCCTCTACCCTATTTTCCTCCATATATATATATATATATATAATTATGTGTAATTTAGTATTAAACCCTCAAAATTGGTTTTCATTTACTTATTTATTTATTTATTTATTTATTGAACCATTGACAAGTGAACTGTGTTGTATTTATATTTTCAAAAGGTTTTGCTGTTACTCTTCAATTTTATTTTATTTTATAATATAATATATACATATATTGGGTGTAAGCCTTTCAAAATGCAACAGGCAAGTTGAACACACACATACCAAAAAAAAAAGTCCTGTACGTTAAGGTGCTTTTATTTTATTTTATTTTATTTATGTTACGTTTGATTAGCATATTCTATGCGTACACACAGACACACACACACACACACACACACACACAGAAAGACAGACCAGACCAGGCCAGACAGACACAAAAGTAAAATAAATTTGTATAGTTTATGTGAGAGTGAGAGAGAAAAAGAATGAAGAGAGAGAGAGAAAGAAAGTTTTCTGAGATGTTATTGGTCACTAATCTCATGACGCTATCACGCTGCCACGTCATCAGCAATTTTTTTTTAAAAAAAGTCGCCAGTGTCCCCAACAAAAAAAAAAGAGAGAGAGAAAAAAAAAGACTTCGTCACTTTCATTCTTGACGACGTCGTCAACCGCTTCTTCGTCATCAAAAGCATTCTGAGGTGAGATTCAGTGCCCGAGCGGAATACTTAAAATAAAGTGAGAAAGAGGGCAAAGACGCATTAAGCAACGGGAAGAAGTACATTCGAAGCATATTCTATTATATTTTACTATTATTGTTGTTGTTGTTTTTTTTGTGAGTGCGCCACCGTGCTTGTTTTTTCACGTAAAAAAAAAAGAGAGCGAGAGAGAAAGCGAGAGAGAGAGAAAAGTCGCGCTTCCCCCTCTTTTGTTCTTCCCCCTTCTTCTTCCTCTTCCTCTTCCTCTTCTCGTTCTTGCTCTTGCTCTTGCTTCTTGTTCTTCTTCTTGCTTCTTGTCCTTCTTCTTGCTCTGCTCCTTGCTCTTCTTTGATTCCAACTTGCTAGTTCATTTTTATTAAACTCTTTTTTTTATTGCTTTATTTTTATATTATATTATATATACAACTTTTACTATTCCTCCTCTTCTACAAAGGTGTAAAGACATTTATTAATCTTAATATTATATATATATATATATATAATTATATATAAACATAACGCATAAAAAAAAAGGATCGACTATATATCTCTATATATATATATATGTATATATATATATATATATAGTTCTATATATTTAAAAAAATAATAATTAACAACATATACACATAATTATTCCTTCGATTGTACATATCGCCCTCTTATCTTTCAAGCTTTGATGACCCACGCCATGTCCGACTCCCCCGCATCAGATCCCACAAGCACCTACAGTACCCCAATGTCGGATGATGTCGAAACCTATGTTGACCAATCTCATCAACAAACCGAGTCACACCAAGATACCGGCAAGAGACTCGCCACAGAACCACCTGTCGATACCACAAAAGACGCCAAGGTGCGAAAGACAGACGAAAAGGAGTATGTAGCTCTCGATTCATCCGTAGTGGCCAAGCCCAAGGAGGCTGACGAGAATATGCCCGATATAAACTGTTCACCCAACCCTCCTGGATTATCGGACCAACAAACACAGCAACAGCAAGTGCAGCAAGTACAACAGCAGCAAGCACAGCAAGCACAGCAAGCACAACAAGTACAACAACAGCAAGTGCAGCAACAGCAACAGCAAGCACAGCAAGCACAACAACAGCAAGTGCAGCAACAGCAACAAGTACAGCAACACCAGCAGCAGCAGCAGCAGCAACATCAACATCAACAACATCAAGTGCAGCAGGTACAACAGCACCAAGTTAATACAGAAACTACCACTACGTTATTGAGTATGCCTGCACACGGCCAAAGCACCAATCCTTTGGCTTACCTCACCGAACAACAGCACCAACAACTTTTACAAACCTACGCACAGGCAAGTGGTCAGGACCTTGCCAACCTGACTGCATCCTCACTAGCTCAAGCTATGGTGTCTCCGATTGCCGTTCCCGGCCTTACCCAGAACCTTCTGCAGCACCTCCAGGGTGGTAATGTCATCACAGCCCTTCCAGGACCTCCTCCCCAGATTCCCCCTTCGTCTGGAAACCATTCTCAGTCGAATAACGATGGCATGTCTTCGGATGACGGGCAGCCCGGGAAACGTGGACCGAGCGTTCGTAATATGTCCAATGATGAACGTCGGCAGAGGCGGCTGTTGCGGAACCGAGTTGCGGCCAAAGAGTGCCGCAAGAAAAAGAAGCAGTATATCCATGAGATGGAAGAGAAGATCCAGCGGCTCGAAGACGAAAACGCTCGTTTGCATAAGGAAGTAGAGGAGCTTAATGCAAAACTGACACTTGGTGCTATGCAAGGTTCGGAGAGTTATCGATTAATGAAAGAGGTCGAAGAATTGAATGCGAAATTGGGTATGGGCCATCTGCCAGGTGGAAATAGTGCACTGACAGCGGCTGTCATGGCAGCAGCACAGCAACAGCAGCAACAGCAACAGCAACAGCAGCAGCAGCAGCAACAGCAGCAGGCTCAAGCTCAGGCTCAAGCGCAACAGCAACAAGCGCAACAAGCTCAACAACACCAACAACAAGCACAAACCCAACAGCAACATCATCATCACCATCATCACACACAGCAGCAGCAGCAACAACAACATCATCCTTTACAAGCACAGGATTCACAGTCAATCTCCAAAGATTCTTTGAAAGACGAAAAGGTTAAGGCACAACACATGTCTGAACTGGAAAGTCAGTTGTCAGCAGCTCAAAGAACAATGGAAGAGGCTGAGGCAGGCAAAAATTAAATACGAATTCCAAAAATCTAACTACTCATATAAAAAAAAAACCTCTTATTTCTCTTCCATCTCCTCCTCCTCATCTTCTTCTTCCTCCCCTCCTCTTCCTCTTCATCATTTATATATATAATATATATACATATGCATATGTATATAACATGTATATATATATATATATATATTTTCATACATACATACATACATACATACATACATATATATATATATATGTATATATTTATCTCTTACTCACTCACTCACTCACTATCCCTCTCTCCCTCTATCACTGTCACTGTCACTGTCACTGTCACTACCACTACCACTACCACTACCACTACCACTATCTCTCCATCTCTCCCCATTATATCTATTGCCCTCTTGCTCAATCATTTTTTTTTCTCTTAGCAGACTTACTTTATAGTTTTCCCTCTACCTCATAAAAAACTTGCAAAGTATCTATTTTTTTTTTTCTAAAATAAAATAAAATAAAATATTTATTTATTTATATTTGTATGTTATTACATTATTAAAAGCAAAAGGAAAACAATTAGAATTAATGAAGTCTAGATATATACTTGTATATATGTAAATGTAAATTTAGGTGTGTGTGTGTGTGTGTATGTTTGTATGTAAATAGATAGGTAAAGATTTTTTTTATTTATTTTTTGGATTGGGTTGGAAATTCTATAACTTTGAGTATAATTTTATAACTTCCAAAAAAGGCATGTGTAATTCGTCGACGATTAAAATTTGACATATGATATGAAAAGAAAAAAAAATATTGCGACTTGTATCGCATATTTGATAAAAATACAAAAACAACCTATTGAATCTACACTTCTTTTTCTTTTTTGTTCTTTTTTGTTTAGCTCTGTTAAATTTATCCCAAAGTTCAAAACTAAAATATTCTCTTAGTATGAGAATTGTTTCTTGAATACAAAAAAAAAGAAAAAAAAAAGCACAAGGTTTGACTAGCCAAATGAAGTATGTATATTGTATGTAATTTCAGATCATTTCTTCAATTAAAGTTTTAGTCTTTATTCTCTTTAAGTCTTGGACCATTAAGTATATATATATATATATACTCTATGCTTTTAAATCATGACTAATAGTATAATGTGTGTAAATTTGAAAGAAGAATCTACTATGAATGGTACAAAGGTTCTTACACATGTATATAGACATATGTAGATATGAATGCAAATAAAAAAAAATGGGTATATCTATGTATGTGTAATTTATTTTTCTTGGTATCATTATTACAAATAAAGATATTTTTCTATCTTTATCTTCAAGCTGTATGACTTGTATAAAGTGATTCATTCGAAGTATTAAATGTCTATTTAGTATCACGTTAAATATCATTCATTTATTTCCCCTTTTTTATTATTAAAGAAGATTAAGGAAATATTATACTATATGTATAAGAATATGAACAATTTCTTATGAAACCTGAGGATTAAGCAAGAGTCGCGGTAATCAAGAAATAAAATAGTATTGGTTGTATTGATATTATTATAAATAAAGATGATAGTAATATAGAGCACATAATATACTGTGCAACAAATAATAAGGGTTTCTTTTCTTTTGTATAGATAGATCCTCAGATATATATAAAAGAGCGTTTCTTTCTTACTGGAATTTATTTAGTTCTGTAAGACAAGATTAGGCTGTAAATTATTCGATGTATAGATATATACAATTATATATATATATTAAACTCTGTAGTTAAGCCTTGGAACTCCTCATCAATTAGAATATACTAAAGCGCACATATAAAAGTAAATTTTATCAATGTTTATATAGCTTTGTTTAAAAGCCTATAAAGTGCCCTTAACTTATCTTTTGAACAGTATCAATTGACCCTTGTCCCCATGTCCAGTTTATGGGCACTCTTTTGTACATAGATATAATATCAACAAAAAAAAAGATTGAAAAAGAAAAACCTGTTATATATGTTGTCTAAATAGGAAGTATTTCTAAGAATATTCATAAATGTATACATGTGTATGTATGTGATTTCTTTTATATCTATATACATTTGTCAGACACCGCTCTTAAACCTGTACTACACGCTGCCCTACAAAAAGAAAAACATATTTGTATTTGTATTTGTATAGTGTGTATTGTATAGTGTTCTTTGGCTTTTACCTAATCTTGATCAGTTAATGTAACAAAAAGCTGGTGTACAACAACAACACTATAGACCGCCTTTTTGATTGGATGAAATCAAGCACATTGAATATAGTAAAAAAAAAAAAAAAAAAAGCAAATCTTATTGGGAAAAGGTAGGAGAATGAATATATATATATATATATATAAAAAGAGGAATGTACCTAAAATCGACAATTACGATAATTTTCCTGGTAATCCCTTGTCCACAAAATGGTAGGGTCAATCTATTTACAGGTGAGTTCAGCCACTTTGGCCTTCAATGTCGTTACATTGACAATTGTAAATATATACATATACCATATATTCGTACAAACTTCTCTTTTTTTTTTTTTGGTTGTTGTTTATATAAAGGCGCCCACCTCTTTCAATCCAAGCAGATAAAATTTTTCTTGTTTTTGAGTTTATTCTGACATCTTCTTTCTCTTCTTTCTCTTACTCTTACTCTTTCCTTACTACTACTTCTAATAGATATATATTATAGCTACTATAAAAAAAGTAAAGAAGTAAAAAAAAAATACATACACAAAAGTATATAAATATAAAAGAAAAGGGAAGAAAAGAAAAGAAAGAATGCGTGCCTTCAAGATAGCCATCGGTTTAGTGTCCTTCTCATTATTGTTGATTCTCTGCAGTCAATGGATCCCTCAGACCCTCCCTCAATACTTCTCCGACCTAACTGGCACAACACAATCCCAGAGTCATAACCCCCAGTCTAGCCAGGACATGATGGACGATAGCAGCAACGACGACGAAACAGAGAAATCAACCGAGAAATATGTGACCTATCTGCCACACTCTGGATTCCACAACCAACGCATTGCGCTTATCAATGCAATGGTCATCGCAAAGTCACTCAACCGTACCTTAATTATGCCCGAGCTAAACATGGGCCACGCAAACTACTGGCTCCCAGGCAAAGCACTGGCTCTCCAATTTGACGATTGTTCTCGCAAGATCTTCAAGGGTCCTCATCGGGTGTCTCTCAATGGCTGTTATGCTTTCAGAAGCTACAACCCCTGGTCGGTCTCGAGCATCCTCGATCTGTCGGCCGTAAATGATCAAGGCATCAGATATGTCGAGCGCAACGACATGAGTCTTGATTTCTTTGAAAAGAACTTTGGGCTGACCAAGGACGACACCTACTACGTCCAAGATCCGACTCGGTTCTCGTACAGGATCTACGACAATAGTTCCATGGACCTGGGTAGCTTTGACTTTCCGTTACAACTGTCGGTGCTGCGGCAGAGAACCGAGCCACTCATCTCTTTTGGCTCGCTCTTTGGCTCCTTCCGACTTGCAATCGAGCCCAACTCGGAGCTTTGGTGGTTACGCGAGTATCTGACCGCCGAACTCGGCATTTCTCATTCGGTCATCATGCAAGATAGTCTTTCGATAGCCTCCCACCTGGGTGGACCAGGCAACTATATCAGTATTCACATTCGTCAGGGAGACGGTTCTTTCCGCAAGGCCCTAAAGTCGACCATCGTCCATGTCCAGGCCCACCTCGAGAAGATCAAAGGAAGAGCCGACCCCGATGCTGTCGAAGCCATGCGCCAACTCTCAGTCCCTGACCGCCTCAAGGCATGTGTCGTCGTCAACCATACCGTCACAGACCCCCACTTGCGAGTCATCTTTATGGCTACCGATGCTCACAACTCGCGCGAATCGATGGCCGACTTCCATTATGCCTTCCCCTGTATGTTCACACTCAACGACTTTTCGAATGTGATCAGCAATCTTATCGAGACCGATCACAGTATCTTCCTTCCCCTGGTAGACGCCGAGGTTGCCAGTCACTCGTCACGATTTGTCGGTACTCCCAAGAGCACATTTTCCAAATACATCAAGTACCGTCAGCGCAGGTGGCTCAAGTACTATCCCAAGGCCCCCAAGTCATGAGCAAAAAAAATAAATATGAAAACAGACTAAGGAAAACTACCAAGGAAATTGGCATTTCTGTTTTTATTCATTTTCTTACTACAAATCTATACTATTCCTTTTCCTAATTGCTGTTACTATTCTTATTCTTATTTTCATCTTTCTTACCCTTTACAACCCATTTTGCCTATCAAATTCTATCTCTACCCTTTTAAACATCTTTCAAGCCTCGTATTGTATCTTTAAACATTTTTATACTGTACTCAGCCATTTCCATTTAGCCTCTTCTTCTATTTCTATATATTAAGCTGTAGATTTTTTTTTCTTTCATTCAATTCATATATCTTGGTTTATTCCCTTTCTTCTTTATTCTCAAGAGAAAATGACCAACACACACATACAAACCCATATTTCTTTCTTTCTTGCGCTTTATCTTCTTCGTTTATATTACATTTCTTACTTATTGTTCTTTTTCTTTAATTTCATTTCTGTCATATTTATTTTCTTCTGTCTTTCTTGCAAACACACACACCTATAAATATAAATATAAATATATATATTTGGTATATAATTATTATTCTATCTTTAAATAAACAAACCAAAGCTATAGTAACAGTAAGTATAAATATAATGAACGATCAAGTTGTTTGTTTCAATATTGATCGATCACTTGACCGATAATTTCTGTCAATGTTTACTCTTCAATGTATTTTTATCTGCATCTAAATATACATATTTGATATATATATATATATATATATTTGAATACACAGAACGCACGTTTCAATAATCATAATAGTCATTTTCTACCTTTATTTTCTTTAGAATTATGAAGAAAAATAAGCATTTTATAGAATCTATAAACTTGTAAAGATATTTCTGATAAATAAATAGTAAACGAGCAAAAAAAAAAACAACAACAAGAACAACAAAAATCTACCTTTATTTTGTATGATGTAGCCCAATATGTAACATGTAACATGTAACATGTATCAAATACTTTGTGTATCACATACCTCAACACCAAATCTACTTCAACATCTACACCTTTATTTATATTTACGTTTACGTTTACGTTTACGTTGACGTACAAACATAAGCACAGACACAAAGAAGAAGAGTAGGCAAAGGAAAATGTAATACATGAAGACCTACATAAAATAAGAAACAGGAATAGAGTTATTTCAACCCTTGTATTACTCACCTTCTTGGACTATAATTTATTTGATTGATTACTACAGAGATAAACAGAAGAAGAGAAAGGTGAGGGAGACAAGAAAAAAAAAAAGACAAGGGAGGTACAAGGGAAGTACAAGGGAAGTACAAGATAGACTAGGCCAGTAATGAAAAATCAAAGGAAAGAAAAAAAAAGATGAATAAAACGTATATACATCTTAGTAACAGTAGTGCACCAATTAGTAGTTTAGGTCATTTATGATCCAACAGATCAACAGTTTTTTCTTTCTTTCTAAATAAATGAATAAAGAGTAAGAGAAAAAAGAAGAGGTCAAAATAAGAGACCGGCTGGCTAGCCTGTGAAACATTGAAACAAATGCTACAGAGGGTAATCTCTTGTCCATGATAACAAGCAAATCAATACTACTTTTATTTACTTTTTATATCTATACAGCACTAGAAATATTATTTATTGACTTCTTTGCTAAATAGCAAACTAACTAGTCAAATCAATTCTCCTACTGGCTAAATTAGCAGCCAACTTTCATTGATTTTTTTCTAGTCATTTCCTACAGTGTAGCTTGAACAATATCGAATCTTTCTTTATTTGTAGTTAGCATTTTTGATTTCTAGTAAAAACAATACTATCATATCTCTTGGTTAATTATTCAAAGCTTATAGCAGAACCAAGAATGCAGTACTACAACATTCAGTACACAAAGAAGACGTTCCAGAATTGTGTACAACAGAACATATCAACAAGTACAAATGTCAATCGATCTGTCTCTTGATTTTACTAGCGATCAATTGACGCAACTGAACCTAGTGTTAAAGGGAAAAAGTAACAGCCAAAAGAAGAAGAAGAAGTAGAAAAAAATATAGTATGTTTTATTATGATGATGGTTACCAGTATTGCTATTACTGATGCTAATAGATTATATCATATCATATCATATTACATTACATTAAATTAAATTAAATTACATTACATTTATTAAATTATATTAATTTTAAAACAAAAGGTACTCACAGCAATTGATTTGATTTGATTTAATATGGTAAGTGATATATTTTACATACATAAATCCTGTTTAAGAGACTTCTTTGAATTAAAGAAGAAAAAGAAACAATACTAGGTAGATGGACAAGAAGTAAACTTCTTTCAAACATGCTTACCACTTGTGACTTTTTCTTTTCTTTATTGCCTTTTTTCTGTTTTTGTATGTGGCCGTTCTAAAAAAAGAAACAGCCCAGTATGCAGATATATATATATATATATATATATATATTTTTAGAAATTTTAAACTATATATCTATTTATTTATAAAGCAAAATAAAATAAAATAAAAATCGGGGAGGGAGGGAAGTTATTTTTTTTTTTGCTTGGTAGACCAAATATAGAATTTTCTTGGATCCAAAAATGGAAAAAAATAAGATAAAACTTTCAAGATAAAACAAGCAAATAAACAAAAAAACATAACAGTAACGAACAGGGACAGACCAAAGATAGAAAGAGACGGGAAAATAAGGGGGTTTTCTCCTCTTTAAGTAAATGAATATAATGTATCCAATGAACAACAGTAACATAAAAAAGGTTTCAATTTATATGTATATTGATGGTTATAAAAATAAATAAATGAATAGATAGATAGATGGATAGATAGATAGATAGATAGATAAAATAAAGATTACAAGTAAAAATATAATTGTATATTTTCAGCGTATAGTATAATATAGTATGGTGATGTATGGTGAGGTATGGTATAGTACAATATAATAATATTATATTATATCGAATTGAATTGAATGCATGATAATGGTGATGATAATGATAATGGTAATGGTAATGGTAATGGTAATGATTGAATGGAATAAGAGTAGTGATTTGTCTAATGGTTCCCTCTTTACTTTGTTGTTTTGGTATTGGAGAAGCAAGGATGGTGTGAATAAAGAAAAAGGGAAAGATAAAGAAGTAGCTTATAAAAAGAGCATAATGAAATAAAGAAGAAAAAATAGGTGAAATATGATGGAACGGCTTATGAAATGGGTGCAAAGTCAGAGGCAGAGTCATTGGGCGGCATGTATGTCTTTTTGCTTGTTTTTTTTTATGGCTGTCTAGTATGAGTAAGAAAGTTCATCTTCAGAAGACTAGAGAAGTGAAGAACATCAGTTAATTTCAAATCCTGTGCACAATTCACATTTATATATCGATATCGATATCGATCTTGATATCTATAATATCTGGGCTCTTTATATATAAACTGTCGCTACTTTAAGATCCAAATACTTACATCTTCCTCGTAATTTCTAATATTGATAAATATCAAGTTTTTTTTTTGTTTTGATTAGAAATTGGAATTAATATATATTGTATTATAGTACTTACGGATCACCCAGAACGCTTTGTAAATCACGCACTTGGTTTTTAAGATCATTCTTGATACTAATTAAATGCTGAATGTGTTCAACAGCTAAGTTATTTTATAATTATAATAATAATAGAAAGTTAGAAAAAAAAAAGGATAGCAAGGTAATTGGTATTGGTATTAGTGTTGGTGTTTTCTATTAAATATAATAGATATACTTACATTTTTGCAGAATTAGAGCCTCGCTACGATTGCCATGGTGCAGTGAAGGCACACTGTCTATCAATTGATCGAATCCGAGTCTAATGTTCTGGCGACGTTTTTGCTCAGATGCGATATGGTTTGCCTTCTTTTCGGCGTCTGTCAAGAGTTCATGAGGGGCCTTGCGGTGTCTGCGCTCGCGTGGTCTTGGCTTGATATCCTGTACCGAGCAATCTTCGGGAGACGGTCTTTTCCGTGATGACCCGGGAGATGTTGGGCTAGAAGAAGCCGACGAGGAGTGCCAGCTATTATTACTGTTGTTGTTGCCGATGATGGGTGGGTAAGGGGCAAAGGCGGGTGGATAGATGTTTGGCATTGTTGAAGAAAAGTTCATAGATGAAACAATAGGGTAAGATTGAGCGTTTGGGTTCATTTGTAGTGAGAGTATTTGAATTGGAATTGATGCTGTAATTTGGTATTGATAATTTGTTTGGGATAAAGAGAAGAAGATTCTCCCTTTTATAAAATAAAGAAATGTGAAAAGTGTCAAGTTATCTATAAAGTAAATCTAAACGAATACTAATGAATTTTTATTATTTTTTTTGGTTTGACATGTGAAAACGAGGCACTCAATACTTTCACGTGTTCTGTCCGACCTCTCATCTTTCTCTCATTTGAAGCTGTCATGAGTAAAAAAGAACATTATTATTATTTTTGTAAAACTGGACAGCTGAAAAAAGATCAAAAGCAGCAATCATTTTAAGAGAAGAATAATGATAATTCTTTATTATATATTGTATATTACATATAAAACTGTCTATCTTCATGTGTCATTTTCTCTTTAATGTTGTATTACACCCGCTTTAGATATTACTTCTGTACACTGTATATTAACGATGTCGATCAGTCAGTCATAAGGAAAAAAGAAAGAAAACAAAATAATAGCAATTGAATTGATTCTCTTTCTTACTATAGTGTATATTGTCTGTCTAGTAAACCCAAAGGCTAAATTAGATCTACTTTCTTTTATATTTATTTTGAACACAATCGATCAAATGTTAAAGCATTCACCAATTGTCCAACCAATTGCAGATCCCATATGCTTAAGAAGCCACCTTACTATTTACTGACCCAAGGCTATCTCATATAATCTATTCGCAATAGTCAACCGAGAATCAAGTTACTAGTCATACAAACAAAATCATGGTTTTTACATTTATATTTATATTCATGTAATCCCAAGCACAGGCACAGGCACAAGAATATGAATATGAATATGAATATAAATATAAATTTCCGGTTGGCAGTGAGTATTATAACACTTAAAATACTAATACATATACTAATAATGTCTGTGCACCAGTTGCTAAAAAAAAATATCAGCTATTTCGTACAAAATTACTCTTACTCTTACTGCTACTGCTACTGCTCTGTTACTGCTAGCTACTATTTAAACAGTAAAAGTATAAAACTATTATATAAATTCCTCAAGAAATTTGTTATTTTATTATATTATATATATAATACAAACCCCGTAGTAAGAGATTTCTTGATTCTCATAAAGCCATACCCATCAGCTTACTCAGCGGATGAACTTTTTTCTTTCCATTTATTTTCCAATAGGAATCGTTCAAATTAGTCTCAGATCGATCGAATTTTCCACCCTTAACAAATAGCCACCTTTAAAATACATTATGATATCAATTGAATAATATTAGTACCAAAACAAAACAAAAAGTAACAACACTACCCACACAGAACAGCCCGTTATAGACAAAGGGGCTGGTCATAAAAGACAATCATCGGGTGGCTGATAAAAGAGAGTCAAACAGAAAGAAATAAAGTTGTTCTAAAGCAGAAAGGGACATGTACGCATATACACATATATACATACGTACGTAAATAGATCTATGTAAATATGTAATGTACATATCACTGTTTTTCTTCTTCTTCTCTTCTTACAAACAAGACGGCTTTAGAGCAACACACCAGACAAAAAGCCAAGGGTCCTTCTGGGTCATGGGATCCACAGCTAAAATTCACTAACTTATTTCTGGTGTATAAGAAAAAGACAGAGCGTTGGTAGTATTAAGAGCTTAAAGACTTGTCTGTAGCTTATTTTTTACGAGACCTCAGATATTCTCATGGATTATATATACCATTGAGCTCTGTTTACTTGTTTGTTTATTTGTCTTTTTATCATACACGTATATCCAGTAATCCCAAATGAAAATTAAAGAAGTGATCATAGACCTAACTCTATCTATGCCAAGAGTTTCTTTATTTCTTTATTATTCCTATTAATATTGATATTAATATTGATATTGACATTGATATTACTAAGTCTCTTGGATTTTAACTTTTTGATTTGTAATTTTATTTGGCTCAACTCCATATTTTGGGACCTTTGGTACAAATATATCATACATACATACATACATACATACATATATTAAATTTATTTATTTTTGGCTTGCTACATAAACTTTCCTTTTGTGATAAATCTCATAGCTTACATGAGCATGAGCATAAGCACACACGCATATATATATATATATATATATATATATATATATATATGTGTGTGTGTGAAAGATAAATGTGCTTAGTGGTTTTTTTTAAAACAAAAACAATGCCAAAAACAGCAACATATCCAAGTAAACATCACAATAATTGTCGATATGTATTTACACACGCACACACGCACTTATATATCTAAATTATAATAAAGATTTGTATAAACTGCAACTAGATAGCTGAAAACATACCATACAAATACTGCCTGTGTATCTTGGGCTCAACTTTGGAAATTGTGACCCGCACACTCTCCCAACCTTTCCTAACTTGATACTTCTTAATATCATCATTAATGCCCTCTTTCTCCTTCTTTCTTGTGGGTGGGAGATAGATCAAAGAAGAAGAAGAGAAAGGAATATTAAGCAAAAAGTTCCATTTTATGGTTGTAATTGTAGTTGGACAGCCAAAGCGAGTGGGGTATTTCTAGGTGTGTTTTCTGTATCAATGGGAAGAAATGAAGGCATCTGGTAAATTTATTGGGGCTCGCGACGTGTGAGTATAATTTATTGGTGGGAAAAGCAGTAGTATTATTGAATCAACAATGTGCAATGAATATATATGTATATGCTTTTTTTGTAGATAATTAAGAACATATTCTTTTCTTCTTTAAATCATTGTTTTGTACAGCCAAAGCATAAAGTAGCCAGATACAGAGATAAATATGGTTTAATGTAAAGCATTACATTGTTTGTTTTTTTTGCTTTTTTTTCAATAGCTTATGTATTAATATAAAAATCAAATGAATGAGTGATCGAGCAGGGTAATTAGAGAAACAATGAAAGAGTAAAATTCAAGGTTCTCTTTTTTGGTCTTGATCTTGATCGGTAATTCTGCAATCACAAAGATGGAATATAAGTGTGACAAGTGCATTTGAAGCTATTTTTATTATTATTTTCTATGTACTTTAGCTGGTCAGTGCACCTTATACACACACACATGTAAAATACAATGTTTGATCTGTCTATTGGGATGAGCAGACCTCACATGAAAGACACATAATTTCAGCGTATGTTCTTTATTCTTTATTCTTTACTCTTATAAATAAAAAATGCTTAGGTTCTAATGTGTGCTAATATTCCTAGATTGGATCAAATCAAAGACTGTGTTCTAGAAATAAAAGAACGATATAGAGCCACAAAGAAACTAAATTAAGCTACAAGCACTATTCACACATGGCAATTAATAACCACAACAACACAGATCAATTCAACAGGAAACATAAATAAATAAGCAGAAACAGAACAAGGAACAGAAACGGAAACGGAAGTAGACAGAAATACGCCACAGTCCCCAACATATCCGGTACTACATTTATTTCTCTAATAATTAATCTAGAAGAAGAAGAAAAAAAGGTATCTTTACACCAAGCAAATAAACACTTTACAATTGTGCATTAGATAAAGCATTATAGCTATAAACTAGGATCTTGGTCATTTTTATTTCTTTGGTTTATTATTATTATTATTATTAGTAATGTTGTCTTTTCCCCCCTTCTTCTCAAGAGATTAATTATAGCTTGAAAGTTAAAGCATTTTCAAGTCTGGCTTTAGTAGTTGCCCATTTATTTTCTTTGAATGATCGACAAATACTCATAAAGCTTAGAATTGTAAATCTAAATAATTACAGCAAACATAATATATAGAGCATTCAACTCAATGCCATGTCGGCATATTTGACATAATTACAAATAACTGGGTATTGGCAATATTTATATATTTAGCTTACACAAAAAATGGGGATTTTCTTTGGGCTTTGTTTCGATACAAAATATATCAAATTTTGATCTTTCTATGATTGAGTCGAAGTTTATTGTGTAACATTTGTTCTCAAGTCTACTTGGTATACAATATTATTCTACTATGCTTGATCAATCCACAGTAAAACAAAAGAAACGAGGATCGGAAAAAGTAGTGCTCTATTATTCTACTGTACTTCCTCCACACTAACATTCTTTTTAGCTAAAAAAAAAAAACAAAAAAAAAACACAAGTTATTGCTTACCATTATTAACTTTTGCGTTTAGCAGTTAGTTTAGCAATGTTTTGTTTGTTGTTAGGGTTCTTTGGCGCAAAAATACGCATAAAAGTCTCGAGGTTGGCATATTTTAAACACCGAATATAATGTTGGTTCCTGTTTCCCACCCCAAATGCATGAACTTACAGCTTTTTTTGCTTTGCTTTATTTATACCTTTAGGATAGTAATTCTTTTATGTATTGAATTAATCTACTATCATGTGAGTGCTAAGGATATCAGTCACAGATAAGCCTCCAAAAAATTGTCTATAAATAAGAGGGCTTTCCAGCCATTTTTTCTTTCTCTTTTCTTTCTTTCTCTTTGCCACATATTCCCATTGTGGAATATGATTGGCTAGAAAAATGTCCTGAGTAGGACATTAAACTGCTCCGCTTAGGGCCTATGCGATACGCCCTTTCTAAGAGGGGAAATTCATGCTAGTATTTCTTTTTTTACCTTTATATGTAGGCCAAAAGTTATAACAAGATGTAATCTGAGTGAATTGATGAATAAATATCTGTATAATATAATCTCTTGCTTTACTTTATTTTCTAATTTATTAACTAAAACTTGAAAACAAACTGCCATGTATATAACACTGGCTTGTTTTTTTTAAAAAAAAAATGAAGACTAGTTTCTAGGTAGTGAACTTAAGATAGGGAGAATAAAAAGGAACCTACTTGAAAAAAAGTTTAGTAGAATGATAATTGAATAAACCATTTAAAATAAAATAAACATGAACAGAGACTTGTAATTTGTCTTTTGTATATTAATAATAATATAAATACAATTCATTAGTAAATATTCTTCGCTTTGGTTTAGAGCCCAAATGTGTGGGAAATGGTACTTTCTGACAGAAGGGTTAAATTAAGGCTAATTGGTTAGTGGCATTTCTACCTTTACTATATATTACAAGTGTTATTTATATACTGCATATTATCTTGTATCACCTCAAATTTGTTTTGTTTTTTTTGGTCTTCTTCTTTTTGTCATTTTCAGGGTGAGTGTCTACAAATTTGAATCGTATGATTTATATATATATATATATAACTTTTAGAAATAACTTAATGAATTTGATATAAGTCTATTGTCTTCAATTTTTGAATTGATATAATGATTTTGCTTGTTTTGTATAAAAATAAATTAAAATAAGAAGAGACTCATCCAATATACTAATATTCATATTCATATTCACATTCACATTCACAGATTTCACTCCTCCCGGCTAACAGACAGACATCCTGATAATTCGGCATATTAACCTTCATTATCCGATGTAATTTTTATATATATATATATATACACATTTATATTAATCATTATTACTTATGTAAAGTATATGTAAATTAATATGCCTATTGTTTTAGGAAAATATAGCAGTAATCAAATTTAATCTCCAAGAATTTCCAGCTGGATATTATGGGACTCGCATAATATTCTGTTCTTATGTATATAAATGTATTTATATTTTATTATAAAGTAAAGTTAACAGGCACACAGGCACACAGGCACACAGGCACACATTTTGAGTTGAGTTCAATCTCTTGTACAAGCAATCATGGCAGCTAAAGCAGCGCCAATACCATTGCCATCTCTTGTAACCTATGATAACAGCAACAGCAACAATCAATAAATATGATCTTAATTTCAGACAGACAGACAGACACACAAAGAGAGAAAGAGATAATAATAAACAAAGTAAAGTAGTACTTACACCAATGTTAATAAGATCAACATTTGCACCGTATATTTCACGAATGCCTGTGTTGACTCTTTCTGGGAAACTTGGGTAATGCTCATAAATCGAACCTTCAACACCTAAGAAATAAGAAGAAGAAGAAGATAATATACATACAGATATTTAGTCATTAAATTTCCTATATATATATATATATTATTGTATTAAAATAATAGCACTTACTAACTGATAAGCCAGTCTCCAAAACATTTCTCTTATCAATCACAGCGCTCATGGCAGCAGCTGTCAGACGTGCGGCACGCTGGCCTACTAATCCACAGAACCTCTTGACCATCTGACGATCCACAAGGGTGGTGGTGGGTATATTAAGAATCGTCTCAAGAATGTGCTTTGTGTCCTCGAGATCTTCGCTAGAATCCATCTCAATGGCGCTCATATAGGACACCTCAAAGAAATATGGCGTGTTCAACTCTTTGGTGTACTGTCCGTCAAAAATCAAACGACGGTCCAAAAAATCAACCATGATACAGCGCACGATTTCTCCGAGGTAAAGTCCAGAAATCATTTTCTCAAACAGATGGACACCAGGATTGATAGATTCACGGTTGACTGTGTTGTCATAAAAGGTGCGGGGCAGGTAATTGGGGTTGTCATCGCCAAAGGATCCCCACTCTGTGTCCATAATCACCTCATCATCTTCTTTGGCACCCTTGATGTCGTACTTGACTACCTTGACAGCCTTTTCCCAATAGGCTGCACATACACATACATACACATTTATCAGATAGATAAATAAAGTTTAGTATGCATGCTCGATTAGAAATCGTGTGTGAATAACTTTACCTGCATTGGTACCCGTACTGACAGTGCAAGCAAGAAGAGTATCCAGGCTGCGGTAATTGTGAGCCAAGAGACATCCGGCTGAATATATATATATATATATACATGATTTAAAAGTTAAATAAAAAACTCAAAGCACAGGCCACCAAATTCACACTCATATAAAAGTCTCTTATCTTACCGGTTCCATTCAGCACAGCCTTGACCACCACAGGTGCTTTGAGTTTATTGAGACTGTTTTGCAAAAGAGCGGACAAGTTCTGATTGTCTGCACCAGTGATTTCAAAGTCCTTTGTCCATCTTCTTACAGATGCATGGTTGATAGCGGTCTGGTTCAGGGGGAATGAGATACTGAAACCCAGAGCGAGTGGTGCTGCCTCAACGCTTTGCTTCCCAACAAAAAGCAGGAACGAGTCAACACAGCGAGCCAGAAAATCGATAAGGGCTGTGATTGATCCCCTTTTTAGGTTTTCTGTGATACGATATTTCTGCTGACGGGTTGTGATTCTTCCTTTACCATGGAGGTGGACAAGGAATGTACGGGCATAAGAACCTAGAAAGGTAAATACAAAGAGCAATTACAAAACGTATTAGTGAGTAATTAAGTAAGTAACAAAGAAGATGTGAACAAGTTCTTTTTTTTTCATTTTCATTTTTATTTTCATTTTAATTTTAATTTTAAGTTTGATTTTGATTTTGATTTTGGTTTTGATTTTTGACTTTAATTTTAATTTTCTTTTAGGAAAAAGGTATGTATATCATTACCACTAAGTTCAAGAGCAAGATATTCGCCCTGTTCTTGGCCAGTTGGATGATGCTTGATGAATGAAGGCAACATTGGGACGGTTGCATTGTGTGTTTTGAGGCCTTCACGCATTTCTTCTACCAGATGACTTGACACCTTCTTGAGTTCTGCAGTTGGCAGTCTGAATTGCTGGTGAAGTTCCTCGAGGGCAGTACATTGAGCATCTGTACGGACAGACTGTTTGGTGAGGTTGGTAGATGACATGCTATAGAAAAGTAAAGAAAGTGGAAGAGAGAGAGGGAGAATGGAAAAGTGAGATGGATAGATAGAGAGATAGAGAGATAGAGAGAAGCTGAGATTACAAGATAGAATAATGGACCTTGAGCAACCAAGTAAGCAGGCAATCATGATATCACCACCAAAATGAGAACAGTAGGAGATCATATATTTCAGGCTCAGTTATGTTGTACATAAAAGCTAGTCATGACGAAGGGCCAAGGAAATTAGATCTACCACTGAGTTACTGTTTTTTTTTTCTTATTATTTTTTTTATGTTAAAAAATAAAACCCAAAAAAAACAGGTACCAAAATTGTGGACTCTGAAAGTCTTGCTTTTATTTTGGTTATTTTGGTTGGGACCAAGAGTGTAATAGCTTGTCATTGTGGTTTACAGATTACGGATTACGGATTACGGATCACAAAATTGGTACACAGAGAAAAAAAAAAGATATAATATTATTGTTGAGTGAATGATCTCTTTGGATTGATGATAATCTAGAGTCCTCTTATTTGCCAAAGGTTAAAAACCATTTCTTTCTTCTTTGGTTTCAAGATTGCTTAAAATGGTAGTTACAAACATTTCAACTATTGGGTGTAACTCTTGTGAGGCTCTATTTACCAGCTAGAGTGTTTATGGTCATTTTGATATCTAGAAAGCTAGATTCCAGGGATTACAACAACAAGAACAACAAGAGCTTTGTGAACACTTTCTCTTTATGATATTCAAATAAAAAGAGGCTATTCATTGTCCTTTCTTTAATTTATTGACCAATGTAATGTACATAATCTCGGCCTCAATAGGTGTCATACCTAAAAGCTCAATAAATCAGTACTCAAATAGATAAATTAGACTTTCTTCATTTGCACACCATTCAGATTGTTCCAGGCGTCCCAATTATAGCGGCCTTTGATATCAAGTGATGGCATTTCTATTGTTCAAGTATATACACACAGTTTGTTTTAATGAGTATCATTATGAACAAGATCTAAAACAAATAAAATCAATATTTTTTTCTTTGGTATCTACCAGTCTCATTGTCACCGATAGTAGCCTGTTGATATAACCCGTACAGATCCATAGAGTCAGCAGCAGAAGGTTTGTGAGTCAATTTCTCGAGTTCTTCAACAGCAGCTTTAAAGGCCTATAGAAAACATGTAAGAAAAATAAATAAATAATCTTGTACTTACATCACTAGTCATAGCAGATAAATATATATATGTAACAAAAAGGAAAACCGACTAAAGAAATGAATTGATCTTAATATAATAACATAAAGCGCTTTCAAAAAGAAAGAGAAAGAAACACCAAAATAAAAATAATAGTACTAATGCAAAGATTAGGTTGTTACACCTGTACAATAATCAATTAGACTAAGTCTGGAGCGGTAAAAACTTTTGTGAAAATACATCTTTTTTATATAAAAGGCCTAAACCCATGTATACCAGTACTATGCTTTATTTTATTATTAAAGAAAATGAATAAATAAAATAATAAGCAAGGATACTTTGCTGTAAGCTACATGGCTTTTTTTTCAATTTTATGATATATGGACATAATCAAACCAAAAAATCAAATGTCAACCAAGATCCACTGTGGAGAAATATTCCGGATTAGTCAGATTTGGAGTCTGTCATGCTAAAATATCCAATTTTGAAAGGCAGATATATATATATATATATAAAGACTTGTATACTGAATTGTGTACAGTCTCTTGTAAAATTTTATTTATCCTTTTCTTTGCCACATTTCTTGTCTGATGGAAGACAAAGAGATTAGACCTTTCATAGTCCCAAGTTTCTCTCCAGAAAAAACACGGTGGCTTCAAGAGAGGCTAAAGACCTCAAACTACCCAAACGAACTTACCGAAGATGTAGGCTGGACACATGGTGCACCTCGTTGGGCAGTTGAGCCACTGGCAAAGATCTGGGCGCATGGATTTGATTGGGAAATTCCGAGAGCTAAAATGAATAGCTGGAGGCACTACCACACAACAATAGATGATATCAATCTACATTTTGTGCATGAGCCCTCAAGTCACAAAGATGCCATTCCTATCTTGCTCTTACATGGTTGGCCTTCTACATTCTATGAATTTCACAAGATAATTGAGCCCTTACGAGATGGGGTTAATGGAGGTCAGGTAAGACTTCAAGATAGGAGGCTTTTGTTATTATTTTCTGTACTAGTTTAATGTAAGCTTAAATAAGAATCATAACAAATCTACCAGGCTTTTCATGTGGTTGTACCAAGTCTACCTGGATACGGATTCTCAGAGCCACCTAAAAAATCCGGGTACGGTGTGGTCAGAATGGCATCAATAATCAACACCTTAATGTTACGGCTTGGATACAATAAGTATAGCAAGTATCATAAGCCTATAAGCACTTGGTTTATTCTTTGATATTTTGCTTGCTAAAAAAAACAAAAAACAAAATCGAACATTTTTTTATAGTGTTACAAGGAGGGGATTGGGGTGGGATAATTGGAAAGTATGTTGCTTCCCACTACTCGGAAAACTGTAAAGCATTTCACACAGGTTTCCCCTATACATTACCGCCTTTACCCACACCGCGAAATATCTTGTTACATCCATTCAAGATCGTCAAGTTCTTTGCTAGTCTGATCGTAGGCTTTGACCGAATCTATGGAGAAGGAAGTACAATATTGGGCGGCGCAACTTTTGCCAACGCCGAACGAAACAATGACTGTGGATATAGATCAATTCAAGGCACCCGTCCTTACACGCTTGCTTATGGACTGAGCGACAGTCCACTAGGTTTGTTGGGATGGATGCTTGAAAAGTATCACAACTGGGCCTTTCATCCTGAAGAGAGAAAAGACGCGGATGCCTTACCTGATACTATCCATCCATACGAATTCCTGACTCAAGTATCCATATACCTTCTCACCAATACCATGTCATCCTCTATAAGAATATATTATGAGTGTCTCCAACAAAACGAAATGATGAAAGTAATTGTCCCACGCGTAGAGGTTCCTGTGGCTGTTTGTGCATTTGCCCATGATATTGCAAGAGTAAGTCTGATTATTATACATATCTACTCATTTTAAAACAATAATAATCGAGAATTTTATGGTTGACATTTTTCTTCAAAAACAAAAACAGCTCCCTGAAGATTGGTTAAAGGCTGCTACCAACCTACATCAGTACAGCAAATTTGTATCGGTAAGTGGCTTATCCATTACCTGTGGACACCATATGTATCTATATGTGTGTGTGTTTGCTTAGATGCCTAATTTAATTTATAGGGAGGACACTTCCCCGCTCTAGAAGAGGCTAAACTTTTGACACAAGATGTCCAACAATTTGGAAAGACATTGAGAAATCTTCCAATCTTTCCTAAAGAATAAAGTACCAACGATTCAAAAAGCTAGATAATATAGCGTTAAATTTAATAATAATATCAATAAAAGGTCAAAGCATAGTAATGGTATTAACACATTTCTTTTTCTATGTAAAGTAAAATGATCTATGCATAGTTAATATTCATTTGCCTTTGAATGTTTTTCCTAAAGATGATCTTTATGCTTATTCTAAGTAAAGCATTTTTTTAGGTTTAGTTTTGTTAGATAAACGAACTTTACGACTCAAATTAGAACCGTTTTTGCATTTTTTCAAAGGTAAGATCAACGTCTTTGAAGATCTATTAGTATATCACAACTTTTGTCCAAAATGAATATCTCGAGTTTTTGTACAAGGAAGTAAAAAACTTTAGTGGGAGCCATACACAGGCTGTAAAAATCCCATCATCATAATCATCTCTTGCTCGCTCAATAAATAAAGAGCAGAAAAAAAAAGAAAGGAATCAAGTAAAGAGCTTATTATAAAACCTAGCTCGATGAGACATATTTCTATTCACAAACAGAGATATTCTCTACTCAGATACTAAATGATATCAGCATAATAATCTCGAGTTTGAGACTCTTACTACCTCAACAGGTTAATAAAAAAAAGGGCTTGTCTTTGCTTTTTTCCAAAGTAAATTCTGGTATATGTATACCACATAAACCAGTCTTATTATTTTCTATTTGGACCGGGCGTGTATAGATACACATTAGATGTAGTATAAATGACAAGAAAGAAAAAGAAATTGAATTTGATGTTCAACAATCATAACTTTGGAATTACAAAAGATTTTAATAATATAGTATATGGAAAACTAATATTGATATTTAATACTATCTTATTGCTGTTGTAGCCATTTTTGCTATTGTTATAGGATCTATTAAAATATTGCCATTATTATGGTACCTAATGTTGGCGTAGAGAATTTGCTACATACAGCTATAGTATCTGCGTAGAGGAGCAAGGAAAGTAGCTCGCTTCAGAGTAACAATAAAGTGGTTCTAAAGGCTATCTGTGTTTAATATTATATTATGCATTATATATATATATATCAAATCCTGATATTCTTTTTTTTTCAGAGGTGTAAATATAAGGAAATGATATTGTAGCTAATGTACAAAAATATTTTACATGTGCTTGGTTTACAAGAGAAAGTCTCTTTTATCAAATATGTGTGTAGTTTTCTCTTCTGGGAGACAAAGCCTACAATTGTTTTTATTCATTTAGAAATGTATGATTTATGCATTGGGGTAAGCCTTGGTGGAAATTTAATACATGAAATATGATCTAATGACAAGACGGTTTCACCCAAGAAAAAAAAACTATCCCAAAAAGAAGCCGAACTACTTTGTAAGGCTTGAAGCTCCGTGTAAAATACAATGACATAAAGACTTGCAACTTCTCCAGGACTTTATCTTTTCTGCTGCATATGATTGGAACAGACATTTTTCCAAAAAATAATTATATATTTATTGGCCCACTGATTTTTTTTATGGATTAGCTTTAATAAGATATTGTACCAAAAGGACTTCAATACCCTTTAACAAGAAACAGGTGGCTTGATGCTGTATAGAAGTGCAAGGCAATGGTAAAATAAAACTAGAAATATAATAATGTCAACAATAAGAGCTTGAGATAAAATTTGAGACTGACGGACTTTGGAGTCGTCAAATCTCATTTTGTGGACCCAGGGAAATGGGTGTGGCGAGTGCTTACAAGAAAGGAAACCATGAGTAACAGGATGCATGAAATGCTAAATTAATTGGACAATGATTGGTATTGGATTGTGGCTGATAGATTCAAACAAGATCAATAATCAATACATCATAACGGATTTTATATGTGAGGTTAATTTTAGAAAAAAAAAGAAAAAAAAAAAAGAAACTCCAATTATGCATACTCTATACTTTATTTTTATTTTTGCTACCAAAAACACTGCATACAACCAGCCTTCAAAAGAATACATACTAAAGAATAGCACTATAGAATCACTGGTTTCCTACAGATTTTTTTGTGTGCTATATATATACATATATCTATATATGTGTGTGTATGTGAGATTGTACTTGTATATATATTTTGAGAAAAGAAATTCATATTTAAATAGACATTCAGCCAGGTTGATTCTATTAGGAGCAACATAAGAAACAGCGAAATGAATGATTTCTTCAGGAGAATGTAATAGATACAGAAACCTCTTTAGTATACAAATCCAAAGGAAACAATTAAGCTAGAAAGAGAATTGAATGAAACCAAATATTTCTAAAGCTGTTGTGGGTATTGGCCTCTCTCTCTCTCTCTCCCTCTCCCTCTCTCTACACACACATACACACACACGCAAAAATGGCTGACTTTTTCTCTATAGTCTATCAACCAAAAAAGGGTTGTTACACGATGATGTATAGGGTTTCGAAATCCAAGAAGACTATAAATTGAGACAACCTACTTTAATCACTTGCTCTTCAACTCTTTTGCTATTATTTCCTTCACACATTTCATTCACTATCTCTCTCTCTCTCTCTCTATATATATATATATATATATATATACACGCACACACATATATAAATATATAACACATTGACCTTTGCTCAATTCGCTATCAAACTACACACTAAACGAAACTCTTGATCTACTTCATTACTGTAAGCTTTCAATCTCAGAACATCCCACAATTTTTTTTTCTTTTCTTCTAATCCTTATTATTCCTTCCAAAAACAAATAATACAAAGAATGTTTACCCACGAGGATTTAATGCCAGTCAAAGGCTGGAAAATGGTCATAGCTCCTTCCATTACCTTTCCTGGTGAGTACCTTTTTCTTTGCTTAGTTTCCTTAGATCCCTAAACTAATGAACTTTGTAATTCAGAGCCAACTCCAGTTCATTACGACAACTTAATGGTGAGTTAATTCCACAACTACATTCAGTCATAAGTACTTATTTCCATTTTTAGAAAGTCTCCTCATTACTGAAAGAAATTGGAAAAAAACATGAATGGTCAGAAGAGCAAATTGCCAATGACCTTGAAATCCTTCACAAGCATCGACTCTTTTATGTATGTCAACCAAAAAAATAAAATAAAATATATAGAATTACTAGTGATAGTAGATCAATTATGTATATAATATATTTTTTTTCTTGTATTGAATTATAATGATTAATATTACTATTTCCGTAGACAAGAGATCTGAGAGCCCTTTCCGATCACAGCTGGGAGGTAAAGTAGTCTAATAATCAACGGAAATAGAAATCTATTAATATTAATATTCTATTTTGTTTTGTTTTTAGACTATTGAACTTCTTCCAATTGTACGTGACATATTGAGAACTAGCGTTGATCCCAACTGGAAAGAAAGTAAGCATGATATTCTCTTGTATATGGCTTTGTTAATATACATCTTATTTAATTGATTGATTTATTAATTGTCATGACAATGATTGTAATTGGTTAATCAAGATCAAGACCCAGAAGCTAAAGAGAAAAGAGAACAAGAGAGAAGGGAGAAAAAGGAGAGGAAAAAGGAGAAGAAAAGAGAGAAAAAGGAAAGAGAAGAGCAAGAGAGAGAACAAGAAGAATATAGGTATCAGAGCTTTGGGCAAAGTGTCCATCCATTTGACATGACTAGTTTACGTGCCCAATATGGATTCGACTACTACAACAGGAAACCTCAAATTCCTGTTGTTTCACGTGAGGAGCTAGGACTTGACGCAGAGACTATCCGCAATACTGTTCGCAACGAATCAATAGAGATCGATCCTTCTGAACTTGAGAAGGTTCTCACCAGTTCATCAGACGATAGCAAGAGAAGAAAATCCGTGACTTTCCCAGATGATCTTGATCTACTCTTGGAGGCCCATAAGGAAGAAAGAAGAAAGGAAAAAAAGAAGCGGGCCAAGAAAGAGCTCAAGAAGTCAAGAAAAGAAGCATGCAGAAGAGCGACAATAGAAACGGTCAAAAGGCTTGAAAGAGCAGAGAGGGAACGTCAAGAGCAGGAGGAAAAGGAGGCCAAAAAGAAAAACGAATCGTGCACACCAACACCAGAAAATGATTTGGTCCCAGTCAAAAGTCAAACAAGTCAACTTGTCCCTGCGAATTAAATATATATATATATATATTATGTACATAAATCCTTTTCTTCTTTTTTATTTTATCAATTAAAACTCTATATACAAAAATATGGTTATCACAAAACACATGTGGTCTTTGTGAAGAAGCTTGAAATTACATGCACAAATATATAATCTACATGTATTTTGTACATCTTGGTGCAACCAAAGAAATCTACTGTCCTTACCTGAGTCTATCAAAGAGTCGAGACGAACTTAAACATATGTAGTAGAGATACATATTGCCCATGTGATTATGAAAGGAATTCGTATGCATCACATTCGAAGCCAAGAATCTTGAGCGAATAAAAAACATTCGTCTATAGAGAGGTCCGAAATCAGCTCTCTCGAGAATCTAGAGTCTTGATATATATTAGATAGTGTCGTTAAATGTTCTGAACTTGCTAGAAAGATGAAATTTACAAGCTGCTATATTTGACAATTGACAGCTGAAACAGACCCAAAGTTGACTTTTTCAGAACCATGATTTTCTCAAAATTTGGAAAATTTATCCAACTTTCAACTCGCAAGAGTTATGCTATTTTTTCTTATTGAATAAGATAAAGCTCATAGAAAATACATGTATGTATGTGTTCTCTATTCTGTGTATAATTTATAGCTTCTTTGAATAGCTTTTATGGAGATACAGCCTATTTATTCAATGCATAATGGAGGAAAAATGAACAGAAAATTCCAGGAAAATTATAAGAGACATGATTTGTCCTTATTTCTTTTTTTGGGAGCAATAGATTAGAACTTTTAATGACACTATCTACTATCTAATGGAGTCAATTTTTAAGGTCAGAAACCTTACATGTAATGTTAGATTATAAATCGATATATTCTTTTCGAATTGTTGTCTTCCCTCTCACATCCTTTGTTAAAACGAACAATGGCCTATAGAAATGAGCAAAGAAATTTTCACAAATTATGCTCACTATTTATCTGAAAATATTGAAATTATTAAATTCATATTTTAATGAATCTATAGAGAGCGAATGTTCAACAAGATAAGTTTTAAAAAAAAAGAATATAAATAAAACCATTATTGAAGAACTGGCAACTTTAGATAGTCAAAAAGCTAAATTGTTCCTTTATAATGTGACCACAATTTGGCAATCTGTCTTTAACTGGTATTCAATCTCCGATGTGGTCAAACTACATTATATATAATGTTTTCAACAACGTAATCGCTACAGATGCTCTTACACACCAGGCACACGTACACTACATACTCATACATTATAAACCAACCATCACACAACAGGGATTTTAATAATAACAGATATAAACAATACTATCCTGTCTCCTTAATAAACAACACTTTTACAGTATCTACTTTTCCCACTATTGAGATACTAACCCATAAATCAATCCCGAATACCTCAATTACCATCATCACCATATGCAACCCAATATTATCACAAGATCTTTTGGAGGAACTCCAAAACGACAAGATTGAGCACGCCACCCTATCCGCATTAAAACAATTTCCCATCGTCCACTCCCTATCGATTGATTCAATTGAGCAACGCTTAGAATGCTTGCCATCATGGCTTTGGACGTATCCAATCAGCGGTACAACATCAGCCTTGGAGATAAATCTCATCTAAACTATTCGGTTAATCTTAACAGATTTTGTGAATACTTGCACCAAACCCCAGACGGCCTCATTCTGTGAGGTCAGCGAACGAATATTCCTAATCAACCATGCTGTCCTAATTTTCAAATCACTTGGCAATCAGACAAACAGGCTCTGTCTTAATTGGTGCAAATCACAACTGCAGCAGCAGACATATCAAGCGCGCGTAATGATTAATATTGGTCAAATAGACGAAATGGCTTTGCGTTTTGTGAATGGGTTTGGATTTGACAAGAACGGCAATGAACGTCTTATTCTGGAAGTATCAGGCGGGCATGCAGCCAATGATCAAAAACATGCCTGCGATGTCACAAGATTGTTCACAGTTTGATGTGCATTCTGAAACGTGATGCTCAAGCCAACTTCAACACCAGTATTGCCAGCTATCAGCGAATTAAAACGTTTGGAATTTAATGAAAAACACGGTGATTCTTTATGAAATGTATCTGGGCGACGACTTGAAATACAAGTACAAGGAAGTCATGACGGCTGCAACCCATTAAAGATAACGAAAGGATCAAATAGCTTCCGGTAATTAATCTATTAGCATACTTAATGATGCAATTGGATACACAATTCGAATGTATCAATAGATTACAAGTGGAGCACAATGAAAGGATACAGGTAGAACCTATGGACACCATTAAACTAGCACCTTTTAAATAAAGAACAATGGGTGAACATTATGACTTGAGTTTGAGAGTGAATTAAAGGAGGCGATTGAAGTGACTTTTCACTTTTTATGTTTTGATGAAATGATTAGTGAGAGTGAGAGCGAGTAAGAGTGAGTAAGAGGGTAACAAAGAACATTTTTAAAATTTTGAAAGGCAAAATTTGAAGTGTGTTCTCCAGCGTACTCTGTTAGGACAGTTATACTTTTATATTTAGTATGTTTTGTTATTTTCTTATTTATACTTATTCATATCAGTTTATTATAATCACTGTCAATATATGATAACTTATCTACATATGATTAAGAATGTCCCCCACAAAAGATCAATAAGTATTGTATCGATAGCTTGGAAGAACATGTCTTGAGAAGCAATCGTTTTCTATAATAAAGACAATCAATGTCATATATATATATATATTAAATATAGTATTATAGTAGAAAATTGGACAAATACAATCAAAATAATTTCTTTACATTTCTTTTTAAAATTAAAATTAAAAACACAAACACACATCTTTAACTCTTCTTCTTCTTTTTACTGCGCTCTGAGAGGTACATTGACAAGAAGTCTCCTTGTTGGCCAATCTTTTTTGTTGGACCAGGCTTGGCTTCTACCGCTGCTTGTGCCTTCTTTGCCTTCTTGGGTGCTGGTCTCTGTGTTCTCGATTCTTCTTCATCTTCACTCTCTTCTTTTCTCTTGGCATATTGATCTTTAGCACCCGAACGTCGGTTCTGGTTCAATATCTTATTTCTCAATTGAATTTCTTCTTTAGAGCCTGTGGTTGGAGTTGGCGTGTGTCGCATAGCATCTGCATGAGACAAGAATTTTGCACCTAACCCGAGTCTTGTTGTTCGATTGTTAGTATATATATACAAAGAAAAGAAAAAACAGCCTTACAGCGTTTGTACTGTTACCTGTCAGGTCTACCTGTTGTATAAAGTGTGAATGAATCATCATCGTCTTCTAGCTTTTCTCCTTCTTTAGGTGCAGGCAACCAGGAATGAACTACAGAACGAGCGATTCCAATAGAGGCATCAATCTGAGTCTTGAGGATCTCATTCGCATGTGTGTCAATGCGCTGTTTTGCTTCTTGTTTCCCCATTAGAAGATAAATAATGAGAATATTAGACTAAAGGCAAAGTCATGCAAATTAGGATATGTGGCTTGTCTAAAATTCTCAAGCTGAACCCTCCCCTTCACACCCTCCAAAGAGGTACAAAATGATCTTTGACATTAATATAGCTCCTTCCTAATTCTTTACAGTCATAAAACAACACATTTATTAAGCAATATGATTATATATCTCAAATAAAGTTTTTTCTTTATAAAAAAAAGAGGGAAGGGAGATCTATTGCTTGAGCGCTTTTGCATGATGAATAATATGATCTGCAATAAAGGTTGAGATGAAGAAGTAGCTGTGGTCATAACCTGGCTGATATCTGATAGTCCATTCACTACTCTTTCCAAGGGATCCAACAGTATCCTTCAAAGTATCGATATTAAGCTGATTCTCCAGGAAGTTATCACTCGTTCCCTACAAACAGTTTACATATTAGTATACATAGATACATACATATACGTTTGGTGTATTTTTTTTACGTTGACTTACCACATCTACTAATGCGTTCACCTTTCCGTTAAACTTCTTTAATAATTCAACGGTGTCATACTCCTTCCAGGTTTCCTGGTTTTTTCCTAGGTAACCAGTGAATGCCTTTTGACCCCACTGACAGTTTATGGGGTTTGCAATTGGGGAAAATGCCGAGACAGACTACAAGACGCGATGGCGAAGTTAACATTGCATAATACACCGCATCTTATTTTTTTTTGGTTTTCAAATTACCTGGTAGTTAGCAGAGTTCTTCAAGAAGATAGTCAATGCACCATGTCCACCCTATATAACAATTAACCGTAAGTCTACCACACATACTGAGCCTAGTTAGAATATGTATTCTTTTTTAGTTACCATTGAATGTCCCATGATCGATACTTTGGAGCCATCCTGTAAAAGTAGAATAAGTATTATGTGCCAGCCAGAAAAAAGATATTCTTACAATTGGAAGACTCTTATTGATAAGAGCAGGGAGCTCATGTACTACATACGAATACATTCGATAATGCTTTGCCCAGGAAGGCTCAGTGGCATCAACATAGAACCCAGCACCTTTTATTTGAGTTAGTTATATTATATCCCTCTTCTGTTGTTGCTGTTGTTGTTGTCTTGCATTTACCAGTGCCAAAGTCCCACGAATCACTATCACCTTGGATAGATACACCACCTGTAAAGAATATAAGAATCTACTCATCACCCCAATTCAATTTTTCATACGAGGAGAAGTATCGGGGGCAATAAGAGCAATGCCATGCTTAGCTGCCTCTACTAATGCGCCACTCTTTTGGATAAAATTGTCTTCATTGCATGTCAGACCAGATAGGAAATAAATAGCTGGGACGGGTGCACTATCGGCCTCTTTGGGAAGGTAGACATTGAACTTGATGTCGCAATCAAGTTCATTAGAATGATGCTCATACTTGATGACTTGTCCACCAAAAGCCTTGTTGCGCGAGATTTCCTTGAGTGACATCATAAAAGATAGAGAGAAAAGAGTATGTGTTTTTATAAAACTAAAGTATATGAACGCGCTCTTTTAGGTGACTGAACCGACAAACAAACCAATCAGATAAGAATGATTACAAAGTCTTTTTTTTATATATATCCCATTCAATCTTTATTTAACGATGACCCTAATACATATAAATATAATATTATTGAGTTTTGGCATATTTAGGATTACGAGCCTGATGGAAAACCCATAGGCCCACAAATATGGAGACAATGACGCTTGACCCCATTGCATACTGCATGATATGACTTTGGGCTGGAGCCAAAGGTTTTACAAGAGTTGTCAAATGGGATCCCAGCCATACTTTGGGTAGTACTTTTAAAGATCCTATAATAGCGGCAAGAGAATAGGAACCGAATGCAGTATTTGAAGCCTTTGATAGCAAAATATTGGATACTGAGCATGGAAGAAAACTCCATCGTATCATAAGAGACATCTAAGTGACAATTAGAAGTATCGTTAGGATCAACTCATAGCCGACATTGTTAGGGGAGAACTTAACTTACCAAAAGACCACTTTTATCGATAATATCTTGAAGGTTACTATATATTTGCTGGTTTTTACTGGATAGCTTTAATCTTTTCTCAATATTTATCTTGCGGGCCAAGCTGATATCTTTTAAGAATTAATATTTCGTACGCAAGGAAGCTCTTATGATGATTTACCAAAAACAAACAACAGAACCCAAGAATGATCCAGAAATTGCAAAGAGTGCACCTCGGTAGAATCCATACATGGACCCAGCTATTATTGTCAACATAGTAAAACTTGCAATAGGAAAAACAGATAATACAGTAAATGCGAATAGAGTAATAGGTGGACCCATACTAGAATGTTGTAGATAGGCTGCCGTTACTTCAATCCCTAAAAAACAACAACAACAACAGAGTATTATAGTCAGATAATTATCATTAAAAAAAGTGTAGTTATTACATTTAAGAATTTTGTCACCGTTTTCGTGAAAAATACATTTATAAACGATAAATAGGACACTTGATACCAATGCAAACTTAGTGATCATCTTGTATCAAAAAAGTAATAGTGAAAGAGTAAAGAGCTATTATCAATTTAAAAAGCATTTAACAAAGTTGGAGAATACTCACAACCACACTTATGAATGTTGCCAAAGTGTAAGGAGCACATAGTCTTTTTTTTATTGGTTTGATTCCTATCATTAAATTCGAAAACATGACAATATTGATAGGAAATATTGAGTATATATGATTATGTACACACACACACACACATATATATATATACTTGAATATAAAAAGCCTGTCGACAGTTTCTTGTCCAAGTCCTGTTGGGAAATATGTTAATGTTGCCATTGGTTCTTTAAAGACTATATATAGTTCAATCCAAGTCAAACCTAGTGATTTTGGGACCAATTAATTATAAAAGATTGTCTTCTTTATTATTGCTTAAAATTCAAAATGATCCGTGCATTCTATTTAATTCTGATACAGAATATTGTACTTTAGCTTCGTAAAGAAAAACAAAAGACAGAAGAGTCTATCTAATGCACTACCCTATTGACTAGAAATTGGGTTGATGCCATTTTATTCTCAAATCAACAAAGACATATATTTGTACCCAAGTTATATAACTCATCATATAGTGTAAAGCTTTATTTAATAATTCCATATAATACTATCGAATTGCATACAGTTAACTTTTTTTTGAGCGTGGCCCAAACTTTGCCAGATCAGATTTCTTTACCGGCAACAACTTGCTATACAAAGCATAGACAGATACGTGCAAGAAGCCTGTTCTTTTTATCAATATAATTGATATTATATTACAAGTCCCAGATTGTCTTGGTTGGTATGCGTACATGCATTTGTACTTGTACGTTTGTATTTGTGTATTTGTGCGTTTGTGCGTTTAGATCTTTTTCTTGCGATCCCCGGATCGTTTCCGATACTTAATCACTTGTTCCAAGGCACGCTTTCCGTCACAGTTAGGGAATGAACTAAGATCTGTATAGTAATCAGAAGTGCCTTCGAATAGCCAGTCTACATTGACTTCGACACAAGTACGAATATATGTGCGCGAGGTGAGAACAATTTCGTCATACAAAATCCACTCGGGTTTAGACTTTATAGACGATGAAGGATGCAATACTACAGGTTGGTTATCTTTGAGTGTAGCATAGTGACCAGAGGGTTCACGGTGAGCGACCTGCATAAAATATCCACTGCAAATAGCTTTGCGGATAATTGTGGAATAAAAGCGATTGTTGCCCATGACAGAGGTAATAGCGAGTCCCTTCTTCTCCATTACACGAAGCAATTGCTTCCGAACATTCACAGCAGATTTCATGGATCGTTCATTTATAAAGTTCTTTCGGCACCATTGGGGATTGCGCTCATCTAAGATGGTTTACGAGTTATTATCTTCCTTAATTTCTAGTAATTAATAGTGTCATTTTTTTTCTAGATCTTACTCTTCTTGTACTCTAGAAATGCGTTGAGTAAAGTTAAATGATCGCCATCTTGGTGTACAAATTTGGCTTTTGCAGCATCTGCAGGCTTCTCAGCACCTCTTGGACGTACAAATATCGGTGGTACTTTATATATATAATTAAAATTATAAGTAACTTATTACACGATATACATTTGATTCATAAAAAACACAATATTCTTACCAGAGATAAGTGCGGTGATGGTCAGGATTTCATTGGAGCACTTGTGGTTTGGACTTTCGATTAGCATTTTGGATAGCTGAGGGTCTAAAGGAAATGCTGCCATAAGTCGACCAGTTTTGGTCATTGAGGTATCGTCTTCGAGTGCACCAAGGTAATTGAGTAGCTCAAGAGCGCGCATCAGTGTTTCGGGTGCTGGGGGATCCATAAAATCAAAACGAACCAAGTCATTGATTCCCAGCTGTTTGAGTTGCAAAACTACATTTCCTAGATTACTGCGCATAATTTCTGGGTAAGTTTGCTCTAAAAGTTCTTCATCAAATGCGGTTTCGGTATATAGACGATACGCCTTTCCGGGGCGGGTACGACCAGCACGTCCTGCTCGCTGCTGTGCAGATGCTTTTGAGATAGGAGACACCAACAAGGACTCGATACGGATACGTGGATTGTAAACCTTTTGCTTCGATAATCCAGGATCGATCACATAAACAATACCATCAATTGTCAATGATGTCTCTGCAATGTTGGTAGACACCACGATCTTACGCCCAGGAGGTCCTCCAGGACGACCTACAGGTGCCGCTGCAAAAATCTTTTGTTGCGCCACGGGAGAAAGAGTTGAATACAATGGCACCACCATCAATGGTCCACATTTATTTTGGCGCATGAGATCCTCTCCTTCCCATTTGATTTCTCTGCAAGCCGTTTCGATCTCTTCTTCTCCAGTCAAAAACACAAGGATATCTCCCTCAGGCTCATTTGAATGGATCTGTAGTACGGTACGAATGGCAGCCTCGACATAGTCTTTTTCGGCCTCTGATGTATAAAACACCTCTACAGGGAATGTACGACCCGGGACATTCTAGTAAATTATATATCCAAGTACACATAAGTTATACTCAAAAAAACCCGTATATATAAAATAAATGAGACAAAAGTATTTACTTACAAGAAGTGGCGCATCATTAAAATATTTTTGGAATTTTCCTGCGTCAAGCGTGGCTGACATAATAATGACTTGTAGGTCCTTTCGTGTTTTACAAATCTAATATAGCAATAAATGGTTAGTTAATTAGTAACAAAGGTTCTATTGTTCTCTCTCTCTCTCTTTATGATTTTCATTGAAATTGGATTATGGTCTGGTTCTTTTGACGGTTTAGTATATCCTTACTTCTTTGAGCAATCCCATAAGGATATCAGTGCTAAGGGTACGTTCGTGTGCTTCATCGAGAACAATTGCCGAGTATCTAGAGAGGGTGTGATCCGACATTGCTTCGCGCAATAGCATACCGTCCGTCATATATTTTAAGAATGTCTTTGGGGATGTAAAGTCTTCGAATCGAATATTGTATCCAACTTCTTGTCCAAGCACAACATCCATCTCATCGGCCACACGTTGAGCAACGGACATGGCCGCAACACGACGTGGTTGAGTACATGCGATCTGCTTTCCTTTGAGATGGGAAAGCTCATTATAAACCAAATATTGTGGAATCCTATATATATATATATATTTAAAAAAAGAAAAGAAAAATAAATCGATTAGTATTTGTTCTAATCAAAGCTTTTCAATTGGAATCGTTCAAATCTATACTTACTGAGTAGTCTTTCCAGATCCAGTCTCACCAACCAGAACAACAAATTGACTGGACTGAATTAAGGAAAGAAAGTTTTCTCGTTGATCATGGACCGGAAGTTTTCGTCTGCCCTGGAGAATAGTCTTGTACTTTTTCGAGAATGGTTTATTGGTAAATGGGTTGACTTCGCCATCTTCTAACTTTTCAGCCTGTGCACTGGTAGTTTTGCGAGGGATCATCCCCTCAAAGAAATCAGGTTGATTGAGAGCATCTATGGTATTATTTTTGACATCCATGTTTGGAATGAGGAAATTGTGAGATCTAAAAAAAACCGTTACTTTAAAAGTTGGGTTTACTTTATATTTTTCTATAAAACATTTTTTTTTAAAATTTCTATTTTGGGACTTCAAATTGTCTTTTTTTTTTACTCTATAAAAAAGCTAACTTCTTTACTATTGGAAGAAGAAGTACGGATAGCTAACAAGTAGCAAACAATATAATTGTACATTCTATATAACTAGCTTAGTGGCTGTAGATACTCTTACTTTCTTGCTTTATTCAACTACAAACGTGTCTATATAGCTATTGCTTTAAATATAAAGAAAAAGTCAAAATGACTGCTGCGGCTGTTTTAAAAAGACTTTATGCGAATAAAAGATTGGCAGATATATACACATTTGAACGGACTATGGGACTCCGTTACGTTATCAGGATTTATTTTACATATTGCCAATGTTTTTAGCCTTGACTGAATTTTAAAAAAGATAAGAAGCTTAAACATATTACAATTGCTTTGTTGAGTACTGGAGAGTTATATTTACTCAGTAACCGCAGTAATCAGCTACTCGATTAGAGCCTTATCAATGAATGTCGTGCAAACAATTTATTCCGCAGAAACATAAGTGTAATGGTAAAGCTGCTGTGGTGTGTGGTCACAAACACAAATACAAAAAAAAATACCTGCCAAATGTCTAAGATCATAATTGAACTGTTTGTTTTATAAAAGTCATATTTCAATAGGCCTGATAGGTTCTGAAATCAAGGTTATATATGTAATACAGATCATACTCATGTTATTACAATGTCTACGTAAAACGAATGGCTATTAGCTTTATCATAGTGTGCTTCGTTTCCTCTCTTCTTTATCGACGAATTAATCCAAGTCGATAAGAGAATCAATAAATCAAAGAAGAAGGGCTCAAGATTTATTGAGTTCCCTCAGTTCATCCAAGAAATTAATATAATTAGAATGTAATAGAGCTGATGTTTCGAGTATATTGAAGTTCATTTGAGATGGTTTGTAAGTACTTGAGCTAATAATGATAATGGTACTTAAAAGTAATGATAGTATTCTCCAATACATGTTGCAAAACAAAACAAAACAACAAAAGTTATCCTAGTGGTACTTTGGATAAATTAGGTTTTAACTGGAGAGATGTAAATCAGTAACACCCTTAATAATCAAAAGTGTTTAGGAAACAAGGAGTCTGTGACATGCAAAGGAAATAATATACAGAATAAGCCTTGAAGTGAAACTCAGAAAAATATTTAATGATAACTAATGTAAAGGAAAGGAAAGAAAAGGCGATCTTTATTGTTAATATTAAAATACTGATGAGAGACAAAAGACAAAAGATTGAAATAAAGCGTTGCTGTAAGGAGAAATCAAGGTCAACCATGAATGCATGATTGTAATTTGGTATCCATATATCTTTATAATAATGAAAGGGAAAAAAATATTTAAAAATAATTAAAATATTAATAAAAGGAAAGCATGGTTGAACAACAGCCTTTGTAAAAGCTGAGGCTATAATATAATGTAATATAATATATACGTTTGTGTATGTTGTAATGGTCGTCATGTCCTTTTTTTTTATATATATAATCTATGGAAGGACAAGTCCAAACCAAAACAGATATTGAACTCCTATACAATTATGCCTGCCAACAGACCACAAAAGAAAGTAATATAAGAAAAGAAAGAAACTAAGGTAAGTTATTAAAAGTAATGGAAAGTGAAAAATAAGAAAGTCTAAATAAAAGATTGCAATGGTTCTAGGCGATACTTGACCTCGCGCATCTTACTACTAGGAGGATTCCATTTAGCAAGAGACTGACCTAGATTAAGTAACTCTTGGTGCAATTCAGGGTCACTTGTGATCCGGGCGTCGTCGCAAATACCACGCATAGCCCAAGGTAAATAGAATGGGTTCCATTGCATTTTGGCTTGAAATGGGTCGAGTTTGGGGTCCTGTTCAAGTAAATCGAGGGTATCATCACAACTACAATCAGCAGTAATTGTCTTTGGTCGAGCAAGTGATAACTTGCCAAATGGTTTGGTCTCAAACAGGTACCGGAGAGACATAGTATAAACATCGATCTCTTCATAAATTGTAGAATGACCTCCTTCTAGAGCATATATGTTTCCAGCCAGGACCTCACTCACATGGGTCAATAATCCATGGTCAGAAAGACCGGCGTTACGCAGTTTAAGTGCAAAACTAACTAGGTGGATAATGAAGTCATCGTCAGAATATATATGTCCATCGATGTATACAGATCGGAGAATGTTTGGATGAGTAGTGGCTGACATGATGGCTGAATAAAGGGGTACGACCTGATCTTGCATTGATCCCACCAGCACCATCTTAATCCCACTTTTCAATACGTGTTTTTGTGCCTCTCTAAATTTTTGGGATATACTACTGTTCGAATCCATAAATTCAAAAAGTTCTCTTGCTGGATCAGCCTCAAAGTACTAAGCCAAAAAACCAAAACAAAATAAAAAAAAATAGTCAGCAAATGAAGAGTATGACCACAAATGCCTCATAATTACTTTGACAATAAGACTCCCTTTGAGGGCCGGGAATGGCCCGTGACTTATACCTGCCATAGCCAATAAGCACACGGACTGACGATGAACATGAACGTGTCCACGCTCGAGTAATCTTTGAAGAAGCATGACCGAGACGGGCGTGCCTTGTGAGTGTGTGGCCCACAGGATCACATCCGCAGATGAGACAGCGTCAAGCCAGACTGAATTTGCCAGTAGACTACTATACAGCTTATTGACTCGGTCTTCAACTTTGCCTTCTCCTTCTAATGGCACACAAGTGATTGCACTGTCCGGCAGTTGCACATTGTGCTCAGCCTGAAAGTATAGTTTGGCTGCCGTGGACATCTGTTCGCAAAACCTTGTTGATGTCCCTGTAGGTTCTCCAACCATACTACGCACCAACTACCATTTTTTTAATAAAGAAGAAGAAGAAATATACGTTGTACTTTAGGGCACAATAAATAAATGTCTACCCAAAAAAAACAATTCTCTGATTCTGTTGCTGCTGCTGCTGCTTTATTGAATTTCTTTGTTCTTTCTTTGAATATATTAGTTACCTTCATGGGAAACCAGCCGTGAACACCAATAACAACTACTTTTTTGTCAATGACTCCAGTTGGGTCTGCTTTGAGCTCGGACATAAACTGCGAAAATCTTGCATGAACTCGTCGTCTCCACCCCTTTGGATCAATGTTTTCTGTGATCTTGGGACTAAAAAATGACTGGAAAGCATCCAATGTGGTGTGAAATAATGAAGGTGGTGGTGGTGGTGGCACCTCTGGAATAGGTAGAAACTGGGACTGGAACGATGGCAAAACAATATTCTTCTTCTTGGGCTTTGTACTGCTCTTTATGCTTGAGGCAAGGGATGCCGACGACCGCTTTTGTGAAAGGGACGGCAGATCGGATTCGACGGATTCGGAGAGTCCGAACCAGGACCAGGTCCTAGACCGAACGGATGTGATTGTAACGGTGTCAATGTCTTTTATACTTGAAGTCTTTATACTTGTTGCCTTTTTAACGCTTTCTACTGGGCTATTGGGGTGAATTGGTATAGGAAGTGTCTGGCTAGGTTTTAGAACGGGTGAATTAGAGCCCTCCTTGCTATCTTTGACACCTGTTTTGACTGTGGACGGAATATTCAGGGATGACGCTCGGTTCTTTTCTTGCTCACTCTGGCGATTGAGGAGGTCAACTACAGAGGGTGTTTCGGCAAGGGGCTCATCATGTATAGACATATTTCCACTCACTAAAACACTTGTGGGTAAAGAGGCTGCAATAGCCTTTGGTGTGGGGTGAGCTAGACGTTGGAGAAGTGAAGAATGGCTTTGGAGAGACCACGAACGTGTTGGCTGTGGTGCGGTTGGAGGTGGTGCGTGGGTGAGTTGGGTGAGAACAAGAGTGGCGTGTGCAGTGGGAGTTGGATGAGGATCGTCGTTGTGGACGGTAACAGAGGTAGATTTGACAACTGGTGTAGCTTTTGGGGTGATCATGGTTGATGAATTGTCATTCAGTGCATTATAAACTGCAGAGGGAAGAAACTGATCGAAACACCCTCAAGATGCAGAGTGGAAAATAAGACAGAACCGAATCCCAACTGAGGGAAAGGGCAAAAAGGCTTGTTTAGTTAAGTTCATGTGATCTCCTTTTGGAACTTCCTAGTATGGGACATTGTATAGACAGTGCGGTACCGTATTTTTTGCTACTGGTTTTGGTATAATAGTTTATATTACAAACTGCACCACTAACTAAACTAAATCATTGTGTTTTATATTTATATATTTATATATATTTGGTTCATTGGTTCAATGGTTCTTTGATTATTTGATTATTTGATTCATTCATTCATTCATTCATTCATTCATTCATTCTGTTTGTATGTATGTATGTATGTTTGTATGTCTGTCTGTCTGTCTGTCTGTCTGTCTGTCTGTCTGTCTGTCTGTCTGTCTGTCTGTTCGATTATCTTCCTCCGTCCATTCCTTTCCTTTTTTCCGTTTTCCTTATTCCATTACTCTCGAGTGTTACGATAGAGCGACTCTTGAGCAACTTGGATTTCATCAAGCTCAGGAGCTACTTCGGCCAAAAGATCATGAGCCTGCTTAAAGTATTGTACCTGAGCAGCCACCAGATCTGCCAGATGACGGAAGGGCTCGGGCTATATATATATGAAAGAAAAACAGTCAAGGTGATCAATTTTATCGTTTACTGAATGTCATCAATGCTTACGTTCTCAAGAGCAGCCTTCATAAGACTAGTGGCCTCTTCAACTGCTGCGACAAACAAATCTTCAGCCTGCTCAACCTCAAGACGGGCAGCATCAGATCTCTCGGGACGTGCGGCTCTGTAACGACCCTTGCAGGCATCCAAAGAAAGACGGACAGACTGAACCTTGCGTCTGGCCTTCAATGCTTGTTCAATAGATGTCTTGAGAGTAGTCTGGGTAGGCTGATTGAACTTTGTAACGATGGCCTGATCCATAGCCAGACGAGCGTTTCCAACCTGCTCCGACACATTAGCCAATTTGTCCAAAGCTACGCCAAGTGGCTCTTCTGGGCCAATAGCCAATGCTCCCTCTGCAGCTACTCTTCCAAGAGCATGCGACAATGTCTTTGGGTGCTGGGGCTCTGACTGGTGCTTGGCATCCATTACAGCACGTTCAGCAGGCGATACAGTTAATGTCTGAAGTTGGGCAGTAACACTGCTAGTAATTCCTATCAGAGATTCTTGGAGCTGGACTGGGTAGTCGTAGGAAGGGTTACTATGGGTACGCGTCACCTTGAGGAGGTTCATTTGCACGTTACGGAGTGCATCCACACGCTAATATGAATTTATTTTTGGTGTTGTTTGTTTTTAAGGTTGAGGTTGAGTAACAAGAAGCAAAAAAAAAAAAAAAAAAGATAAAAATATGCACGGTGACAACAAAATCATTATCACTATAAACATTTATATATACCTTCTCAAGATCCTTATATTCTTGAGGAAGCTCTGTTACATCCTCAGCTGTACCCAGCTTCTCTTGAGCATACTGTAAGTTTGATTAGTATGTGATGTAATGTTAGATGAGAGATTGCCAAGACTTACTTGGCGTACTTGGCCGAGACCCTTTCCAAATTTTTGAGCGAATGGGTTAAGTCTTGAGCTGAGATTAGCAAAGCCATCAAGAGCATTGTTCAAGACAAGATTAGGATTCAAATTGTTGATGGAATTTCCAGCATTTGGAGCCTGAGGCTCGGCATCGACGACTTTGATAGGGTTGGACATTTTGTTGTTGTATGGAAAGAATATGCGATTGGTGCCCAAACCCCCGCGCCCTACACACACACACACACAACACACACAACACACGTAATTCCCGAAATGGAAATTTGGCTGTGCTCATTCCAATCCCCATTTCATTCTTCCTTCCCGAAGGAGTGACGTAGTTGACCATAGTGTACTTTATTGAGACAACTAAGTTATTTATTTATTTACTTATTTATTTTGGCTTTTTAAAAGACAAGCCCTTTTAGGTTTCTCATTGAACAATCCTTTATTTTTATTTTTTAAAGAAGAAGAAAAGTCTTTCGAATCCACTGTATAAAATATTTGATTTCCCGAGAAAGAAGATTTGTCTCCCAGTTTTGTGGCCAATTTTCTTCAACGGGAAAAAAGGAACGGTAAAAACCAAACCGAGATAAACTATGATTCTCTTAGTGACACCACATATGTTTGACATATTTACCAAGGGGTAGATTTAAGAAAACTAAAACTAAAACATAAAACATAAAAAAAGACGTATACATATACATATACATGTACATACAAATACAAATACAAATACAAATACAAATACACATCAACATGTGTGGCTGATAAACACAACCCAAAGTACTTTTGGTTTTACACGAGCTTTTGAAGACTTTGTACCCAGTAAGAAGATTGGTGGATATGATTGTGTGTGTATTTCAATATTAAAGAATATATTGTCTGTAAGAGTCAAGCTGATAAATTAGAAACAAGCTTAATGTTTTATATAAATAATCAGCCATGAAATATTAAAAAATCTGGACCATGCTACAGCCATACAAATAATTTGTGTCGATCCCATAAGATTTACATTGTATTCCTTTTTGGCGGAAATACAGAATATACTAAGGGGGAAGAGAGGTAGGGGCGTATACACACACACATTTATATTTATATTTAATAATCCTTCTGCACATACTCAATAAGGTTCACGTTTTTCACTTTTCTATTGGTATATTTAAAGCTTACTACTCAACTCGTAGTAGTTATATTTAAGAATATAAACAGTATCAGCTTAAAAGAATGGAAGCTTTCTATAGACAACCTTAGTTCAAGTTTGACTACGGCAACAAGAATTAAGAGCTATATTGAATGGATAAGGTACTCTCTGATGAGAATAAGGATATTACTCATCTTTAGATTCTATACACAGATCATATTCAAAACTAAATAAAGGATTGAAACACTATTTTCTTTTTTCTTTTCTTTTTTAATTCTGTTCAACAAAATGAGCATTTTAAGCAATGTATATTCCATTAAAGTAATAAATTATACATGAACCCTCAAGAGTATGTTGAACTACTTTGAATGATTCTGTTTATTTAACAGTAGCAATAGTAACAATAGTATATGGTGTGTGTGCTAGACTCATACATGTTCTCAAAAGAAAAAAATAGGATGGTTCAAAACTGGGTATATTGCTAATGGAAATTTGGTGGATATATTAAAGAACACACCGAATTACAAATATAACAAAGGACTCTTTCTTTCATTAACCAAAGAAGGAGTGCTGTATTTTCTATATATCTGTTCCAACTTTGACCTCCTGTAAGTTTAGACATTTAATTAATTGGGGTTTCACCAGCTCTGGATTCTTGACTGTTGAATTTAGTGGTAGCTTAAGCACCATTCAATAATAATCAATATTGGAAAGAAAAAAAACAACTGTCGAGTACCATTAATGTCTCTTGGTTGATATGTTTTCTCTCATATACGTCAAAATTCATATGTACAATACGCTTGGTTAGAATACTCATAAATATAGTGCCCATACCCAAATTCCTTACAAGTAAGTTAGAATTCTCTATTCCGGTATTAAGATAGCTACGCAAACATAGATTAGCTATGATTTATTTTTGACTTTGCTTTTATATGAACTTTGCCATCAATTGTATATAAAGTACAAAAAATTGTAAATTTTGGTCAAGTCACGACACCTAGAGCATCGAACTATTTTTTTAGATGCCTGGATGCTCAGTTTTCATTACTTTAAGATTCGTCACAGCCAATCATTTTCCGAATTAAACTACCGCTACATTCAACAGTCAAGCATCCAGAGCTGGTGAAGCCTCCTTACACATGTAAAGCCCTTTGGATAGAAAATCTAATATATTATAAGCTAATGCTATAGTAGTACATTTATTATGAGAAAAGGATTGTTTTACAATCTGGACATATTTCACCTTATTTCTGAATCATTATTCTTTACATTTGAAAAGGTAATACGGGCAGTATTAATTTATATGATGAAGTGACCCAAACGGTTAAAAGAAAAAAGAGATTATATATCGGTTTTTCTTACCAGCTCCTTAGCCCAAATATTGGAAATTGGCAGCTTGTTCTTTCAAGAAAGATAAAAAGAAAATAAAAGTGCTGTCAAAAGATGGGTTTGATTGCTTTCATCTTTCGGTGTTTATATGGATATTATGATAATAAAGAAAAACAAGATAATCAGTAAGATATTGCTAAGTTATTACGAAGATGCTGGGGTAAACTATGCTTCTTTGGATAATTAATAATAAATAAGAGAGAAGTAGAAATAGCTAAATATTTCTGTGGTTGATTGTTACAATTTTTGTGCCTTTCAATTAATTTATTTACCAGCTATAAGAATTATGTTCTACTTTAGGCCACGACTTGAGCAATTTGTTTACATAATTGATACAAAGAAAGATTTAGAAAGATAGGATATGTTTGGGTCATATGGAAGTTCAAAGACACGCAATGAGCTAATGAAAATGAGATATCTTTTATTTATCGAAGCTCTCAATGAAGATAAAGATAGCAAATAGATCTACCAAGAAGATAATGCTCTCTGCCATGGTTTTATAGTAATAGTAAGGCGGCCAAGTAACCCAGATTTTAGCTCTATAGAGATCTCATAAAAATATTCCACCAAAAGAGTGAAAAAGAAAAAAAGAGTTTAATCTTCAAAAAACTTTTAAGGGGGTGGTGGTAATTACCTATACGGAATAAAGCAACACTCGGGTTGGTGTTTGTAATAGTAAGTGTATGTTAATGCCTGACTGCGTGACAATACCTGATTGCATGACAATGCCTAATTGAATGACAATGCTTAATTGCATATATGAGATGAAGAGAGTTAATGGAGGATCATCAAACTATTGATTTTTTTTAAAAGAAAAACTATACCTTTGGAGTTATATGTTTTCATGGATGAGTTGTCAAGTGTAATAAGATCGGCTAAGCCAAGATAGCTAAAGAAGTTGTATTATTGATATATTAGAACTTAATAAGTATAATGACCATTGTTGATACGAGTCTATATATATATACATACCTTGGTTGTAAGAAAAAATAAAAAAAAATTCTAACAGATCTCAGTACTGAATATTGTATTACAATATTCATTTATCTGTTTTTCAAGTGTATCCGATTTATCCCAAAAAGTAAAAAAACAAAGATTTTTTTGTCAAGACCTGCGCTTGAAGGCCGATCCACTCAAGTTTACACCCAAGCTTCTCAACAACCCTCATTCCTGCCTACTCGGCATGGCATCAAATTTACCATGACGGCAAAGTATCGGTGAAATGCTTTAATGCCAAACTGCTCGGGACAGGTGTCTGAGACACCCAAGTGAACAGCATAGCATTTACTTAGGCACCTTAACTTTGCTTCGGGTTCGTCCCTCATGTCCAGTTCTGTTTACCAGAGCGTGGGTTACAAGTATCAAAGTCTAAGCAATGAGGGACTTGAAAAGCACAGGGATCATTTCAACAGGAAGCAGTAAAATACAGGCGATTGTACTGGGTAATCTGTCGATTCTGCTGGAATCTACCTGTATTACCTCACGTCCAGGTGCTCAACGAATTTAAAAAACTCTACGCATCCAGGTGATACACCCTTATACTTGCACCTTTATGTGACAATCTTGACATGCCCCAAAGGACAAAATCTGGAGAGCCAATATCCAACGTCCTAAGAAAATAGCATAAAGCTACCTCTGCGTTCCTCAGTCTTCTCCATGTTATGTGCCGCACAACACAGAAAAAACTGACGTGGATTTCATCCGGCTTTCGCCTTCATATGAGTGGCTCAGGAAGGTCTTTAACGTCCAGTATGCTCTACACTAAGAGCTACTTTCCCTTACGGTACTTGTGTTCAGTTGGTTTTTTATAAGTATATTTAGCCTTCGATGAAACTTTTCACCAGGATTAGGGAGTTTGTAAAACAACCCGACTCATCGGAAGCTACTTAACACAAAGACAAGAACTCAAGACAAGGTGAGGGGATTGCACCCTCCAGTAACCTTTTCCAGGGAGTGAAGGCTACTGACTTGTTGGTATGTCTGGAAAAGCAGTTCACTAGTTCACAATCCGGAGCAGTCAAAAGACTACTCCGGTTCAAACATTGGAGCTTCTCCATCTCAAACAATAAAGTCCAAGACGGAATCCCTTTTGGTTTCTTTTCCACTGCAGTAAATGCAGGTAGAATCGCTCAAAGTACGGACCAATTTTAGGCCATGGTACCTTGAGCGAACTCAATGACTAGACGCCAAAGAGTGCAGTGCGTTCAATAAAAAAACCAGAATCTCATATTAAGACAAGCCTTATAAATAAGGCGTCTACAATGAGCGAGTTGGAAAAGAGCCCGGAGACTCACTGTTAAAGACCATGATATACACATTTTGCATGAAAATGTTTACGTATATTCCTTTTGATATATCGTGACCGATAGAATACGAGGTACTCAGTGACCACTCCAAGAGTAGAGATATAAATAAAAATCGAGTATAAGGTTAATATACTTGTCATGTTAAAGTATGTGTGTGTGTGTACGCATTTACTTACCTAACCGATAATCGCAAAAAGATTAAAAAGTACTGGTGCTCAAAAGCAAAACGGAACTGGAAACTGAACATTGGGCAAAGTGATAATAAAAAAGAAAACACAGAATCAAAGTTAGTGTATCGATCTATGAAAGTGTATGTATTCGCGTTTACTTACCTCGCAGATAAACTGCGAATGGTTTAACCAGTACTACTGTTCCTTGCACATGAAATCGTCCTTGTGTCCTTGTACATGAAATCGACCTTGTGTCCTTGAACATGAAATCGTCCTTGTGTCCTTGAACATGAAATCCCCCTTGTGTCCTGGTACATGAAATCGACCTTGTGTCCTTGAACATGAAATCGTCCTTGTGTCCTGGTACATGAAATCGTCCTTGTGTCCTGGTACATGAAATCGACCTTGTGTCCTTGTACATGAAATCGTTCGGGAATCCTTGTACATGAAATCCCGTTTGTGTTCTTCTGCAAGAAATCTCCTTGGTGTTCCTTGTACATGGAATCGCCCAAGTATTCCTTGCGCAGGAAATCGCCCTGGTGTTCCTAGTACATGGAATCGCCCAAGTGTTCCTTGCACAGGAAATCTCCCTGGTGTTCCTAGTACATGGAATCGCCCAAGTGTTCCTTGCGCAGGAAAACACCCTGGTGTTCCTTGTACATGGAATCGCCCAAGTGTTCCTTGCGCAGGAAAACACCCTGGTGTTCCTAGTACATGGAATCGCCCAAGTGTTCCTTGCACAGGAAATCTCCCTGGTGTTCCTAGTACATGGAATCGCCCAAGTGTTCCTTGCACAGGAAATCTCCCTGGTGTTCCTAGTACATGGAATCGCCCAAGTGTTCCTTGCACAGGAAATTTCCCTGGTGTTCCTAGTACATGGAATCGCCCAAGTGTTCCTTGCGCAGGAAAACACCCTGGTGTTCCTAGTACATGGAATCGCCCAAGTGTTCCTTGCACAGGAAATTTCCCTGGTGTTCCTAGTACATGGAATCGCCCAAGTGTTCCTTGCGCAGGAAAACACCCTGGTGTTCCTTGTACATGGAATCGCCCAAGTGTTCCTTGCGCAGGAAAACACCCTGGTATTCCTAGTACATGGAATCGCCCAAGTGTTCCTTGCACAGGAAATCTCCCTGGTGTTCCTAGTACATGGAATCGCCCAAGTGTTCCTTGCACAGGAAATCTCCCTGGTGTTCCTAGTACATGGAATCGCCCAAGTGTTCCTTGCACAGGAAATCTCCCTGGTGTTCCTTGTACATGGAATCGCCCAAGTGTTCCTTGCGCAGGAAAGCACCCTGGTGTTCCTAGTACATGGAATCGCCCAAGTGTTCCTTGCGCAGGAAAACACCCTGGTGTTCCTAGTACATGGAATCGCCCAAGTGTTCCTTGCACAGGAAATCTCCCTGGTGTTCCTAGTACATGGAATCGCCCAAGTGTTCCTTGCACAGGAAATCGCCCTGGTGTTCCTAGTACATGGAATCGCCCAAGTGTTCCTTGCGCAGGAAATCTCCCTGGTGTTCCTAGTACATGGAATCGCCCAAGTGTTCCTTGCACAGGAAATCTCCCTGGTGTTCCTAGTACATGGAATCGCCCAAGTGTTCCTTGCACAGGAAATCTCCCTGGTGTTCCTTGTACATGGAATCGCCCAAGTGTTCCTTGCACAGGAAATCGCCCTGGTGTTCCTAGTACATGGAATCGCCCAAGTGTTCCTTGCGCAGGAAATCTCCCTGGTGTTCCTAGTACATGGAATCGCCCAAGTGTTCCTTGCGCAGGAAATCTCCCTGGTGTTCCTAGTACATGGAATCGCCCAAGTGTTCCTTGCACAGGAAATTTCCCTGGTGTTCCTAGTACATGGAATCGCCCAAGTGTTCCTTGCGCAGGAAAACACCCTGGTGTTCCTAGTACATGGAATCGCCCAAGTGTTCCTTGCACAGGAAATCTCCCTGGTGTTCCTAGTACATGGAATCGCCCAAGTGTTCCTTGCACAGGAAATTTCCCTGGTGTTCCTAGTACATGGAATCGCCCAAGTGTTCCTTGCGCAGGAAAACACCCTGGTGTTCCTAGTACATGGAATCGCCCAAGTGTTCCTTGCACAGGAAATTTCCCTGGTGTTCCTAGTACATGGAATCGCCCAAGTGTTCCTTGCACAGGAAATCTCCCTGGTGTTCCTTGTACATGGAATCGCCCAAGTGTTCCTTGCACAGGAAATCGCCCTGGTGTTCCTAGTACATGGAATCGCCCAAGTGTTCCTTGCGCAGGAAATCTCCCTGGTGTTCCTAGTACATGGAATCGCCCAAGTGTTCCTTGCACAGGAAATCTCCCTGGTGTTCCTTGTACATGGAATCGCCCAAGTGTTCCTTGCACAGGAAATTTCCCTGGTGTTCCTAGTACATGGAATCGCCCAAGTGTTCCTTGCGCAGAAAAACACCCTGGTGTTCCTAGTACATGGAATCGCCCAAGTGTTCCTTGCACAGGAAATCTCCCTGGTGTTCCTAGTACATGGAATCGCCCAAGTGTTCCTTGCACAGGAAATTTCCCTGGTGTTCCTAGTACATGGAATCGCCCAAGTGTTCCTTGCGCAGGAAAACACCCTGGTGTTCCTAGTACATGGAATCGCCCAAGTGTTCCTTGCACAGGAAATCGCCCTGGTGTTCCTAGTACATGGAATCGCCCAAGTGTTCCTTGCACAGGAAATTTCCCTGGTGTTCCTAGTACATGGAATCGCCCAAGTGTTCCTTGCACAGGAAATCTCCCTGGTGTTCCTAGTACATGGAATCGCCCAAGTGTTCCTTGCACAGGAAATCTCCCTGGTGTTCCTAGTACATGGAATCGCCCAAGTGTTCCTTGCGCAGGAAAACACCCTGGTGTTCCTAGTACATGGAATCGCCCAAGTGTTCCTTGCGCAGGAAAACACCCTGGTGTTCCTAGTACATGGAATCGCCCAAGTGTTCCTTGCGCAGGAAATCTCCCTGGTGTTCCTAGTACATGGAATCGCCCAAGTGTTCCTTGCGCAGGAAATCTCCCTGGTGTTCCTAGTACATGGAATCGCCCAAGTGTTCCTTGCGCAGGAAAACACCCTGGTGTTCCTAGTACATGGAATCGCCCAAGTGTTCCTTGCGCAGGAAAACACCCTGGTGTTCCTTGTACAGGGAATCGCCCTGGTGTTTCTTGTTTAGGGAATCGCCTTGATGGTTCTTGTGCTGGAAATTGCCCAGGTGTTCCTTGCGCAGGAAATCGCACTGGTGTTCCTTGTACATGAAATCGCCCAGGTGTTCCCTGTGCTGGAAATCGACCTAGTTTTTCTTGTACATGAACTCGACATGAAAGACTTTTTTGTGAACCACAGTGGAATAGATTTTGGACATATGATCAAAAAGAAAACAGGTACAAAAAACGTTGTGCTGTAGTTAGTAGTTGACCGTGTCAAAGTTTGATTGTGTCTGTATAATACTTTACCTGCTATTAGACTGGACATCATTTTTGGAGCTTAGCTAGAAACCGCGTCTGGGGTGCATTTTCATAATAAATATCAGTATGCATCTTATACGGATAGGAGGATATAGACATTTAAAGACAATTTTCTTACCGTGTCGGAAACCAAGGACCACCGAAAGGAAACCAGGAGGAAGAGAAGGAATAACAGGAAATTGGGAATTGTATCGATTCTTATATGAAAAAAATGGGGATGGCGCAGCACGGAAGGCGTAAAATGTCTATTTTGGATAAATCAAAACAAATTCATATGAAAATTAAATAGTTTCATGTTTTCAGTAAAAGCTCCATGTTTTTTATCACATATTTTTATCGTGTATTTTTTATCGCATATTTCTATCAAGGACCTATTGATATTATCTAATAGATACATTGAATAGTATCAACACTGAATACATTTGAGTATTACCTTTTTTTAGATAACATTTATATTCCTTTGGGGAATATATTTCTATACCTTTATGTTCACACTACTGATAATCATTAATATTAGTATTATTATTATTTTAAAAAAAAATACCAAGTAAATAAAGAAATTCTCCTTAACATTATAATCACATTTTGTTTTCTTTTGCTTCATAAAGTATCCTGAAAGTCATATAAGTAGATAAGAACTACTATTAAGAAAATAATAGCATTTATTTATCAAGCTATTTTTTTTCTATTTAGGCTATTCAGTTTTACATACATATGCAATATCTCTTGTGAACTACAAACATAATACTCTTTCTTACTCCTGATCAATAAAAATATTGTTATTATAATGTATATTCACATATCTTAGCTAGCATGACTTATTCTTTACATAATTATGTCTAGAGGCAAAATTTTAATTATATAAATGTATTAGTAAAGTTATAGATAAATAATAAAGCTGTTAAACATTTCTTTCGGACACTGTAGTATGTATACACTGTCACAGTTTATATTGCTTTGAAATCATATTAAAATCCTTAAAAAAATTATTTAAAGGATTATTGTAGATACTTTACAGCTACTGTAGATCTCTAATAGTACGTATTCATACTCTTTCTTTTCTCTTTCTCTCTGATAAAGACATTACTCTTTGATACAGAGTCTAGTTGGCGAGTT